CAGTTTGATCCCCATATAGGGCACTGACATTGGCATCTTGGATTCTCGTCTAAGCATCATTGATACCATTTTTTGGTCACCCCACCTGCCCTTTTTAAACTTCTGTAGCATCATGCATTTGCAGTGTCAGGAGCTGATTGGTGCCAGCAAAGCTAGTGAGGACAGTTGTGGGACCAGGGCACTGGGAACAAAATCCTAAGTCATGAGATGTGTCAAAACGGATTTCGTTCCTCTACAATTTTCTCTCCAGGGCCAAGGGTCCAGGACCCTTTCAATTTTGAAGGTTCGAAAGTTCTGTCAGTGGCCGAGAAGAGCTGTGATGTTTCCCTGCACAGTTGTTCCTATGTCATGAGTATTGGACAATGTTGGCTTGGACGTGGGCTGCGCTTCCATGCCGCTCAGGAGGACCATGCTGGGGTGCATGGCCAGCCGGCTGAAGTGTGCATTGGACAAGCATCCCAGGCAATTTTGATCCGTCAGATTAGCTGTTGTATCCATATATATGTATATATATATATGTATATATATATATGTATATATATATATAGATATATACTTACTTAGCCATTGCCTAGACTTTCAACTTTTTTCCTTGGGTCTGCGCGCACGCGCTCTTCATCCTGGGTATCCAAAAATAAGCTTGTGGGGCCCTCTTGGATCTAAGTCATCAGTCATTTGCCAATAGTACATTTTTTTCCAGGAGATCACCCGCTGAACAGGTATACCAGCACATGCACACACACACAAACAAATCAAGCACTATAAATTTATAAACATAAACGTGTTGCTGTCTTTGAAGTTGTATTCCTATGTCATCATTGATGGAGTGGGGGCAGATTGGCCCTAGTTTTTCTTTCTTCGGTTTGGCCATGAGCATGCCTTGTCAGGAATCGACTGGTGCCATTCAATCTACTGAGGCCAGTCGTGAGATCATTTTTGTGATGGAATACATTAGGAAGATGGTTTTGCACGTGTGCATCTAACGCTTCATGAGCAGCTGGAATTTCATCCAAAATGAGCGATCAAGTGTGTGTGTGTTTTGTGTGTGTGTGTGTGGGCGTGCGTGTGGTGTTTTAGACAATGCTCCGAATCGATTTGTCGAAGCTGTTTTAGACAATGCTCCCGTGATCCCCGGTGCTTTCCGATTGCCCACGGTCTTGGTGCCAGCTGATGGAAAGATCCAGGTCGAGGTCGCCTCCCCGCCAAAGAGATCCGTTGCTGGACCTTGAATATGATCAACTTATTGAGTTGTATGCCAAGACGTCGTTGCTGATTCAGGCTATGTCTGCAGCAAGGTTTCTGATCGTGAATGCCCAACGCGAGCTTGGAGATGAATCCATAGATCCTCGGTTTCACGAGTGGGCTATCGCATTGGCGGACATGAGGGCGGAGATGGACCGTGTTCGAGGGGCAGCTGACACAGTTCGCAGGGGAATCGTGCTGAGGGTGACGCTTACCCATTGGGTCGAACAAAGGCCGGGAGAGACCCCAGCAGAGGAGAGAGTGGAGTGAGCAGTGGATTTCCCACCAGTTTGTTTTGAGAGTTTTTGTATCATAGCAGCCATAGACCATATCTGAAGTTTGCTTGCCTGACACGTGCCGGCTCGAGGAAAAATGGGTTTGCAAGAGATCGAACGGCTACAAATCCCAACTCCCGAAAGTTTCCTTCCACTTTATTTTCAACTGAACTTGGGCAGTTGTCAGGGCAAGGGAAGTGCTGGGTTAGCCAGATGTGCAGTCAAACATGTGTGCAAGGCATTGGCCTTGCTTATGGCAGACTTGCCTGATGCTGGGACCCCCAGGATTCTTGCCTGGTTTCCGGTTCCTCTACAGATTGGTGGGCTATAAGGCATTTTTCAAATGAACTTATAATATATATATATACACACATTAGATTTGTTTATTTTTTGTTTATTATTTCATTATATATTTATATACATAGATAATTCTATATCTATACTATATAATAACGGCCAAAAGCCAGGAAGGGCTGGGGTGTTTCCCTGTCCAGTCACTCCTGTGTCATGAGCATGCAGCATTGAGCAATTGAAGTTCCTCAGGCGTTCTTGATCAGACTCAGTGTCATTTGAGTTCCATCTAAATTCTTTTGCTTTCACTTTTTTTGGGCATTCCTTGCAGTTGACAGGGGAACCATGCCAGGAAACTTCCGTGAAGGTTCCTGTGAAGCAAGTTTTGCGAGTTACAATTTTCTCTAGCTGTTCTTTCGGTATTAGTAAAGCCAGTGAATTGCGTAAACGCTCCTTGCCAGGAACCGATTGATGCCAGCCAATCTACTGAGGCCAGCGCAATACAATCAACAGAACAGGTGGTTGAATGATGACATAGGAACAAAAGCTAGTTGCGGGGGGTTGCTGTCCACCAGTCCTGACCGGTAGATGTGGATTTTGATAGATTTTACGATTGTATGCAATGCCTGCTCTTGGTCCTCGCCAGAAACCGAAGAATGGAGATCGAAAGGAAACTGCTCCTCTGACTGCTGGGCGCTCGGTAACCTCAGAGTTTCTGGAATCTGTTGGATGTGCCAGGATGCTTGAAGGCTCAAGTCCTAAGTTATAAGAAATCTAGAAACGTTGCTTTGAGTGGGTTTGCGTGCTGGACATTGCACAGTCCTTCCTAAGTCATGGGCACTTGAGGAGAGCTGTGCTGGGGCGCACGGCCGGCCCGCAGATGTGGGTGGGAATGAGGCTGCTCAAGCGTTCTTGACCAGACTGAATGTCATTTGAGTTAACTTCATTAGGGTTCACCTTTTTCTTGCGTTCCGTGCCTTTGACGGGGAACCACGTCAGGAATCTGCTGTGGAGGTTCGTGTGAAGCAGGCTTTGTGAGCTGCAGTTTTTCCAAGTGTTCTTTAGACGCTGGCAAAATTCACGTATTAAACCCGCATTCCTTGCAGGAACCGATTGATGCCAGCCAATCTACTGAGGCCAGCGCAACACATTCAACAGAACAGGTGGTTGACTGATGACATAGGAACAACCGCCTGTGGGGGGCGGGTTGCTGTCCACCCTCTTGACCGGTAGATTTTACGATTGTTCCCTTCTCTCGGTCCTCGCCAGAAACCGAAGAATGGAGATCGAAAGGAAACTGCTCCTCTGACTGCTGGGCACTCGGTAATCTCAGAGTTTCTGGAATCTGTTGGATGTGCCAGGATGCTTGAAGGCTCAAGTCCTAAGTTATAAGAAATCTAGAAACGTTGCTTTGAGTGGGTTTGCGTGCTGGACATTGCACAGTCCTTCCTAAGTCATGGGCACTTGAGGAGAGCTGTGCTGGGGCGCACGGCCGGCCCGCAGATGTGGGTGGGAAGGAGGCGGCCCAAGCGTTCTTGACCAGACTGAATGTCATTTGAGTTAACTTCATTAGGGTTCACCTTTTTCTTGCATTCCGTGCCTTTGACGGGGAACCACGTCAGGAATCTGCTGTGGAGGTTCGTGTGAAGCAGGCTTTGTGAGCTGCAGTTTTTCCAAGTGTTCTTTAGACGCTGGCAAAATTCACGTATTAAACCCGCATTCCTTGCAGGAACCGATTGATGCCAGCCAATCTACTGAGGCCAGCGCAACACATTCAACAGAACAGGTGGTTGACTGATGACATAGGAACAACCGCCTGTGGGGGGGCGGGTTGCTGTCCACCCTCTTGACCGGTAGATTTTACGATTGTTCCCTTCTCTTGGTCCTCGCCAGAAACCGAAGAATGGAGATCGAAAGGAAACTGCTCCTCTGACTGCTGGGCACTCGGTAATCTCAGAGTTTCTGGAATCTGTTGGATGTGCCAGGATGCTTGAAGGCTCAAGTCCTAAGTTATAAGAAATCTAGAAACGTTGCTTTGAGTGGGTTTGCGTGCTGGACATTGCACAGTCCTTCCTAAGTCATGGGCACTTGAGGAGAGCTGTGCTGGGGCGCACGGCCGGCCCGCAGATGTGGGTGGGAAGGAGGCGGCCCAAGCGTTCTTGACCAGACTGAATGTCATTTGCAAGAAGATTTCCTTTGAAAGGGGTCCTTGGGGTGAAAGGGGTCCTGGGCGCGCGCGCGCCAAAAAGGTTTCAAAATTGAAGCCATTTTGGCGCGCGCGCGGCGCGCCCAGCACTCCTTTCACCCCAAGGACCCCTTTCAAAGGAAATTGTGTTTTGACTGAGTGAACTTCATTAAGGCTCACCTTTTTCTTGCATTCCGTGCATTTGACGGGGAACCACGTCAGGAATCTGCTGTGAAGGTTCGTGTGAAGCAGGCTTTGTGAGCTGCAGTTTTTCCCAACTGTTCCTTAGACGCTGGCAAAATTCATGCATATATTAAACGCTCATTCCTTGCAATTGCGTGAACGCTCCTTGCCAGGAACCGATTGATGCCAGCCAATCTACTGAGGCCAGCGCAATACAGTCAACAGAACAGGTGGTTGAATGATGACATAGGAACAAATGCTAGTTGGGGGGTTGCTGTCCACCAGTCCCGACCGGTAGATGTGGATTTTGATAGATTTTACGATTGTATGCAATCCCTGCTCTTGGTCCTCGCCAGAAACCGAAGAATGGAGATCGAAAGGGCATTGATCCTCTGACTGCTGGGCGCTCGGTGTCCTCGAGTTTCTGGAATCTGTGGGATTGAGTCCCAGGTCATCAGATTTTGGTTGAGTTCTGCCAGATTGAATTTGAGGCTAAGAGCTCAAAGTTTTCATCTATCTTTGGCATACCGGCAAGATCAACAGTGGAGGACAGACTTGCGGTTATTTTCTTGATTGCTTTCACTAGTGTTGAACCCCATGTCCTATGTCATGTTTGTCGCAAGGTGCAAGGGATATTGTTTTTTTTGCGAACGCATGTGCATATATATTTCGTTGGACCCGCTTGGGCCTAAGTCATGTGCCATGTATATAATACAAACGTGCTTTTTTTTACCGTGGTAGGGAAGTTAGCGAAATTGATCTTTCAAGTGTATGTCTTACTTCCAGCCTTTGGTGGTATTTGACCTGGGCAGGTCGACCCAGAGATGCGCGATTCCATTGGCACCACTGCTGCTGGCCGAGATTTTGCGAAGAAGTGGCCAAAGCATTACAAGAAAGTTGCCCCTGACCCGGAAAAGTCGCAATCTCTTGTGGAGGCATTCAGCTGGCCTGTGAAAGCCAAGCAGAACCTTGCTCGTATCGTAGAAGCCCTCCCAGCTGATCGCCATCCTGTGCTGCTCTCAAATCGCCGTTTGTCTTGCACATCCAACTTCAGTGGTGTTTGTAGCCAGACACGCGCAGCCATGGTGCTGGAAGCGCACAAGTTTGGATGCCAGTTCGCGCACCTTTCATTCTGCGAGAAGACCAAGCAATGTCAGCACCGGTTGGTGCAAGATTTTCCACAGTCCTGCATCTTTACCGATCAATTGCATTTGTTGCAGACTGAGGGCCACGAAGCAATGCAAAAATGCAAGACATTTGAAGAGTCGAGAGGTGTGTTGGATAAAACCTTTATCAATTCAAGGTCTTCTTGCTTTCGGCACAGCTCCTTGTGCAAGCTGCCTCAAAACCCAGACATTACTTGGTTCGGAGCACCCTGTGTGGCAGACTCAACCATGGGAAAGTTTGATAAGGATGAGGGAGTTTCGAGAAGGGCATCTTCATTGACATGTTGGCACCGGTTTCTTTGAAAACAATATTTTTCTTTCCCTCAACATATAGGGATGGACCCTGACCAGTTCCTAAGTCACCTGACTTTGCGAGGCAACATTGGTTCACTTGCAGAGCATGAAGAAGATCACTAAACCAGCAATTGGTTTGTCTGAAAATGTGACGACTGGCAACATCAATGAGAGGATAGTGGAAATGCTTGAAGATGTTTACGATTCCAGGGAGTCTTGGCAGCTTTTGGCCAACACATCTTTTCCTTTGAGTGTCTCTAGTAACTAGTAACTACATATATGCATATCTATATATATCTATATATGTAAAATACTATGTAAATAGATACATATATATATACATATATTTCTATCTATCTATCTATCTATCTATCTATCTATCTATCCATCGATCGATCGATCGATCTATCTATCTATCTCTATCTATCTCTATCTATCTATCTATCTATCTATCTATCTTTCTTTCTATTTCTATAGATGTGTGTGTGTGTCCCTGGAAACCTGTGAGCCTAAGTCATCAGAGGGCAATGCACACAAATACAGTTACACATCTCATCCTAAGTTACCTGTCCTATCTCAGGTCATTTTTGGCGAACCAGCGGATCTTGGTTTCCATTGCGTTTCCAGACGCAGGGCTTTCACTGTGCTTGTGGATAGGTCGAAGGGTCAGTTTATCGCTGACCCGAATCAAGTCTACAAGGCTTTGTGTCATGGCCTGGGAGACCGGCATCTAAGCCTTGAAGAGTTGGTCAAACTGGGATCACAGGCGTTTCTTGAAAAGGAATTGGCACTCACTGGCAAATCGCTCGACGAGTACCCGGACAATTTATTGACTGAGCTTGAGAAGGAACACAAAGGCGCGTACGAAAAAGCCCTTGATGAGACAAGGCCTGGTGAGGCCCATTCCCAGCAGGCATACTGCCTCAACCAAAATCCAGAGTGTGTCAGCAAGATGTCTACCGACGGAGTCCTACCTGCATACACCAAATCTGACCGGATGACTTGGTTGAGACATGAGAAACGCCATCTCTTAGCTATCGAGAAATTCGCCTCGCATAGCTATGGCGTCAACGCGGAGCTCGCAAATCTCTTGGGAATCCCGGTCGCTTGACTTAGTTGCAACTCCTATGTCATGTCGGGTGGCCATGACATGACATGCCATGATGTAGTCCCAGCCGCGCAGCTGCCAACAGTGACAAGCCCAAAGCCGATCAATTTTCTTAGCCAAGGTCTTCAGCGTGTACCAGATGCCAAACCCGCACCCTGTGGTTGGAAACGGTCAGCACTTGGGCGTAGCAGCCCTTGTGTTGGCTGCCACCTTGTTGTCCGTTGAGCTCTTTCAACCCCCGGAGAAGCTGGAAGATCCCAAAAAAGCCCTTGGCTGGACACACACAAAAAAGTTGCGCAAAGAAAGGGATGAGGCCACCGAACTCTCATAACATGAGATAGGATTGGTGTAGTAGGCTGGAGGTTTGAAGTCTAGCCCCAGAAAGCGAATTTCCAATTGAACACATGCTATATATATATATATGCGCACACACACTCTCTATCTGGTTCTGTCCTGCTGTCTTTCTTTCTTCCTTTCTTTCCTTTTTTGTTCTTTCTCTCTCTCTCTCTCTCTCTCTCTCTCTCCCTCCCTCCCTCTCCCTCTCCCTCTCCCTCTCCCTCTCCTCTCCCTCTCCTCTCCCCTCCCTCTCCCTCTCCCTCTCGCTCTCCCTCTCGCTCTCGCTCTCGCTCTCGCTCTCGCTCTCGCTCTCTCTCTCTCTCTCGCTCTCGCTCTCTCTCTCTCTCTACATATATGTGTTCCACACATGGCTTGCTCGCCAGCAGGTTCAAGAAAAGCATCCATTGCTCAACGTCCTGAACGATCGCGTCACCTTCACTGCGGAAGGATTTTGTCGCAGGGTGAGTGTCCCACGCGATGCAGCCACCTTGTCCGAAGCTGCCGAGAAATTGGCTCCCCTTGCCAAAGCACATGATGCCATCCATTTGGAGTTGGCATCTCTTAACAGGAATGTGCTGAGTTTTGTGTGGGGGCCATGTCAGTGCACTTGATCCTAAGTCATGGGTGGTATCCAGTATATACATGAATAAAGCAAGACTGAAAAAGACTTATTTTTGATAGGCTTTATTCCCGCTGGTTCAATGCATTCCAAGTAGGTCAATCTACCCTCAATTTCACCATCTGGGCTTCCAAAAATCTCATGCTCATTGGGGGTTGGGACTGCAGGACGGAACTGCGCGAGAGATGCAAGAAGGCAAAGGTCAAGATGACTGGAAATATGGGTGAGCTGAAGAAGCGGCTAGCTCTTCATCACGTTGAGACAACGGAGCTGGAGATGCGGGGGGTGGGCGATGTGCGATACACATACACATGCGCTCATACATATCAACAAGCCCGCAGTTCCAGAGATTGAGCAGGACCTGCTCAAAAAGGAAGGAGGTTCAGCGAGCCATTCACCATCAGCTGGAGAGGCGCTGATTGCATGCTTCACAGACTTTGAAAGCTTTTAGTCCTAAGTCATGCTTTTAGTCCCGTATAGCCCCGTGGCATCCCCGTGGCCATTGACAGGAAGTTTGAAGATAGTTGAGTGCCAGTTTTTGTTTCACAGCTTGCTTTCCTGTATAAGACACTTTAAACTTTATAGATGCACATGCTTGTGCATATGGCAGGTCATTCACTCGTCGGTTGCCTTGAAGATATTTAAGACTCTGGGTGCTTTTGTTCCTAAGTCATGTGAGAATACCCCCCAAACACCCTGTATAGCCCTGTGCCATTTGACAGGAAAACCCGGCAAAAGATGCGCATTCCGGCGGCGCATTGGATCAGCAGGACCAGATGTTCGATGGTGGTTGTTTGGCCAGTTTTGTTTCACAGCCTGGACGCGCATATTTGTCCACTTGGGTGACAGGGTGTCATTCACGGATCTGTTGCCTCATGTTGCCTCTAAGACTATGGGTGCGTTTGTTCCTAAGTCATGTGAGAACGGATCTGAAGAGCCCCGCATAGCCAAGTGGCGATTGACAGGAGACCCCGGCGAAAGATGATGCGACTTCCGGCACATTGGAGCAGCAGGACCGGAAGTTGGCAGATAATTGAGTGCCAGTTTTGTTTCACAGCCTGCTTTCCTGTAAAAGCGACTTTAAGGCCTCCTAGATGAACTTGTTTGTGCACTTGACCGGGTGTCATTCACTGGTCGGTTGCCTTTAAGACTCTGGGTGCTTTTGTGCCTAAGTCATGTGAGAACACTACCCCCCAAACACCATGTATAGCCCCGTGTCATTTGACAGGAAAACCCGGCGAAAGATGCGAATTCCGTCAGCGCGTTGGATCAGCAGGACCAGATGTTCGAAGATTGTTGTTTGGCCAGTTTTGTTTCACAGCCTGGACTGTAAGGACCTTACAGCTTTTTGACATGCGCATGTTTGTCCACTTGGGTGACAGGGTGTCATTCACAGATCGGTTGCCTCTAAGACTCTGGTTGCATTTGTTCCTAAGTCATGTGAGAACACTACCCCCCAAAGAGGCCTGTATAGCCCCGTGGCATCCCCGTGGCCATTGACAGGAGACCCCTGCGAAAGATGATGCGATTTCCGGCACATTGGAGCAGCAGGACTGGAAGTTCGCAGATAATTGAGTGCCAGTTTTGTCAGTTTTGTTTCACAGTTTGCTTTCCTGTAAGAAACCTTATCAGAACTGGTTGCCTCTACAGTAAGACTCTGGGCGCGTTTGTTCCCAAGTCATGTGAGAATGTGAGAACACCCCCCCCAAACACCCTGTATAGCCCCGTGCCATTTGACAGGAGACGGTGAAAGATGCGCATTCCGGCGGCGCATTGGATCAGCAGGACCAGATGTTCGATGGTGGTTGTTTGGCCAGTTTTGTTTCACAGCCTGGACGCGCATATTTGTCCACTTGGGTGACAGGGTGTCATTCACGGATCTGTTGCCTCATGTTGCCTCTAAGACTATGGGTGCGTTTGTTCCTAAGTCATGTGAGAACGGATCTGAAGAGCCCCGCATAGCCGAGTGGCGATTGACAGGAGGCCCCGGCGAAAGATGATGCGACTTCCGGCACATTGGAGCAGCAGGACCGGAAGTTGGAAGATAATTGAGTGACAGTTTTGTCAGTTTTGTTTCACAGTTTGCTTTCCTGTAAGAAACCTTATCAGAACTGGTTGCCTCTACAGTAAGACTCTGGGCGCGTTTGTTCCCAAGTCATGTGAGAATGTGAGAACATCCCCCCAAACACCCTGTATAGCCCCGTGCCATTTGACAGGAGAAGGCTAAAGATGCGCATTCCGGCGGCGCATTGGATCAGCAGGACCAGATGTTCGATGGTGGTTGTTTGGCCAGTTTTGTTTCACAGCCTGGACGCGCATATTTGTCCACTTGGGTGACAGGGTGTCATTCACGGATCTGTTGCCTCATGTTGCTAACTTGCACAAAGGACTTTCGGACTTGGTTTCTGGTGTAATGCGCTGGTCCAAGATGGGTTTTGGGTATGTGCAAGGCAGATTTAACTAAGACGGTGCATGCAAGGGCGCAAGTGTGATTGCTGCTTCCTTGTCCCGTTTGAAAACTTTGCAGTGTTCCAGCTTGGCTTGATGTGGGTCCCTATGGGGCGGGGTTCCATGGAGGTCTCTGGGCGAACCTGACCGCATCATAGGGATCCTTATGATGCAATGAACGCAATTTCCTTTGAAAGGGGTCCTTGGGGTGAAAGGGGTCCGCGCGCGCGCGTGAATGGCTTTCATTTTTTGAGACCTTGCGCGCGCGCGCGGACCCCTTTCACCCTGAGGACCCCTTTCAAGAGAAATCTTCTTAATGGTTTCTTTGCGTGTCAGTTGGGCCAATGCTGGGCCAATGTTGGGCATCTGGGGGTCCAAGAGGAATTTTGAGGCCTAGTTGGGCCATGGAAGGCTGCAGTTGAGTCGTTTTTGGCAGGTATATTTAATATACCTGGCTGGAACCTTCTAACTTGAGGCTTTGATGGGACCAACTTGAGGCATTTTGAGGCCTAGTTGGGCCATGGAAGACCAACTAAGGCCCAACTAAGGCCCAACTAAGGCCCAACTAAGGCCCAACTGAGGCCCAACTGAGGTCTTCCATGGCCCAACTAGGCCTCAAAATGCCTCAAGTTGGTCCCATCAAAGCCTCAAGTTAGAAGGTTCCAGCCAGGTATATTAAATATACCTGCCAAAAACGACTCAACTGCAGCCTTCCATGGCCCAACTAGGCCTCAAAATTCCTCACTTGGACCCCCAGATGCCCAACATTGGCCCAGCATTGGCCCAACTGACACGCAAAGAAACCATTAAGAAGATTTCTCTTGAAAGGGGTCCTCAGGGTGAAAGGGGTCCGCGCGCGCGCGCAAGGTCTCAAAAAATGAAAGCCATTTTCACGCGCGCGCGCGGACCCCTTTCACCCCAAGGACCCCTTTCAAAGGAAATTGCGTTCATTGCATCATAAGGATCCTTATGATGCGGTCAGGTTCGCCCAGAGACCTCCATGGAACCCCGCCCCATAGGGACCCACATCAAGCCAAGCTGGAACACTGCAAAGTTTTCAAACGGGACAAGGAAGCAGCAATCACACTTGCGCCCTTGCATGCACCGTCTTAGTTAAATCTGCCTTGCACATACCCAAAACCCATCTTGGACCAGCGCATTACACCAGAAACCAAGTCCGAAAGTCCTTTGTGCAAGTTAGCACCTCATGTTGCCTCTAAGACTATGGGTGCGTTTGTTCCTAAGTCATGTGAGAACGGATCTGAAGAGCCCCGCATAGCCGAGTGGCGATTGACAGGAGGCCCCGGCGAAAGATGATGCGACTTCCGGCACATTGGAGCAGCAGGACCGGAAGTTGGCAGATAATTGAGTGACAGTTTTGTCAGTTTTGTTTCACAGTTTGCTTTCCTGTAAGAAACCTTATCAGAACTGGTTGCCTCTACAGTAAGACTCTGGGCGCGTTTGTTCCCAAGTCATGTGAGAATGTGAGAACATCCCCCCAAACACCCTGTATAGCCCCGTGCCATTTGACAGGAGAAGGCTAAAGATGCGCATTCCGGCGGCGCATTGGATCAGCAGGACCAGATGTTCGATGGTGGTTGTTTGGCCAGTTTTGTTTCACAGCCTGGACGCGCATATTTGTCCACTTGGGTGACAGGGTGTCATTCACTGGTCGTTTGCCTCTAAGATTGTGGGCGTGTGTGTTCCTAAGTCATGTGAGACGGATCCCACCGACTGTATAGCATCGTGGCCATTGGCAGGAGGTCCCAGCGACAGGTGAAGATTTCAGATTTGTGGTGAACCCAATGGCAGACGGCAGATGTTTTTGGTCTTGTCTATGTCTATTCTTCCTGAATGACAAGTCCAAGTTGGAATGGAAAAATGTGAGCAGAAATTTACAGGGATTTCCAGATGCAGCCCGTGCGCAAGAGGAGCGGCGGATTGTTTACAAATTTGTACTTGGCATTCTACATGGGGGAATTCACAATGAAGAGTCTGAGATACTTGGTCTGGATAAAGTTGCATATACATCTATTTGCATACATGCGTATCGTGCTCTTGGCACTTGGCGCATGCTCATTCCTAAGTCATTAGCATCTAGTATATAGAAATAAAGATGTGGGATTGGCGCACAAGAGTTTCTTGGGAAGAATTGCCGCGTCCTGCTCCATGGTGACATTTGTGCCGTTTAGGATAGCAGAGAGGTGGACACAGATCTATCAAAGGTTCGAGAAGTACGACATGCCTTCAGAAAAGGATCTGGAGATTATCTTAGAAGTTCTGGATCTCAGGCTCTTGATAGAGGGTTCCTCCGGAGATGTAATTCAAGAGGCGGGGCCAGAATGGGGGACGAAGATCAGAATGTCCAACGATGCTCCGCTGAAACTTTAGCGAGCTTTGCATTTTGCTGGGTTTAGCCATCGGAACTGGGGTCGGCGGTTGTTTCCAGTTTCCTTCCAGGGCATACATAAATGGTTTTGCGTGCTTGCACACGAGACTTAGGAATAGTGCGCATGCATATGATGTTTTAATTAGGCTTTACCAATTTTCCGGATTGGCACCTACCAGTTGGAATCTGACATGCTTGCTGCATCAGGAGTGCTCAAAGGATGGCTCTGGCAAAGCTGCTTCGCACTTCAGGTTTGTGTGGTGCAAGGAATGTCCTGGCATCCATCATGATGTGGAAGAGGTCACGGCAAAGCCAAAAGCTTCAATTGGTAAGTCATGATCAGATAGCACGCTTCAAAGCAAAAGTGTTGTTTGTTTGCGATAGGAAGCCCCCTTTAGGTCAAGCAATTGTTTCCTGACTTTGACATCAATGAGACGGGCTCTTCATTTTCTGCGCATGGCCTATCCATGAACTGGAAAGTCCCAGAGCAAGCAGATACCGTGCTGCTCAGTGCCATGACGGCTGATTTTTTCCAGAAAGCATCCCACCGGAAGTATGCCAGCTTGGTGCCAGAGTTGGTGACCCTCAGTTGTCATTTATATGTTTGGTTTCTTATATATATATATATACAATAAACAAATGACAAGGTGGCCCTACCTCGAGCCTAAGTCATCTGACCTTAGTGTATTCATATATCTTAGCAGCATGGGCTTACAATTTCCACATATTCATTCCCACGAGTTCATGGCAAAGAATTTGTTGGCCCTTGGTTCAGTTGTCCGCTCAGGAAGGATCTCAAAGATAAGTGCAAAGAGCAAGGTCTCAGTCAAAAGGGCAGCTCGGCTGTTCTGCGAGGGCGTTTGACCAAGCACTTTCTTCAGACAGCATCGTTGGAGCAAATTCTTCACACACGCGCAGCTGGACCAACTAGCAAAGATGGTGAAGATGATGAGCAGGCTTGCGTTGCAAAACCAAAACAGCACAGTCCAAAAAATAGAAGCATTATATGTGGCGTTCATAGCCTTTGATCCTAAGTCATTGGTGCTGATGCGCGCAAACTCACGACAGTTCCTTCACTGTCAAAACTTATGGAGATCGCAGTTATGTGTAGACTTGTAATGCCTGACACAGGATGAAAGACATGTTATGTACAGAATTTTGGATGCATAGACACAGACCATCATGTGAGGCCCAAGCGGAGATTCAGGAACTGGCCAAGCAGTATCCCAACATCAGAGTGAACAAGAAAAGCTGCACGGTGAAGATTCATGGCTTTCATCGGAAATTCGCTGACAGCTCCAAGCAGTTGCAAGAACTTGCTGCCTGCGCAAATGCCTTCCACGAAGCTGGTGCCCGTTTCTTTGCAGAGCTTTCTACACTTCAGAAGACATTTGGCTTAGCCTTCACATTTGTTTGATATGATGTTTTGTTCTTTGGAGGGCTTGGTGGGGCAATTCTAAGTCATCAGACCTCGTTACTCCTAAGTCACCAGCTCCCGCTCAGGTCAGAGTTGCAAACCAAAGCTGTGCTGAAAAAAATCTCCAAGACCGGGACTTCAGAGCAACTCAAGGAACGAATAGTGCAGGAGTGGCTGGCGAATAGCTCTGACAATGATGTCTTCAAGTATGCAGGAATGTCTGACCTGGGAAAAGCGCCTGACACACCAGCTGCTCCCAGCGGTCCCCCTCATGCACCAGCTGCTCCTAGCGCTCCCTCTGAAGCACCAGCTGCGCCCAGCGCTTCCTCTGCTGCACCAGCTGCGCCCAGCGCTTCCTCTGCTGCACCAAGTGATCCCAGCAACAGTGGCACTGCTTCTGCTGATTTGTCCCTGTTTGGCAGAGGAACATTTGCGCTGGTACCGTCCGAAGTTGAGGACCAGACTACCTTCTTCACCGGCATCCAGGAAGGTCCTGCCCTAAAGGATCAAGACGCAGCAACTTCTGCAGAAATTCTTGAAGAAGCTACTGACGGTGTTCTGCCTTTGGCTGCCTTGGTAAAAGTTTCCCAAGGCTTTCAGGAGGCTGTGGAAGAACAGGTGGCCATTCTCTTGGCAGGCATGCGGGATTTATCGGAGATGTTTACTAGAAGGGCCTTAGTCCCAAGTCAGCACGCCCTAATTTGTGTATTTCATGTGGAGGTTAGACAAGTTTTTTCCCAGAAGCTACGTATATAAACGCAGTAGGACTGATCGTATGTCACTGGTATGCTACTTCTTCGGAAGTTGTGGAAGACTATGGTGTCACACATTGCATTTTGGACCTTCAGAAGAAATTGTAGCATGACATAGGAATGCCGTGCAAAGGTGTTGTCAGCATCAAGAAGAAGAAGCTCCAGAGACAGATTGTTCGCAGAATTGTAATGGGGCCCAGGAGCATGTTCACTGGGGCTACCGTGGCAGATGAGGTAGAATCTACTGGTTTGAAGCCATGGGGCTTGATTTTACACGAGAACTTCCCCCTGGAGAATGTCGCTACCTTCCTGGAAGATGCGGGGCTTTCGGATCAGGCAGACGCCATCCACACTGGCGTGATGAAGAGGGATGCCCCTGCTGATCTGTCAGATGGTGCGATGTGGCTATCTCCCAAGTTTGTGGACTTTGGCGCTGATGAGGCTTTGGCGCTGATGAAAAAGGTTTTCGGAATATATATATATATATATACATATATATGTGTGTGTGTGTTTTGAATGTTCACATGTTGAGCTCGGATAGATTAGGCCTTGGCCTTGAGGGAGCCTGTCTGCAGGTTCGGGTCATGTCTAGAGGCACACATGCCAGACTGCAAGCCGGTTTTCGGTATCTTCCAGACGATTCGAGCCTTGCTTTGAACTTGCAAACCTGTCGTTCATGACGCTGCTTTGGTGTGCTTTTTGTTTTCTGATGTAGAAGAAGGTTGGGGCTGTTGATATTTTTCGATGTTTTCGCATCATTGCAGCCCATTGTTCCTATGTCATGATGTCATGTGGAGTGTAAAAATGTATATTATTTGTGTGCGTCCACATCATTCCACTCATCACTCATCTTGCCTCCGAATTTTCCAGGAAAGGAGTCAAGAGAACTGCTAAAGAGATAGCAGACGTGGCCACTGTGACGGTGACCAAGAGAGTGCGCGCAGCGGAATTGGTCATGGAGGCAGCTTTGAGAGATGCGACAGAAGAGGTGGAGAGAGGCTGGGCGCTTACCAAACAAGACTTGCATATGTGAACCTGTAAGCCTAAGTCATGAGTCATAGAATGTACTATAGGTCAAATACAGGGGTGCAGTGATCCAGTGTTGATGAATTGGGAATGAGTTGGGAATAAGGTATCCGCCCTGATCTCCTATTGAAGGCACACGAGCAAGAGATCGTTTGCAAGACAAGGTCGCCAAAATGTGTCAAGATGAAGAGCATTATGCAGAGTGTGCGAAGCAATGGCAAAAATTGACTTCGAGCATGTTTGCCGATCCACGTACCATGGGACAACCTCAAATCTCTGTGACGGCACTTGGGGAGCGATTTGGTTTCGGTACTTCCGAGAGCGAGACAGAAGTTATGTCAAGCCTTGCTGTTCACCTGGCCTTGGATGCTGCTTTGATCACAACGAAAGCCGACCAAGGAGATGCTGCTCAGTGGTTGCAGCATGACTTCAACTTGCCAGCGGTCCTCAAGATCGCGTTCTTCTTGCAGAAGCAGTGTGAAGACAGTTCACGTGAGGTTTCAGAGTCTGCAGCAAAAACACGGAAAAAGTTCGAGAAACTGCAGGCGAATCGGATCAAAGTCAAGGAAGCGAGGCAGCAAAATGTGGAGCAGGCGATTGTCAACCTTCAGCCCGATGACGTGACTAGGGAACAAAAACTTTCAATGAGAAACTGCCGGAACCGCGCCCGTTGTGGGGTGAAGAAAATTCGCAAAGCAAGACCCTATGATGCGGAGTTTGAGAAGAGGAAGGCCAAAGTGTTCAAGGCCCACAGGTTGACGATCTTTTCAAAGCTACAGGTAGTCAAGTATGCCCAGAATCTGATGAAAACCTTGGAAAGTAAAGATGTTGAAAGCGCAAAGGGCAAAAAAAGAAGGAATCCGAACGCGCGCTTTAGGAGGATGCATTGTGTCCAGGGTGTGCATTTGCAGCGGGCCTGTGAGCAGAAATTCCCCAACCTCGGCAAGATCAAGGTCGGATCGCTTTTGAGGCAGGCTGATGCGCAATGCTGGGCATCCCTTTCCATTGATCAGCAGAAGAAGTGGTTCCAATTGCCGGATCACTTGAAGGTCGCGATGGGTCTGAGTGATAAGGTCAAAGGATGGAAGAACATGTCGACCGACCAGATTCAGGAAAAGGCCACAGAGCAGGGCCATGTGCAGCGATGGGACGTTCCTGGCCCAGTGCTGCAGGACATTGGGGCTGAAAGCTATTAATCCTATGTCACGGGAATGAATGTTTTCCTATGTCATTGATTTCCGAAATAGTGTACAGATTTAGCATCGCTCACACGGACATTCCTTGTCATCGAACACCCATTCTCGTCAGGAGCTGAATGCAGCACTAGAGGAGTTCTGTATGGGAAAATCTGTGGCTACTCAACGCAGAGACATTGTCATCGCGCGTCACTGCGCAACTCGGCAATGGCATCATGACATAGGCCCAAAGGTTCCCAAAGTTTACAATTATGTTTTTTGAATTGCCATGTTGATGTTTCAACCCTGCTTTGCAGGAGCCCAATTTGATATATTAATGCATGTATATGCATGCGTATCTGCAATGGCTAAATGGCATCAGCAGGCCTAAATTCCTTATGACTTAGGCTCAAGGGGCAAAGCTACACATGACAAAGCCATATGCCAAAAAAGGAATAGACGGTTATGCACACACACACACGCACATATATATTAAAAAATGATTTTTTTCATGGATATAATATTGCACTGAAAACGGATGCAGATTCACTCTGAATGTTTGAGGTAGTGACTGTGCGGCGCATTGCCAGAGAGTATAACCAGGGCTTGCCGGAAGTCATTCAGCAGGCTGAGGAGCACAATCAGAAAGTGATGGAAGAATTCCGGGCGGCCGGTGTCAAGAGCAAGTTTACAAAGAAGGCTTTGTTGTCCATTCCAAAGCGTTGCCCAGAAGACTTAGACATAAGGTGGGTTCGACGTTTCATGAGAGCGTTCAACTGGAAGAAGTCATCCCGCAATACTGCAGGACAATATTTGGATGCTTGGCACCACGAACATGACATAGGAGTTGCAGCTTCGCCAGGTCACAGACACATCAATGTTGAAACTCTCGCGCGCACATGTCATAGGATTTAGAGTCCCATGCGCCTATTGATATGCGTCCCAGGAATGGGATGATGTGAGGCTGCAAGCTGCGAGACAGGGAGTACAAGATCGTATCGCACATGGTGTCCACAAGTATTTGGTCCTCAATGTAGACCAACTTTGGAGACAAAGCCTTCGGTTTAACAAAGAGGTCATCATGCAAGGCAAGCAGCGCCAGCTGGATGTACACAGAACCTTTTACGTCCCAACTTTGTTTTTTTCACACCGATGCCTAATTTGTTTTTTCATTGCAAAGGGCTGAAGTCCTGAACTCAGGTGCCAAGCAACAAGGCCACCTGATATCCCGGAGTGATTTTGTTCCAGAAGCCAGGAAGTCTATCACGGCAGTAACAAGTACTTGGAGTTCAGGAGAAGCAGGACCATTGGGATTGTGTGTGCCAGATGGATTTGTCAAACAGGAAGTTATGGACCAATGGAATGCAAAGCACGAAGGTCGTGCTTTTATGTTCCAAAGCCAAAGTACGTCGCACTTCATGTGCAGTGAGACGTGGCTGGTGCTTCTCCACGGCCTGATCGCGCCAGCATTGGCACTCCAAAGAAAGAAACTTGGAGTAGCCAGCTCCACACCTGCGCTCCTCCTTGCAGATGGTTGGACGGGATTCCATTCGCATAAGACTGGGCTAGATGCTGCAAGGGAGGCTTGGAGCCGCCAGTCGCATTGCTATCTGCCGGCAGTGCAGGCCCGATCGGGTCACACATGCTGTGTCATGATGTATGTTGATGGTATGCCATACGCGGTTTTAGCTTCCTGACATTTTTTCTGGCAATCAAATCCTAAGTCATCAGGTCGCTAGCATCATGTGGCAAACAACATGTGAAGCAGCATGAAGCAGCTGGTTTATTACATCCGCCTTACGCGGGGAAATGCGCAGAGACAAAATATGTATGTATTATATATGTGTTTTCTTTCAAGCAGATGGTTTTCAACCCTGACGCACAGACAGATATTGCATACGTGGACAGGTACAAGTCCCATGTCATGAGAAGTAAACCGCTTCTGGCCAGGCAGGTGGCTTCAGTGCCAACGGGCAGCCAATCGATCAAGTACATCACCTATTGCGGGCACGCCTTGAGCTTGTGGATGCCGAAGATGTTTCTTGTGAGAGTGACTTAAGGCAGCGCCCTCGCTCTTTGGCCTAGATTTGGCAGACCTTGTTTGATTTTTCTTGGCCCAGACAAGGGCCAATGACTTAGGATCAAGCTACTGTTGGACATTTTGATATCGAGTTATGGCAGTTATGGCCACGGCCCATGTTTTCTGGTATGTTTCTCACAAGACACAACACCACACGCCCTTAATCCTATGTCATCATGTACGCATGCAGGTTACTCTGACATGCCTATTGCTCCATCGGGCCAGCCTGTTCGACCACCTGCCTACAACAAGGCAACACTTCCCGACAGAACGCTGCGCGCCTGGTTGTCCATCCCAAGGTCTGCCTTTGTGGCTTCTTGGGTGGTCACCGGGTACTTCAAATCTGATCACTTTCCTGAAAACGTTGGCCTCACACCAGCAGAAGCTCGAGAACTCCTGGACAGCACCGGCATGCTGCGGTCTTTGGGCATCCAGTCAGACATTGTTGGGCCGCTGCCGCAGTTGGACAGGCAAAATGCAACCACTGTCGCATGATGACATAGGAACAGTGGTTCCACCCATGGCAACAGAGTTGTTGACATTCCTTTCCAATAATAACTGAATGATATAGAGGTATGTATCGAGATATTAAAAGGCAGTGTCACGTGTAGATTGATGACATACTATGTTGGCGGTTTGTACTTGCTGAACTTTAAGTTGTTTATAAGTTGCTTATAAGTATGTTGTACTATGGTTGTACTAACTACAACTTCGATAAGTATACTTACGGGAAGCATGAAGTTAGGGTAAGTTATAAGATAGATCCTGTAGATATAACAACATATAAGTAGTTATAACTAAAATAAGTTCTCAGGTGGTTTTTCCTTTTCTCAAAAAATGCAAAAGTGAAAAACTTATATAAGTTATGAAAACTTATTTTTTTTTGCTGCAAAAATCCTAAACTTGAAAATTATACAATTTTTCTTTGTTTTTCTGTCAAATTTTCGATATAGCACGTGAAAAATCAATATCTTCGCGTTGCTCACTGGATCTGATGCGCAGCTTCTGTTTGCATTTGTTGTTTCATTTTGGTGGCGCAAAGCATTGCGGAAACGATTTTCCGCAGGAAAGTGTGTCACATGCTGCTAGCCTAGATTTTTCAATTCAATAATAGCTCATGTTTCATCATCCATGCATCTTAATGTATCTTAATGTATCTTTAGGTATCTTTATGTATCTTTATGTATCTTTCGAAACCGGTTGAAAAGATACATAAAGATACGTAAAGATACGTACGTATCTTCCGGAACGGTTTTGAAAGATACATAAAGATACGTAAAGATACGTACGTATCTTCCGGAACGGTTTTGAAAGATACATAAAGATACGTAAAGATACGTCAGAAACAAAAAGATACATAAAGATACATAAAGATACGTAAAGATACATAAAGATACAAAAAGATACATAAAAAAAAACTATAGCAAACTCTACAAGATTACATACGTCACCTCGTTGCCACAGTTAGCGTCCTTAAAAAAGCATTGTTTTTTTTCTCATATGTGCCTTGTTTGAAAGCAATGCCTGGCTACAGCGCGGTCCTCTGGACCGCGTGGTTGCAGTCCTCTGGGTCGCAAAGATGCGGTCCTCTGGACCGCAAAGCTTCCAAACACGCGAAACTTGATGCAAAACAATGAAAAATGTTAAACACCAAAATTTTGAAAACCTAAAAACTTATATAAGTTATAACAACTTATTTAAACTTATCGAAGTTATGGAACATAGTTGTTTTCAAGGAAAACATAACTTCCATAACTTTGATAAGTTCACTTATATGTGCTACAACTGCTATAACTACCACAACTTACTTATAACTTCCGCAAGTACGAACTGCCAATATAGTAGGCATGTCTGCATCTTGGAGGTGGTACTGGTCTCTACGCATGCCTTGTGGGACGATAGCTCCATTGCCGAGCATCATCGCGCGCGCCGTAGAGAAGTGCATATGCAATCATCGCAGAGAGCGAAGGGTGTACTTCGAGAAGAAACCTACGGGTTGGGAAAATAAGCTTGCATCTGCCAATGCCCGTGTGATGACGATCGTGTACAACATCAAGCAGGGTTGTCTTGCTACTGCCAGGTTCTTGCGCAAGCACACGACGCAAATCAACGGGAAGACTGAGTTTGCTTCAACAGGAAGAAGCCACCAGCTTCTGAGGATCCATTTCGAAAGTGATGATGCAGCTGACCCCGCAGGAGCGGGTACATACTTTCTCTCCAGCAAGAACTTTGAGAAGAAACCTATATGTTGTGTGTCGACGACGGCGCAGCGCACTGGGTTCGACCTTCTCCGGGAGCACTATGCTGGACAGAGTTTCGTTTGCGTGTTTGCTCAAGTTGCCACCTTGGTTCACGCAGATAGTTTTTTGGCTTGCTGGCAGCCTGGCAGTTCCAGTCAGTGGCTTATGAGATAGGAGTATACTTACGGCATTATTCAGCCAAGTTTTTTTGATATCAATTATCAATTATATATCATGAATCATGACATAGGATTTAGGAGGTGCAGACAAACATTCGGTTTTGTCTGAATGTAGCTGGTTTGGCTTCACAAACACATGAGATAGGACTAAAGGCCCACAGCCGACAGAGCCCTGCAGGAGATGATGAAGCAAGCTCTTCGGATGAGAAATGCTCTGCAGAGGTTGGTGACCAAGAAGATCCGAATGTGCCAGAGGACGAAGAGAACGGAGATGGCATCATGGTCCCTGCGGACATCGAGCTCCAGCAGAACCTTTTTGATGAGGGGATCGACGATGATAGCTCATCGGCCACGTCAAGCTTGGAGGAATACACTGGAGATGTGCATGCCCTAGAGTTGGCTGAGCACGACGAGCTGCAGGAAAGTGCAGAAGGTGCCAAACCAGCAGGGCTTGCCAGCGCGGCTTCACACACGAAGCTATACCACCTTTCAGCAGAATGGAAGCACTTGGAGACTTTGGGCGGCTTTCTGACGAGAATTCCGCCCGTGATTGGAGCGGGCCTTGGCAGGCACCCCGCCGGTTCCTTCTGGAGTGCAAGGTATCCAGCTTTCCCCATCAACACAGCAAGCTGGACAGAGATGCGATCCCCATTCAGATGCCTTGTTTTGTGCATGGTGCGCCTCGTAACTCTTTACTTGCAAGAGAAGCCTGTGGACAGTGAAAGTTGGCAGGCCCAGCTTGCTGAATTGAAAGCGTTTTTGTGAGCTATGGCCAAGACTGAGAACGCACGTTCCTAAGTCATCACAGTTTCACCTGTTGAGAGTTTAGGGTTGAGAACAGATAGAAAGATATATATATATATATAGATATAGATATAGACATAGATATACATTTAAATATACTACTGGCAGATGACTTAGGCACAAGCGACTCCATTACCATTTATGCATTTGCAACCTTCTCTCTAGGTTCAAGTGCGACTGTTTTGACCACAGCTCAACGCGGTGCATTTTGCACTGACAAACCAGTGATGCATCTTCCTGGCTCAAGAGGAGCTGGATGACTTAGGCATTTTAAACAACGAGCAAGCTGGACAGAGATGAGTTTTCATTTTGATGCCTTGTTTTGTTGTGCATGGTGTGCCCCATTACTCTTTACTTGCAAAGGAAGCCTGCGAACATTGAAAGTTGGCAGGCCCAGCTTACTGAATTGAAAGCGTTTTTGTGAGCTATGGCCAAGACTGAGAACGCACGTTCCTAAGTCATCACAGTTTCACCTGTTGAGAGTTTAGGGTTGAGAACAGATAAATATATATATATATAGATATAGATGTAGATATACATATAAATATACTACTGGCAGATGACTTAGGCACAAGCGACTCCATTATATACTAGGTTCAAGTGCGACTGTTTTGACCACAGCTCAAAACTGTGCATTTTGCACTGACAAACCAGTGATGCATCTTCCTGGCTCAAGAGGAGCTGGATGACTTAGGCATTTTAAACAACGAGCAAGCTGGACAGAGATGAGTTTTCATTTTGATGCCTTGTTTTGTTGTGCATGGTGTGCCCCATTACTCTTTACTTGCAAAGGAAGCCTGCGAACATTGAAAGTTGGCAGGCCCAGCTTACTGAATTGAAAGCGTTTTTGTGAGCTATGGCCAAGACTGAGAACGCACGTTCCTAAGTCATCACAGTTTCACCTGTTGAGTGTTTAGGCTTAGGGGTGAGAACAGATAGATAGATAGATAGATAGATAGATAGATATATATATATATTCTAGGGATTTTTCAAATACCCCCTCGCAGTACACCCTACAATCTCCCTAATTAGTGCCATTTAGCTTTATTTCTCACGAAGTCGCTCGACCACGCTCGAATTCGATCGAACTAATGGGTATGATGACTGTATTTTGGGAGCCAAATTGCTGGGCCATATCATGCCGGCCCCGCTTTCCTGCTTCTCTCACGTGAGCCACCGTTCTTTGCCAGCGGCTGCTACCAGGTTATAGCTCAACAAGTACACAAGGACACTTGGAAGTGGCGGAATACGCCCTGAGCCCGACATATCCATTGATGTGTTGGATTTATCGCCAAATAAAGAGAAAAGAAGGTGTAATCTCAGGGCGTATCTCAGAAACTCCCAGATATATATATATATATAGATATAGACATAGATATACATTTAAATATACTACTGGCAGATGACTTAGGCACAAGCGACTCCATTACCATTTATGCATTTGCAACCTTCTCTCTAGGTTCAAGTGCGACTGTTTTGACCACAGCTCAGCACGGTGCATTTTGCACTGACAAACCGTTGATGCATCTTCCTGGCTCAAAAAGAGCTGGATGACTTAGACATTTTAGTGGATGAACAAAAAAAAGGTGGAGCTGGATGACTTAGGCAGCTTTAACAGGTTAAAAGTAAGGGATGTCCTAAGTCATCATGTTTTGATATCTTGGAAAGGGGGTGGGGCACATGTTTTCCCAGTCTCTTGAAGGTATCTTGTTCCTATCTCTCGCGTTTTTTTCAGGTGTCTTCCGGGTGTTCGGTGAACTGCGTGTTGTAAAGACTACATGACTTAGGCCACTTTCATATAGTTCTTCTTATGTCATTGGGCCCTCTTGGGCCTAAGTCATCTGCCGGTAGTATAATCGATTGAATAAGGAAAAAACTCCTGGTCAAAGTTGCCAATCTGGCTACTTGCTGCCATGATGATTGTGATGTACTATTGGAAGTTTGGGAACCCTGCGCAAATGCTATGTTAGTAGTCGCCTTGGGCTCACAACCTTTCCGCCAACGCCCGCGCGCGCGTTAGCGGAAAACAACTCGGCCAGGCCCGAGGACTTCGACCCCAAAACGGGGAAGACACAACGGGGAAAGAGTAGTCCTCGGGCCTGGCCGAGTTGTTTTCCGCTAACGCGCGCGCGGGCGTTGGCGGAAAGGTTGTGAGCCCAAGGCGACTACTAACATAGCATTTGCGCAGGGTTCCCAAACTTCCAATAGTACATCACAATCATCATGGCAGCAAGTAGCCAGATTGGCAACTTTGACCAGGAGTTTTTTTCCTTATTCAATCGATTATATAAAATTGTTGATTTTGAAGCTTTTTTGGGTCCAGTAAGGGTGAGCCCCAGGAAGACATCCAAAAACAGTTGTGCCAGTCACGATTTTCAATCCAAAACCAAAGCTTTGGCAACAGGACTACTAACATAGCGTTTATCAGCCTTTCCACCAATATATGGTTCCAAAAACATTCAATCGTACTTCATAGTAGCAAGTAGCGAGATTGGCAACATCGACCAGGAGTTTTTTCCTTATTCAATCTATTATATAAAATTGTTGATTTTGAAGCTTTTTTGGGCCCAGTAAGGGTGAGCCCCAGGAAGACATCCAAAAACACTTGTGCCAGTCATGATTTTCAATCCAAAACCAAAGCTTTGGCAACAGGACTACTAACATAGCATTCGCGCAGGGTTCCCAAAACCTCCAATAGTACATCATAACCATCACCCTTACTGGACCCAAAAAAGCTTCAAAATCAACAAGTTTATATAATAGATTGAATAATTAATGAAAAAGCTCCTGGTCGATGTTGCCAATCTCGCTACTTGCTACTATGAAGTACGATTAAATGTTTTTGGAGCCATATATTGGTGGAAAGGCTGATGAACGCGCGCACAAACGAACGCTAACAAAGCAGTTCCCGATTGAACCTACTTGATGCTTCACACGCGCCAAGTTAGCACCAAAATGCCCATGTCACACCATGCGTTCCCAACGCCAAGTTAGTTGAATCTCAGCCCCAAAACCCAAACACTAACATAGCAAAAAAAATAAAAAATAAAAAAAAACTTTCAACAGGTAAGATTTCACGAGAGTAGTAAATGCAACTTGTTTTTGGAATGCACCCCCAATCTTCCTGCCCACCTCCGAGCATCATCTATGATGCGCTCTTCCGGAAGGAGTTGGGACCCCTTTTTTCTCCACCGTTTTGATATCAATGCAGTCTTTGATTTGAGCCCTATTGGGGTCTGGAAATAAAGATGCTGGGGCGTCCGGGGCGGTAGTCTTCTGGCAGTTTCCCGGGAACCCCCAGAGGGGGTGACAACTTTTCCACTAACATGTCCATTCTGGACTTTCAACTAACATGTCTCAAGTGTGGGGCATTTATCATAGCCTATGTTCACAGCAGCTAACGTATCCAAAAAAACACCAAAAAAAAGTGGATACGTGTCTCGGGCTACCGTTTCAGGTATCAACTAACATGTCCACTCTGTACCAGCGTTTTCCTGGATTTCCTGGGGAATGCATTGCAACTTTTTTGGGGACCATTGACCCAAAAAACAGCTAACATGTCTCAGTTCCTGCAATTGGGGCCCTTGGATTTCGACCCTGATCTGGGATATGTTCGCTATTTTGGGGGGATAGATTCAGCCAATAACCACTCACATATCTCAAAACCACATCCTCTGAACAACACGGACACGTTAAGTGGACGCTTTCCATGGCTAGTCATCCAACCCTTAGTAAATGCAACTTGTTTTTGGAATGCACCCCCAATCTTCCTGCCCACCCACGAGCATCATCTATGATGCGCTCTTCCGGAAGGAGTTGGGACCCCTTTTTTCTCCACCGTTTTGTTATCAATGCAGTCTTTGATTTGAGCCCTATTGGGGTCTGGAAATAAAGATGCTGGGGCGTCCGGGGCGGTAGTCTTCTGGCAGTTTCCCGGGAACCCCCAGAGGGGGTGACAACTTTTCCACTAACATGTCCATTCTGGATTTTCAACTAACATGTCTCAAGTATGGGGCATTTATCATAGCCTATGTTCACAGCAGCTAACGTATCCAAAAAAAACAAAAAAAGTGGATACGTGTCTCGGGCTACCGTTTCAGGTATCAACTAACATGTCCACTCTGTACCGGCGTTTTCTTGGATTTCCTGGGGAATGCATTGCAACTTTTTTTGGGACCATTGACCCAAAAACAGCTAACATGTCTCAGTTCCTGCAATTGGGGCCCTTGGATTTCGACCCTGATCTGGGATATGTTCGCTATTTTGGGGGGATAGATTCAGCCAATAACCACTCACATATCTCAAAACCACATCCTCTGAACAACACGGACACGTTAGGTGGACGCTTTCCATGGCCAGTCATCCAACCCTTAGTAAATGCAAATGGTTTTTGGAATGCACCCCCAATCTTCCTGCCCACCCACGGGCATCATCTATGATGCGCTCTTCCGGAAGGAGTTGGGACCCCTTTTTTCTCCACCGTTTTGTTATCAATGCAGTCTTTGATTTGAGCCCTATTGGGGTCTGGAAATAAAGATGCTGGGGCGTCCGGGGCGGTAGTCTTCTGGCAGTTTCCCGGGAACCCCCAGAGGGGGGAACAACTTTTCCACTAACATGTCCATTCTGGATTTTCAACTAACATGTCTCTAGTATAGGGCATTTATCATAGCCTATGTTCACAGCAGCTAACGTATCCAAAAAAACTTTTTTCCACAAAAAAGTGGATACGTGTCTCGGGCTACCGTTTCAGGTATCAACTAACATGTCCACTCTGTACCGGCGTTTTCTTGGATTTCCTGGGGAATGCATTGCAACTTTTTTTGGGACCATTGACCCAAAAACAGCTAACATGTCTCAGTTCCTGCAATTGGGGCCCTTGGATTTCGACCCTGATCTGGGATATGTTCGCTATTTTGGGGGGATAGATTCAGCCAATAACCACTCACATATCTCAAAACCACATCCTCTGAACAACACGGACACGTTAGGTGGACGCTTTCCATGGCCAGTCATCCAACCCTTAGTAAATGCAACTGGTTTTTGGAATGCACCCCCAATCTTCCTGCCCACCCACGAGCATCATCTATGATGCGCTCTTCCGGAAGGAGTTGGGACCCCTTTTTTCTCCACCGTTTTGTTACCAATGCGGTCTTTGATTTGAGCCCTATTGGGGTCTGGAAATAAAGATGCTGGGGCGTCCGGGGCGGTAGTCTTCTGGCAGTTTCCCGGGAACCCCCAGAGGGGGGAACAACTTTTCCACTAACATGTCCATTCTGGATTTTCAACTAACATGTCTCAAGTATAGGGCATTTATCATAGCCTATGTTCACAGCAGCTAACGTATCCAAAAAAAATATTTTCCACAAAAAAAATGGATACGTTTGTTCCCTAGAGAGTAGTGGATTTTCCCATTAAAAATGGTGGATCTTTCCATAGTTATGTTAGTTTACCAGAGGGTATATATGGTAACATGGATCCCATCAATATACCCCAGTCATGTTAGCATATATACCAGCACCATGGATCCTATGTGTATGGTTTCTATTGGGAAAATGATCTACGAATGGTCAGTTTGGCAAATCTAATTATGTTGCTTACAGGAGGCTAGATACGAAAAATACTATAAAATTCTAGAAGAAACCATAAGAAACCTATGTGTGGATTCATTGATGTCATTGATGCAATCTGTTTCAGCTATGGCCAGATGGTTCATGATTTTTGTACCCTGAACATCCTTGAACCTTGGATGCGAGAGAAGATTCTAGGTTCTAGCACACAAAAATCAAGTTGGAGGTCTCAAGTTCTCACCCACTCAGAATTCCATCAAAATGGCCGATGAGTACAGAATGATTGCAGCCGCAAACTCAACCGTCACCGGCCCTGTTGCGGGTGAAACCAAACTCGGATGGCACCCAAGAAGCGACCGGCAGCGAAGATCGAATCGAAGATCTCCATCACTGGTGGGAGCTACATTGAGGACCGATGAAATCAGTGGTTCAATGAGCCCACCATCCAGCAATATGGAGGTTTCCTAAAATCCAACATATCCTAAATTAGATAATTTTTTAACTTGAGACCCATGGTTTGGGCGTAATTTCCTTTTTCAAAACTGCCATATCTCGAATTCATTGCAAGTTGAGGTTTTGAAGCGAAGTAGAATGGACTTTGAGAGGACATTGTTGATGATAATGTTGATGCATTTTCTGCAAAAAAGTCACAGGAACATGGTCTCAAAGAATTGCTGGAGAAAGTCTTATCCGAGATTGAGGAGAAAAAGCCCAGTGTGCCTAGGCCGATTTCGGCCGAAGTTTTGTTGTATCGAAATTTGGGGATCCAACTGGCGAAAAAAAATGGCGACCCAAATGTGGGGGTCGCGGCACGCTTCAGTCCCGTTTGGGGTTTGATGGTGGTTTAGCATATTTTAGTATTCCTGCCCTTTTGGTGTCGAATCATTTCATGTTCCATAGCATTTAAGATTGTTTTGATTTGTTTTGTCAATAAATACACTATACACGCACCCTGCCGTTCTGATATGTAAAGTAGTGAAGGCTTCCCTGATTGGTCAAAGGTCTACTGTATATTGCTTTGTTCCAAGGTTTCGGTTTCGTTCCAGATACAACTCCAATCTACGCCAATCTTTACAGTAGGTAGTGAAAGGCGTGCCTGTTGCATGTTTGGCCTGATTTCCTTGGGGAGCAAGAATCAGTAGTCGAGATATCCGAAATTGTTTTAGCTGCTTGTTGGTCACTTTTGCTGGCAAATCGCGTGTTTTGGGTTTCAATGCTTTTTGCTGGAACTTTTTTTTTTGGGTGAGGAAACAATAGTTTGTATCAAAAAGATTCAAAAAGCAAATAGATATTCCCATATGCTCCATGTATGGTATATTTACCTACATTTTGGTGATTTTTAGGGCAAATGTTGGTAAATATTCCATACATGGATCCTATGGGATTGATATGGAAGCTACATTTTGCATAATTCTCCGACATTCCCTGAAGTTATTCCAACTGAAAATAAACTGAGGATCCATTGAAGGCCCTACACACTTTGCTAGAAGAGACATGTGGAGCAAAGAAAGTCAAGAAGGACACGGCACTTAAGCAGTTGCTTTTTATCATCTTGTTGGTGGTTTGGAACATGGCTGGATTATTTTCCATTTCATATATGGGATGTCATCCTTCCCATTGACTTTCATATTTTTCAAGATGGTTAAAACCACCAACCAGTCATGGATATGCTGTGCTTTTCTCAACTGGGTGGTTGAGTATAAGAGGTGGAACACTCCCCATTGAACAACTAATAGCCAAGAAATGGCATGGCCAAGGGTTTGCCAAGCTGGCATTTGTTTCTTTTCTTCACGGACATCACTGCTCCAGCACCCGTAATGCACTCGACAGGGGAAGGGCTCAACATGAGATTGACAGACGGTTTCGCCTGTTCTGGTCGCTTATCATTTGACGCACCTCATATTTGTGTTCTATGGTTGGGTTACCCTCTGGTAATTTAACATAGCTATTGAAAATGGCCATAGAAATAGTGGATTTACCCACTGAAAATGGTGGATCTTTCCATAGCTATGTTAGTAAAATCGCTTATTTTCCTATGTTCAACCCTCCATTTGGGATGAGCCCTGGAATGGAGGCATTTTTTGGGACCCACGAATGGAGGCAACTAGTAACTAGATGTAACTAGTAGTTGCGTGGTAGAAGTCCATTTTATGGAAGTCCAGATTATCCTTTGCGAACCAAACAGGGAGCCAGAGAGTTGAGAAAGTTTGGTGTAATCGACCGACATAGTGGATTTCAAATAATAATTGAGAGAGCGAGAGAGACTTCTAGTATTTTTCTGTACAAAAGTAGCACCAACATGTTCCCCCAAAAGGACCCACGCGTTGGTAAAAAAAATCCATGTATGGAGAAAAGCAATGATCCGCAGTGAAATAGATATTTACCGTTATTTACCATTATGAAATATATGAAATCTACTAATGAAATCTAATTTCTCATATTAGTTGATATTAGTTGTAGAGTAAACTACATGAAACTACCAGGTATTGCCATGGTGCTGCTGCGTCACATCAGCAGCAGCAGGACTCTGCCTCTTGGACCGCCTTTCCTTCGCCGGGCGAAGCCGTGTGGCGCCAGGAAGCACAGGCGATGGAGCTGTCAGAACTGTCCCATATCGATGATTATCAATAATAATAGCAAGGACTATCATCATCAATCATCTACATTGTAGCAATAACCTTGTTATATACTTGTCATATTATTTATTATTGTTTATTCTTGTATAACAATGGTAATATAATCATAGCAATACCAACGATAGTGTTGGCAATTAATAATAACAATAGTACAATTGATCAACATAGGAATGATGGAATGATAGTAAAGGTGACATTATGGTAATAATCATGATCATACGTGGAATAGCAATGGTGACAATAATGCTACCAAAAACAATAATGATTGTAGTACTTAATCAGATAGTTAATGATAATGATAATAAGTAAGAATAGTAATTACAATCATGATGATAACAATCATTATCATAATGACAATGATAATGATGTTTATATTAATATTTTTAATTATGTTCGTACATATGGCTCTTTATTTTCCTTGGGGAAATCATGGGAATGACATGGGAAAACATCAGACAATTATATGCGGAACATGGGTCGGTTGAGCTGACCAGAGCTACGTTTGCAGGACCCGCGGACCAGCTTTCAGCTGATTTCTGTCAAACGTTTGCTGTACATCCGAATGCATCGATTGGAGTCCAAGTGACCATTGGCAGGACAGTTTTGGTATTGATCACCATTTCAAAACTTCGGGATGTCGGCCATGTTTTGCAAAAACCATCCAATAATATCTATAATATTCTATAATGATATGTATGAACAATGGCCTAAGATATTCCCACCTGATACATTGGCTACACCTGGTGTTTGGATGTTTTTGGGTAGGGCTACGGGGAGAGGGATCAAAAAAAAACAAATAGGGATCAAAAAAAGACAAATAAGGATCAAAAAAAAACAAATAGGGATCAAAAAAAAAACAAATTTGAAACTAAAGGAGGAGAAGGAAGGAAGGAAGGAAGGAAGGAAGGAAGGAAGGCAGGCAGGAAGGAAGGAAGGAAGGAAGGAAGAAAGAAAGAAAGAAAGAAGTAACCTTCTCTTGAAAAATGAAAGGAAAGCTTCCTTCTCTTGACCCCCCCACCCGCTTTTATTTTTTAGCCGGCTCCCCTTGCTACCTACTATTCTTTTTTTTCCCAAGCATCATCGTTGTTTATTTGGGTTCATTTAATCTTGATTGATATCCATCGCGACTTGTGCCTATGTACTTCTTTCTTGGTACGCATTGCGGGGGGAGGCGCTGCGCCCTCCCCCCTGCACCCCCACCCGCTTTTTTTTAAATCGGTTCCCCTTGCTACCTACTATTCTTTTTGTTTTTCATAAGCATCACCGGTTATTTGGGTTCATTTTATCTTGATTGATATCCATCGAGATTTGTGCCTATGTACTTCTTTCTTGGTACGCATTGCGGGGGGAGGCGCTGCGCCCTCCCCCCTGCACCCCCCCACCCGCTTTTATTTTTTAATCGACTTCCCTTGCTACCTACTCTCTTTCTTTTTTTTCATATGTATCGTTTCTTTGGGTTCATCTTCTCTTTCTTAATCTTTATTTATATCCATCGAGACTTGAGCCTGTGTGCTTCTTTCTTGGTACGCATTGCGGGGGGAGGCGCTGCGCCCTCCTCTCTGCACCCCCCCACCCGCTTTTATTTTTTCATCAGCTTCCCTTGCTACCTACTCTATTTCTTTTTTTTCGCAAGCATCGTTTATTTGGGTTTATTTTTTATATAATATGTTCATTCTTGCTGCTGCTGCTACTACTGCTACTACTACTGCTACTGCTACTACTACTACTACCACTACCATTACTACTCCTACTACTACTACTGCTACTACTGCTACTACTGCTACTACTACTACTACCACCATTACTACTACTACTACTACTACTGCTGCTACTACTACTACTACTAGTACTACTAGTACTACTAGTACTACTACTAGTACTACTACTACTACTACTACTACTACTACCACCATTACTACTACTACTACTACTGCTACTACTACTACTACAACTACTACTACTACTACTTCTACTACAACTACATTTTTTGTTTTTTTTTTGATCCTTATTTGTTTTTTTTTGATCCTTATTTGTTTTTTTTTTGATCCTCTAGCCAGGGCTACGCCCCTGCCTGAAATGTAATGATCCTTGCCGGTCTGGGTGTGGGGATAACCCAAATATCAGACAAACATGGTGATATGCACAAAAATCAAAACAAGAAAAATATGCAGAGAGACACACACACTCACATGATGCAATTCTGGCATATGTGTAGGTTTGATGAAGGATTATATAATACGTGGTAATAAGTGTATTTATTCAATTTTATTTTCATATGCAATGTATTGAAACAATATACCGCTTCAGGAACGTGAAACCTCCAAGATATCGCTCCTCATGGCAGGCCAGAGCCCGCCTAGTCATGGAGGGCACCTTCCCTGGCAAGGCTGAGATCGTTTGCAACGGCCACGAGCCACGGAGATTCCCGGTGGATCCCAAGGATACGGCTCTGGAGACTTGGGCCAAACATCGAAGATGCCATAATTATGATATAATATGTCCATATATAGTCCAGCATGTCATCCATCTATGTCATTATATTGTACGTATATACGTATAATATAGTATATATATATATATACATATATATATATATACACATATCTTATTATTATACTGTACTTGTATTAGATTATATTACCGTATATTTTATTATGTGACATTTTCTTCCGTTGCGCCAAGCTCTGCCCTGAGGTCCTGATCGACATGCAGTGGGACTTCTTGGAGCCCACGGGCCGCGTCGGTCAGCACTATTCAGACCTCACATCGGCATCTCAGCCGCGGCAGTGGAGAACTTATCCATAGGAAAGATGGTGATTTGTTGCCAACATATTGATGGTAGTAGAATATGCGGATATCATAGGATAATATCTATATTATCCTATGTGTATATATATGTACATATATATATAATACATGTAATAACTATTGGCATTAATCATCCTATAATCACGGGATATGAACTGGATATTAATCCTATATATATATATATGTACATATATGCACATATGGAGGTTTCTTGAAATTGGGGTAACTCCGATTTTTATCCAAGTCATGGATGACCATGACTTAATATTGAAGCTATACATAGAAAGCGTTTGATCCAGTTTCGTTTGGCACTTGCACTTATTACAGGTGTACGTATTAACATATTAATTTGCATTCATTTGCACAACAATGACATGCACTGGAAGGTTGATGAGATTTTCGTAAGAAACCATTGGCTATAAACAGATTAAACAGGTCCCATGATGTGGACTGCGTCGCCATGACTGAAATCCTGTCTCACTTAAATTGGATGGGCTTGTCAAGTGCCAAACAAATCAGTAGACTTACCAGGATTTATGGCAGATATTATATTTATATAAGTTTTTGGGTACTAAATCGACATGAATTTTCTGAACTCAAGACTACTTCTGGGCACTTGCTGTTGGCAACATACCCTCGCATCCCATTCCGCCAGGTGCGTTCCGGCATGGACGGCTGTGAGAAACTCTTGGAACTCTGTCGCGAGAACGGCTTCACCATTGCACACAGCCGGTCCCATCGCTATGGAACACTGGTGAAATCAGAGTTGGTCCCTAGGCTGGATGATGCTGGATGGATCTAATCGAATCTAATCCCTTCCCCCTAATATTACCACAGTAAACACCCCCAAACGAAACCATGCTTTAGCAGGGAATTTCCACAGAATTGAGACCTTTTTTAGTGGGCCGTTTTCATATTAGGGGATGGGATCTACTTGAAGGATCATTGCCACATTCCGGTGACATCATTGGGATGATGTTTAGTAAGGGGAATCATCCCCAAATGACCGATCTTTTCAGGTTGGTACCCTCTGGTTATGTCAAAATAGCTATTAAAATGGCTATTGATAGTGGATTTACCCATTAAAAATGGTGATTTTCCATAGTTATGTTAGTTTACCAGAGGGTAATTTCTAAGTTCATCCAGAGAAATGGCATTTGACAAAGATGAAGTCCAGCTGCCCCGGCCCCGGCGTTGATTTCCGTGCGTCCACGATGTTACACCTGAACGGTTTTTATGTTTGCGCCAGCACATATGCATCCTTCTGTTTGTTGGTACATATGAATGAGATGACACCCTGGGGCACCCCCAACAAGATAGGGAGATTGGGTAGTTGTGTGGGTTGATCGATGCCAATTTTTGGGCGCCAAATCCATTGCTTTCCCAACTTTACCCCTCACGAAAAACGAATAACTTGCATGATAATTGTGGGTCCATTTTGAGAAACCCTCATATCCATTCATATCCCAAAAAACCGGTCGTTCTCCCTATAACTTGGTTCAGAAATCCCATTCACTACGGGCATATCTACCGTGAAACATCATGAAACATCATGAAAGCAAGGTGGGCACAGATGATGAAGGCTATGAGCTCCATCCCCGCTTCCCATCCCCGCTTCCGTGCACGAGAGGGGGAGATCGTCGTGGCTCGCTTTGAATGATGGGTTTTTGCATTTAAGGAATCTCCAAAGATGGTGTTTGTTTGCTTGTGTTTTTCTGATGTTTGATTTGTATACAATTCTTTGCCCATCTTTGCCCATATGTCTTTATTTGTTTGTTTTTAGGAATTGAATATAACTAACTAGATATGATTACCGTTGAATCATGTGCCAGTTGCATGAATGGGGAATGAAAGTCATGAAAGCAGATGCTTTTGATGACCCAACTATTTACTGAACTGGATGCACATTCCTGAAACAATATTCCACTTGCATGACCTTGCGTAGCACTCCTACTTGCTGTTGGCTCAACTATAATGGATATATCTAGCAAGAAACACATTGTCACTCATTGATTGTGTATTATATTGTGACTTTATATATGTACTGTTATAGTGTTTCATGTGCATCATAACAATGACACTTTCAGCAATGGTACATTCAAACAAGTGGTGGGTCATGCAGCCGAGCCAAGGTAGATAAGTGGACCTATGGTGCCTTTGCATCCACCCACTTGGAAAGGGAGCTCATGGCTCGCGGCGTGAAACGAATTTTGTTGTGCGCCTTGGCAGGCAGCAAGGATTTGGAACTTGAAGTTTGTAGACCTAGGCCTAGGTGATTCATTTATTTGCATGAATTCAGTATATGTTTATTGATGATAAAAGATATGTTTGAGTTTAAGGATAAGTGTTCATGATAGGTGATGCATTTTTCAATGCAGGAACACATGCACTGATTCTTAAAATGGTCAGCGTCAGCTGTGAAGGCCTCCTTGGCCGCTCAGGTGGTGTGTTGACCAACGTTTGTGTTTTTGCGACCGCATCACAAGCCGTGGATCGCCTCATTTCGGTGTGTTTGGTGGAAGACGCGTGTGCTGCCTTCAGCTTTGATTGGCATAAGACCCTCGGTTCGGCAATCGCCGGGAGCTAGTGACATCTCAAAACCAGGCGCCATATGGCACCATAATCGGCCGATGTTTATTTGGTGGTTTCACAAAAAAGGTTTCAGTATTGTTTCAGTTCTCTCTGAAAAATGAAACAACATGATCCCAGTTGACTGCCTCGTTTCGTTTGGGGATGGATGGTTTAACCACCAGAAACCTTGGATATCCGCGAGGATCCGCGCAGATCACTTCCCAAGCTCGTCCCAAGCCCAAGCCAGTGTCACCATGACGACGACGTGCATCCCATACGAAGTGCTTTACAACCAAGAAATGCATACAATTGAATAAATAGAGAGAGATGTTGTGAGGGAGAGAAATGTTTCTGTGTGTAATTGTATGTAATTATAATAATTATATAGATATAGGCTAGGTATATAATGTATAGATATAGATATATATAAATTATGAATAAAGAAGTATTTATATAATATGATATAACTCACTTTGTTCACATACATATTATATGTATATATGTGTGTTTTCATAGAACTGGCGTTCTCTGCTAATCCCCCCAGGAAGGCCTTGGGCCTGATCAACGAGCCCCAAATCCAGCCGGGTCACAAGCGCGGCGTGGGGCTCTACTTCGGCGAGATCACGCAGGTGGAAAAGGTTGAGGCGGCCTTGATCCTTGGACCAATACGTTCGTGGCCGCCAGGGGCTTAACCATAGTGCCCCTATGGTTATATGGATAGTTATATATGGATTATATATGGTTGTATATGGTTATATTAACATATCCTTATACAATGATTATTTATATATATATATATATATGTATATATATATATGGTATTGTTCATATGACTATTACCATATCAATACTACCATATCAAGAACTATTTCATCAAGTTATACCAATGAATCTTAGAATATATCCTTAGACATGGATAACACCCCTTGATATACTACTGGTGTCTTTCTGGAGGGGTTATACTTGGTGTTATACCAGCCGCGTTATACCATGTGGCTATTTTTTTGTGACCTCACTGGAATGATGGTTAGTAAACATAATCATCTCCAAATGAGTTTCGTATTGTTTAGACTGCACCTGCGCCCGCGTAAGCAAAAAGTGTGGTCGGCATAGCCCTGCTTAGCCTTCGCGTAGCCTCCGCGTAGGTACCCTCAGAACCATGCTCAGCGTAGCCTACTTGTGCAGTCCGCGTAGGCTTGCGTAGCCTCTCCGCGAAGTTCCGTTTTATGCACATCCCCAAAAAAAAAGGCTCAAATGGCCTTATTCCAAGTTAGTGACATATGACAATTGACCATTAATTTACCCAGTAATTTACCCAGATACCATCATTGTTGGGGGGATTAACCATGTCTATATTGGTGGTTTATTATGCCATGGTTAAACCGTTGGACATTTGAATCTTGTTTAACCATGCTATTGTAGTTTTTCTTGACCATATCAAGTCACATTTTTTCGAAGCACCACACTGCAATCTGCATAGCTCAAATATGGCCTCCAGTCCACCAAAGTCCCAGCATCAATACCTACAAAATTCTATAAATCCATATTCAATCACCAATCAACAGGGCTATAAAAATTCATGGCTCTGGCTTGATACTGGAACCACTGGAAGGGATGATCACTGGCGATTAGAGAAAACACTGGCTATGATAGTGATGTGAAACTCCCCAAAGTTGTTGAAATTTGATGATAGGCATTGGTAGGCTAATGTTGATTTATGTTGATTTGTATACTTTGCATTTGGGTTGCGGATATTCTGGCCAAAAACTTTTGCGTATTTTCAGGATGCTGGAAATGTGTGTACAACAATAATCAACAATATGCAAGCAGACAAGTTTGTTCATTATTTAAATTAATATATATATATATATATACATACATATATTTATGATTATATACATGTAATTGTTATACATTGATGTGTGTATTTATTGATATATATATATATACATGTGTGTGTATATTTATATGTGTAGATACAGATTTTCATATGTACATTAAAACATACATATATATATATATATATTATATATGTATGGAGATACATTTATATATATAAAATACACTATTGATACATCATATCATGAGGATGTCAAGCCCCCACTCACTTTCATCACCTGCATTTGCCTTGAACATGTCCACTTTGGCAAGGAAAGACATGAAGGAGTGAGAAAACAACCTGAGGCGAAGCGGCGGGCTAGCAGCATTTGACCTTGCTGTTTTTTTTTCCATCTTTAAGATCTATACAGAATCTTTTGACGCCTTACTTCGCCTGCATCTGCGAGAAGGAAAACATGGATTCCAGACCTGAAAACAGCGCAGGATGGGATGATAGCAATGGCCTTGGTGAAACAGCGACACCTCCCAGCCACTGAGGCCTGCTCCTTGTGAAGCTGAGGAGAATCGGGGCTGGGGGTCTGATGGGATTTCCTTTCAGATTTTTGTTCGTTTGTGAGAGGGGGCATCCTATCTTTCCAAAGCCTCACAAGGAGCAGCAAAATTCATAGCCATTTTTCAGGCACATTTGTCAAGAAGGACCTGTGAACAATTGAATATTGGTTCTCTCAGCCCTGTCAATGTCGGAATTTGGTAGTCGAAGTACTGTTGGCCATTTCATCAGAACAGGCTTGGTGGGAGTGCCCAAATGAGTACTGTATGTACCGGCCGAGGAAACAGGTCAAAAGATAAGTGTTTGAACATGCCAACGGTACATTTTATAGGAAAATGATGGTAAAGCAATGAGTGTAGGGATACTCTTTTCAGACAAACCCAGATGATCATTGATTTTCCAAGCTCCACCCATCTCCAGTTGTGGCCCAGGATGTGTTCCATGCATGCTTCGATGAGACTCACAGCTGTGCCAAATGCTGCGGTCACCCAGCCTGAGTACTGCTTCCACACATCATCTCATCAGAACCAACTCAATGGGTTTTAAAATTGTTACTATAAATACTAAGTACTATGTTTTTACTGCAGGTTTACTGCATCAGAGATTGCACTAGTCCAAGACCAATCTCTGGTGATTTCTGGTGGCAATGTCCTTCCCATGAAAAATGTCATTCCGGCCGACTTCCGAGACGGAGGATGTTGGTGGAAGAGACAATATACACACTTACAGATAGACACAGATATGCATTTTATGCACCGTTTAAGATGTTTAAGTATGGATTCATGTTTCCAGGCAAACCATGGATCTTCCCATGTTTGTGTTGGTTGATCTCAGGGTCAATCTCTTCATCCCCAGTTCCATGCTACTGGAGGCTGCGATCCCACCAAAGGTCCTTCGGGCGATGCGACTTGCTGGGCAGGGGTGACCCAGTGGCAGGTTGCGAGGAGCTGTCGAAATGGAGAACTACTGGGGTCGTTCCTGCCAGATGCTCGATGAAGAGGTCTAAACATTGAAAGCCTCAAGTCCCAGGGTCCCAGACCCACAGGACCCGGGCAAACACTATCGTAGTCCTCCTGACACCAGCTTTGGTGAAGATGTTTAGAAAAAATGATGAACACCTGAAGTAAAGAAGCCTCTGGAACCTGAGGCTGGGTGGAAAAACTACAACACGCGCCTGGGAGAGAAGAGTGGGGCAGCATGTGATGTACCACTTTGAAGATGTCAAAACACAGCTCTGATTGTTGGAAACAAATAGTGTGTAATATACATATTACATATGTGTATATATATATATACTGTATATATATTATGATTATTGATGTTTCTAAATATTAATAGATAGGTCATACCTCCAACATGACCAAAAAAAAACACTCCAGCAGGTCAGGTCATCCCTCGCCATATGAGGTGCTGTGGTTTGTCCTCGCGACATTGGGCCGGTTGTGGCTGGCGAGGAGGGGATCTTTGGGCACACGAGTATTTTTCGCTGGGAGCTGAGCTATGAAGCGGACTGCCATGGAAGAGACAGCCATTGATTTGGTGATTTTAAAATATTTTAAGTGCTTCAAGATGGTGCCATGTGGGAACCCATGACTCATGACTCATGAGCTGGAGATTCTCAGGTGAAAACCGTTTGGTACTTGAAATGTGGCTCCAGTGCAGCGCTGCAAAGTAGCAGCGGAATGGTAATGTTTCCTGGCCCAGCTCAAATGAGGCTTGAGCCTCCAAGGTTGGGCAGTGCGTAAACCCAGTTCACCAGGTGTAGCCCTGGGGTCTGGAAGGTGATGGTCCTATTAGAGATCGCAATAAATTGGGATTCATCAATGAATTAAAATTCAGGGCTTGTATTTGTTTCATATTTTGTTTCAATGTTTAATGGTCATTTAATGGTCATTTAATCATCACCTTCTCTCTCGCTGTGATCTACTGAGGTGCTGCTCAATGCCATCATCGATGTGAAGAGGATCCTGGCTGCGGTGGTTGGACGCACTTCCCTGGAGACTGGGAACCCATTGGTTGCAGGCGCTCAAGTGACGCAAGTGACGCAAGTGGAGTGGTGACCCAAATGGTTCCAAATGGTTCCAACATCGCCTGGATGGTCGGAAAAGATGTCAACAATAAGACGTGCATTGGAAATTACCTAATGAATACAGTTGCATCATGTTGCATCATGTTGCATCCAATGAACACTTATAGTTGACTATCGAATCTAATCCATATATTATATGTGGGTAGAATCTATTTGTCAATCAATATGCAGATATATATACACACATACATACATACATACATACATACTTACATACATACATACATACATACATACATACACACATACACACATACACACATACACACATACACACATACACACATACACACATAATGAAATAGTGACATTTACATTGGTAGTTTTTTTTTTATGCTGGCACTGATGACAACTTGTTGGGTGGATCCTGTTGCGTAGGCTACCCGTGGCGGCCATCTTCGCACTGCGACGGGTGGGATGTCACAAGTGGAGTGCTGGCACCTGATCAGGTTGAGCTCAAAAACTTTTGGGACCCATAATTATTTCGAATTTCTTGGAAATAATCGACTAAAACTATATACTACATATAATCATATAATTATATATATAAGTATATAATGTACATATATATATGTACATTATTTTACATTATATACTTATGTCCATGTATGATTACTGTATGCATGTATCTGTGCATATATATATATCTCTCTCTCTGTGTGCCTGTGCATGTTATATATATATAAATCACAGATACATGTATATTTGACCCAATTTTTGGGCTCAGCTGAAAGTTGGCTTGCCAGTATTTTCAATTGGCGCTCAGGTTTGCATCCTGAGGGTGACGGTAGAGGAGCCTCGCGTGAAACGGAAATGGTCTCGGTATGTCCAAGCGGCCTAAAATTGGTAATGAAATGTAATTATATAACATGTTTGCCATGCACAAGAAAGTGTCTATGGAATTCAGCCCATTGAAGTTACTGTTGAACTTGAACCCGCATAAAAAAAAAAACGCATATTCCCAGACCTGTCCTTGAACATGTTCGCTGCAACCCTGACGTTGCGCCGCATCTGACTTCAGGTGGCTATGAAGATAAAGTTGATGTTATTACCCCAATCATCATATTGTTCAGAGGGGGTGGCTAATTTTAATGTGATGGTGATCATGATGTGATGATGATGATGATGATCATCATGACGTTTGTAAGTGTGGAGCAACGTCCGGGTTGTGGCGAACATGTTTTTACTGACAAGCCTCCGGCAAGGCACCGCCCACGCTGCATGCTGGAATCGTTTGGGGATATCGAGACTGTGAAGAGCCAGGCCATAGCCAGACTCATCGATGGTGACTACCCTCTGGTAAACATACCAAAAGCTATTGAACATGGCCATAGAAATAGTGGATTTTCCCATTAAAAATGGTGATTTTCCATAGTTATGTGGCAGTTTACCAGAGGGTATCCATCGGCGTCCCAACTCTTCCAGTTGTTTTGCATCGGTGCCACGTCAGATGGCTGCGTCCGATACGGGGTAGATCAGCTTGGACAGGACCCGTTTCGAGGATGGAAGAGATGTCGTGACCCTCGAATCCTTGGATTGGTCACAGGGTACAGAAAACCATGAGGTTTTACCATGTTTTACCATGAAATAATTATGATGATCATGATGATGGTTTCCAAAAAAAAAGGATGATGTTGGAATGAGTCAGCAGCCTCTCAGCCCGCAGGATGCTGCATTCTTGAAGGAAGTGCCCAGCCTCGCTGCATGCCAAGACCTTTGGACATCTTTTTGAACTAGCAAAGATAGATCTTGTTACCATTTTGTTGGCTCATTTTTACACCATGTTTTAGAGGTCTCCTTATGAACCGTCTTGGGCTTACCATGTCCTTTGTTTGCGATAGTGCTGAGGTCGTGCGCGTTGTCAGGAGATGGAGGACGACCCTCCGAGGGCACATCCCCGATTTATCCCGATTTCTAGATTCTAGATGATGCCAATTGATGTCCCGGTTGAACAATGGATGAGCGAAGGGCCATTGGCCAATCATCATGCTGCCCCTTTGAGATCCGCCAAACTCTCAGTCTCATCCGACCACAAGTTGACGATAGCTGCCCGATCGCTTGATTAATTATGCAACTCATTCTGCCATGCCATCCATGCCATCCATGCCATCCAGGAATGCAAAGTTTTTTCCTACTTTCCCGACAGCTACGTTGGCGATGCGAGACTGGAGTGTGTAACTGGGACCTGGGATCAGACATGTCGGTCCATGATCAGACATTTTTTCGCATCACGCTTCATGAACAGTTCATGAACAGTTCATGGAGCTGATGCTTTTTGTGTTCTTTTTCCTAGTCTGTTTTTGTTTTTGAGCCAAAACCACATAACGACCAGAGTGCCTTGCCGGTAGTTCTCCCATGTGCGGGTCGCAGGTGATGCCTCTGGGTGTGCTCCAATGGTGGCGAAGTCGGTGTTTGTTAAAGGCCGGTAGCACTGAGCAGCCACTGATGCTGCCAGTGGGCAATGTCAGGGCCACCCAGTGCTTTTTGTTGCGCCATTTTATGGTGGGAAACGATGACAAACCAACTTTGGGTTCTGTGGATGTTTCATCATTCTTTGGTATGATGATGATGATGATGATGATGATGATGATGATGATGATTGTATGATGGTGATGATGATTGTATGATGCCATTTGAGCCATGGCTTCTGCTTGTTTTGGATGAAGCCATGGCTGCGGACTTGTTGGAGATTTTTCGACCTGGACCTTAGGTCGCTTCTGGCAGCCGCCATTGCTCACCAGCCAGGCTGAAATTCCAGCATATTTTTAAGGTGACCGTGAGACATTTACCCTCTGGTAAACTATAAATGGTCATTTTCAATAGCTATGTTAAATTACCAGAGGGTAAGCCATGATTCATCATGACCCCAAAAAAGATAAACCGACCATTTTGCCCTGACCTTGAGAGCTGCGTGTGTGGCTTTCAGGCCGTGGCTACGATGGGCGAATGAGTCCATTTGGGATGATGTGCTAGCTGTGGTGATCACACTCAGGGGGTGGGCCATGACAGTTCCAGAATTCTGTTGGTGCTTTGAAATAATGAAGGGGGTGATATCATATTTTCATATATTTTCATATTTCTTCTGTGTTGTCCATCTTATGTAGGCTAGTAATATCATATGAATTCATATAGTAATATCATAATTATATATATGTGTGTATTCAATAATTTCATATTTTTTCGGTGTTGAAACCACCAAGTAGATGGGCATAGTTACCTTTCCATAAGGGGCCGCCATATGAGCCAAGGATGGAGACTACAGACGAGAGAAGTGCGTTACAAGGCGCCATGGCTGACAGATTCCCGTATCGTCTGCAAAATTCATCAAAAATCCTGGTGATGGCGATGGAGATAGAGAAATGACATCAACGGGAATCTGTCAGTGACAGTGCGCATGATGGAGAAATTTTGGGACCGACATTTCTAAGATTTTATCGTCAAATAGCTTGATGAAGTTGCTTTGGTGCCCAAGATTGGAAGGGGCCCAGGTTGAGCTCCATTTAGATCCATTCAGAATCTTCCAGGCAGCCTTGGCGGGTAGATCTAGATCCGGAATATATTGCCCTGACCTCATCTCTGCTGAACCTGAGAGATTTGGACCTCAGAACTCTTTAGATTGGGCTGTCAACCACAGAGTGGCCCGGCTTTGAAGATCTTGAAGCTCTACCCAGATGACAACAATTGAAACAGATTGAAACCACCAATTCAATTCTCACGCTTTGGGTCTCTTCTGGGCCTCTTTCGAGCACGGAAGGTCACCCGTGCCATGCTGTGGACAGGCCCGGTGAGCCTTTAAAAAAGTCCAAAAAATGTGCCTATTTTGCCTATCCAGTCCCAGAAATTGGCGGAATTTCTGCAGGTCAACGATGGTCGTTTCCGCCATTTTTCATCCCATGGAAACTCCGGTTTTCCCCTCAACGAATCCGATAGATCCAGGAGACTTTGCCAACATGCCTTTTCGCCAGCCCTTGACCTACATGGTAGTGCTGGTGGTGAGGGCCCCTGGAGGCAGCCCTGGGATGCTGTAAAGACATGTAAAAACCCAGCCAGTTATAGTTGGTTTATAAGACATGTCATGATCTATATAGTGATATACATCATGGGAAATAATGATATATCTATATAGTAAGACAGTAATGGGGAATAATGATGGATCATGGGAATGATTAAAAAAAAAACTTAGAGCTGGCTGGGGGTCCCCACATGTCACCAGCTCGTGCATCTCCATTGAGCCTTAGGCTAACGACGAGGAGATCCTTTGCGGGACATCTTATGAAAATCTGGGCCTTGACCCGAGATGACCTGAGTCTGTCGCCGCGCATGGGGTTGAGCGAATGCAATGTGTCCGGGATGGTCCGGGTCAGATTCGGCCCAGTTTGTCATCTCCAGGTGGCAATGCAATGACGATTCAGTGTCCTAAGCCCAGTTCCAACTTAGTTCCAACTTCCGAGCAGAGGCAGTTGATGTACGGCTGGAAGCCCTGTCCAAAAGCTCACATATCTATCATTCGCGTTCCCGTGGCATTTCCTGCCACACACGTCTTGAGAAGACGGTACATAGTTTTTTTTTTTCTAAGTCTTCTTCCGCTCACTCCCGCCTCGCTAGATTGTTTTTGCATGTTGCAGACACAAATCAGAAGTGTTGAAAGACAGACTCTTCTAGACTTTTAGGATCTTCTAGCAACTCGCTCAGGATTTCCGGATTCAACTTTGTGGCTGCTTACATTTTTTCAACTTGTCTCCAAGAAGGTTTAGCTGCGGAGTAGGCAATTAAAATAGCGAGCGGATGAACACAAATCATGTGAAATCACAGATTTAGCGAATGGCTTCACAGCTTCAAACACAGTCATTGAAAGGGTTGGAAGGTAATCGCCTTCTTTCATCGTCTTTCTATGTCCATTTGAGGTTCTGAAGATGCTACAGGCAAACCAATCAGATCTGCCTTTGGCTGAGTATGCGAACCGCCACCCAATGACAGAAAGACATGGCGCAAAGGAAGGTCCAAACTGCTGCTCCAATTGATGTTCATGATCGGCATCAAACTTTGACATTTAGCCTCACTTGAAAGAAGCTCGTGTGGAAAAGTGCGAATCCGTGACCATGGCTATTGGCTCCAGACCATCTCTCATTTCAGCCATGGTTGTTTCACGGGCCATGTCAGGTGTATCGGGTGCATCCTTTGCATCTGAGGATGAACCCCCAGGTGTTGTGGTCATCGATTCCACAGTGAATGTGGGGAACGTCGGGAAGCTGGATCAGATCCTCTTGAGGCTTGAGAAGTTGGACAAGAATTATGGATATGTCCACAAGTCCATTGAGGCTTTGAGCCAGTCGGTGGATCGCTTGACCGGCCATGTGAGCCATGTGTCAAAAAACACGGCTGACTTGGAGATCGCTGAAAAGCGAAACTCCAGGAAATCCATGTCACCGGCACCAGTGACGAGAATGCGAAATAGCAAACCTGGCACAGTTCTGAGCCTGGTGCAGATGCAGTCAGACTGTTTTCAGGAGATTGTTATGGCCGGTTATATCTCTCACAGGAGAAGTGACGACGATGAAGGTTACCCTATCCTTTTTGTTCATCAAGTTTTTCCATGTTTTTCCCTTTTGTTCTGTTAAGATTGGATTATTGGAATGTCATGGGGATATCGGATGCGTGCCTGGAGAGGACGAAATTAAACGAAATTGAGCAATTGGGAAACAAATCGGATGTCTGAGACAGCACCTGTTTGCTCGTTGAATGTAGGATGTGTAGGCCCTTTCAGCCCCCCAAAAAAAGAGGCCTCCGAAAGATCCTTATGAATTCCTTATGCATCCTGAAAGACCGCATTCACATATCCTGATTTCATGTCCCTTGGAGTTGTCAGGCTTGGGCCCTGCTTGCGACACCTCCAGATCTCCACGATCCCTGCGATCCGTGCGATCTGTGGTCTCCGTCGTTCCACCTGATGTGCCCGCAGGAAAAATGACAGAGGTGGACTTGCCTGGGTTGTTGCAGTGCCGCCCCGAAAATGAGGCGATGTCGGCAGAACAGGTTAAACCTCAGGGAAGACCGGGGGTTAGGTGCACCAGTTGGTAACTCTTAGGTCACTATGAACCACTGTAAAGAATGTGATTTGAGAGTGATAAACTATCTACCTATACACCAAGGTGATTGAATTTGAAGGATTTTGTTGGAGTCTATTTCAATCTATTTCATACATTTATCGCCAACCGGATTTTTAAATTTTGCTTGAATCTTGAGGTTGGTGTTGGCACTCACGCCGTACTCACCCAGGATGTAAAGAGGCTCCCTCCCAGGCCTTGCCAGAAAGAAAAACATCATTAAGCACAAATATACATTGAAGCACACAAAATGTACATACTACAGTATAAATAGTATAAGATAATTATATGTTTTTTCCCTCTGGCTGATTGTCCTTACAGCCAACAAATACAGTAAGACTCATCCCACTGAGCTCGCGACGTGCACCTCCTTCGAACTTATCGTTCATAATTGCAATCAAAGACCAGTCAGGTTTCCATTTATGTCTAAATTTACGTGAACCCCCCAAAGATTGACGATTGCAAAACATGGAGGCTTGAAATACATGGCCGCCCAAAGCTGAACCCTGAAAGGCGTATTTAAGTGCATGTTGAAAACTTTAAGGGTTTTGAGGCCGAATGGTGCGGCATGTTTCGCAGCCCCCGTTTTTGGCCCAGCCGGGGGAAGGCAACAAGGAATTGTAGCCACAGTTTGCGAAAACGCTGAACCAAGGCAGCTCAGGAAAAAGAACTCCCGGCACGAAATCAAATTGGACAATGAAATGAATGAGGAAAAAGGCCCAAGGAGTGTATCCAAGCATTCCGGTTCCACGACCCCAGGAAGACTCATTGACACTCTGAGCAACGGTCCCATTCGACATCGGTAATATTGCAAGGTGATAAGATAATTATCTATGTGTTTGTTTGTTTGTTTGTCTGCCTGCCTGCCTGTGTCTGTTTGTTTGTTTGTCTGTTTGTGAGTTTGTCTGTTTGTTTGTCTGTTTGTCTGTCTGTCTGTCTCTGTCTGTCTCTGTCTGTCTCTGTCTGTCTCTGTCTGTGTCTGTCTGCCTGTTTGTTTGTTTGCTTGTTTGTTTGTTTGTTTGTCTGTTTGTCTGTCTCTCTCTCTCTCTCTGTCTCTGTCTTTCTGTCTTTCTGTCTTTCTGTCTTTCTGTCTCTGTCTGTCTGTCTGTCTCTCTCTGTCTTTGTCTCTGTCTCTGCGTCTGTCTGTCTGTCTACACTATCTATCTGTAATATATATATATACACATGTTCTGACCGTTTTATTCATTCATGTTTGGTCTATTGATTAAAGATTCAACCTATCTATCTAAAACATTCTAAAACTATCTCTGTATCTGTTTATCTCTATCTCTTTGCAACTTTATCTCTTTATCTCTCTCCCTCTCTTTCTCTTTGTCTCTCTATGTCCTTATTTGTCCATGTATGTCGCCATCTATTTGTCTATCTAGCTATCTATATATCTATCAATCAATTCATCCAATCCATGTATATTTATATATATATGTTTATCTATCTATCTTCTCTATCCTGCTATCGATCCTATCGATCTTATCTATCCTGTCTAAATCTATCCAATCGACCTATCTCTATCTCTATCTCTTTGTAACATCTTATATGTCGATATTCGTACCTTAATCTATCTTTACATCTACATCTACCTATTACCCATTGATTAATGTCCATCTGTATATGTATATTTATATATATAAATAAATATAAATAGCTGGATATAGCATTGCAGTCTTAGATGTATAATTTGATATATGTATATTTACACATACGGCCTATCTCTATCTCTACCTAGTTGCCTCTATCTCTGAGTCTCTCTATCTAGTGATCTATCTATTTATCTAGGTATCTGTCTATCTAGGTCGGTCTAGATCTACCCATATACATACGTATATATATATACATATGTCCATATGGATTCATAGATACTTGGACAGACATACATACATGTATATACATACATTTATATACATACATTTATATACATATATTGACATATATGTACATATATATATATATATATTTAAATATATAATTATATTATTATATACTAATATTAGTGTGTGTGTGTCGATCCATTTCTATCTCAGTCTTTTTATGTTATTATACCATATATTATACAATATATATATATATTAAATATTATTATAACTTATTATATTATATTGTTATTTTATTTTATCATATTGTATTACTGTATATTATTATTATATTGATTATATTGTGAAGCCTGACGGGTTTGTAAACCAGTAGTGTGTTAAACCTGCCAGGCGAAAATTCCAAACACCAGCACTTCGCATGCTCCAATGCATACGATGAACGAGGAATCGCAAACGCACATCCTGGGGTCTACGAGCCTGTGCTCCTCACTAGAAGATGATGCTCCACTGGATGCAGGCTCAAGATTGATTCTGGCATTCAACTCAATGCTATATCTTGCTCTAGGCATACCATTGGTATGTGTACTTAGCTTGGCGGTGGCATGCGGCGGTGTTGTCTGTCGGTCGGATACCGGGTTGGCGTCAACAGTGCTTGAGAGCATCATCTATGGCATTGCGGCCAGTCTTTGTGTACGCCACATGACAAGGGCCTTGCACTCGAAGAATCTGAAGCTGGCAACTGGTCGATTACACGCTTTCGTCGCGGAGTTCAAAGTCGATTGGCGAGAGGTATCTGGGCAAGAGGGCTGCAAATACCTTTGCATGTGGCTCTTGGTGGTTCTCATCATCATTGTGGCTCGTTGTTTGGGTATTTGGTGGCTTTTGACTTCAGAAGATTTCTCCTGGGCATGGACACATGTGCTGCCTGCCAGCCTGAAGATTTGTTCCCTTCTGGTCTATGCCTTGTCCTCCGGTTTGCTGACGGCTGCAGCCTACACGCAGTCGTATTTGCTGCTTGGATTGGACAAGTCTTTGGACTGTTGGTGCTCCCACTTGATGGCAATGCCAGAATTTCAAGAAGGTGTCCGGAGCTGGAATGTCCTGCAGGCTCTGCTGAAGTGTGTCGGAAGGGAACTAGCTGGGAGTTTCTTAATCCTCCAGGGTTTTGGGTATCTCTGCTTCATTTTCTTCTTGGTCAGTGGCATCGTCCTCATCTTCAGCCACTTGCCACAAGTATTCGGGGTTGCAAGGCTGGAACCCATTTCCCAAAACTCACTTTATAACTATTTAATAGTTTGAAGTTTTATTAATATAATTAATTACTTATAATATCGTATAATCACATATATATATATGTATATATATATGTGTATATGTATATATGTATCTATATATATATATACATATATACGTGTGTGTATATATATTTATATACATACATGTGTGTGTGTATGTGTATGCATATGTATATATATAGATATAGTATGGTCCTTGATAAATTCTTATTTGGGATGATTTGGATGCAAATGTGTGCGTTGAACAGATCAACATAGAGCGTAGGCCAGGGACATTTGGGTCAGAGCTATTCCTGTAGCTAGTCACCCAGTATCAGCCAGTGCATCCCGGTTCCCACTTCTAGCCGTTGGGTCATTGTTGCTTGGTTCCAGCTTTCCAAGGCAATGACTTTGAAGCTTTGCCGCTGATGGTGGAGGTTTTGTCGGGTGTTCCTTTGCTCTTCCTATCGTGCTTGAGCCTACGTTTGTCCGCGCATGGGGCCGCGCTCACGGAGAAGTGCCGGGCCATCCCATCTTTTGTGAACCAGATCCCAGGCAAGCTGATCGATCAAGAAAGGCAATACCTCGTGAGATTCATTGAAGATAGCTCCGCTGGTTTCTTTGTTAGAAATGTCAAGCTCACCCAAGAGATGGTCATGAAACAGGTCTACATTGTCGGAGCCTTGCTGTCAGCGACTTTCAGTGCCTTGTCAAGGCTCCTCGTTTGATATAGCAGTTCAAGGAGCTACGATCTCGCTAGGTCCTGTATGGCTAGAAGGCTAGCCACCTCGAACAATTGGGAGTCCTAGCCTTTTTAGCCGATTTTGAAGTCTTATTTGAAACGTTTCCAAATTAGTTGCAGTCTAATTTAATTCCACTTTAAGCTCCGATGGTGAAACCAGCGCGGGGGTTGCATTCGATAAATCTTGCAACGCTTTTTTTTTCTGTTTCAACTGGCGACTTTGCCAGATCGACGAGGATTCTCTGAAGGGGCGTTGAATTTTTTGAAAGTCTTTCGTTCAAAAAGAGGATGCTGATTTCATGGGCATTTTGGGATCATGTGCATTCCACACCTCCACAGCACTACACGGCCCACAGATGTCCACACATTGCTGTCGCTCGCAACGAGGTCATTGTTCGTAGCATGGGGGCCACTGAAGGCTTCTCACTTTGCGAGTTGGAGTTGCCAGGAGCCCGTAAATGGGTGGCAGATGGGCGGCATGGTGGGAGCAAAGGTGCTGAGGAAAAGTGATGCGCCATAGATATCCACAAATGAACATAAATCACCATCATTCTGCCAGAGGCTTTGGTGCAAGCTCAATCTTGGCTAAATCAAGCTATGGCTCAAGATGATTACACTCAATCAGCATCTTCAGTTTACATTATTCATAAATTATGTTATTTACAACCGTTTACTTTAAGCGTTGTGGCTAAACAATTCCAGCAATCCACAGCAACCACCGAGGCGGGTGGCCCCCATTCCATGTAGCAACTTGCTGCAGCAGGCGGGAAGCCTCATCCATTGTCCATGATTGATATTACCCTCTGGTTATGTCAAAATAGCTATTGAAAATGACCATAGAAATAGTGGATTTTCCCATTAAAAATGATGATTATTTTCCATAGTTATGTTAAATTACCAGAGGGATCCAGAGGGTAATATCATATAATATCCAAATTGTTTGAAAAAGCATTTGCAAATCAGGATATCCTGATAAACTGGTCAACATATGAACAGAGCTTATCACTAAATATAATGATTGCTCCGGCCTTTCTAGGGATGTCTAGCGGCTAGCATGTATATGTTTGATTTATTTGTCAGGCTCAAGATAAGCGACAGCAATAAATCACCTGTGTAAATATAAATATGTATATATATATATATGTATATATGTATATATGTATGTATATGTATATACAATATTATACATGACTTTTATGTCATTTAGTATGTATATGATCATGTTCAGCAACATGAGGTGTAACACAGCACCTATAATGTAGCACCCCCAAGTCCCAAGTTGGTAAAACAAAAGACACACATAAAACTGGTTCGATGTGTCTACCATACCATAAACCCTATATCAGATATATACAGTAATATATATATATATATACAATATATTATATAATATAATTTATAAACTTATAGTGAACCAACTGGGACACCATTTACGTAACACTCCAGGAGAAGACACCCCCGTAAGATACAGTACACCTGTAGCAGTGCGATACCGACAACATGCAAGTGTGGCTAGCTGTTCGGGTTCGATCGTTAAGCCCCCATTGTTGATATCATCCAATCATCCATTTATATCCCAATTTTTAATCTTTAGTGAAATCCCAATTTTTGATTCATGGTTAAATCATCTGGGTAAATTATAACGAGCTCACTGCGACCTCACTGGGAATCATAGTTAATAAGGGAAATCATCCCCAAATGGGCCTTAATTCAGGTTAGTGAATTATTATAATTTACCCAGAATCATGGTTAAATCCCCATAAAATGGTGATAGTTCAACCAGTTTAGCAGCTCCAGCTCACCGCAGTCCTGGATTTTGCATGGTCGTCGGCTTCAGCTCTTTGGTTCTGGCGAAGCCCGTGTGGCCCCGTGCAGGGCTAAGGTGGGGATGCTAAAAATAAGTGGTAAACTAACATGTAACATAGCTATGGAAAATGGCCACTTATAGATGATTTACTTATCAAAAATGAGGATTTTCCATAGCTTTCTTAAAGCTGACAGAGGGCATATATATATATATATATGTCTTTCATGTCGGCACAGCTCAAGCAGGAAGACCTGATGGCAATGGCGAGAGAGTGAAATTTAGAATTAGAGTTGTTGAGACTGGCTCACTCAGGATCATTTTGTAGCTACGTGTCATTATTTTTCTATGCTATGCCCCAAATTTTGAACCCACGTTGGATGGCAAAATACCGTGCCATAAATACACAATAGCTGCTCAGTATGGTCCTGTTGCTGCTCGTTTTTGAGCCGCCCCTTAGATTGTGACCTAGGCTGGAGGGGGCTGGTGAAGCCTGTGAACGAGGGGGCGGAAGCTTCTTGGTGAAGGGGCTGCTGGCCACCCTGTGAAGGATTGAAAGATATCGAGAGTAAAAGGCTCGCAAAATGTCAAGGACTTGGTTGAGGATGCATTATGTCAATAATTGTCTACATAGATACACATCTATCCGTGTACGTCGCGTAGTGATGTGGAAACATGTTCTGTCCATATGTCATCCCATGGCATCCCTAATTTCCATATGTTTCCCATTCTTTGTATCATCAGTTTCCATTCAAATAGCCTTGTCAGCGTATACCCTCTGGTTATGTCAAAATAGCTATTGAAAATGATCATATATAGTGGATTTTCCCATTAAACATGGTGATTTTCCATAGCTATGTTAAATTACCAGAGGGTACCACTTTCAGACACCCATGTTGTTTCCAACTCACTGCAGACATCCTCGGGTGCTGTGGCTCTTAGAGCAGCTCCCAAACTGGGCCCCGCGCGCGGCGGTCAGCAACGATGGTTTGGGCAAGGATTCTTGGTTCCCTGGGAAAGTGAGATGGTAGCATTAATCCACTAGGAAACCATGCCAAATTGTGAATACTGAAATATCTGAAATCAAGCGTCAAGAATCAGGATGTTTTTTTTTTTAAATGTTTTTTGGGATTTTGCTACAGGTTCCTTTAAACCGCCACCAGAGTTTCTTATGCGAAATGCTAGGTTTGACCAAGGACCCAGCTCCTGAAACAGCGATTCCATGTAGGACCATTGCATTACTAAAAACTGCTGCGTTTTTTTCGTTGGAGTTTCCCCTGTGTTAAGGAAGCTGGGTCAGCGGAAAGGGGCGATCCTTCTGCTCTCAGCAGTATGCTGGTGCCTCTCTAGCAGAGGCCATGATTTTTGACCTTCAGGGTGTTCGCCAAGCAAGCGGATTTCATGCGCAAACACTGCAAGTAATCTGCAACTTTTGGTACAGAAAGCTGTGAGGGCAACCATTTGGATTGTCCTCTATGGATCGATGATTATGAACAATCCATCCCCTCATCCCTGAAACATGATGAAACATTTACCACTGGCATCCGATTGGCCGCTAGGTTTTGTCCCACCAGCTGGCGTGGCGCCACCACCCACGCCACCACTTCAATGGTCTCCGATGATGGTAACCTGGATAAAATTGCTTGGATGTGGAACAATGTGGAGGTGAAAAATCATGAAAAATATGTAAGAGGCTCATTTTTCCTCATAAAAAATCTTTATATCTGTTTACATGCTTTTTCTGTTCCTTGACAAAGGATCCAAGGAAATATTTCAACATTCACAAATAGTTTGCAGATAGGTTGGGCCCGCAACCTGCATCCAGTGCCAATCACGGCCGAATACGGTTCGCCTCCACCAAGGCAGCCGCATCCGGTGCGGCCCTGTTAGCCCCGGCAGCGTTGGCCGACGAGCCAGACAACACCATCAATCCAACTGATGCCATTGTGCAGGCCAGCTTTCACGAGTGCGTCGTGCGAGGTTGTGCGCCATTGTGATCATTGTGATCATTGTACCATTCCCTTGGGGATTGAAAAGGGGATTGATGAGATTTGATGAGTTTTGAACCACAGTGACAGTCACGGTGATCCAAAAAAGCAGCCGCTGCTGCATGCAGGCCTTCGCCTTAACCTTTGTTTCTGAAACTTGACAGAAGAAGCTGGGGAAGTCGGCAGTATCCTGTCATTGTCAACTCTTGGGCCTTTCTTACCAGCGCAGCCAGGACATGTTAAGGCCATCTCTTAGTCAAAAGAGCCTTCCAAATGCACTGGAGTTGATCTATTTAGCGGACGTTTGTACTCGTACGTAGGAGTTTATCTCGCCACGTGAATCCACATCATGATACATGATACTGTATATCCTGATGATCTATTCCATCTTGATTTCACGCAATATGTGGTAAAACGTTTTAATTTGCTTTTGTGGTTCAACCTTCGTCCATTTGTCCAAAAATGCAGCAAAATCGAACCCACTTCTGGATTCAAACCCTATTGATCCCTATTAGCATGCATTGAACTCATTAAATCAGAGTTACTATGTTGCTATCCGGTTGTCTTTCAATGCCGCCAACATTTTTTGTTCATCCCAAAACACACCAGCAACATCTCCAACAGCTGAGGAAATTGGCGACAAGACCTTTTTCATTGCCGCCATTTTGGCCGCAGGCTCCTCTGCCGCTGCCGAAGGAGTGAGTCAAAAGGTGCCATGCGGCGTGGCCATGCCATTGCGTCAAACGTTTGGACCCGATGGGAGGATGGGACGGTTGAGGTAGACATTCGATGCCAAAGTTCACAAAAAGACAGGACACCTATATAGATGAGCAGATTGAATGCACCGGTGCTGAGTATCCATGCTGACCAGGTGCTCACCTTTGTTGGTGCCATTCTTGCTTTGGGAGTTGCTTGGCTGCCTTCTTTAGTCATTCAGAAACGAAGAACTAGAACAACATCCAATGGTGTAGAGCCAGTGAAAAACCTTGTGTTCACCATTCCACTATTTCAAGTCAGAATGTATAGGATATATAGGTGTATCATGGTGTACCATGGTAGCCACGAGTCCACCCCATTTCCAGACAGACCCAAAAAATGTCATTTGTCTGGGTCAAACTGGCAGGATCACCTCAATTCCTTGCAGATTTTGGGGCTTTACATATTTAAATTCTAAAACAAGTCGAAACAAAAATAAACAAGATTGCAGTTCTCTTCCTCCTGACACTTGGATGAGGGGACATTCAGGAAACATCAGGAAACCTCTTGAATTAGCGACAAAGACCACTGTCTTTCGGACCGTTTCCGCTGACCCCCACGCCTTGATACGCCTTGTAGGTCATGACCTTCATTGCCGTTAGCATCGGCCAGATCTTTCACGCGGTTCCGGATGCAGCTGGTGGTCTTCCGTTGGATGACTATGCTTCAATCCTTGCGTGAACTGGCTAGATGGAAAAGATTGAAAAGATGGAAACGGTGGAAAAGGTGGAATAGGATCGATGGAAAAGTGGTAGATACTGCAATCACGAGAACCCGTGGTCCCGTGGTCCGTGAGAGAACAGATTGTGGAAAGGTGGAAGAGGACTGGGCATTTTTTGTACAAATGCCAGAGGAATCCAAGGCGTAGGGGTGACAGGTCGCCGTTGCTTTGCTCCATGCTAAGAGACCACAATCTACAGACCAAACTGCCCCGGCCATCAATGGCTGTTGCAACTACACATCATACAGTAATATAACATAATATAACTAGCACATATTTCCATATATATATATATATCCCACACTTTCTGGCAATCCAACCAACTCATCCAGCATTTGCACCAAAAAAAAAAACATCCAAACAGTAGCTGAGGTTCGGCTACTTCGGCGTCAAGCTGCTGCTGGACGCTTCCACCATGGCCGATGACGGCAGCATCTTAGCTGAAGAAAAGGAGGAGGCCGAAGAGGCGGTGAACGAGTCACTGCCCGAGTGGGTCACCAAGTTGGCTTTGCCCACTCTGGTGATCCAGGCCGGGGATCCGTTGCTTCGGTAAGGATATCTAAGGTATATCAGATATAGCGAACTATATCGTTACTGGGGGTTATAAACCAAGATCAACCTCACCAGATACTCCTAATGATTTATGGTTATTTATCAACATGTTTTTGCCTACAGCCCGAAAAGCGGCCTAGTGTTTTTGCGATTGTTTGGGGCAATAATGTTCAAGTGCATTTGCACACATACTTGATGCTACGCTACAGACGTCTTCACTTGCATTTGCACATATACTCGATGCTAGGCTACAATCATACAAACGTCTTCACATGCACTTGCACACATACTTGACGATATTTTTCCTTTTTGCCAAATCATGGTAATGACGGTTTGAACATTTTGCCCAAGTGGCGGCTAAGATGCCGAAGAAGATGTGAAAAAAAATACAAAAAATGTGTCGGCTGCCCGTCTTGCAGAATACTCTTAACATCTGGATTTTGTTTCATGGATGCTGTGGCATGATCATGCAATTATATATATAAATCAAAAGATTTACACAAAATGTAAAAAGAAAATAAACATGTGCACTTCGCTACAGCGAAACGGAAATACGTTCAAGTTTGAAGCCCCATGGCAAAGAGATTTGTCAGGCAAAATCAAGATGGCACTGAGGCGAAATCGCGATTTCCTCAAAACACACTGGAATTGCGAAGGAAAGGAACACAGAAATCAAAAATCCACAGCGTGTGGTTTTTGCACTTCAAGAAGACCTATAGGCAGTGTTGAACATGTGGTGAAACGCAGGGCCGAAAATCAAGCTCCGATGTTTTTGATGCCAAAACCAAAACATCCAGGGGGCACTTTCCAAGATCTTTCCAATATCTCCCATCCACCAGGCCTTCCTCCTGGTCTTCGCCGCGGAAATCGGTGATCGCTCCTTCATCTCGGCCGCGGCGCTGAGTGCCCAGGGCGGCCCGGAAGGCGCCGTGGCCGTGTTTCTCGGCTCCATTTCGGCCCATGGCGTGGCCACTCTCCTGGCGGTGGCGCTGGGAGATCTCATTAGCACCTATGTTTCGGAACCTGGGCATGCTGGGGGCATGGGATATTGTGGAAACCATGGTGAAAATTACCAAAATTGGAGGTGTAACATGGTTTAAGCTCATTATTCGATGGGGATCTATAGAAAATAGGGAGTACACCATATTGGGATTTAGGGTAATGGAATGTAATTGGATATAACATGATATAACTGATGATATAATTCAGTCATATTATATTATGTGGGCCGTCATTTGATGTTAACCTGGGACCCCCTAAAAATGGAGAAGATAATGACACCCAATAGCGGTGATACATACATATATTGATAGATTATATTTTTCTATCACCGTCTATCACCCAAGATCAGCAACCCCTGGTTTGTTGGGTAGGGAGTGCTAATATTGAAATAGTAGTGTTTTCACTACGTATTTTAGGGACCCCTTATTAGTAAACTGGTGCATCTTGAATTCCGGGGTGAACAGTACCTAGAAGATCCCATAACATGACAATTTTGAGAATTTTGCTCCACAAAAATAATGATGAATTATATATATAAATATATACATATGATAGAGTTATGCCGTGGGAACATTGGAAACATGTGTTTTTTTTTTTAACGGAAACAACATGTGTCTTTGTTTCCAAGGCCTCATCAGAGCCATTGGGGGGTTCCATGGCCTGGCCTTTCGATTGGGCCAGTTTTTGGAGGAAAATGATGGCCATCAATGGATTTCAGGAACGGTTGGTGCCAAATTTTGAGACAAACCCTGGTTGTATAATGTTGTACCCTCTGGTGAACTAACATAGCAATGGAAAATGGCTATTTATAGTGGATTTTCCCATTAAGAATGGTGATTTTCCATTGCTATGTTAGTTCACCAGAGGGTATACTGTATGTTGTATGGTTTCACATGATGATGGAATTTCGGTCGTGAGACGAGTGAGGGAGAAGAGGTTAATTTAATACACAGCCTCACTTGGAGGGTTTGATGGACGAGCTTGATGTTGTGGCCAATTGGTGCCCCATGTTGAGCCAGGACCATAAAGGAATGATTGAGAATAACAACACAAAAAGTTCATTATGATCTCCTCACATTGTTCAATTTGTTGATTACTTGGATTCCCCAACAGAGGAGTCATGTTGATCGTTACATACCTATTTCTTGTTTCAATTTAAGCTTCTGTTGGTGTCCATGTTGCTGTATTGTTGCTGTGAGGTTCGCCTTCTTGTGAGATGCAAGGGACGCCAAGTAGGCAAGGATCATGAGAATGGTGATCCCAAGATGGAATTGATTTATATTGATTTAAGTGAGAGAATCCACCGGGAAACGTTATTTAACCAGCCAAAATGATCAAAATGGTTGGTCCCTGTGAGTTTTCCATGTTTTCCAAATCTAGGAGTTGGGGCCAGGTCGAGATCCATTCTGGTTCTCCCCTCAAAAACACATCGCTTCCACCATTTTCCTAGGAGAAGACGTTAACCTACATCGGTGGTGCCTTGTTCTTGCTCTTCGCCGCCACCTCAACGGCCAACGTGGTCAATGCCCTCTGAGGATGGCGACTTTCAGAGGCACTGGAGAAGCCATTTTGAAACAGTTTGAATGGTCATGATAATAATAGCCTCTGGTTGTTTAACATAGCCATGGAAAATGGCCTATTTATAGATGGTTTACCTATTAAAAATGGTGATTTTCCATTGGCTATGTTAAATAACCAGATGGTAATCAATAAATAAATAAAGAGAGAGAGAGAGAGATAGCTCCAAATGGGAGAAAGCACCATGAAATAAACAAACATATGGTTGTTTTCAATATGATCATTTGAGATTTTCACACGGCCAGGTTTGGCAATGCTGGAGGGTGGATGGTATGATCGGCAGTTCTGGGTCTACCATGCAGGGAATTGTTTGAAGTTTGGTGATTTTGCGTGGAAAGTACATAAAATGAACAATTCTGTCAACCTGAAGTGCTACAGCTATTTCTCCTTGGTTGATATCAGTTGCCCAAATATGTTGTTACATGAAGTTGTTTACAAGAACGATCTTCTCGGACGTTTTGCCAACGGAAACAGACATTGTGAGCTGTTTCCACGGTATCAGATGCGCGGACGCTGGAGATGAAAATCAATCTCCGGACCAAGTTGGATGGTTGGCAGCAACAGAGAAGTGCTCTAACTTCCCAGAAGTTTGGTTATGATTTGGGATTAGCTCCTGAGAAACCTGTACAACATTAGACTTTGATTCTATCTGATCATCTTTTAAATGCCAGATCCGTCCGGTGGCATTTTTTCCCCGGTCACCATGTGCCCACGGCAGTAGGATGATCCCCAGTTTTCAGATGTTCAGTCACGGTGTTTTTTTGGCGAAACAATGCCATTGAAAAATATTGAAAACCCATGAAAATCCATGAGAGTCCATGAGAGCCCATGAAAAAACATGAAAATACGTAAACATACATGAACAAATATCAAACTACATGGAAATACGAACATCTATGTGTTTTCATATCCGTTTTTCTCTTAAACCAAGCCAGCCATTGCATGGGGACACTTCCCAAGTGCACCGCCATCCATCGGAGCTCAAAGGGCTCGACCAGAGGGGGGTTATGCGCCACTCCACAAGGATTGACCCACAGATGATCACATGATCCCGGAAGTATAGATATTACCAGTACCGCACAAGGCGGTGGCGGAAATTTCAAAGATAGGACACTTTTTTGGAGAGGTTTTTGTTGTTGTGACGCACGGATGGGAGAGCGAATCCACTGATGGACCGAAAGGTGGTTGGAGCTGTGTTTTTTGGAGTGGTTGCAATGGTTGCAGTGGTCACCTCACCCACAACTGCTGGATGTAGTGTGGTGTAGTGCAGCTGTACTTGTAGTTGTAGTGTAGTGGAGCTGAAGTTGTAGTGTAGTGTAATTAGTGTAGTGTAGTTGCAGTTGTAGTTGTAGTTGCAGTTGTAGTGTGGTGTAATGAGCGTAGTGTATCGTAGTGTAATGCAATGTAGTGTAGTGTGCTGTAATGTTGTGTGCTGTAGTGTAGCCTCGTGTAGTGTAGCTAGTGTATTGTAGTGTAGTGTAAAGTAGTGTAGTTGTAGCTATAGCTGTAGTTGTAGTTACTTAGTGTAGTGTAGTGTAGTGTAATCTGCGTAGTGTAGCATAGTGGTAGTTGTACTTTTAGTTGTAGCTGTGGTAGTAGTAGTTGTTGTTGTCGTTGTAGCTGTAGTTGTGGCGTAGCGTAATTAGATGTAATTAGTGTAGCGTAGTGTTGTGTAATGTAGCGTAGCTGTCTTTGTAGTTGCAGCTGTAGCTGTAGTCTAGTGTAGTGTGGTGTAGTGTAATGTAATGTAATTAGCGTAGTGTAATATAGTGTAGTTGCATTTGTAGTTATAGTTGCAGCTGTAGCTGTAGCTGTAGTAGTATTAGTAGTTGTAGTTACAGTTGTAGTGTAATTAGTGTAGAGTACTGTAATTAGTGTAGTGTAGTGTAATTAGTGCACTGTACCGTAGTAAGTTTGCATGTGCATTTGCAGTTGTAGTTGTCTATCTACCTGTCTATCCATTCATCCATCCATCCATCTATCTATCTGTCTGTGTATCTGTCATATGCAAGCTTGAAAACGAAGCTTTTCTGCGAGACACCCACTCAACTTGGCAACATCAAAAACGCAGCAATTCTGTGAGACGTCCTCGAGTTGTTGAAGTTGGCAACATCAAAAACGAAGCAATTCTGCGAGACTTCCTTCAATAATGGAAAGTTAAGTGCAGAGCTGACGGCCTCGTGCCAATGCGTTTTGGGATTTTTCCAGTCCATGTCTCTAAAGTATGGCGCCTGCCACGAAAAAGTTAAGCCAGGTCATACAAAGTGCCGAACCTGTGTACAAAGCACCTCACGTTCAGAGCACTTTTGGAAGTTGACATGTCGAAAAAGTGCACGCCGTTGTGGTGCAAAGCACATTTCCAAGTCATTCCAAATCAAAATGTTTTAAAAAACACATGTTTGGACCACTTTTGGACGTTCAGATGTCGTTCTGCGTGGCAGGCGCAAGGGCTTGTGCACTTTGTCAAAAGTGAGCAAAACGTGACGGTTTTGTAGCAGTTTCAAAGGTGTTGGCAGGCGTGGGACATTTGAAGAGGATCTGCAAAGATGCATTTTCTGTGGCAGGCGCAATACAAGAGACATGTTCATCAGAGATGTTCGGAGGTCAAGGCGCTGATTTCCTGAGAGGGGCTCATTTTGACTTGGACATGTGCTTCGCGCCGCAACCGCGTGCACTTTTTCGACATCTCAACTTCCAAAAGTGGTCCGAGAATGGTGCGTTTTGCATTTTGATTTCCAAATGTGCTTCGTGCCACAACGGCGTGCAATTTGTCATCTCTCATCTGGCCAGATGTCTCCGCGCCCGCCCCTTTAGCGAGCCTACTTTTCGACCCTCCGGAGCCACAAATCATTTGAAGAACGCAGTGAATTGCGACTTCCCCACCTTTTCCCACACCTGCATCTTCTTTCTTTTGGCTCTTTCTCTTGTCTGGTCTTCGCTCTTCTCTTCTTTGACTCTTCCCACCTCTGCTTTTCCGTCTGTCCATATTGTCGGATGTTTGTCTTCCTAACTTCCTTCGGTTATAGATTTGAAAGATATTATAACGTATAAATACACATATATGTACATGTACAGATACATATATACATGTAAATATGCATGCATATTATATATATATTATTCTGTTTGATGGCTCATCGCTATGTCCAATCCCGAAAGATGGGGCGGGCAGCAGAACCCAACAACAAGGCAATGACGACAATGTCACAAGAGGTGACATGAGATTTTCCGCAGCTTCAGTCGGGCCACGGATCCTGAATCCATGCGTTCAGAACGTTTCGAAACGTCGCTGGGGGAATGGAAAGCATTAGGAGATCCCCTCGAAAGCATTAGGTGGCCCAGGACAATAGAAAAAAATAAGACTGATTGATTTAATACTTTATAGAGTAAACCCCAATTTGTCACACGACGGTGCACATGGCATCGGATTTGGGACCTGTCCCACCCTTGGCGATGTTAGGATCGATTCCTGCAGACCTTGGCGTTTGCAGCCAGACAAAATCAGCTGTTTGTCGATGTGTGGGTCTGCCCCTTTGACTGTTGCCGTCTATGTTCGCCCCTTGTTTTTGGTCTTCAGCCAACAGTAACTTGAGAGATCAAATTATTGTCATTTTTCATGTTGTTTTTCCATGTTTTTACACTTTTCTTCACCTCACTAGACTCACCAGGTGAGAAAGGATAAAAATAGTATAATCCCATGTATTTTTGTCCTCTACAGATCTGAGGTTTCGTGGAGCTGATGAGTCGTCCAGGCAAAACCATTTGCGTGGAGGTGGGTGCTGCCAAATCTGCCAACACATGACCCAGAAAGGTCATAGATGATTTGAGATTGGTAGTAGACCTCCGATGGTACCCCACAGGATTTGAGACAATTTTCGATTGGTACGAAATGGGACTGTGAAAACTACGCATGATTTGCAATATGTTGCAATCCATTAGTGATCATTAGTGTCCTGCAGCTCATATTCACCTTGGTTTATGTCCGTGGGTACCATTGGAACTGGCAGATGACTGAAGGAATTCTTGGACTCCCGCCTGACCGCCGTTTGGCACAGCCGCCATGTGACACGATTCTTCTTTGCCTCCAGGCCGTTTGCCCAGCAGGGGCTCCATCACAACAAACAACATGGCTCCACTCGGCCACGCTTCCATCACTTGCTACGCTTACCTTTGCTTCACTTTGAAAAGCCGCTCAAACCAAGATCCAAGACCTTACTCATGGCCAAATTTTAAGCAGGTCTTAGATAGCCCTGGGAGCCTACAGATAGCCGCCGATTTCTCCGCCATGACAGAGCTGGACAAGGCCAAGATAGTACGGGAACCAAGCGGTTGTTGCGACTGATCAGTGGAATCATCCTGGAACGTCCTGGGATTTTATGGGATTTGTGGGATTAAACCCCAACAAATGGGGTATCACCACCGGGCCACCGGGTATATATATATAATATAATTATATATATATATATGTATATTTATATATGTAACCAAAATGGGGATCTGTTCTGGAATGTCCTGGATTATTTGGATGATCTGGATGGTTCAATCCGTGGTGAAAGGATCGAAAAAAATTGATGCAAGTCACATTGAAGTTCCAAGGCCCTGCGAAAACTCATGGCGATGTCCAAGACGGCCAATGGTAATGCTACTTCGGAAGGCTACTTGGATGGCATTTTATAGAGTGTTTTTTTCGTAGAAGGGATTGTTTTTTCAAACAATGTTGAGATCCTAAACTCCTGCACCCTTACCATGTATATATAATATGATATATATATAATAAAAATAATAATAATCATCATAATAACAATAATAATGATAATAATAATGATAATAATAATGATAATAATAATAATCCTCATAATCATATTAATAATGATAAAAATAAAAAAAAATAATAGTAATAATAATAATGATAATGATGATAATAATGATGATGATAATGATAATTAATAATAATAATGATAATAATATAAACATATAAACCTTCACTCAGCCGCTGGCTCAGTAGGCAGGATTTGTTGGCAGGTACTCCCATTTATACGCATGGGTTTGTCTGAAACTGGGGGAGTCGGGATGCCCATGGATGCCCCAACTTATGGCTTCAGGGAAAATGGTGGGGATTTGGAGATCAAACGCATCATAGATACCACAGTTTGACTCCCTGGCAACTCCTTAATAAGCAACAGCCCTGCTCGAAACCTGATGAACAATGGCTTGAGTGGTGGCAGTGGTGGATTTAGTGAGATAGCCAGATTCCTACCCCAGATGCTGTATTTACCTCCAAGACTGGGTGATTTTTGAGGTAAATGTTGACGTTATATTATTATTATATGTATTTTACATATGTATATTATGTATTATATGTATTGTATACATAATTGTATGTATTCATTATATATATAAATATGTATATATATATATAAATGTGAAATATGTATGTATGTATATATATAAATATGTATATATATATATAAATATGTATATATATATATATATGTATTTATTATATATGCATGTATTATATATATATATTGATAATATTAATAGTAATATAGCTATGATTTATTATTAGTATTTTTTATATATCCGCATTCCAGCACCATTGGGCAAAGATGGGCGAGGTGTCCCCCCATTTCTTGTCAGCTCAACCCACCACCAAGGCTCAAAGGAGCAGGCGAGCCAAGCCCTGCGGCAGCTCTTCCGACGCAACGGCGCGGCCAAAGACGACGCAGGCGATTTGTCAGTGGCCCTCCCCCAGTGGTGTTTCTTGGTTTATAGACATTGATAAGATTTATATTCCTATAATTAACATCCATGAACTATAATATACTGTATATTTGTCCCCGTTGGATTTGCCCTTATAATTTGGAAGAGGGTCGACCCTCTTATAAATGGTTTATATATAGGCATTTTGTAGTTACAAGAAGCCCCTAACCGGTGCATTTTGTAACAGGACACCTAAAAGGCAAAGTTGTACATTTTGAAGTGTTCATTTTGTAGGAGTTTTGAGGGGCCAACTCATTCTATAAGACCATCGAGTTTGTTTTTTTGATGTTTCTTGTAAGCTCAAGATGCTGTTATTGAACATCAAGAGAAACCAAAAAAACTCAGCAGGGTGTGCAATGACATTTTGTAAGGAGACGTCGTCAAGAGTAGAAGAATCATTTTGTAAGAATATGAATATATGTTTTTTAGGCATTGATACTGTGAAAATTATTGTTCAGATCTGCACATGTTTTTAATTCGACTCAATCATCTCATAGCTGTTTTGGCCATTTTCGAAACCACAGCGCTGACACAGCAAAATGTAAACACCCTTTCATGGCAGCTTCCTGGGGCTACAAGCACCGTGTCATTTTGTAAGGCACAGTCCAAGTTTTATGGCAGCCATTTTGAGTTCAATTTCTTTTTGGATTTGGTGGAGGCATCAATTTTTTTCTCAACGGGTGTTGTGTCGGCCAAGGTTCTTTTGCAAGTTACGAGTGTGGCTACGCTCACGGCTATCTCATATGTTCATTTTGTACATTTTCTTTCGTGTTCAACTTTCATGTGTTTTTTGGTACTCATGTGATAACACAAACGCAAGACATCATGACAGGAGTTCTGGTAGGCAATGATGCCAAAGAAGCAAAAATACAAAAGGTGGATCCTTACAAAAAGGCTGCTTGAAAATCAACGAGACCGGGAAAAAAACAGGGAACCAGATGTTTTTGCCTTACAAAATGATACCCAAAAATGCTATCTGAAATCACAACTTCTTATAAAAAGGTCATCGGGTGGGATACAACATTGATATCATGAAGAAAGTTGTCACCTTACAAAATTATGACGGATTTTAGAGGCTAAAAACCTATGCTTTGTGTAAGGACCAAAATGCCCAAAAACCGATCCATTTTATGAAGGTTTTCAAAATCCCACCAGTTTCTGCTTACAAGAAGCCGGGTGCGACCCCTTCCCCCAAATTCGAACCGGGATGTATATATATATATATACACACATATATATATATATATGTTATTATTATATATATGTATATTCGGAAAACACATACATATATATATATATGCAATATATAGAGATGGATGATGGATGTTATAAGTTAGTCCGAAGATTTATACACACCTCGGGAAGCAGTTCGTGTAGATATCTACCATACACAAGCGCCAACTACCGGGGACCTAAGAATCATCCAACACATCCAATTTCTGATTGGGAAACCACTTGGGGTGTCCGGAGAGGATTCCCTTTGGTGTCCGGAGATTGGGAAAATCCCATTGGATGATTGAATGAATCCATGGAATTGTCAAAATGATCTACCATGTTTGGGTCTCGGACCCGGATGGATTCTCGAAATGCAGAAAATGACATTGTTGGCCCCATTGGTTCTGGTCGCTTGGACCCGTTTTTGCGCTCTTGGCAAAAATGGAATCATGGCAGTGATCTCATATCTCCTCTAGGTGAGGCTGGCGAAATTGATGTGAAGTTAGCCACGCTGTTGGATCGTGTCCTCAAACCTACAGGCGAGCTGGCGAAAGGTGTTCCTGTGGTATCCTGTGGTCAGCTGTTGCACTGTGAGAGATCTGAATCTATAAAGAAGACCCAGTACTTCCTCGTACTTCCCGGAAAATCCTCGAAATACATCAGAGATGCTGTTTATATTGTGCTGCCGTCATGCTTGCGACTGACCAGAAACATGATTTCTGTATATAATATATATATATAATATATATATATAGTCGTGTGGAGGTATTGTTCATGGGGTTGGGCTTGATCCATTCGATCCTCGCTAGCGACAACTCAAACTTGATGACCGGAAATGCAGTTAAACTGCACAGATCAGGGTCACTTTTTGCCATGACGGACTATAACAATATAAACCTTAATCCAGATCAGCAACTGACCATTTGATACCATTTGCAGTCATTTTACATCCCAAATAGATCCAAATAATGTGCCTCATTGAAGCAATGGATCTGGATCCGCTGTAGGTGCTTCATCCAGCTCAAGTTCCAAAGGGCCCATGCCGGTCACAAAACCGGCCATGGAGACATGGTGGGCACCAGATGAGAACTGTGTGGTTTTGAGACCAGCAATTATTTTATTTGAACATGGATGGTCTAGATTTTCAGTTGGTAAGATACGACAGGATTCTTAGAAAGCCTAGAATTCGAAAAAGCTACCGCTATTGCAGGCAAATTTTGTGTGCAGGCAAACCTTTTTATTCACATCGTTGTGCAAGCATGAACACATGGCTTCCGATATTTCATCATTGGGATGACTTCCCCAGCTCCTATTAAGATGCTTGATAGCTTATGTATGCTTATGTGCTGATAGAATATGGTGAATCCAGCAATGACTGCTACTTGTTCAAGTTTGAAGCAAGGAACCCAAATTCCAAATGTCAAGTTTTGTTGCTGATACCGACTGATACCCCATGTTTCTTGGTAAAATCATTTGGCTTATATACTGTAAATCATATCGACTCACCACCATGTCTCTGTAAATTATGGTTAGGTTTCGGGTAATTATCCCCAACCCAGAAAGGCTATTTCAGGTTGGTGAATGATTTGTTCAATAGAATTTTGGTAGTTTATTCATTGTTCAACTCTTGAACTTCGTTGAATCCCCCTGAAACGCTCCAAGGAGACTCCAGAGGAGCTGGCTGAAAAGATGGGCCCCGAGCCCTATAGGAAGCCCCTGCCAGACATGCCCAAGCGACGTCTGGTTCTGCCAGAAGAGGGTGGCCCCTTGGAAGATGACCCCGGGGATTATCGCAGGTCTTCTTGGAAGTTGATGGTTAAGTTGATGCTTAAGTTGGTTAAGTGCTTCAGTCATTGTATGTCATTGTTCCTATAAAGTTTATCCTAGTTTTTTCCCCTAAATTCCAGGGCCTATATTATATAAACCCAATATGTAATATTACATAATATGGTTCTTTAGTTGACTCCATAAGTCCTCGGGATCAGCATTAATCCAAAGAAGGCCCCATTGTTGGACACACCGAACCAGTGAATGCATATCATTTGCACAGACCATTGCATATGTATCGCACATACATGCAAGTACATGCATATACTCTTCACTTCTTTGAATATTCTTTGTGTTTCTGTAAATCATTACACATTTATATCGATCATCAACATCATATATCCATACTACACCATGTGTGTGTGTGTGTACTTGTGTGCGCGTAGATGAAACGTTTAGACAGTTCAGTGGCGCATGTGCTCCTATCGATCCCGGTCCCGCCCGGTCCCGCCCGGCTCGTTCAAGGCCTTTCCGCCCCAATGAAAGTTAAAGTAAAAGAAGCCCGCAAGGCTCCGCTGTGCTAAACTGGATTGGTTGGGGAAATCTTTACCGGAAATAATGTTTGTTTTTTTTGTTTAACCAGTAATTAGATCTATTCTGTGGATCTTCCCATCTAATTCTGGGATGGATAGATGATTTGTTTCCAAAAAGGCCATGACCTGTGGCTTCCGCAGGCATTGCAAAAGAAAGATCAGACCGTCACGCAGCTGACTTTGAGCCTGAAGCAGTGCCGCAAACAGGCGCCGAAAGAATTCCGCAGTGATTCAGTCATACAAAGTTCCAACTGGGATCAATTGTGACCCCTGCCTTTGAGTAGGATGTTCCGGAGCTGTTCCTTCTGGAATCATGATTTTCACCAATCCTGCCTCCCCGTCCTCGATCCCAGGTGTGGGATTTGCAATGCGAAGCCAATGCGGCAGATATGAAGGCGACGGGTTTCGGTAGAGTCAGTGAAAATTAATGAAAATTAGATGCGACATGGCCACAGTTGCTATTGATATTGTAATTTACTCCACACTCCACAATGCAAAGTATTACCTTGTAAGGGATGTATAGATGTCCTGCAATCAATGTCTATCCATAGTGTTTCCAGCCTTTTGCAGCTTGGCTGCGCTAGGTTGCCCGAATGCTTCAGAAGCGCGAAGGGGAGCTGCCAGAAGAATATCGGGAAGAGTTGGAACGGCTCAAGGATAAGGAGGTTAGGGCTGCCGGACCAAGTTAGACCATGACCCGGCAGGGGAAGGGTTGGAAAACCGTTTGCACACTTATGCTTCACCATGAAAACATAAAAGGTGAGCCAGGAAAATGTACCATTGGACCATGACCAGGATGCTGCAATCCCAAAAAATCCAGCGGACAGGAAGAAATTGCTGATCAGCTCAGCACCGCGCGTGCCAACGCACAGCGCTGGGCCTCTGTTTGTTGGCAGCACTCAGGGGTTCACTGGGGGGCTCTGTGGCCCAGAGGAAAACCAAGCAAACGTGCCGCTGCAGGTGGCCAAAAGACAAGATGCTATGCTACAGCAGGACTCTGGGGATGCTATGCTTGTGAAAACAATGCTAGTTAGTTACCTTTTTTCCTTGGTAGAATCATGTATATGACTCCAAAGAATGACTTGCGGCTTGTGATTCGTTGAAGGTGCTGCAATTGGAATTCAATGCGCTTTCCATATTTGAGTTGGCACATTTTAGCAGCTAGTTGGCGCCTGCCAGCCCTTCAGCTTTTGACACTTGAAGCCAACGAAACCGATCAGTTATTGACGGGCGGCAAGCATTTTTAGTTTAGCTTCCATGGAGCTGCTCGACAAGCTTGCCATCTATGTTACTTGGCCATCAGCCATTGCTCGGGCACATCCAGGCACACTAGAGTGACCGTGCAGGAAGCGTAACGCAAATGATGGCAGTTAGTGAGGCAAGGGAAACCATCCCAAAATGATTCACTCGCAGCTTAGGAAGTGAGGTAATTTGCGCAGATGATATAACCATCATTCAGCCATGCTGCCTGATTTATTAGGCACCCACGCCTTTGCAGGAACAGCCATCATTGGCCGTACAGCAATTGGTTTATTGGTTTGTTGGTTTGTTTGTTTGTTTGTTTTGTTTGTTTGTTTGTTTGTTTGTTTGTTTGTGAAGACGTCTTCAGATGGGCCACACTGCTGCACACATCCATTTCTCTGTTTGTTGATCGGCTGTTGGTGCAAATATCTTCCCTAGCTAGTTGAGCTCAAATGAACCTGATACCCTGATACAACCTGGCCTTTGTCATTTGCAACCGCCCTTTGCATCGATTTGCAAGGTTGTGGCCGTTACCTTGCTCATCATGCTCGCGAAGCCTGCTTTGCCGAAGGTCACTTGGGGCTATGATTTCCTTCCGCAAATGGCATGTCATATGTGGTCCTTTCTGATTGCTCCTTGGTTCAAGTAGCTTAACACAAGGCCAACGTGCTCTTTTGCGTGGTTGTTCCCACTGGTTGATTTCTATATACAGGAGTGACCGCCCCTCAGTTCGGCTGATGCGGACTTGGTCTGAAGGCGATGGAGAGAGAGAGAGATACAGGAGTGAACCCCCAAGAGGTAAATGATGTATGTAAATGATGACAAATGAAACTCCGAACATTGCCAAATGGTTTTTGACTGAACCGGCCCAGTTCGCCTACTTAGTACTCTTTGTCAGGTATCTCAGTATCTCAGCGTATTTTTGTAAGACTTCGTGGCCTACTGTAAACATGTTGTTTCTGTCCATTAAGGCCTGCATCATCCTCCTCTATCTTGGAAATGGATCTAGCACAGAACAATTTATGGCCATCGCATCGTTCACGGCAGCTTGGTGTGGCGTTCTTGCTCTGCAGGTGGTGATAGGTACTGAAAGGTGCAGATGATAGATGATGGTAGATGATGCATCATGATGCAACATGATGCTGGTGGTGGTGGTGGTGGTGGCGACGGTGGTGATGGTGACGGTGCTGATGGTGATAGTTCTGATGGTGATCGTGGTGATGGTGGTGCTGGTAATTGCTGACTGAGTCATGATTGATGGTGATTATTGATGCTGATTGCTGGAAGGATGTTTCTGGCAATTTGCCAAAGTGCAGCAGTTTATGTTAGCCATGAACTATCAGAGGTTCGAAGGAGTTTGCAAATGGTTGATCGCATTCTTGAACCATTGCTGCTTCAAAGTAAATAGGACATGCACACGGAATCACCTCGTCCTAGGCTTCTATGCTCATTGTCGCTTGGCAGCAGCCTTGCTCGTCATTTCAGCGCGCCATGGAGGGTTGGGCTGGGCAAAGTGCAGTGTTTTACAGGGACAATTGCCAAAACAGAGGGAGGCGCTGGATTCAATCTTGACTCATCCCCAGTGAGCTTTCAATTTTAAGGATTTGCTTCCTTCATCGTGATAGACTTTACTTTTTCAGCTGGTACCGGCACCCTTGGAAACCATTGGAAACGATTGGAACAGCACTTGGGTTTGTCTGAAAGTACGGTATCCTATGAACAACCACATCCTCTGTGTGTGTAAATATCCCTTCATTTTCAGTCAAACCCATAGACTCCATTCTTTGATGTATCTCCCGCTAATATCCCATTAAAGATGTTAAAGTATCTCATTATATAATATGTAATTATATAGATGGGTCAAAAATCCATAAATCCTTCCATTGTCAGAGAGATCTTCAGGTGGCAAATCTGGCTACAGTGGGTTACCCTCTCTACTACTCCGCTCCTGCCGTGGCGGCGTTGTGGGAGCTGATCTATGCCAGCGATCTCAGCGATTTCAGCTGTTGGGATGCCCCAAAATGGCGAAAGCTATGTGCCATGGGTCAAAACTTGGATGAGATTAAACCATTTGGGGGATGGTCATCAATCTGCAAGGGACACACACACACACATGTATAAATATATATATATGATTATATATGTATACATACACATAATATGATGACTTATGACGAACGGCCATCATTGTTCTTGGGGGAGGTAGCCTAGAATTTGAGGGGCTCTACCCAGTTGATAATGTAGTTGGCGAATGGTTTGCAATGGAGGGCCCATTCATCCACTGCAGTTTGTGCTGTGAGGAGCAAATGAGCCTATATGCATGCTGTCGTTGGTATCCGAACACTGCCAGGTGTTCTCATCATTGCTTTCATGAATTACCTCAACAGGATCAGTAGAAAGTACTAGCTGGGTCTTGTGCATGCATCCACACCTTTTAGGATTGCTAGGCTACTTGCTTACTGTGCACACCCTATGTTATCCTATACTGGATCATTTAAGTTTACAAATCCTCCGCCCGTCCGTCGTTCTTTCCCGCATTGCTAAGGTCATCCAGCGGTTTGACAAGTGACTGAGTTGTGGCACCGGAGACCTTGATAGGATGCTGCCGGTCATCAGGGAACCACCTGTTCTGGTGAGGCCTGAGCGCGACACCGCCAAAGCGGGTGATGGATTCAGAGAATAAAAAGGGAAAAACGCGCCGCCAGGAATTTTACAGTAGAGCCACTAGCAGCAGGATGCAACAGCAAATTTGACCTTTCTTGATGCCGAATATACATGAATATACGACTTACACGTTTGTTCGTTGTGTACGTCGTACGTGCGTATGTGTTCAATGTAGTTGCCCTTTTGTGGGTTAGTTATGGTCAGTTACAGTTACGCGTGTGCGTTTCCAGCGTTTCTTATGAATTGGATGTGGCTTGTCACTGTCCTTGTTTGTTCCAGGAGCGGGAGGAACAGAGAGGAGATGCTCATACCATTTTAGCCAAACATCCCGCTGGAGAAGTCTTTTGGACGTTGCTTGGAGTGTTGATCCCCCAGCTTGAGCCATATCTCACCGAGTTAATGTGAGAAAAAACAGTTGAAAATATGCTGGTTCCATCTGGTTCCATGTTCTTACCCTCCAATCTATCCATTCTCACGGGCTTTCCTCTAGATTCTTGACCACTCCATAGCACAATTCATTATTCAGATCCGTCCAAACTGTTGTGCGTTTAAACGCATGGCTCCAAAATAAGCCAAATTTTGTCTGTACGCAGGCCTTGAACATTTGTTTATGCTGTCAGTGTGGCTTTACTGTTTAATGTGAATTGCATTTATTAACAACTGCTGATTTCGACGACCAGGTGCGATTTCAATCGGTTTCCATTTAGGATGTTGTAACAATGTTGTATTTGTGCATTTTGTTTTCTTAGGTTGTTTGTTCTATGGCTTGGTTACAGTTACACAATGTTACACATACTGTATATTATATATAACAAGTATTATTAATACATATTCATGTCATTTATATTTATTTATGACTTTGTTATATGATTTTGACCTATTCTCCTCATGTTCCTTGATTTTATTCTACTTTCCTGGTTTGCCAAGTTCCCAGAGGGGGCTAGAGCGGCTAGGCTGTAGGAAAAGCAATGGAGTTTCTTATGTTTCTTCATGTTTTCTTGGATTTGCATGGGCTTTCTATTTTTTGAATCTTTGAAACCAAAGACAACGGAGAAAACATGTTCGATTTTCCCCAAGGTTTCTCCTCAAATGTTCCACCAGGCCACATCTTTTCTGCCGGACGGCCCTCGGGTGGCTCCCAGGGTCCTGTCCAGGTTCGGGTCGGACAGCGACAGCGAGGAAGCCTCGCCTGCGCGGCGGCGCGATGGACCGACAGAGGTCACCCGCGATGGCAGCAGTGATGAGGAGATGGGGGTCATGGGGGTTGGGGATGGGGATGATGAGGGATGGGGGATGGGGTACCCTCTGGTAATTTAACAGTTTGCTATTGAAAATGGTGATTTATAGTGGATTTACCCATTGAAAATGGTGATTTTCCATAGTTATGTTAGTTTACCAGAGGGTATGGGGGATGGGGGATGGGGACATCGTTTGGTAATCGAACAGTTTGCCATGGAAAAACACAACTTTCAAAAGATAAATCATCGAACATCATCGAACTAAATGGGCAATTGTCCATAGCTATAAGATGATATATATATATGAATCATGATATTTTAAGACCTTTGAATTATAAGTTGGATGGGATGGGGATGTGGATGCAAAATAAGGTTCTGCAAGTGTTTTGATGGAGTTGGTGAGATGGGATGAGATGGTGTGGGGGATTCCCTCGGGGGACGTGCCTGAAACTGGGTGCGGGGTTACCCAAAGATTATCGTATAGAGATGTGCGGTTTCATATGGTTTCATTTAAATGTGTTGGTTTTATATTCTGGTGATGTGGATTTACAGTATAACCTCTGGTAAACTAACGTATATAACTATATGGAAAATCACAATTTTAAGTGGGTAAATCCACTATACATGGCAATTTTCAATAGCTATGTTAAATTACCAGAGGGTAGTATCAAAAAGTTGTTGGAACACAAAGTGCTGAGACAGTGTCAGGGAAATGATGGGATGTGCAATGATATAACGGTATAATCCACCTAGATCGCCAACAATGAAGAGACATATTCAACGGTTTACCCGCCCGCACCAAAAAAAAAAACGTAAATGACAGTAGTACGTATATCATTGTATATCTATGTGTATTTATATATAATTATATATATATATATACATTATGGACATTGATATAATATGGTGCAGGACTCTGGGATTAAAATTCAAAAGGTTCACACCCAGTAAAGATCCTCAAATCGAGGATGCCAAACTCAGCTCGACTCAGTGCAGGATTCACATCGCCCGATGGCCAAAGGTAAGGCAAAAGCTCCATCCTACTCCTCAGAGCCTTGGACGAATTGGACGAAGCAGATTGGTCACTTGAAATATCTTGAAATGTCATCAGTATATCATCAGTCAGGTAATTACAGGAATATACAAGAACAAAATTACCTGAGCTTGCAACATGTCATGTTCCGTGTGAAAATCATCGAAAACCGATGTGAACATCAAAGCAGACTAACCCAGAGATGCAGCCAGGACAGCGCCAGCAGTGGAGATGACTCCATAGACCTTCCAGGCACAGGTGCACCCGGGGAGCCAAGGGAGCTCAGCAGACCGGAACACCGTCATTGAGCCAGGACCAGTGGGCTCATCCGGCCCATCGGGCCCGAGCGTAGCTTGGTGTTGCAGTTACACTTAGGACTTCATCGGACCGGATGCACCATGATGCACCAAGATAATTAGAGTTTAATGATGTCTATAAGGATGGTCAATGATGTTTAATCATGTTTAATGATGTTCAAGTCGTTTTTTTTTCAGGAACCCTCTCCAGTACCAAAAAGAAACACCATGGCCATGTTGCAGGGAAATCATCTACCATACCCGGAGAATCCAACATGGCTACCCGGAAAATCCCGCTCATGATCGCTGGTGTATATAGATTATGTTCATTGTTTTTCCCATTAAAACCTCCATTTATGGGGCGGATGTTCATTCGCCCGAGGCGAAGGCCAAGGCAGTTCCTGCAGTGCCCATAGTGTCGGCACATGACGCTGATGACGCAGGGATGCCAAGCTGTGGATCGTTCTTTTCTTTTTGGTTTTTGTTTGGATCTTGGGATTTTGTTTGGATCCTTTTGGGTGCTTTTAGATATGGATCTTTGGCCATTAGTTGACAGATGATGTTTTCATGACAACGATGGCCATGTATCAAGCATTTTTGTTGATTATGAGTTACTGTATGCATGGCTGCATGGGTTAAAGCTTCAGTATCAATATGTGCAAATTGTATTTGTACCCATTTGTACTCATTGTACCCTATAAAATCATTTTAAGAAAATATCCCAATTTCTGTTTGTTCGTGCTTGGGTTGAAGCTGCAACCAGCAAACACACGTATGCATTGTGCCGCCTTGCCACATTTGCCACTGGAGGTCTCCGAGATTTCTGAGGACATCCCAGAAAGTTCCCGCAGCGTGTGAAGCCGCGGAAGTCCGACGCCATGGCCATGAAGTCTTCATGATGAGCGCAGGGGCGAGGTGGCAAAGACTGAATCCTTACGACAAACCGGAAATATCCAGAGCCACTGGGATGTCATTTTCTCAACTGAAATGCACCGACTTAGACCTGAGCAACCACCTGTCCCCGGTTATTTCCCTTTGCAGATTAGAGTCACAATGATTTCCCTAGGGTATGCGTTTCTCGCGACCTGTGCGAGAATGGATCACGCCTGCCTTGGGGTTGTGCGAGATTGCGTGCCATGGGAATCTGATAGACCCGCTGCAGTTCCACCACCTCCGTATTTGACAGTCATGGATATGATGGGGTGTCATGAAAGATGTATGATTGCGAATCATGTCAGCCCAGGATTAAACCCCAAAGTTTGCTAATGTTATTTATTAGGAGCCCAAGTAAATTAGTGATACTGATACTTCATGATAATTCAATGCCAATTCTACATGGTACCCTTCATTTTTAGGATCTGAGTTTTTTTCCCCGATCCGGGGTCGGCATGCCAACATAACTTACCTGTTGGTTTTGGTTCTGAGGCGTGGCGCTGTATTCCCATGGGCATTGGCATCGGGTATCGTTCATGATAGGTAAGGATCCAGCGCTGACAAAGTAGATGTGGCATGGCCTGTGCAGCTGCAAATGATTGCTTTCGGCAGTAATAAGCTTTATAGTTCTTACATGTTCTTACCCAGCACAAGAAGAGTTTCTCTCTATCTATCTATATATCTATCTATCTATCTATCTATCTATCTCTATCTATCTATCTATCTATCTATCTATCTATCTCTATCTCTATCTCTATCTCTCTATCTCTATCTCTCTATCTCTCTCTATCTCTATCTCTATCTCTATCTCTCTATCTCTCTATCTCTCTATCTATCTATCTATATATCTATCTATTCTAATCTAATCTAATCTAATCTAATCTAATCTAATCTAATCTAATCTAATCTAATCTATCTATCTATCTATCTATCTATCTATCTATCTATATCTCTATCTATCTACCTATCTACCTATCTATTTATCTATCTATCTATCTATCCATCTATCTATCCATCTATCTATCCATCTATCTATCTATCTATCTATCTATCTCTCTATCTATCTCTCTCTATCTATCTATCTATCTATCTCTATCTCTATCTATCTATCTATCTATCTATATCTATCTATCTATCTATCTATCTATCTATCTATATCTCTATCTATCTATCTATCTATCTATCTATATCTATCTATCTATCTATCTATCTATCTTACTTATTTGTCTATATTATTTATCTATCTATCTATCTACCTATCTATCTATCTATCGATCTATCTATCGTATTTATCTATCTTATTTATCTATCTTATTTATCTATCTTATTTATCTATCTTAGTTATCTATCTTATTTATATGTCTTATGTATCTATCTTATTCGTCTTATTTATTTATCTTATTTATCTATCTTATTTATCTTTCTTATTTATATATCTTATTTATCTATCTTATTTATCTATCTTATTTATATATCTATCTTATTTATCTATATTGTTTTTCTATCTTATTTTTCTATCTTATTTATTTATCTTATTTATTTATCTATCTATCTATCTATCTATCTGCTTAGGGTGGTTGTTCCAATGCATCAACCTGAATCATTTTGCCAATATTTAAGACATTATACTATAGGTGCATGTACCTGTAAAGTTGCATTAATATGTATACTGTATGCATAGGTTGATTCGGTTGATGCCATTTTCTGTGTGCAATTCTAAGTAGATGTGTTTGAACCCCAGTGTAGTGGAATTGTTGGTTTTGGAGTCCCATCCCAGGTGGGGTATTTGAAAAAAAGCCGCTGCATGCGCCTCCTCTAGACCTTGGCGCTCGTTTGTCAATGCAAGGAACTGAAAAACGTCCGCGACTAGCATTCAGCATGGCTCATGTCAGGTTCAGGTTCTTTCCTGCTGAAAGGAGAAAGAATGGGACAGATCATAATCAGATTATGATTGGAGATGTATAGCAAGATATAGCCGTATAGCCGTATAGCCATGAAATGTCATGAGGTCATATCATGTCATATCCGCATGTCTTGGCTATTCTTTTCGCTTTCGCAGGCGGGCTGCGCGCCCTCCAGATGTTTGCAAGACTTCGATGCTCACACTGAGGTGCCGATCGTAGCCAAGCCGTTTTGCTGTCTATTTGTTTGTTTGTCTATCTATCACCTCCATCGTGTATATATATATGTGCACCTCTCTCTCTCTATCTATCTATCTATCTACCAGTATCTATCTATCTATCTATCTGTCTGTCTGTCTGTCTATCTATCTATCTATCTATCTATCTCTATCTATATCTCTATCTCTTGATCGATCTATCTATTCTATTCTATTCTATTCTACTCTAGTCTAGTCTAGTCTATTCTATTCTATTCTATTCTATCTTATATTATCTTATATTATCTTATCTTATCTTATCTATCTATTGATCTGTTGAATCTAATCCAATCGAAACAAATCTAATCTAATCCAATCTATGAATCTATCTTATCGTATCTTGTCTTATCTTATTTGATAGTTTATCAAAAACAATTTTAATCTTAGATCTTGTTTCGATAGTTTTATTTAATTTTGATCTTATCTTAGGCGACCCTAATTTGATCTGATCTAAAACCTAATCTAAGAATCCAATATCTAATATCTAATCTAACCTACTCAAATCATCTCAAATGTATGTTTTTATTCATATTGTATGTATACATGTACACGCGCACACATATGTTTCACATCCTTTTTGTGTAGCTCCCTAAGCCTCGGACCCATTGCTCTTGCAGGTCTATGCTCCTTTGGCAGCTCTGGGTTTGTGGACCGGAGAGGCCTTGAAGTGCTAGATCAAGCGGGGCATTCTATGGGGAAAATGCTGGAAATGGTTCATTTTTACCCTGGTTGGTGGTTTGGAACATTTTTTATTTTCCCCAATAGTTGGGATGATGATCCAATCTGACTTTCATATTTTTCGAGGGGGTTGAAACCACCAATTGATACCTATTGAATTTGATGTACAAAGGGGGGACTAACGAAAAAAAATGCTCATGCCATGGGGTGATCATGGGACTGAGGTGATCATAAAAACATATAAAAACAATGCCATTGATTTGTCCGAAAGTGGGGTATACATCGATATACCCAAAATAGTTATCTTGATGGGAAAATGATGACAATCCACTGAGTTTGAGGGGTATCCTATTTTTGGGCAAACTCCGTGAAACCTGTTGGTAACTTGGTTCCAACTGCTGAGGGCTTAATTCCCAACTGCCGGATCCCCTCAGTTGGAAGTTGCTGCTGACGGCTGCGTCGGGTCCCAAAGGATTCCAAAGGTCTTGACTTGGACATATATAGAAAAGAAGGTTGGACATGGCTCGACTTGGAAGAGACTGGCTGGGATGGACGAGGTTTGGTCGGCTAGTTGTATCGCTCAATGAGCTGATCCCACACCAGTCGTGATTTGGACCATGGCCGCCAACAAGGATGCCATTGCGAATGCCCCAGCGGGCCGCATGTATGAGGCGCACAGGGCAAGCGAAAGTTTCCACCATTTCCAGATGGTCTTCGGACGAGAAACGGGAGGTTTGCCACTTCCATGTCATTGTCCAACAACAAGATTTGATTCAAATTCAAAAATAAGTTTGATCCTTCTCCCGCTTTGAGGTGTTTACAGTTTACATGACAGAAGTAAATTCAGGTGCCTGTCATCATGTTTCTTTCACCCAGATGTCAAGGTCTGCAGATCTTTCGGGGCCCTAGGAAAAACCGCCTCCCCACAGGATCCTCGATCCTCCAAGTCCGTGCAGGCAACCATCCTGATCTTCAATGGTGGGCATCCAGAGGTGGGAGGTTCCGAGATGACGACCCATTGGTGTGGGAAGCTCAGTTGCCAGTGATATCCAGTGATACCAGTGCCAGTGACTGCTGGTTTCATCTCTGATTGGGATGACCTACTTATATATTATCTACTGTAAATGTGTTTGACCAACGTTTTGGAGCTGACACCCCCAACTTTTACAGAACTTGAAGGGAGAAGTTTAGTTTCACTGCTTTTTGAAGCGTCGAGGTTTCTGTGCTCCCAGACACTGTGCCGACGATGAAGCAGCTGCAGTGGCCAGCGTCCAAGACTTTCGGATTCATGTGCATGAAAAAGTATGAGACTAAGCTTGCAGCGGTCCTTCACCCTTCATCCCTTGAGAATTACTTATGTCCGTTTGTTGTCACTCGCACCATTCGCTCCGCTGGCATTTTTAGTGCTTTACCCCACAGCCACCAGTGCTGCGTTTGGGTTTGAACTCTTGGGCATGTCACATCGATATTCATGGATTCAGCACCAATACCATCGGATCCATGGGCCCACAATGGATCATAGATGATCATAGTGGCCTAGAGCCAGGTCCCACCAGAGATGACACGTTTTGCCAACTTCATGTGGTCATGGCCCTATATCTTGGCAGTTGTGCTCGGCCTCCTAGCAGTAGGCGCGGCACCTCCTGCACTGGACCTGCAGCATGTTGATGCATGATGCACCAGATATCAGATGATTGGGTGAAAATCCAGCCATAAAGATTCACAAACTTACCCACTTGCTTTCTTTTCGCAGTTGTTTGGATCTTTCTAAAGCGCTGTTCGTTCAGATGGGACGCTGCTTGTGATCCCATGAAGGTCTCCACTTCCAGCGGCAGGAGGTGCCAAAAATGGGTGGAGTTCAAAGACGAAGATGTCTCGTTATGCTTAGTTTTCAGCATTCAAGTGTGAACATATATGGACATATTACATACATGATATCGTCATGATATAGTCATGAGTATCTATTTCCCCTGTATTACATATACAGAGGGATAGATAGATAGATCATATTATTGCCTCTTATGAGATTCATCATGTGACAATGACTCTTTGATGTGGCAGCGATGGTGCAGGATCGCAGTGCACATGCGGATGCTAGAGCAGAGAAGCTTCTCAGGCAGTTTGTAGTGCCCCAGCAAGCAAATAGCTAGGCTAACGCTTGTCAGATTAGGTTCAGACATGGATCTGTTTTCTTCATGTATTTTCATGTATTTTCACGGTGGCTTGAAGTGCGGAAAGCTGCCCAGTTGGAGAATTTTCCAAGTCGTCGACTCATAAAGACTTGTTGGTGGATCCCAAGATGTTGGTGAAGGAACCCCTCGCTGATGGGACCCCCATTCTCATTTTCCCATACTATTGATCTATTGGGAGTTCTTATGGAAATAGTATGGGAATGGGGGTCATCAGCTGGTGCCCTAGAAATTTCATCAAATTCCCAGCAAGATTTGGGATCATTTTCCAGTCAGCCAAGGCGTCCGGACGACCTGAGCGCTTCAGGGCGGAAGAGCTGCCAACAGCTGCACTGCTTCAGTGGAGCCCAGAGCTGGGGTCCTTAGGATTTGTCCATGGCCATGGCTGAAAAAAAGAGATGGGATCTCAGAGTCAGTAGATGTTGGATATTGGGACTCTTCATTTATGCATGTTTATTTACTTGTATTTGATGTATTTCAAATCATTTCGGGATCACTCACCAATTTTGTCCGTTGTTTTTGGTCCATGGCCAACTTCATGAGGTCGTTGGCCGCTGTTGCTCCACGATTGAAAGATGTTTGGGTCAAAGATGCCCAAGAAAACATCACCCGTTTCACGCAACTTGGCTGGTAGAGTGTGGCCCGGGACGGGACCCTATGCACTGCGACTGCGGTCGTTAATGAAACGCTGAACCGCTACCCGGTATGGCTAGGTGATGCTAGGTGATGCTATCCAGAAGGAAACAGTTACTGGCTTAAGGTGGCAACTTGTACCGCGGTCCTTTTCTTGTGCCGCAAACGGTGTGCCATGGGTAAGTCCATGAAATACATGTCATTCTTCAAATGATGTGCCTGTTACCCTCTGGTGAACTAACATAGCAATGGAAAATCACCATTTTTGATGGGAAAATCCACTATAAATAGCCATTTTCCATTGCTATGTTAGTTCACCAGAGGGTAATTGTGGTGTACCCTTGTAATGTCACTGGGCACACCAGGTACTTCGTTGAGAGCCGCACCCTGGGGCCCTTGCTCCGCGCGGCCGGTGCCGGTGCCGGCCATGCCGTGGTACCGGAGATGGCCACACGGAGACTCTTGGAGGGCTGCAGCGAGGACAAGGTGATCCTGGCCACAACCCGGGGACGGTGGGATCATGCTTTATGAGATCAATGATGATATCATATGATATCATATAATATCATATAATATCATATATATATGCTTATAACATATTGTAACTATAATTGTATATATATATGTGTATATCCATTGCTTTCCTATGTTTGTTGATGTGAGATCACTTATATATAAAGACATGATAATGACCAAATCACGTGTTTGGTGCCTTTCTTCTGTGCGGCCTGGGGGGCATATCTGATAGAACCACTTCACTGATGTTCCGCCAGAAGCGCTACTTCTACTCGGGCCTTGCCGAAGGTGCTGATGGTTTGGTGCACTCAGATACTTAGCTGTTGGTGTGTCTGAAAATGGGGAACTCACCTCAATTTATATAATTATTTAATCCCCAATTTTATCCCTCTTGCAATTTCCCATACGGAATGGGTCGACTACAAAATGAGTTTTTATAGGTCGTTTCGTAGTGAGGCCACCTTGTAAAAAGGTCCATGGCCCACTTCAACTTTGGCAGACCATGGATGACCATGGCATTTTGTAGAAAAAATACCGGGGCCCATGGATGAAGATAGAAATTAGTTTGAAAAAGGGAATTTCCAAGGCCAGGCACTTTGTACTGAAATTACCGGGTCCCATGGAGGACTCTTTAAAATTGGAACCCCTGCATTTTGTAGTGAATCCATTGGGTTTCTGGAAAACATGTAACACGTTGTGATATGTTGTGATTTTGCTAAAGTATTCCACGTGTATATAATTTAATTTTCGAAATACCGACAGACCCAAGTATCACCTGATTTGCCAGGTTTTTGTTTCTCTATCCCTCTCTCTCTCTCTCCCTCTCCCTCTCCCTCTCCCTCTCCCTCTCGCTCTCTCTCTCTCTCTCTCTTCTCGCTCTTTTGTGTGTGGCGGGTATATGTTTTAAACGAGTATGTTTGACTATTTGCTGTATAGCCACCCACTATCACGCCCCTACAAAATGACAGGTCTTCTGCCAGAATGTCTACAATATGGACTGGTGTGTTGTTGTTTACCTTCTTAAGAAAGACCGCAACAATTTTTAGGGAAACTATTCTCTTCCATGTCATGCCCCTACAAAATGACAGGTCCCTTTCGAAACCCTACAAAATGGGTTGCTGTTCTTATTTTCTTGCTTCACATGCTTCAAAAGGTCTGGCTCCAGACTGCGCAGGATATATTTGCGAGCATTTATATATACATTTTCTGTTCCCCCATCATGCCCCTACAAAGTGAGAGATCCCCGCCGAAACAGCTATAATATGGATAATATGGTTTGGTGTTTTGTTAGTTCCTGTGCATATAATCATATAGCTGAAGACACCCCAAGAGAAGTACTAAAAAGATCAATTTGTGGTAAATCGAAGGGGTAAAAAGGGGTGTTTTAAACCATCCAATTTGAGGAATTTTCTGATAAGACAATATGATGCTGCATGTTTGGTCAGTTGATGAAGTTCATGGTGCAGGTCCCTGGTGGTTTCACCTTGCACCAAATTTGCTTCAGATTTCCCAAGGGCGCGAAGCCTTTAGTGGACCAGTTCTTGAAGGTCATCAGTTCATTGGCACCCGTGCCTCCCGAGGCGTGCAGCTCCAAGCGCCATCCCATCTGCCCCGGGTGTCCCCGGGGACGCTTGTGGTGAGGCGAAAGCGAATGTGTGGATCTCTTGTCCATCAACAGGGGCGTCTACCCACTACGACCTGGGATATAACGTGGTGCTTCAGTTGCTGCTCGGCAACCGGGATTTTGGACACCCGCATCGTTGCTCCACACTTGTGGCGGTCAACATCCAGTCCTACAGCATCCCAGTAGCCAATCATGTGGGGATCATTTTACACCATCCTTACATGGTTACACCCAATAAATATCAACTGGGGATTGTTTCAGAGGTACTAGATTAGATGATATTAGATGGCTACGTAAAAAAATTGGCCATGGGAAAATAACATAAAATAACCCTTGAAAGTAGATACAGTAGTTTACCTAATGTTACCTGTTATGTTCATGGCCATTTGGCATGGCAAATTGTTGGATTGCCAGAGGGTAATTATTTTTAGTTGAATCCAATGGTTCTATGGTCAAATCCCTGTGCTTTCAGGGTCAAAAATATCTAATCCCAAGCTTTTTATTGTTTAATAAGTATTTGTCACGGTTAAATTCCTGGGTATCATGCTTAAAATCATTAGTGGTCACATCTTTGTCATGCTTAAATCCCTTGACATTCTTATATTTCAGGGTTCAATCCCTATTTTTCCATGGTTGAAAGTTGATCAAATGATACAAAATGGTTCCGCCCCATCTCCTGGAAGTGGCTGAGGTACGGCTCCAAAACCTTCGAGCTGCTACCGTCGGAAGCTTTTCTGGAGCTCCAAATCCCGCCCACAGGGCATCCATATGTGTCCTGGCGGCCCTGGCGCACGCGGGATGTGGGGAATGTGGCGGGGGGAGCTCCTGAGATACTATATTAATATATTAATAGATTAGACGCTTAGAATATGTGCGATTGATGAATGTGTGTGAAACCTGCGTATGTATATTTATCATGTATTTTGTCATGAACCAGCGTGGACTACAACCAGCCCTTCGGGTTTTAGTGAGGTATGCTGGGGTATATGAATGTGAGGTAAGAGAAAGCTTCCCCACTTTCCAACCTCCAGTCATTTCCGGTCTACCAGGCATATTTGGTATCGTGTTGCATGGTCAGCTAAAGACCTGGTCCAAAAGATGGAGAATGACAGGAACCTTGGGCCATCTTGGGCCTTTATTGGGTGTGCGTTGTCGTTATCATGCAAGGCGCGGCAAGTGCTGAAGGAAGGAGGCCAGCAGCGTCTCTGTTACCAGATCTGGATGTCCCGAAGTATGGTCCCCAAGAAATGTATCAATGATTCGTGTTTTGGAAACTGAACGTCAGAGATGCCATCATATGCCAATCCCCTGGGGTCCCATCACAGTCTTTGGATATTTTGTGATATTTAATGACAATTAATAACATAATTATATATATATATACCTATAAATACATTTATTTACTGTATATATAAATATAAATATATATTAATATATATATACTGAGCAGCTCACCTCCCTGAAGTGAAGGCTACAACTTCAGCAGTTTCGAACTGCAGCAAGGTGATGCGCAACTTAGCTCGTCTTGCAGTGTTTCCTGGGGACTGAATGGGGGCCCCCGAGTCATGTTGGATAGTTTCACTATGTTTCACTTGTCACTGATCACATTAACTATGACAAACTATGGCATTATCAGGGATGATATATATATATATATACTTTTCAGATCACAGCAGGATTTCAGCAAGAGTTCGTTTTTTTGGGAGCTGGCTGCACGATGTTGTTTGACCTTCACATTGCTTGCAAACACCGTTCAGTTGGTAGCCCTTGAGGCTCTACGTGCCTCCACTTTGGGCACACCGTACGACAACCGGCAAAGGCGCTTGAGCCATGTTTGCCGTAGAAAATGACAATGTTTAATAGGCAAACCATCTACTTTCATGAACAATTTTCTCCATGGCTATGGTAGGATACCAGAGGGTAAACTCTGTATCAATGGTCAAACATTTGCAGCATATAGAGATATGAGCCATATCTGAAGGGCTGTCATCATGTGTCATCCATTGGTTTCAGGCATGTCCATCTCCCTGAACATCTTCATTGGTTTCGGCCTCAACGTTTCGCAGCGTTTGTTGCCATGGCCAATTTGAGGCATCGGATCGCTGAGGTTCTGCTGCGGAGCAGGTGGCCGAGCAACTCACCACCTTAGCTTTGCCCTTTGAGGTGGGAGACGGGCTGAAACACTACGGAGGGATGGGTGTTGTGACAGGTTGGGATATGAGTACCGTATCTATCTATCTCTATCTGTATCTATCTATGTCTATCTATCTCTATCTATCTCTATCTATGTCTATCTATCTCTATCTATGTCTATCTATGTCTAGCTATCTCTATCTATGTCTAGCTATCTCTATCTATGTCTATCTATGTCTATCTATCTTTATTTATGTCTACCTATCTCTATCTATGTTTTTCTATGTCTAACTATGTCTATCTATCTTTATTTATGTCTATCTATCTCTATCTATCTCTATCTATGTCTATCGATCTCTATCTATGTCTATCTATATCTAGCTATCTCTATCTATGTCTATCTATGTCTACCTATCTCTATCTATAGTGACGGACAATCACTTAGAACGTATTTTTTTTTTCCATTTTTTTTTTCGTACTTAGAACGTAGCAAAATTTCATCACTTAGAACGTAGGGAAAATTCATCACTTAGAACGTCAAAATATCACTTAGGCCCATTTATCACTTAGAACGTAAACCAACACTTAGAACGTGCTAAGTGATTGTCCGTCGCTATATAAACTATAAACCATTTCCTTATATAACGCAATTAAAATATTGCCAAAAATTGGATTTCGAAGCGAATCCTAATATAATAAATTTAAACCCTTAATAAGACTAGTTTTTTCGATTCAAAATCAATTAAATTTCCTTTTATAACGCAATAAGACTATTGCCAAACACTAGAGTTCGAAGCGGACCCTAATAAATTTAAACCCTTAATAAAACAAAACTATTTTTTTCGATTCAAAACCAATTAAATTTCCTTATATAGCGCAATTGAAATATTGCCACAAATTGGATTTCGATGCGGACCTAAATAATAAATTTAAATCCTTAATAAGAAAAACCGTTTTTTTCGATTTCAAAATCAGGTAAATTTCCTTATATAATTAAACATATTGCCAAAAATTGGATTTCGAAGCGTTTTTTTCGATTTCAAAATCAATTAAATTTCCTTATATAGCGCAATTAAACATATTGCCAAAAATTGGATTTCGAAGCGGACCCTAATAATAAATTTAGACCCTTAATAAAGCGGCTATGTTTTTCGACTTCAAAATCAATTAAATTTCCTTATATAACGCAATTAAAATATTGCCAAAAATTGGATTTCGAAGCGAATCCTAATATAATAAATTTAAACCCTTAATAAAAAGACTAGTTTTTTCGATTCAAAATCAATTAAATTTCCTTTTATAACGCAATAAGACTATTGCCAAACACTAGAGTTCGAAGCGGACCCTAATAAATTTAAACCCTTAATAAAACAAAACTATTTTTTTCGATTCAAAACCAATTAAATTTCCTTATATAGCGCAATTGAAATATTGCCACAAATTGGATTTCGATGCGGACCTAAATAATAAATTTAAACCCTTAATAAGAAAAACCGTTTTTTTCGATTTCAAAATCAGGTAAATTTCCTTATAACACAATTAAAATATTGCCAAAAATTGGATTTCGAAGCGGATCCTAATAATAAATTTAAACCCTTAATAAAAAGACTAGTTTTTTCGCTTTCGAAATCAATTGAATTTCCTTTTATAACGCAATTAAAATATTGCAGAAAATTGGAATTCGAAGTGGAATCGAAATTATGTCTAGGTTTCCTATACGGAATTAGCTGCTGAATCCAACACTTAGAACGTCAGAACCCCTAAAAAGCACCAAAAGGTATAGTGTTCCAGAGATAAAAGATCACCAATATTTGCAAATCATATGGGAGGGAAAAGCCAAATGGTACGAAATTATGTCTATGTTTCCTCGGAATTAGCTGCTGAATCCAACACTTAGAACGTCAGAACCCCCAAAAAGCACCAAAAGGATCCAAAAGGTAGAGTGTTCCAGAGATAAAAGATCGCCAATGTCAAATCATATGGGAGGGAAAAGCCAAATGGTACGAAATTATGTCTATGTTTCCTACGGAATTAGCTGCTGAATCCAACACTTAGAACGACAGAACCCCCAAAAAGCACCAAAAGGATCCAAAAGGTAGAGTGTTCCAGAGATAAAAGATCGCCAATGTTTGCAAATCATATAGGAGGGAAAGGCCAAATGGTACGAAATTATGTCTGTGTTTCCTACGGAATTAGCTGCTGAATCCAACACTTAGAACGTCAGAACCACCAAAAAGCACCAAAAGGTAGAGTGTTCCAGAGGTAAAGACCGCCAATATTTGCAAATCATATGGGAGGGAAAAGCCAAATGGTACGAAATTATGTCTATGTTTCCTACGGAATTAGCTGCTGAATCCAACACTTAGAACGTCAGAACCCCCAAAAAGCACCAAAAGGTATAATGTTCCAGAGATAAAAGATCGCCAATATTTGCAAATCATATGGGAGGGGAAAGCCAAATGGTACGAAGTTATGTCTATGTTTCCTACGGAATTAGCTGCTGAATCCAACACTTAGAACGTCAGAACCCCCAAAAAGCACCAAAAGGTATAGTGTTCCAGAGATAAAAGATCGCCAAGATTTGCAAATCATATGGGAGGGAAAAGCCAAATGGTACGAAATTATGTCTATGTTTCCTATACGGAATTAGCTGCTGAATCCAACACTTAGAACGTCAGAACCCCCAAAAAGCACCAAAAGGTATAGTGTTCCAGAGATAAAAGATCGCCAATATTTGCACATCATATGGGAGGGAAAAGCCAAATGGTACGAAATTATGTCTATGTTTCCTACGAATTAGCTGCTGAATCCAACACTTAGAACGTCAGAACCCCCAAAAAGCACCAAAAGGTATAGTGTTCCAGAGATAAAAGATCGCCAATATTTGCAAATCATATGGGAGGGAAAAGCCAAATGGTACGAAATTATGTCTATGTTTCCTACGGAATTAGCTGCTGAATCCAACACTTAGAACGTCAGAACCCCCAAAAGCACCAAAAGGTATAGTGTTTCAGAGATAAAAGATCGCCAATGTTTGCAAATCATATAGGAGGGAAAAGCCAAATGGTACGAAATTATGTCTATGTTTCCTACGGAATTAGCTGCTGAATCCAACACTTAGAACGTCAGAACCACCAAAAAGCACCAAAAGGTATAGTGTTCAAGAGGTAAAGATCGCCAATTCAATATTTGCAAATCATATGGGAGGGAAAAGCCAAATGGTACGAAATTATGTCTATGTTTCCTACGGAATTAGCTGCTGAATCCAACACTTAGAACGTCAGAACCCCCAAAAAGCACCAAAAGGATCCAAAAGGTAGAGTGTTCCAGAGATAAAAGATCGCCAATATTTGCAAATCATATGGGAGGGAAAAGCCAAATGGTACGAAATTATGTCTATGTTTCCTACGGAATTAGCTGCTGAATCCAACACTTAGAACGTCAGAACCCCCAAAAAGCACCAAAAGGATCCAAAAGGTATAGTGTTCCAGAGATAAAAGATCGCCAATTCAATATTTGCAAATCATATGGGAGGGAAAAGCCAAATGGTACGAAATTATGTCTATGTTTCCTACGGAATTAGCTGCTGAATCCAACACTTAGAACGTCAGAACCCCAAAAAGCACCAAAAGGATCCAAAAGGTATAGTGTTCCAGAGATAAAAGATCGCCAATGTCAAATCATATAGGAGGGAAAAGCTAAATGGTACGAAATTATGTCTATGTTTCCTACGGAATTAGCTGCTGAATCCACCACTTAGAACGTCAGAACCCCAAGAAGCACCAAAAGGTAGAGTGTTCCAAGAGCTAAAGACCGCCAAGATTGTCAAATCATATGGGAGGGAAAAGCCAAATGGTACGAAATTATGTCTATGTTTCCTACGGAATTAGCTGCTGAATCCAACACTTAGAACGTCAGAACCCCCAAAAGCACCAAAAGGTATAGTGTTTCAGAGATAAAAGATCGCCAATGTTTGCAAATCATATAGGAGGGAAAAGCCAAATGGTACGAAATTATGTCTATGTTTCCTACGGAATTAGCTGCTGAATCCAACACTTAGAACGTCAGAACCACCAAAAAGCACCAAAAGGTATAGTGTTCAAGAGGTAAAGATCGCCAATTCAATATTTGCAAATCATATGGGAGGGAAAAGCCAAATGGTACGAAATTATGTCTGTGTTTCCTACGGAATTAGCTGCTGAATCCAACACTTAGAACGTCAGAACCACCAAAAAGCACCAAAAGGTATAGTGATCCAGAGATAAAAGACCGCCAAGATTTGCAAATCATATGGGAGGGAAAAGCCAAATGGTACGAAATTATGTCTATGTTTCCTACGGAATTAGCTGCTGAATCCAACACTTAGAACGTCAGAACCCCCAAAAAGCACCAAAATGCATAGTGTTCAAGAGATAAAGAACGCCAATATTTGCAAAACATATGGGAGGGAAAAGCCAAATGGTACGAAATTATGTCTATGTTTCCTACGGAATTAGTTCCTGAATCCAACACTTAGAACGACAGAACCCCCAAAAAGCAACAAAAGGATCCAAAAGGTATAGTGTTCCAGAGATAAAAGACCGCCAATGTTTGCAAATCATATAGGAGGGAAAAGCCAGATGGTACGAAATTATGTCTATGTTTCCTACGGAATTAGCTGCTGAATCCAACACTTAGAACGTCAGAACCCCCAAAAAGCACCAAAAGGTATAGTGTTCCAGAGATAAAAGATCGCCAATATTTGCACATCATATGGGAGGGAAAAGCCAAATGGTACGAAATTATGTCTATGCTTCCTACGGAATTAGCTGCTGGATCCAACACTTAGAGATAAAAGATTTCACAAGCCTTTCCACTATCATCAGTGACCTAGACACGTTCTAAGTGTTAAATCCCCGGTACGTTCTAAGTGATGAATCTTGATATTTGGACGTTCTAAGTGTATGGTTTTCGACGTTCTAAGTGCAAGGCTTAGAACGTAAAAAAAGCAGTAATATTCAGATTTTTTTTTCCAAAATACGTTCTAAGTGATTGTCCGTCACTATATATCTCTACCTATGTCTATCTATCTCTATCTATGTCTATCTATCTCTATCTATGTCTATCTATGTCTATCTATCTCTATCTATCTCTATCTATGTCTATCTATCTCTATCTGTGTCTATCTATATCTAGCTATCTCTATCTATGTCTATCTAAGCCTACCTATCTCTATCTATATCTCTATCTATGTCTACCTATCTCTATATTTCTCTATTTATATCTATCTATGTCTATCTATCTCTATCTATGTTTATCTATGTCTATCTATCTCTATCTGTATCTATCTATGTCTATCTATCTCTATCTATCTCTATCTATGTCTATCTATCTTTATCTATGTCTATCTATGTCTAGCTATCTCTATCTATGTCTATCTATGTCTATCTATCTTTATTTATGTCTATCTATCTCTATCTATCTCTATCTATGTCTATCTATCTCTATCTATGTCTATCTATGTCTATCTATGTCTATCTATGTCTATCTATGTCTATCTATGTCTATCTATGTCTATCTATCTCTATCTATGTCTAGCTATCTCTATCTATGTCTAGCTATCTCTATCTATGTCTATCTATGTCTATCTATCTTTATTTATGTCTACCTATCTCTATCTATGTTTTTCTATGTCTATCTATGTCTATCTATCTTTATTTATGTCTATCTATCTCTATCTATCTCTATCTATGTCTATCGATCTCTATCTATGTCTATCTATATCTAGCTATCTCTATCTATGTCTATCTATGTCTACCTATCTCTATCTATATCTCTATCTATGTCTATCTATCTCTATCTATGTCTATCTATCTCTATCTATGTCTATCTATGTCTATCTATCTCTATCTATCTCTATCTATGCCTATCTATCTCTATCTGTGTCTATCTATATCTAGCTATCTCTATCTATGTCTATCTAAGCCTACCTATCTCTATCTATATCTCTATCTATGTCTACCTATCTCTATATTTCTCTATTTATATCTATCTATGTCTATCTACCTCTATCTATGTCTAGCTATCTCTATCTATGTCTAGCTATCTCTATCTATGTCTACCTATCTCTATATTTCTCTATTTATATCTATCTATGTCTATCTATCTCTATCTATGTTTATCTATGTCTATCTATCTCTATCTGTATCTATCTATGTCTACCTATCTCTATATTTCTCTATTTATATCTATCTATGTCTATCTATCTCTATCTATGTTTATCTATGTCTATCTATCTCTATCTGTATCTATCTATGTCTATCTATCTCTATCTATCTCTATCTATGTCTATCTATCTTTATCTATGTCTATCTATGTCTAGCTATCTCTATCTATGTCTATCTATGTCTGTCTATCTTTATTTATGTCTATCTATCTCTATCTATCTCTATCTATGTCTATCTATGTCTATCTATCTTTATTTATGTCTATCTATCTCTATCTATCTCTATCTATGTCTATCTATCTCTATCTATCTCTATCTTTCTCTATTTATATCTATCTATGTCTACCTATCTCTATCTATGTTTTTCTATGTCTATCTATGTCTATCTATGTCTATCTATATCTAGCTATCTCTATCTATGTCTATCTGGGCCTACCTATCTCTATCTACATCTCTATCTATGTCTATCTATCTCTATATTCTCTATTTATATCTATCTATGTCTATCTATGTCTATCTATCTCTATCTATGTTTATCTATGTCTATCTATCTCTATCTGTATCTATCTATGTCTATCTATCCCTATCTATCTCTATCTATGTCTATCTATCTCTATCTATGTCTATCTATGTCTAGCTATCTCTATCTATGTCTATCTATGTCTATCTATCTTTATTTATGTCTATCTATGTCTATCTATCTTTATTTATGTCTATCTATCTCTATCTATCTCTATCTATCTGTATCTATCTGTATCTATCTCCAACTATCTCTATCTATCTCTAATCCATCGATCTATGTATTGGTTTCTATCTCTATCGATCCATTTCTGTCTATCCATTTGTTTGTCTTTTTGTCTATCTACCAAACTATCAAGCTATCTATCTATATGTTTATCCTTTCATCCATCTATCTATAGATCATCGATCTATTTATCGATTTATCTATCTATCGATCTATCTAATCTAGTCTAATCTAATCCTATCTAATCTAATTTAATCTGATCTATCTATTGATCTACCTATCCATCTATCTATCCATCTATCTATCTATCGATTGATCTATCGATCTATGTATTCGTTTATCTGTAGATATACATATTGGGGATGTAATGACTATGCTGGAGAGGTTATGCTTATCGCAGCTGGACAATCAATGGCCATTCCAGGATCCTAAATTGGAGGTACCTACCATATATAAGGCCTATATAAGGCCTATGTAAGGGAATATCCCCACAAAATATGGCCTTATATGGTACTAACGTACCTCCAATCTAGGATCCTGGAGACCTCCCATTGAGACAATGGATCACATGGAACATGTAACGGGCTGAGGCGTCGTGGCCTGGAGACATGATGCAGGCAGCTGCCTCCCTGTACTTGCAGGTCATTTTGAAGGAGGCAAGGGCCCCAAGGGCCAGAGTCAGAGTTGTGTTGTTCAATTTTATTGGGGTTATTAACCACTATGTTTGTTTTTTTTTGGGGGGGAGGGGGATGGGAGGAAGAAATGAATATAAACAGAAAACCATAGAGATTTTGGATGTATGCATCCTTAACTTTGGTGGGTTTCCAGCTGTCCTATTGAATCTATGTCGTAGATTTCTCCTTCAACCCTTGCGGCAGGTCTCGAAAGCATGTCAGCCACCAGCCACTGAGGTGGGCATCGGACTTGAACATGTGGCAGCTCGCTGGAACTTGGTGGAACTGCAGGAGGTTCTTAAGCAGAAGAGTGGGGATTGAGCGGAAGATCCGCAGGTTTTATTTGCGGCAGAGCCAAAACGGCACTTCCATTTCTTTTGGAGTGGAGAGATAATATATGGTATTTAGATGTTTTTAGATCTGACTAGATCTTACTATATCTTACTGAGAGGTATTTCTCGGTATTTCTCTTCAGATGCCGGGGTGTCTCAAAATGGGCAGGTGCCTCACAGCACCCAAGTCGTTTTAACTATTATTTGCACCATCATCCAAATGCCATGTTGGTTTACCCCTATTTTGTCCCATTTTGAGACAACCTCTATGGATGGATGGAAACATATAGAAATGACGATGAATGACAAATATAGATAGGCTAGCATATTACGATGTATTGCGGCAATCGTTGTACCTCGTATTATTTTGGGAAGGGGTCTTGCATCTATATCATCTACTTTCCAGGATTTTGCAGGATAGTTGGGTCTTTCCCATGTTTGTTCAATTTTGGACAAATCATGGCGCGCGTAGCGGGGCATCAAAGCATTGTGCCCATGCAGGAAGATGCAGCCAGCTGCAGTGGTCTGAACATTGAGATGACCACAAGAGCCAAGATACACAACCGAGGGTCACTTGGCTCCTAGAAGTGGATGTCACGATACATGGCATGCGTGGTGCATATTGGTGCATGCTGCCCTATTTCTACCACTCTTATGGAGCTGAGGAAAGAGGCAGCATCGGTATTGCAGGCACTTGCTGGACCAGTAGGTTGGCTGCTAACTGGTTGGACGCTGAAGAAAAAACCCTATGATGCAATGATAATCAATGATACATATAGCACTGGTCAGAAGCTGAGTAATCTGTCCATATGGGGGCTGGTCATCCATGACATAATTACGCAGCGTAGGAATTGATATACCGCCCATGATGTTGGGATTCCCGTTCTGGGATGCATGCCACAAAAAAAACATGTTGTTTGACAATCGCCCATATAATATATAGGTTTCTATATAATGGTTTCTATATCCAACTGGATCATGAAATTGCATTCAACCTCAACATCCTGTAGGTGCTTCCTCCTGAGCATCGCATACCTATCGCGCTGGACCGTTGCGCAATGTTTGGCACTTGGCTGTTGCATAGGCCGACAAAAAATGTAATTTACTAGTCGGATAGGCCGCTTAGGCCCCTGAAATCCCAAAAAAAGATGGCGGCTCAAGACATCAAGGGATGGTGATACATTTGTTTTCCGGATTTCTGGGCACAATACGAGAGTCCAGTAGGTGGTTTGCACCCCATTACTCATGGGATAATCGTCCGTGCTACTAGGAAGCCCCCACCAGTGCTGTCCCCCTCAAATACAAGTATATAGACGCCCCGCCAATTCATTTTAAAATCCCATTCGGCCGTTTATTGTTTTACATTTTTATTTATCTGGCATGTTCTTTTCTTTGTTTCTCTTGTCCTTCTTTTTTCCATGTTGCTGTTGAATTGTCCTTCCCTTGTCTTTTTGATGTTCCTGTTCTTTTCATTCTTGTGTTTGATGTTCCAGATTTTTTCTTGCTCTGGTCCTTTTCCTTCTTTTTCTGAGAATTTTTCTGTATTTCTTTATATCGTCTAACTATAGACTCTAGACTACTCTCACTTTCTACTGTTTACTGTATTGTCCTTTCTTGGCCGGTTTTTCCCTGCACCTCTTCTTTTTTGTTCTTGTTCATTTTGGGGTGCTTAAAACCTAGGCGACCTTGAGAAGGGGGAGTTATCGCCTGACGCCCTCGGCACAGGACTATGCAGACGACGTGCTCTTGGGCGTGCTGAATCCCAAAGTGATTCGCAACGTCGTCCTAGAGTCCCTTGAGCTTCAGATCGTGGATGGAATGGGAAGTATGTACCCTCTGGCAATTTAACATAGCTATTGAAAATGACCATTTTCAATGAGTAAATCCACTATAAATGGCAATTTTCAATAGCTATGTTAAATTACCAGAGGGTATATACTGTAATATGGCGTTGAAAATTAATGAGGACTTCAACGGAGCCATTTGAGATGGTGCCCGTAACTTGTAACTGTCACATCCCTTCAGGGAGGAATAAGCATGAGGAATAGAGCCAATGATGGTGCAAAATTTGGTAAACCCTGTCGATTTCCATCAGGTCCCCTTTTGTCCTTGTATTTGTGATGTGTTTTCTCTCGTGTGACACTGCCAGGTGCTTGATCTCTGAGCAAATTGTGTCCAAGAAAACATGCGCGTGCACGGGCTGTGCCGGGATGTGGGAGTCCATCAAGATCATCAAGCCATCAGGAAACACGTCGAGAGAGTTTGGATGCCACTGGCAGGCCATGCTTCAATGATATATGGGATCTACTGTATCCTCTGGTAAACTAACATAACTATGGAAAATCACCATTTTTTAATGGGACAACTCACTATAAATGGCAATTTTTAATAGCTATGTTAAATTACCAGAGGGTATTGGATCTGATTTGATGGTGTTTTTCCCCCAACCGAGGCCACCCGACTGATGGCCAGACAAGGGCTCACTTGGGAGGCGTTTCGATGTTTCCCGACTCGTTGAGTGTGTTGCTTCAAGTGAGAAACGGTTGGACATGTTTCTGGCGCGGATCAAATTCCTGAAAACTATATATAATTAATATAATTAATTATATGCATGTTGTCGGGTTGGTGTTCTCCTTCATTTTCTTGGTCAATGGATGTCTTGATATGTTTTGTTCCATTCTCTTGGAACCCACTGGACTTGGGCCTTGGGGCCTTGGGGCCTTGCAGTACTCCTTAAAGCCGCAGGCTTTACAGCCAAACTCTGAGATCGAGCCCGAAGCCTCAACATGTTGGAGGACAAATCCAGGCAGAAGCTGCTGGCTGCAGCATGAATTATGAGTATGGTGATGGAGTGTGATGGATACATTACATTTATGATTATATATTAATATATATATATATATGTATATTACAGTATCATGGCTTCAGGTTTCTTTCATTGACACAATTTATATGTAGAATAATACACACTTTCTGTGCGTGTGTGTGTTTGTTCCCAGTATTTCTCAGCATGGAGGCGTTCAGGTCAGTTTGTACAGCACATGAAAATTGAAATCATGCAGGCATAGCCTGCGTTAGATGACCGTAGGCATACCTTCGGTCACAGCATTGTCAAGCTGGAAACAATGCGGAGCTTAGGTTTAGGAATGTACGGGCTTTGGGTCGCAGAGCTCTCAGTTTGAAGGAGCCAGTGGTTGGCTGAAACTTTTCGCAGCAGAATGGCTGGCAGAGTGTTTGAAAAAGTCAGACTATTTCTTCGAAGTCGTGGTGGTTCAGATCCGTTTAGCATTGTAGATGAACAACATTGAACAACTCCATGAGAAAAAACAAATCGTGAGGGAGAGGGCCAAACATTGCACCATCAGCCACTGACATTCATGTCCTGGTCAGTGTGAACTCAACGGTGCATAGTCTTCCAAGGAAGAAGACACACACACACACATTTCACACATGAGACAGAGGCCGTGGTTCTTAGGAAATTAAACTTCAAAACATGGCAAACATTGGCAAAGACGAGAGGAAATGCACGAAATTACTTGGAAATGACAAGACTTTTTCCTTCAGTTCAGCATTTCCAGTTGTCTTGTGCCATGGCTCGCCCATTCATTGCTGGCGATGCGGTAAGGGTTGCAGATGAGGAAGAGCTGCGAAGCCTGGTCGCCGGCCATGCGAATCTCTGCTGGTCCACTGCCTGCGAAACAATGGTTGGATGCCATGGCGCCTCAGCTGCCGGGATTTTCACATCTGAACCGTATTGGATGCACCACTTTTCTGGTTGGTGGTTTGGAACATTTATTATTTTTCCATATATTGGGAATAATCATCCCAACTGACTAATATTTTTCAGAGGGATTGAAACCACCAACCAGTTTTGAAGAGAGTTGATGGCTGAACAGTCCGGACTAAGAATAATAAGATGGTTCTACAACAGCACCACGGACTAGTAATTTGGCACGTTTTTCAGCATTTTGAAGAGGGATTGTGGTTGGGGAGCATTGATTTCCGTGGATCATGGGGCCGATCACTCCAACTCAGGAATTGTCGCCGCAGTAGATGAAGCAGACCAGACAGTGAAACTGGAGCAACTGGTCAATACCCAAGACGGCTTCATTCGCATTGAGGTGCCTATTTTGGATTGATGAGAGTCAGTGGCCTTGAAAATTCGGTAGAAGATTTAAAGATTTGGTGGCTTTTTACCGGGACCTGGGCGATTTCTTGGGGGATGTTTGGTTTTGTATGTTGACGAGTGGATTTGTGGATGTGCAAAGATAGTGGGTTGATCCTTCACTGTTTGTTTCATTCACTTTCCATTTGTTGGGGGAACCCAGGGTCTATTCGGTGTTTGCCGCACACTGCAGAAGGACACGCAGTGGCTGCCGTGGGATGCCATTTCACGTGCGAGTGAAAATCTGGAGGAGTTACGTGCAGCATTGGAGGAAGCGTGGATGCCATTAGGTGGGGCTTGTTGCAACGATCTCATGGTAGGGCCCCCCCTTAGCTGGCTGGTTCAGTTTGTCCGCCGTGGCTCAATCCACCCCAGGGACACCCTCGGCATCATTGTGTTTTCATGCCAAGCTCCCTGCCAAGCTAGCTTTCGTCCCTTACTCCTAGGCCTCAAGTCTTGTTGGGGGCAGCTTCAAGCAGAAACTGCTTGCAGTGTCTTGTTTGATGCGTGTTTGAGTCAAAGTTTGATTTCGGATTCAAAAGCTCCGGGTCTTTGCAATTAAGTAGCATATACTATATTACAATATATTACAACAAATAACCATGACCATACACTTCAATGGCCATTTCAGGAACCTAAATTGGAGGTACCTGACATATATAAGGCCTATATAAGGCCTATGCGGCCTATGTAAGGGAATATCCCCACAAAAAATATGGCCCTATATGGTACAGTACCTCCATTTTAGGATCCTGAAGATCTCCCATTGATACACATCCTTTTTAATGTCCTTTTAGGATGACATGTTTCCCCTGCAGATGTGCCAGCATCAAGCAAGAAGATGGAGTCCGAAAAAGATGCCGCGCAAAAAGCCGCGGACCTCGCATGGACTGCCAAGTCGGGGTGTGACTTCCCGCTGCTTGGCACAGGGATCCCGCAGGATGAGATGACTGCGGTGGATGTAGAATACCGCCAGAATGACAGCCAACATTTGTGCCAACATGTGCTTGCATAGAATATCCCAGGGATGCCACTCTAACACTGGGAACATATATATATAATATATCATATTTCGTGAGCTTTGGTATGCTTTGGTCGTTTGCAGTCATGGTCTTTGGTATTTTGGTATTGAAGAGAAGCCCGGAAACATTACCCGGCTTTTCATGCCCTTGTTGACATGTTGAAACATGTTGAAACCTTGTTAAGTGATCTTTGGCTGACGAGATTTGCCATTGATATCCATATTTCACATCGATTGCAACAGATTCCAGGTTTGATTTGGTCATCACATCCATCAACGGCAACCCGGCTGAAGATGTTACACTGTTACACGTGGGAAGCCCCACTTTCGACCCATCCCCAAGTCATGAGGCAACGGGAAATATCAGGCCAAACGGGTGTAAAGAGTTTGGAATGCCATCCCCATTTGGGAAAGATTCTGAACTTGTTGTTTCAACTTTCAGATTTCTCCCTAGCAACATGGAATCTCTGAATGACTTCCTGACATATCTGACATCGCTGCAGTCGCGTCGCGTCATGGCGTCATGCCGCCAGGCAAAGAAGTCCGGGTTCCGGTGGTTTCCCTAAGCGATCGCTTGGAGCAAGTTCGCCAGACAGTGGCCTCCCACTTTGGGAAGGTGAGCAAACAAATACGCCTGAGCATCAACCAGGAAATGCTGCCTGAGACGCTTGGGCCGAATGTGAATTCGGCAGTGACTGAGAATTCGGTTACATGTGCAGGATGCTTTTGAGAATTTTTGAGATTTTCAAAGGTTTTTTTGGGGCGGAAATCTTTGGAACAGGAACAGTCTCGTATATAAAATACTATGGAATCTTCCGCTTGTGAACAGCCAAGGACCGGGACGCTTGAGCGGATAGCTGACATGTTGGCTGTGACGCAATGCCCCCTGGAATAAATGTGTTGACAAGTGTTTGGAGCCCAGGGAAATAAAAGTCCTGGATATTTCAGCGCAAAACCCCACAAACTTCACATGTATATATAGTGCTTGAGCAAAGCTGAGTGGAACTTGCACGAGTCAGAGGCTTTCAGTTCAGTCAAGCCACACCATCACAGTTTCCTTCACAGCTTCACGGGACTTACATCTGGAGATTTGAGTGCAAGTGGCCGCCCTAGGTTTGCAAGTGGTCATCGTGAAACGTCAACTGGCTAGTCCTGTGGTGAAACGGCTGCGAAACTCGGCAGAGAAGTAGCCCTAGCTGCCCTAGCTGCCCTATAGCTGCCTCAGCTCTTTGTCGTTCAAGGTAAAGAGGAGCGCGACTTTGACGCTACTGGCTTTGACTTTGAGTTTCTCACCTTGGCCTTGGTCCATCTCTTTTTCATGTCCATATGAGATTCATGTAGTATTTAATACTATTGTATATATGTTTTTAGATGTTTTTTAATCATCCTGGAAGGCTCACAAAACCTGAACATGTCGTGCTTCAGGCCACCTTACCTTGTGACCAGCCTTGCGACCGAGGTTGTTCTCGGTTCCAAATCCGGATGTTGAACCTATCAGCGACACCATGGAAGCCATCATTGCAGGGCCTGCCAAATCCCCGTATGAGGGCGGTACCTTTCGTTTGCGCATCCAAGTTCCTCCAGATTATCCCTTCAGGCGGCGCGGCTGGGGGTTGATGAATTGAAAGCTAGGGATGTCAGCGACCAGATGCGGAAGGATGAGAAGACCTAAATGTGTAGAAATAGCAATTTGCAGCGTGACAGCTGCACAAACTCAGGAGAAGGGCATAATTGTGGCAACCCTCTGGAATGTTGAAGGGATTGAGACCTGTGTTCTGGTTAAATTTCCAAGGTATAAAAGACAGGAGTCATGTCCAATCATATGTCTTTTCAATGAACTGAAACTGAAACCAACAAAACAACAATGATGGTGCATGATGGTGCATACTGTCCACTGTCCACTTTTCCATCTTTACCACCTGACCGCGGATAGAACTTGGTTTTTGCGGATCGATCTATTTCCTTTCCGCAAGCTCTGCGAGCCTTCAAGGCCGCCAAGAGTCAAATTCCTGACGCAGATTTGGATACCAAGTGTCCATCCCCAGCATGGTTGCTCGGCCGCACCTTGATGGCACAGTTCTTTGGATAGATTAGATAGATTGGATAGGGGATGATAGGGGATGATAGGGGATGATAGGGGTTCTCTTGCTGCGCCATGCGTCCAAGCTTTGTGGCAAAGCGGATGCTGGATATGTATGGCAATGATTGGCAATGGATATGTTGCTTTCCGACTTGGATGTAGTTCAGTCGTACTGGCCTACTTACTCACTCTTAATCAACATAATTATATAGACACCATGGTTGCGACACTAGCACCAGCACCATTGTATCTATGCGATTGCTTCGTGGTTTTCAGCATTCAAGACAGAACACAATTTAGCAAAGAAATGCGAAGAATATTCTGATGGTATGATATGTATGGCTTTAGCAGACGGTTTACGCCTGCAGAAGTCTCACAGAATTGGGAGGGCTTTCAGGCTTTCACATGCTTTCACGGCTTTCAGGGCAGCACCTTGAGCTTGTTCCATTTGTAAGGCTCTATAGACTTGGACATTCTATCCGACAAATGGTCGCCGGCGCTTTCAATAGCGAAGGCGTGGTTTGGGACAATTCGGAAGGAATTGATTTTGTCAAGAAAGATGGGAAACATAAATGAAAATACCAGTTGCATTCATTTGCAGGCAGAAATTTATGCAAAATTATACTAGTGCGTGAAAGATATTTGCCAACCAATGAGTTCAAAGAGGTTCAAAGATGTTGGCCGGTCATCCTTTGCCTTGCAGTGTAGCATCCACAACCACGCATGTTTGATGTTTATGAGACCCACGCCGGCCTTCAGGTGATCCGAAGTATCGTTTACATGCTGCAGGCACAAGGGGCTTCCTTATCATCGAGCCCCGCAAGAACATCAGCATGCTTATGACATGCATCTATGTACAACTACATTCAGTTATGATCATCATGGTTATGAGTCATAGTGATCATCATGATCATTGTGGTCATCAATAATCATCATGAGGTCAGCGGTTGACATTCATATTATATGTATATATTGCACTGACACATACTACCTGTTCATACCCCTTGATTTTTGTTTGGGCAGAAATGCAATCAATCACAGAAGTACAAGCGTTTCAATTCCTGGCTCTCATGAAGGATCCAAGCGACAATGCTTGCGAAAATCAGGATTCTTGCCTAAATTATAGATCAGATGGAGGTCTGAAGGGCTTCAGCTTAGCCAGCGTCTGTAGTAAGGACGCCTTGCAGCAGATTCAACAGCATGGCATGGAGATGTTCAATGACCAGGCTAGGCTTCCCGGCCGATGCAGGGTCCATGGGTTCCTCAGTGGCTTAATCCACACCCATTGGTCAGGCGCGGAAGTGGACCAGGATGTATGCCATGCTACTTTGAGGCAATTTGAGTCAGATTCATTGAATCAGACGAATCAGAGACATGTGAGATTTTCTGAGATCAGTCAGTTGATGATCAGTATATGATCAGTTGATGTTAGATTTGTATAGATTTTTAGGCCTCGGCCTCAGGTGGCAAATCGAATCAACTCTTGTTGACCATGTTGACCGTGGCCAAGGTGATACTTCACCCGGGACTTCCACCATCTTCCACCATCAGTGGAGTTTCACCCCTGCCTCCAGGACTTGGCAAGCAACGTTGTACAGGCAGCTAAAACAATGCCTTTCCGTGCGCCACTGGACAGCTTGAGGGTGCTGGGCTTGTCTTAGTCCGATCTCATGATTTTCCTACTGCGTTTGAGCAGTGCTCAAAACTGCTATAGACATTGGGGGCTATATTATGGGGCAATACTACAACATATATTAGGGATTGTCATGGGTTATACTAGTACACTATGGGCTTGATAAAGCTCGGGGAGGTTGCGTGGTTGGGTCATGGTTTTCCACGGGGCATCTACATCAAAAAAAACATGTTGTTCCTCTCCCTTATCCAGAATCATATCCATCTTAAATAGATTGTCTTATGTATATCGTATGCATTGCGTTAATTGCGTTAACGCAACGTTGCCAAAAGCCGAAAGATTCCGGATACAGGACAAACTATCTACTAAAAATCTAGGATTTACCATGTTACATCCGCTAAAGGCTGGGAAGACGTGCAGTTGGATTTCCTCATTGCTGGCTTTGCTCGCTCTGGAACGCACTCAGTGCGTGGGGGCACCAAGTCATCTCGTGGGGCCATTTCATCAACATCCTGGAGACATGTTCTGCAACCTTTTTGGTGCTTGCTGTAGATATTATAATACATTATGTAATATAGTTTGCTTGATATCATATATATATATATATCATACACACACACACACATATATATATATACATATTATGTTTTAATGATAATAATAAGACATAATAATAGAATAGTAATAATAAAAATAAGAGTAATAATAAGAGTAATGATGATGATGATGATGTTGATGTTGTTGATAATATATATATATAGTTAGTTATTAGTTATTTCGCCACAATTTCCCATGGGTGACAGTAGAGAATGGACAGATACGCAGCCACCAAGGGGGCAACCTGATGGAGCATGAGGAGGTGACCATCGCGCGAGATGAGTTGACTTTCAACTGGCCTGCTCGACCCCAGCAGTTGCAGGCAGGGTGCGATTGAAAATGGACTGATTGCGGTGAGATTATTGAAGCTCAACGTGGGAAACCCAATGCCATAAAACTACCATGTGGGGATGGCTTCTGCGGCTTCTGTTAAAAAACATTTATGGTGATTTTGGGGATGGTTTATGGCATTGGGTTTTCCACACTATAAGATGTTATAGGTTTGCAACTGCAAAAGTTTCAGCCACAGACAGCACTTTCTCCCGCAAAACACTGGCTCGAAGAACATGGATCCTGGAACAGACTTTCCATGACTCCAAAAGCCATTCATCAACTTCACTCTTCAGCCACAGGCAGCCAGCCATAATTCCCCACACATGCAGTGTCAAACATCTCCAAACAGCTGGAATATTTGCATAATTTCCCATCCTTGCGGTCCTCAAAAAAGTGCCATGATGGAGCTGCCCCAAGACATGCAGGCATGGCTTGTCCTCATTGCCCGCATTGCCTTGCCTGTGTTCATTCTCTTCGTTGCCTTCGGGCCGAAGATTGATGCGTGGCTCTCCTCTTGGGGCCCGGCCTATAGCAAGGATGAGCTCCTGAGGCATTGGAAGGCCACGAAAGGATCCAAGGGTCCCAAGCCTTCGGAGCTGAGCAACCTGACCATGGTGACAGCAGAGACCGCCCCGCTTCTGTTCCAGAAGCCCGACCTTCCGGATCGAAGTAAGCAGAAGAAGAAGGGTGAAAAAGTGGACAAGTCTGAAAAGGCCGAGGCCGAAAAGGCTGACAAGGCCGACAAGGCTCACAAAATGGCTGAAAAGTCGGCTTACTCTGAGAGAACTGACCCCGAGGACTTGGCAAAGACTGACAAGTCCAGTGCAAATCAGCAGGAGCTGAATGCCACTGAGGGGTCGGTGAAGCCAGATGATGCCGCGAAGCAAATGCATTTTGAGAGTTTGATGAACTACATGGCCTTCAATCGGCACCAGCCGCAACGTGTTTTCCTGCCAGCAGGCGACCCACCCCCTCCTAGGAAGCTGGGCTCACAGGTGGCCACCATCACTGGGAAGGATGCGCGGCAAGCCAATTTGGAGGCGCAGATGGTGCTTAGTGGTGCCTTGGAACTAGAGCTGGAGACGCCTACTGGGCCTACTCAGCCTACAGCTGGAACTCAACTGCTCTCTGGTGTTGCCCGCAGCCTTTGCGACCAACTCACCCAAGCATCTGTTGAGATTCAGTCTGAGACTTTTGCCTTGATGGTCAAGGCGTGTATAAAGGTGAATGATCTCACTGCTTGCAGTGATTTCCTGTGTCGGATCGAGGCTGCGGGGCAAGTCCTGGACAACCGGCTGATGGACCATGTCATGGAGCTCTACTGGGATCAGAAGCGCCAACAGGAGCCACAGGAGCCTCAGGAAACAGCTACAACCAGCCAGATGCCAGGAGCATTTAACCAAACTTTCAACCAACAGCACATCCCCGAGCCCTTTGCCCAGGGAGGCTGGGGGATGAGTGACCCAGGTCAGCCTGGCTCTGTGCCATCCTTTGATTTGCCCGCTTTTTCGGTGCCCGAGGAGTTCAAGGCCGTCCCTGATACTGGCACCACCCTCTCCTCCGAGGCACCCGAATTTCGACCTGAAGGGCTGGGCTTGGTGAGCAGTGGTTTGTCACCTGAAGCTGCTGAGTTCCAGCCCGGACTCCTACAGGCCGGCACTGAGTCCTACCATTTCAAAGCCAAGGGCCACAGAATCACCAACAAGATCTTGCCGAAAATGAGCCCACACGCAGGGCCACTGCAGTGAGGGTCGGCGCGGCGGGAACCTGTACTATTGTCTTGTGCTTAATAAAAAATTGAAAAAAGACTGAGCTCAACCTGCACACTGACCAGTTTGATCCTGCAATGTCTATAGTGTTGCATGGCCTGGGAAGTGTTGAGTTCAGTCGAGTCGGATTCTTATGGTTGCACCGCAGATTTTGAGAAGGTAAGGAGTTACATGGCCAACTTCAAGGAGAAAGAGCCTCGTGACAGGCCGGGATTTTGAGAGAGACTTGTGGACGTCGTTTTGACTGATGTTTCAGAGTGAGCAACTTGAATTAGCAATGTCTAAACAAATAACCAGATTGCAATTTCTTATTCCCCTCAATGTCAGCAATCAACTGCAGCGCAGGTCTTTGTGGGGTGGCAAAGGCCGGTGCCCTGAGGGCTGATATTTCTCAATGTGCAAACGGGCAACATGCACTAGTAATGCAATTTATGATTCAATCTGATTTAAATTTAAATTGATTTGATATACACATGTTCGCCCTGAAAACTGATGGCTTTTTGACGTGGGAGATCGTGGGAGTTCCATTTTCTTCGCGTCTTTTCTTGTTTTCAAAACGAGCGCCAGTGCTTTTGCACTCAGGATGGCGATGGAGAGACATACCAAAACCAAAACCACATGGACAGCGGAAACATATGGCAAATTCTCGGAGCTGTGGTGGATTCATTGGGGGATATTGGGGGGATTTGCGGGGCTCTACCTAAACTGCTTCAGAAAATAGGAATTGGATATCGAAAGTCCACGACTTCTCCGGATGTTGAGGCCTTTTTTGTTTGTGGTTGTTACATGTTGTTACCCTCGCTTTTTTGCATGTTTTTCTTGGCAGGTGATGTTGGTAGTTTTTGCTGCGATAGTTGATATAGTTGTGTTTCCCTCCCCCCCCCAAAAAAAAAACAAAAACTAAAAACAAAACAAAACAAGACAATGTCTAGAGCTCAATTCATCCACCACAGACTATTTGCCAAACTGGGGCCAAAGCAGATTGCCCGTATATAGTGTGGCTGGAGGAGTTTGGTCCGTTTTCTTCTCATTTTGCAGGGAAAAACATACAAACTTAAAGTATACTGACGACGCATTTCCATTGCATTTCCTAGATTGAAAGTTCCATTTCCAATCAGAGATATTAATTGGAGGCGGACAATAAATATACGTAGCTTTCGCCGCAGGCGAAGGGGTGGCAGTCAGTCCGGTCCTTGGATGTCCTTGAAAGTGGCCCACAACCAACGGTGCAGAATCCATCACCCCCCAAGGTCAAAGGGTACTACGACTGTCTTCGAAGGCTGGACAACAGCCAGACGCCTTCAGCAGCAATGGCACAGCGAAACGTAGGTCCCCAAACTTCGCTTGATCATCTTGGTTCGGGAGCCGGTGGAGTGGCTGGAGTTGGGAAACCAAGAGCCCATTCAACACGGCAGCCGCGGGTTCACCAGAGGAATTTTGTTGGATGTTTATCATTGCATAATTAGTTATTATAAATTATTATGATATATTATAATGATTTATTTGTATATAATGGCTATTGAAGCCAGAAAAGTAGGATAGTATAGGCTCAAAATGACTTGAACACCAAACAACAACAGCTTTGGCAAGACTACCTCGCCAGAATTTGCTAGTGAGGTCTCTGTACAATCTGCGGAAGTTTGAGCGTCAAGCTCGGAGAACCCCAAGCTGGCGTCTTCAGACTTTATTGATTTTGAGTCCACCATTTCTCAGTGAAGTTCCTCCAATGTTCACAGTTTCGTGTAGCCTTTGGTAATTTAACATAGCTATGGAAAATCACCATGATTAATGGGAAAATCCACTATTTCTATGGTCATTTTCAATAGCTATTTTGACATAACCAGAGGGTAGCTTTGTACAGCGCTGTCGCTAGGTGTTTTTACCACAAGGAATGCCCAACGGTGCCATCACTGGAGGTGCCGGAACCTCGCAGATGGATGGTCAATGCGAGCTGGAAAATCACCAGTTGGATCCATTTTATAGCTACAAATCATTGGAAATCATCATGAATCATAAATCATCATAAATCAATAGATAGTTTTATGTTCACCTCAATTGCTTATTCAAATGATTTTTAAACTTGAAAAAAATGTACAAAAAAAAAGGAAAACACATGGAAAATCAAAAACAAAACTTCAAAACTGAAAAAAAAAAGTAAGCAAAATAAATGGACAAAAAAAGGAACGTCAAAAAGGGAAAAACAACGGGAAAAAATGGATTTGTCCATTTGAAGCCAAAAAAAAAAACATGCAAAATAAAAGCAAAAAAACAGCAAGTCGAAAAAGCAAAATAAATGCAAAAAAAAACATGCAAATGGACAAATCCATTTTTCACCATTTTTCCTTTTTGTATTTCCTTTTTTTTCCCCTTTGTTTTCCCTTTAATTTTGTTTTTGTGTTTTTTGGATTTTGCTGATTTGCTTTTTGTTTTTTCCTTTTTTTGCTTTTGTCGCGCTTTTTTCAAGTTTTAAACAAGCTAGAATAAGCTGTGGTCTGGCTGACATAAAAATAGTTATAACATGTTATAAATCGATCAAACTATACATGTCTGTATATATATATATACATATTATATATATATATATGATTCATCCGTGAATGGGCCATGTTTTCCATTTTATAGCTATGGGCTGCAGGATGTGATCATGAAGGCTGCCACCTTCGAGGACGTGAATGTGGAGGACCTACGTCGCGCCATGGGCCATAAAGATGGAGCATAGACGATAGCGTTTCTTCGAACATGTCAGGTGCATACCATTAGCTAGAGTATACTATGCTATACTATATATATATATGCATCTTACTGTAACATAATAGTATAATATTATATATATATGTGATCAGTGATCTCATGATCACATTCACTTGGATCCAGTCTTCTTTTAAATGGTTTTTGGATATGTGTATGATACCATGAATTTCTGACAGTTTCTTCATAAAGGTTGGTAAAGTCTTAATAAGCAATCTTCCGTTTGAAATTGTGCATTTTCTGAGACAATGCACGCACAAAAAGCCTTTGCCGGGGACTTGTTGGCATGGTGGTCTGACAAGGAGGCCTATTGAGATGGTTTCCTGCCAGGATGCATTTTTATCCCGGCCTTTGGAATATGCAGTCGGGCACCACAGGCCCAGACAGGACATATGGAGTGCAGTTGCACTTTTGGGCAAGTGAAGAATAGTTTTTTCTCCATTCCCTTTGCGCTGCCTACATTTAATTTATAATGTTTCGTCCTGATTAGTGTGGGCCCCACCCCTCAACAATAGCTATACCCTCTTTAAAGTTGTGCGCAAAAAAACGGTTCCCCAGGAAAAAAACACTACACTCAAGAAAGGAATTCAATTGGCTACAATTGAAATCTAACTAAAACATGTTTTTGCCGATGAACTTGTGGTATTTGTAGTAATTGTAGTACTTGTAGTACTTGTAGCGAGTGGGGTTCAGCATGTTGACTGCGTTACCTTTCCCACCTTAAGTTTTTATTCTTAATGAAACATGTAATAAGAGAAAGAGAAAGAAAAAGAGAAAGGAACGGGAGAAAGAGAAAAAGAGAGAGAGAGAGAGGAAGAGGAACAGGAAGAGGAAGAGGAAGAGGAAGAGGAACGGAGAGAGATGAAGAGGAAGAGAAAGAGAAAGACAAAGAGAAAGGGAAAGACAAAGAGAAAGAGCAAGAAAAGGCTGCTTTCGTAAAAGGTTTTTCTTTCTTCTCTTGGCTCCGGGATCAGCTCTGGAAAAAAATGCTGCAATGGTGAACCTTGAGAGCAAACCTACTAAAGTGAACTGGACCCTCTCACGGCCCAGTGCCTTGGAAACTCGTGGAAATAGTGTTCTTTAATAAGGGTTTAATAAGCGATTTTATTCTTTTGGGAACGGCAGACAAGCACGATTTTTTCCCAGAAAAAATGTCAAGTTTTTGTTTTTTTTCTCACTCAAATATTTAAAAAAAAAACATTCTTTCCCAAGAAACCACAATAGCGAACCTACCAAACAATGCATGGCTTCAGAATAATCTGGAAAAAATGGCACAATAGCGAACCTAGCCACGAATCAGGCTGCAACATTATCTTGCACTCCTTCATGACCTTCCGTTTGATGTTTGGCACCTGAAGACCCCAAAATGCCGATTTCGCCTTGACATTTGGGCATCACTCACCACCTAAGGTCCAATTCTTTCCACCCTCATCCGGTCGCTTACTTCTTATGGAGCACCAGGCTCAGTCCACACCAGGAGAATCCGCTTTGGACCTCACTCTAGCAACCGTCCCACTTGGTCTGTCAAGAACACTACAACTCATTTGTAAATTTAAGAACCCCAGTTGGGGGAGTTGATAACTATCCAATTATATACAGTATCTATATCTATATCCATATTATTTATGTATATATTCCTTAGTATAGGCTGTATAGCTTTATAATGCTTTATACATTATATAAAGTCTATGATGAGTCTATTATATTGACTATATATTCTAAGTGCTGGTCCAGTACAGTAATTAATTAATTAATTATATATATATATTTATTTATGATGTTTTACAAGCACCAATCAACCCAGCTGACATGTTTGAAGGCTCAGGTCATCGTCGGTTACTGAGGTTTGAGCTGTTGCGAAGTCGGCCACGAGAGGCTTTTGATCGGCTGACGTCCTTCCTAGGCTCGCAGCATCGTGGGAAATCATCGAAGTCAATGGATCTTTCAATGGGGGATCTAAAGCGCCTGGCGGTTTTTTTTGAATACTATTTTGAGTAGAATTTGATGATGCAGCTAGATGCGTGCAAATCATGCAAAAAGGGCCCAGAAGGGCATGGCCTATGTGACATATGTGACCTTCTCGTGGCTGGAAACTCATGGAAACTTCCTGGTTGCGGTGGACCCCACGAGCTTCCGTGGCGGAGGAATCCAGCCGTTCCCTGACAACTACGCCTTCAAGCGTCATGCAACTGAAGATAGGGCCCAGTCGGGGTGCTTGGATGGTTGGGAGATTTGCTGAGAACGGGCTGCAAGATGGTTGAACATCACTTGATAAAAAACGTTTTTGCAAGCCTGCGGCTAGATTACTGTTGGTCCATTGTAATTACGAGTAGCATTGCTAGTGAAATCAGCTTGATGCGCAGCTTGGCGCAATACAGTTTATGATAGGTTATGGCACTTGTGGCGCACTGCGACTACGGTAGAATTTGCTTTGGCAGGTTTTTGTGCCTTCAATTTTCTTCAAAGAAGGAGCTGAGTCGCTCCAAAATGAATAGTCGCAACCACGCCCGCAGCCTTTACTTAGTCAAGCAGATGAATTTCGATGTTGTTAGAAGTTCCAAATATGCTGCCACTGTCAGCAAACAGGAGCCCGGAGGCCCAGGGCATGGCCCATCAACTTTCCCAGGTTCCAGATTCAAGGGTCACTTTCAGCCACAGATAGGTTGAGAATATTCAAGATATTTCAGGATAGTTCAGGTTTTCTCCTTCCGGTTTAAATGTTCATGACTTTCATCTTAGTCCCCAGCTTCAAAACACCGCAGCGCAGCTATGATCAGCACCTGAGATCACCGAGGTCAGTCGGGCCCAGAGAACCTCAGAGAGTCCTTGGCCAGCGGGGCTTCGCCCAGTCGCTCTCCAGAAGCGAGACTCGTTCGCGCCGTGAGCGGCGAAAGCCGTCCAGATGAACAGGCCTGGTGCCCAAACAGAGGGATGGAAGGGATGGAAGGGATGGAAGTGATGGGATAGTACGGGTTAATCTACTTAATATGGGAGGTTGAAATAAGTTGAAATTGTTGAGGTTGAAGAGCGGGGTCCTGTATTAAACATATTTGTGTGAGTTGTTCCACTAAGATGCAGCGCATGAGTTGACATCCCAATCATTCCATTTGCATTTCATGGACATGCACTGATTGCAAGCCTCGCAGTGGCCACTTGACCCAAGCATTTTGCCTGCAAAAAGGCCGCGCCCTTTGCATCGTTTGCACTTGATTGCATTCCGACCTGTCACTTTTAGCACGTGCCATGGTCAGTTGGCACCGGAGCCGAAGCCTGGAGGATGAGTTTGACCTGTTCAGCGAAGAGAGCCTGGACTGGACCCCTTCTGAGCTCGCTGCCGAGGAGAGACGCTTTCTGGCCAGCGATTCCAATGATGCACCTCCAGGTGACCTAGGACCTGTGACTGGGAGCCGTTGGCGTTGCATAACGTGCCGAGCTGCTAGCTGGATTTGGGATAGCGAGGTTGGATACGTATGTCAAAACTGTGGTGGTTTGGAATTCTTTGATGTGAGCCTACCTACAAAGATGGAAACCTCTACTGGTGTTTGGATGTATGTCCCTCATAGCCCTTCCTCTGCAGCTGGATCTCCAGATGAGGATTCGAAAAGGTGTCAAGGGTCCCTTAGCGATTCCCCTGGCAGATCCCCCAAAGATGTTAGAAATGACCAGCGGTTGTTTGGAGCCCCAAAGCCGTTCCCTGGTCCACCACCTAGTCATGCTGACTCTGAGTGGGCTGAGAGTGAAACGGTGACTCACGACCCTGTCATTGACCCTGACGACTCGCTCTCTGGTGGTCGCCGGCGACGCCGCCGACGTGGTGGATCTCGTGGCAGCGCTTCCGAGATTGGACAACATCATGCAGACCTTCCAGATGATGCGGTTCCTTGCAACGACCCTTCTGAACGAGCCCAACACGCAACTCCGAGCAGTTCCAATGAGATGCTGAGCGTCATGCGCCAATTGCTGGATGAGAAGAAGTACAAGCATGGAAGTGAAGCTTCCTGGAACACACAACGTGGTCCCGCTCCAGGTGTACGTTGGCGTGGTGGAGCAGCTCCAGCACCTCCAAAATGGACTTACCAACAGTCCGACCTTCGAGCCTTTTCCAAGTACGAGCGCAAGGTGCAGACTTGGGTGCTTCAAGCTAAGAACTATATGACTCAAGCTGAGATGGCACTCACCTTGTACACCTCATTGCAAGGTGAAGCTGAAGCCGAAGCCGAGCACCTTGACCTGAAGAAGATCAACGAAAAGAATGGCGTGGAGTACATTTTGGATGAACTCCGAGGCCCCTTGCAACAGAAAGTGCTTTTCCAGAAGCGCAAGCTCCTTGCAGACTTCGAGAATGTGCGACGTCATGGAGCTGAATCAGTGCGGCAGTACGTCAACAGGTACCGCCGAATTGAGAGAGACTTGCAAACCATCGGGATTCAGACAAGCATGATGTACGACAGTGAATCCCGTGGCAATCGCATCCTTGAGCGCTGCGCTTTGGCCCCAGATTTGCAACGTTTGGTGTTGATTGGTGCTGGCAACTCCTTGGAGTACGAGAAGATCACGGAGTCACTTTGCCTGCAGTTCCCTGACTTCAAGCCCAACCCTGTTGTTTGGCAGACTGGCGGAGGACCCCGTGGACAGCACTCATCAGCATCAACAACTGGATCTGGCAGCTCTTCATCCGGATCTTTCAGAACCTCTTCAGCTTCGAGCAAAGGCAAGCCTAGCAGTGGGAATTCGTCCAAGCCGTTTTCTCATGGCAAAGGTCATGCTGGCAAAGGTCCACTTCGAAATGTTTTCCAAACGGAAACTGCAGAAGCCGAGGCAGATGAGGTAGATGGAGATGAAGATGATGAGTATCAAGACGCCGAAGATGGCGATGCAGCGCTTGATACAATTCCTGAAGGAGACCCAGAGCAAGATGAAGAAGGAGATGATGATACTCCTGCACTTGACCCTGAGGCACTTGCAGAGATGGCACACGTGCTGACAGTCACCAGCAAGAAGTTGCAAGCTTCAGTGTTGGGAAGGAAATTTACTGGAAGACGCTCCATTGAGGAGAGAAAGAAGAACAGCACGTGTTCAGCTTGCGGCCAATTGGGCCATTGGGCAGGTGACTCTATCTGCTCAGTTTCATCGCAGAAGCGAGATGGCGGTGGAAAAGGTGCCCGTGGTTCAGGTACTTCATCTAGCAACAACTTCAATTCCGGTCACAAGGGAGTCAAGAAAGCCTATGTGGTTGGAATTCAGGAAGATCAGCAGCAACATGATGAACAAGATCATCTAGCACCCGAGAAAGCCTCCACCTATTTTTCTTTTACTGCAATGCAAGCGTTTGGGACAGAAACTTCAACATCATGGGTGGCAGAAACCATTGACCTCGGGGGCTACATGGTTTTAGATACTGCATGTCAGCGTTCATGTTGTGGTGAAATTTGGTTGAACACCCACTCCAACATCCTGCATCGACATGGTCTTCGTGTCAAAAAGTTTGACTGCGTGGATCACTTTCAGTTCGGCTCAGGCAAGCCAGTGGCAGCTGCGGAAAGAGCCTACATTCCAGCGCAGTTTCAAGGCCAGGAATCTCAGGGTGTTCTTTTGGGAGCCAGCATCCTCAAATCCAACATTCCTTTTTTGGCAAGTCGCACTTTGCTTTCAAGATTGGGTTGCGTGATTGACATGTTTAGCGGCACCATCACCTTCACCAATTTGGGAGTAGTTTTGCCTTTGACCATCAAACATGGACATCTTGCAGTGAGTAGTGTGAAGTTTTCAGATGATGCAGCACAACATGCATGCTGGGCACAACTTTCAAAACCACATCTTTGGCATGATCCTGACCCAGAGCTTGTTTGTGCACCCGGAGCTCTCAACAAGGGCTCAATTCGTGACCTACCGCCCCAGCAACTTTTGCGACCTGATGTTTCGGCACCAAACATGTCCCACATGGCTGAAGCGCTGGGAGCGGATCTACATCCTCCTGCTGACTGTGGAGCTCAGGACGTACCATATGATGGCGACCTTGGTGCGCATGGGACTTGCCACACGTCAGTGGCTGAGCCTTCCAGAGCATGTGGAAGAGATGGAGCGCCAGAAGAAGCAGCTGGTGCCGGTGAGCAGCATGTGCAACCCGGCAACTTGCATGCACCCAGACTTCAAGAGGTACGGCAACGTCCACGGAAGTTTCAGCCAATGCAAGAGATGTCGGCAGGTGTTCAAATGGGATACACTCCAAGAAGGTTGGCGACCCCATGGCGATCCGCGGTCGCGAGCTTCTTCGCACTTGCCACCGCCCTCATCTTCCAACATCCTGACCACCACCACGGGCATGACGAAAGGCAAGGGCAAGGGCAAGACTTCTTATACGAGAACTACGGCATCGAAAGCCCGTGCCAAGGCCAGACCGGTCATCTTGCCGATCACCGACCCCGACATGACCTTGGTGGAGGAGACCTGGGACCCAGCAGCCTACCCACCGGAGTCGGACGGAGGGGAGGATGGTTACCCAAGCTGGGAGATGGATTGGGATGCGGGGGAGATGGAGGCACAGAACCTTCGCTGAACGATGAGTGGGTGGTAGGGAAAACAACTGTGATGCGGATCCACAACATTCCCAGAAAGCAGTTGTTCTATGCGGATGAGTTTTACAAAGGTGACCCATGTCCAGTGCATATGAAACAACTTGGGCCGGAGTGCACTGTTGTTATGCAATATGAAGATGGCAGGACCCAGTCAGTCACATATGAATGGGACGGGCCCGGGGCATCTGAAATGAAGCACTTTTGGACTGGGACATCAACCTTCAGACTGAAGCCGATGCCAAGCAGAACTCTGATGACTCATGCAGACCGCAAGAGCATGCGACACTCTGTACGACAAGCAGTGCATGTGTTTGAAGTTGAGCATCAGATCCTGCAGAATGGCACTACCTCAACCTCACCTTTGACTTCCTTGCGTATGAGGCCACGCATCGACCTGCTTGAGACTTTTGCTGGTCAAGCCGGAATTTCAAGACGTGCAGCGCGTTTCGGCTTGAAGTCTATGGAGCCCATTGACTACAACACCGGATATGACCTTGAAAGACCTCAACACCAACGACATGTAGACCATCTGATCGACAGCTACAAGCCTTTGTTCCTTCTCCAAGGCCTAGAATGCAAAGACTGGTGTCTTCTGCAAGACAACGTGAACTACGTGCGGCGGAAGATCATCCTTTTGATGAGAAGGGCAAGAGCACGAAAGTTGCTGCGAAAAGTGGTGGACTGGTGTTGCAAGCAGGCAGAAGCTGGCCGCTATTTCCTTTTGGAGAACCCAGTGACAAGCCGGTTGTGGCTTGAACCTCTGATTTTACGACTTCTTCGACTACCAGGTGTCTACGCTGTGGTGTGCCACTCAGGTGCCTATGGGGCAACAAACTCCAAAGGCGACATGATCAAGAAAGGCTTCAAGTTCTTGTGCAACTGTCCATTGGTCTTAGACCGACTGACCCGGAAGCTTGATCCACATCAACTTCGACAGTGCGTGCCTTTGGAGGGGAAGGAGACAACTTTGTCACAACACTACCCCGACAACATGATCCGTGAGATCTTGATTGGCATCAAGCAGACAGCAACACAGCATGACCCTGAACGTTTTTTTGGACATCAACACAAATCCAACTTCCAGGTGATGGCCGTCACAACTGAGCCTTCAGATTGGGCCCCAGTGTTTGAGTCAGCCAGGAAGACCTTCGACACAATACGTCAGAAGACCCACCTTCTGGCTACATCAGACCCTGCCTGGAAGACCATTCAACAACTTGTTCAATGGCATCAACTTGACAGAGTGCAGATGGCAGCTCAACCAACTTTACTGCGAATGCCTGTGCATATACCACATACCCACCGTGGATGGGCACTTCTCTACAACGACAACACTGTTGAGATTGTGGAAGAGGACCTGGCAGAAGTGAGACATCCAAGAGCCAAGTTCAGAAAGCCAGTCAACATTGGCATCTTTTTCTTTGGCCATGCGCAACCACCTGTCCAGCAACCTCCATCATCACAACCTTCTTCAGTGCAAATGCCTTTAGAACCACGAGAAGATGACCCACAGGTGATAGTTGCTTCCAATGTGCAAGGCATCACTTTTCCAAAGATGCCTGGACTTCCACGAGATGTCAAGACTGCACTGGCCAGGCTTCATAGAAACCTTGGTCACCCACATGCCAACGAGTTGAAGAAGATGATTGCCATGAATGGCATCAAGGACCAAAAGATCTACGACGCCATTGAAGGACTCCACTGTGACTCTTGCGTGCGAGTCAAAGGGCCTGGTCGTCCCGAACCTTCTGGAGTTCCACATGATGTGAACTGGCAATTTGGTGACATTCTGCAAATTGACATCTTCTACACCAGAGATATCAGAGCAGCAAACTATATCTTTTTGGGCATCATTGACGAGTGCACTCACCTCCACATGGCACTACGACTCAACGATCGCAGCCCTGAAGAAGTCACCCACTAGTTCACAACCTTTTGGGCGAGAGCTTTTGGATTTCCTTTGAAGATCAAAGCCGATCCTGATGGGAGCTTCCGAGGCTCATTTGAGTCTTCCATGGATGAAGCTGGCGTCTACATGGACTACATCCCAGCTGAAGCTCACCATCGCATTGGGCTCATCGAGAGGCACAACGCGACCTTGCGTGAGCTGATGGAACGCACCATAGACTCACGAGCTGTTGTTGGAGACTATGACATGGAGCAAGCAGCAGTTGCAGCATGCTTTGCAAAGAACTCCACAACATGGTCGTCGGGCAGACCTCCTTTCATAGCAGCTTTTGGAAGAATCCCACGAATGGGGATGAACCTTCTTTCTGACAAGCATGGCTTGGTTGCTGGGAGGACCCGTGAACAAGCTCAACGTGAAGCTGACTATCTCAGAGTTGAAGCTCAACAACATTTGGCCGCAATGAGCGTTGACAGCAGTCTGAGGAGAGCACTGCTGCGAAAATCAACTACAACTGGACCTCAAGAATTACCAGTGGGATCCATAGCAGCCTACTGGAGATGGACCATGTGCTCCGGCAAGAAGCGCGGAGGTTTCAAGTTGGCCAGAGTGTTGGGTAGAGACCCTGATGGAAAATCTATTTGGTTGCAAGCCGGCACGAACACCATCAAGGCCGCCGAGCACCAGATCAGAGCAGCTGTCGGCATTGAGCAATGGTGCCCTAGCCCTGAAGATGTGAAAAGCCTCCGATCTGCAGTTGACAACATGCAACATGGCATCCTTACAGATGAGACCTTGCCTGAACATGCAGATCAACAACTACCTGGCTTTGACGAAGTTCAACCCGCAGTGCAGGTTCCACCACCACTCCATGAGGAACCTGAGATGTTTGAAGAAGCTGGTGCTCACCTGATACCAGTTCCTTCAACGCCAAGACCTGCTGCATCAACACCTCACCTTCCTGACTTGCAAGCTGAGGAAGCAGTGCAGACAGATCCATACCCAGAGACCAACATCCATATGAATGTGAGCTCACCAACATACCGACAGACCATCATCCAGAACCAGACCTTCGGCATGAATGAGCAACAACAGGCACAGCCATCTGTGAATGTGCCAGTGCGGAAGCCTCACAGAGCAAGATCCAAGACTCCAGTCCGACGGACTTTGCAAGATCAACTTGGTGAACGGCCTCGAGCCGCAAGACAACTTCCACTGACAGATGGACCTGTTTCAGAGCGACAACATGGACCTCCTTCAGTGCAACAGCCTTTAGGACCTTTTCCAGTGCAATCGCATGAACCTGATTCAGTGCCACAGTCAGTAGGTAAACCTTTTTTAGCACAACCTAATGCAAGATCAACTGGAGATGAAACACCACCTCTACGAGGGCTTCCAACATCAACACCCACCGATGTGATTGAAGTTTTGGATGATGATGATGAAAACGTGGCTGCGCAACCTTCCACAGCACAGCCCTCTTCTTCTCATGCCTTGGCACCAGACACCCAGGGCATTGCAGCAGATGTTGCAAACCAGGCGCCGTCAACACCAGAAGCTCTGAAGTTGACACCAGCGAAACGCACCTTTGGCGAAACAGAGGAGCATTTTGGAGTTTCACTTTTACGACCAGTTCAACATGAACAGTCAAAGAATTCATTTTCCACAGTGGACCACTGCTACAATTTTGACATCAACGACGTTGATGGCCTCCATTTGATGAGCGATGGTTTTGATGGATCACCAGATGTCTACATGCCCTATGCCAACCGCACCTTCATGAATGCCTACCGCAAGGACAAAGACTATGTTGGCAATGGCGACAGTGATGACTCAGATGCGGATGTAGATGACTACCGCGGTGAGACGGGCAACATTCCACCAACACTGACCCGTCAGGAAAAGAAAGCATTGGACAAGGAGATCCCATGGCAGACCATCATGAACATGGAGGAGGAAACAATCAAAGCTTATGTGGACGCTGCAGTAGCTGAGGAGACTTCATGGAACACCTTCAACTCAGTGAAGCCAGTGCCCATTGAGAAAGCCAGAGCGATTTTGAGAGACAAGATTGCAAGAAAGAGAGTGCTGCGATCACGAGCAGCTTTCCGCGACAAGTCCCGCGGGATTGGCCCCTTGAAAGCCAAATGCCGCATCGTTGCGGTTGGATGCACAGATCCAGACCTATGGATTTTGCAGAGAGAATCAGCAACTCCGACCAGACAGTCAGAGTTCCTTGTCTATGCCATTTTCATTGCCGGCAAGAATGGGAAGTTTTTGGGATGCGCATTGGCGAGATGGACTTTGTGGGCAGGCGATGTCAAAACGGCCTTCCTTCAAGGTGAACCCGAAGAAAGAGCACAGCCCCTTTACCTTCTGCCTCCTAGCGATGGAATATGCCAACGAGCTGGCATCTTCAAATCATCCATGCTGTATGAGGTGACTGGAAATGTGTATGGGTTAGCCAATGCACCGAGAACGTGGCAGCTACACGTCATCAAGCTGCTGACCAAGGCTGGCTATGTGCAAAGCTCCATGGATAAGATGCTGTTTTTCTACCACCAGAAGTTTGAGAACGAGGCTCAACCTGTCCTATGTGCACTTGCTATAGTATATGTAGATGACTTCCTTCTTTGCCACGACACCCGATATGATCGTCAACATCTGTTGGGCCTGTTTAAGTGGGGAAGCCAAAACGAATTGAGCCCTGAAAACAGCCTGGACTTCAAGGGCAAAAGGATCTCCCTGGAGTATGACGCCAAATCCAGTGAGTATATCCTCAAGCTCGACCAGGAGAAGTTCATCTCAGACATGAAAGGTGGAAAAGTTTCCAGGAAACGCTTCAAGGAAACCCTGGACAAGAAAGACCTTGGAGAATTCCGAAGTGTGTCTGGATGTTTGCAGTGGCTTGCAGGTCAAACCAGACCTGATGTTGCAGCAGTTGTGAGCCTTTGCAGTAAGGGAGAGAAGTCCACCTACGAGGACCTTCACAACATGTACTGCGCTGTTCAGCACCTGCACCAGACCAAAACAAAAGGACTTGTACTGCGACCAGTACCCATCAACTACAGCACGATGCTGGTGACCTTTGCAGATTCATCATGGGCGAACTCTGTAAATCATTCCTCTCAACATGGTTGCATTACGATGCTGGCAGACCCTAAGGTGACAGATGTCATTGGAGCTGGTTTAATTTTGGATTGGAAATCTTCGCGATCCACGCGAGTGTGCCGAAGTACTTTGGCGGCAGAGGCATCTGCATGCGACATGTCCGTGGACCGATCTTCACTCCTGAACTATCAGCTGAGCGAATTGCTTCTGAACCGGCCTGCGTTTCACATAGCATCCAGTGAACTTTTGAGAATGATTCAGGTAACTGATTGTAGGTCATTGTATGATGTGCTGGTTAGCGAAAATCCTCGAACGGAGGACAAAAGAACGATCGTAACAATACGATCGGCACAACAGTTTCTCAGTCGCCAGAATGTTTTTTGGGTTCCAACGGCCCTTATGTTTGCAGATGGACTCACAAAAGTGAGCATGCAATTGATGCTGGACTTCTTCGAATGGCTCCAGCGGCCGTGGATCCAGCTCCATGAAGGCAAAGGGAATGTCAATCAACAGAACATTGGGAGTGTGAGTTGTTCCACTAAGATGCAGCGCATGAGTTGACATCCCAATCATTCCATTTGCATTTCATGGACATGCACTGATTGCAAGCCTCGCAGTGGCCACTTGACCCAAGCATTTTGCCTGCAAAAAGGCCGCGCCCTTTGCATCGTTTGCACTTGATTGCATTCCGACCTGTCACTTTTAGCACGTGCCATGGTCAGAATTTGAACATGATATTTGACTTGGCATTGATGGGCCACTTGGTGGGAATTAGTGTGACATACATTGACATACTGCATTCGCGGATGTCATTAGCACGCTGCAGAGAAAACGTGCGATTGCAAGGGTGGGCCAACTTGCAGACTAAATGGGATTGCAAAGCTGGTTGGTGGTTTGGAAGATTGTTTATTTTCTATAAATTTCCATAATATATGGGATAATCCTTCCCATTGACTAATTAATATGTTTCAAGATGGTTGAAAACACCAACCAGAAAGGATCAGGACTTTCCCCCTGCTTCTACAGACGTCCGTTGATGTCCGCAGGCAGCCAGCTTTGTCGAGGTCACAGCGTGGTGCCTCACTGGCATGCGCCTCGACTGCAGGAGGAGTATGGTACAACTTTAATGTATGGCAATACATGGTAAAGTATGTGCAGATCATGAAATATAATGATAGATGATGTATGATATATATATATATATCATATATGGTCATATATGAGCTGCGCTATAAACTCTTTATGTATTGGTGAGTAAGGGGACGGTCATAAGGTGGCTTCGCGTAAGCCAAAACTGCAGTGGCGTAAGAGCTGCGCAAGGTTTTTGGTTTTGAATGTTGTGCGTAAGCCTGCGTAAGGCATGCTTGAAAAGCACCTTTTGGCTAAAGAATGAAAGAAACATGAGGGTCAATATGCTTGGTCACGTTGATGACAGTCAAATGGAAGGGAAACCGAGCTCCAGATGTTGCAGACTAGGCAAAACCAGTGTGGCCACGGTTCGGTTCGGTTTTACAGGAAGTCGGTTCGGTTCCTAAACGGTTCGGTTCCTATAGAAACCGGTTTTTCCGGTTCCACGGTTCCAATTTGTTCGGGTTGAGAAATGTTCATTGCTGCCACGAAACCAATTTTGAAAAAAGAATATGTTTTTTCGCGTAAGGAACGCGTAAGGTATGCGTAAGGTATGCGTAAGGCCCACCTGCTTTATCTGAACAGTTGCCCCATGGCCCCGAAACGTCGCCCCATGGCCCGAATGGCCCCGTAAGCCCCGAAAAGCAGGCTCGAAAGCGTCGACCGCAACAGGCAACATTGAAAGCTGACGGTTCAGGCTCGTCCTCAACATCCTCTTCTTCAACATCTTCATCTTCGGATTCGACAAATGATGAATGACGCACTGAAATACTCTGTTGAAAAAAAGGCCGCGTAAGGAACGTGTCACGAAAAAAGATGACTTTGTGGTGACTTACTTTCGCGTAAGCCTTGCGTAAGCCCAGATCCCCGCGTAAGATAAACCCCCAATAGCGTAAGGATGCGCAAGCATGTGCGTAAGCATGTTCTTACGACCTAAGAATCTATCAAGGTTTCCAGCATGGCTCATATGATATATTATATATGTATTATATATATATATATATATCATATATCATATATATAATATATATCATATACGATAGAGAGATGATATATGATATGTACTCAATATGTTGGAATATGTGACTCAACTAGGTCAGGAAGAACAGCGCATCTCCATCTCCACAGGATGATTAAAAAGATACAGAAATATGCAGTTTGGTCAACAAGCCATGCAAAGCAATCATAAGGTCCCTTTGCCCTCCTTTGCTTGAAGAATGATATTTCCAATGTGGTTCAGAGACAATGATCTTTTCAGACCCATAGGATCCATGGTGCTGGTATATATGCTATCATAAAGGGGGTATATTGATGGTACCCTCTGGTAAACATACAAAAAGCTATTGAAAATGGCCATAGAAATAGTGAGTTTTCCCATTAACAATTGTGATTTATGGTGATTTTCCATAGTTATTTGTATGTTTACCAGAGGGGATCCATGTTACCATATATAGCACCATGGATCCTATGGGAAATACGTGATATTCCAATGGACATATCAACAGCCAAGGAGTGGCTGGTGGAGCGTGAACATTATCACAGTGGCTGGGCTAAAAAACCGCAGAGCTCGGGGCGTATCATTTGGGTATGATAGGCCGGGGGGAGGCCGTATTGATGTTGCGAAAATATGTTCAAATGGTTAAAAATCAATGACAAAACATCAAAATTTTGTCTAGAATTGTGGGGTTCAAATTGCCAAATGGGGCGTTCAATCCTGGTTCTTCAAGGATCAAGGTGACATATTCGACCACCAATTCGAGGTCACTTCACGGCAAAAAGGGTCACTCTCGAAAGGGTCACTTTGAAGAATCTGGTTAAGATGGAAATTGTAGAATATTGTACCATTTGGTTAGTAAACATAGCCATGGAAGCCATGGCCCTAATCGAAATCGATGGTTTACCTATTAATAGCATGGTGATTTTATCATGGCGAAGTGCTAGTCATAACCAGATGGTAGATCTTCCTTTTGGAAATTGGCTGACATCACCTTAGACTGGGATAGCCATGGGGCAAGATGAGACAAAAACCATCTGAAAAGCCGACCCAATAAGAAAAAAAATCATGGAACTGTGGAATCTGTGGGATCTTTAAGAACATCATTCTCCCACTATAATAGTAATATATACATATATTATGCATTGTTTATAGCCTATTAATAATTATATATAGCTTTATAATTAACATCAATCTATCCATTTGGTGAGGCGGAGCAGCCGACCTTTGTGGCGGAGCTACCGGCGGGTAAAAGGATGGGAAATCTGATTGCTGTTTGCACTCAGGTTGGATTCTTGGCTGATCTTGGCTGGGAATAGATTCGGGTTGAAACATGGGAGAAACCGACCATGCAGTGCATGGGGATGGGAATCAAAAAACACCCCAGCTGGTGATAATATGGTGATGTCGGGGATTGCTGCCATTTTTTGGGTTTGCGTTGGGTTTACTACATTAATGGGGATACAATATGATTAATGTCTGATATTTCTATATATTTCATGGGAGTTCAGAATTCATGAGATGCACAACCAAGAATATGATACTACTGGGTTTGTCATGGTTTGTCTCAAATTGTCTTGGCCCTGGATTGCGGGATTTGCTTCGGACTCAAGCTGTAGGCTTGATTGATGGCTGATTGATGATTGATGGGAATGTGAGAACTGGATCATTTTGGAGCTTAGGCTTCACCAGGAAGTTTCCACTTCATCAACCGTTCCATTTCTTACTGTGGGTGTCTAAGGAAATATTGCGCCAATCATTTACAAAGCGGCCACCAGAAGACGGCCTGGCAACCTTGTGGTGGCCATTGGTTGCTTTCAGGTGGTAGCAGCCTTTGCCTCAGAGCATGGTGCAGGATGACGCTTTCGCGTCCTTGCAGCAATCAGCGCCGTGGAACTGAGGTTCTGTCACTGCTTGCTACTATGGTGCTGTGGCATTCCACACCCATTCTGCTGGTTTGTACTGTGCTGGCTGGCAGTGTAGGCGCAGAGACTTATGTATCTTATGTTTCGATAGTTTGCTGTTTCACAGAACACCGGACAAACGAGAAGTTCCGCAGTGGAACCTTTTCGGACGCCTTTTCAATTTGGTAAGACATGCATACAACAATCATGATAATCAATATATACATGCTTGAGGTCCAGGAACAGTATGGAACAGTCACCCCTTCTTCAGTTTTTTGCTCACGTTGCAGGTTGCATGAGCAGCGTCACATACTGGGCAGCTGTTGCCCAGCGACCTGCAAGCTGCGTGCGGGCCATGAGCAACTTGGCCTGTCCCTTTGTGCTTTGCTGATCTCGTTGTGTACAGTTTTCACTCCGGAATCAATATGCATCACACATATGACATATGTTATCAGTTAGATATATTCAATCATTTCAACATATAATCTTTACGGATTATATGTGTACTTGATGTACTCCTTATATCACCTTGGATTATAGATTTCTTCCAAAACAGAGCGCAGAGCAGCAATTGGATTACCCTTTGGTAATCTAACCTGGCTGGGAAAATCCTACATTTATATACTTCAGGGATTTCCCCCCCAAAAAAAACATGTGTTCCATATTTCAAACATGTTCAAACCATCATTTCTGGAGGATTGTCCCATGAATTTCCCACATTTTCCCATCTAAAGCCACCATTTAAAACGCCTCGGGGAACGGCAGGCGTTGGCATGACTTTGGGTGGACTCTTAGCTACCGCTTTCGCGGCCCTGCAGCTTGGTGACGTGTTTTTTTTTCCGAAATAGCCATGAATAGATACAGTATTGCGATGATGCTACTTAAGATTCAAATTGTGCTATTTGAAAATTCTATATCATATAATAGATATATAATTAAGGTGCGTATATGTCCTAAGTATGTGTGTGTATTGCGGCGGCTATGTTTAGCTGTTCATAGAATTTGCGCTTCAAACTGAGTCCAATCCATTGGTGATTTTGAAGGGGTTGCTGAGGCAACTTGGAGGTCGAAAGCAAGGAAATCCCAGATTTTCTGCAGAGATTTTCTTCCTCCTTGCTGCTGTGATGCAGGCAGGTGGCTCTTATGTGGCTCTTTTTTCATGGGTTTTCCATAGCTTTGGACATCGACCATGGCATGGTCAAAAACCCATCCATTGGAGGCTGGCCAAGGAGCAATGTTCGTGTGGCGAAGCATTCATTCCGCTCACCACGACACCCCAGTGGCTGCCAGCACGGCTGCAGGAGGCCTTGCCAAATACGGGTGGGAAGATATCTTTGGTATGGCTCAAACTTGGCCTGCGGCACCCATGAGCCACCCGAAAAAGCAGTCATGTTTTCATCATATGCTTAATACAAAGCAAGTTGTTCACAAAAAAAACATTCCAGTCCGTTTAAACCTTGCTTCTGGTGGGTAGAGTATTTTTTTGACGTGAGCCGTATTTTGATATTGATGCAGTGAGCTGCGCAAGCTCGGCGCCGCTGAAGGTGATGCAGAGGCGACAGCTTCGACAGCTTGTGCCACTGAGAAAGGTCCTATGCCACGGATAGCAACTTGTCAGCGGACAAGCTCCCAAAGATCAAATCAAAGACCCAAAGTTATGAGATGTTTGTTGCCATCAAAGATAGGAGGGAGAAAAAAACAAAAAAACATAATCCACGTAAAAATCCAGCTGCAGGCCAAATTCCTGATGGCTGGCTGCTTCGTGGTTTATGCCACCACCTACACCATGCCCACGTTGATGCCCTTTATGGTTTCTTGTTCAGAACTCGGGGTCACAAAGCACCAAGAAAGAATGAAGGGAAACGGATGGAATGGCGTGTGATGGCGTGTGGCATGTCTCTGTTGTTTTCTACGTATATGTATGATCATGTACTTGCATACAATACTATACAATAATATATCGTGACGTGTATGTGTATATATATATACCTGCATCCTCAAAGTGGTTCCCTTTTTTGGCCTCTTTCTGAAAAGGCGCCTTTGGAAAATCAGAGGCAAATCTTAATGGGTAGAGGCATTTCTTTGCTTTCAACGATTTTCACCCATCAAATTACCCGAAACTAGTTTCTGCTGAAAGAAATGCCTATAACTAAAGAGGTTCATTTTCTTGCTCCTCAAGCAGAAAAATATTTACAAATCAATACGTTATTTCATGAAAAAATGGTTTCAACATATCCTGCAGTGTTTTTTTCAAAGTGGCTCATCAAGAATTTATTTTCTTTTCGACCGCGGAAACAACGCCAATAAATTGTCGCCAAGTTTCACTTCATGAAATCGCAATAATTTGGCAGTAAAAAGCCCATGCATAATCTTGTTTAATTTTCCACAGGTTGACTAGCACTCATATCGGATATCGGTTTTGTGTTGGTAAGAAAGCTGAATTTAATGTATTTTAATCTCTGCGGAGCAGCAGCATCTCGTTTCAGAACGTCCCAAAAAAGCACACTATGATACATGTATGATGATATATTTGGCATCAACACCTGGTAAATCATACACGTTCATAATTATTCAAGGTTAAAAGGAGACTTCTTTGTCATAGAGGACACTTCATATCAGTAGTTCATACAATATTGTTTGGTCAAAAAAGGAGGTGAATTGAATCGGGAATTTATGAGTGAAACAGTTCATATATTTTTTTGTCAAACAAACGTTGCATCAGGATGTGTCATAATATCAAAAACAATTCACATGAGTTTGTTTTTTTTTGCGTGCAGGAAGTAAATCAGTAAATTACATCTTATATTATACGCTTATATACAGGAAAATCAGGACTTTGCATATTGAAGTTCATCTAGGGTTTTTGTCACACAGAAGGGAAATCAGGACTCTGCATACCCAAAACCCACGAGAGTTTTTTGTCATACATGGGGTAGAGCTGGAGTTTGCGTGTCAAAAGTTCTGATGAGTTTAATATCATACAGCAGGTGAATGTCAAAGCTTCATGATGTGGTTTTCCTGGAATTTCATGATGTAGGTTTCCTGGATTTTCATTATATGAGTTTCTTGGAATTTCATGATGTGGGTTTCTTGGAATTTCATGATGTGGGTTTCCTGGAATTTCATGATGTAGGTTTCCTGGAATTTCATGATGTGGGTTTCCTGGAATTTCATGATGTGGGTTTCCTGGAATTTCATGATGTGGGTTTCTTGGAATTTCATGATGTGGGTTTCCTGGAATTTCATGATGTGGGTTTCCTGGAATTTCATGATGTGGGTTTCTTGGAATTTCATGATGTGGGTTTTTGGAATTTCATGATGTGGGTTTCTTGGAATTTCATGATGTGGGTTTTCTGGAATTTCATGATGTGGGTTTCCTGGAATTTCATGATGTGGGTTTGGTGGAATTTCATGATGTGGGTTTCCTGGGATTTCATGATGTGGGTTTCCTGGAATTTCATGATGTGGGTTTCCTGGAATTTCATGATGTGTCTTTCCTGGGATTTCATGATGTGGGTTTCCTGGAATTTCATGATGTGGGTTTCCTGGAATTTCATGATGTGGGTCCCTGGAATTTCATGATGTGGGTTTCTTGGAATTTCATGATGTGGGTTTTCTGGAGTTTCATGATGTGGGTTTCCTGGAATTTCATGATGTGGGTTTCTTGGAATTTCATGATATAGGTTTTCTGAAATTTCATGATGTGGGTTTCCTGGAATTTCATGATGTGGGTTTCTTGGAATTTCATGATGTGGGTTTACTGGAATTTCATGATGTGGCTTTCCTGGAATTTCATGATGTGGGTTTCTTGGAATTTCATGATGTGGGCTTCCTGGAATTTCATGATATGGGTTTCCTGGAATTTCATGATGTGGGTTTCTTGGAATTTCATGATGTGGGCTTCCTGGATTTTCATGATGTGGGTTTCTTGGAATTTCATGATGTGGGTTTCTTGGAATTTCATGATGTGGGTTTCCTGGAATTTCATGATGTGGGTTTCCTGGAATTTCATGATGTGGGTTTCCTGGAATTTCATGATGTGGGCTTCCTGGATTTTCATTATATGAGTTTCTTGGAATTTCATGATGTGGGTTTCTTGGAATTTCATGATGTGGGTTTCTTGGAATTTCATGATGTGGGTTTCTTGAAATTTCATGATGTGGGTTTCCTGGAATTTCATGATGTGGGTTTCTTGAAATTTCATGATGTGGGTTTCCTGGAATTTCATGATGTGGGTTTCCTGGAATTTCATGATGTGGATTTCCTGGAATTTCATGATGTGGGTTTCTTGGAATTTCATGATGTGGGTTTTCTGGAATTTCATGATGTGGGGTTTCGTGGAGTTTCATGATGTGGGTTTCCTGGAATTTCATGATTTTTCATGACGTGGAATTTCATGATGTGGGAGTTAAAATGTGATGATTTGGGAAAAACCAAAAGAATTAGAGGCGGAACTTGCCGGGTACGAGGCGGAATCTTCCAGGAAAGAGGCGGAATTACCAGGTCACTGATTTTTGGGTAGGCCCATTTCATGAAATGTGGGTTCATAGGTCATCTCACATCATATCACAAAATGGACATGAACACAACCATTGCTGAACTTTCGCTTTTCATTCTCCAAGGGCCAGCCTCGATACAGCTTGATTTTCTGTAGATGTCTCGCGCTCTTCACTCTGGGGTGTTTTCAAGTAAAACCCTAGTCGTGGTATATCAACTTCATCTAAGTTCTAGACAAAAATTTTGCGACCTTAGGCTCCGTGTCTAGCAGTGTCATTCTGGTTGCCCATCCATAGATATGGCTGAAATGTGGGTCAAGAATCTACCCATGTTGTTCAATCATACCATTCCATCCCAAATATGGGTCAATGCTTTTGAGCTAAACCCACATTGCCAGTGTTGCAGCCAGTGCCATTTATGAAAAAATCATTATGAGGATATCACAACACTACATACATCAATATAACTAGACTAAAAATGCGCTGATCGGTGTGATGTTGGCCAAAATGTGCTTAGATAACTAGACTTTAAAACAAACATATCTATGTATATATATATATATAATCTGAGCTCAATTTAAAGAAGTTGATAAGTTGATTTTGGAGAAAATATCACGATACATTCAAATACAAAATGTTTTTCAGCCCAAAATGTCACGCCAAACTCAGAAACAAATATATATGTTGATTATCGTTGTTTTGTATATTCAGTCTTGCTGAAACTATGTGCATGCTGTTTTGCCAAAGACTTGTTTTATTCGCTAACAGGGTAACTGTTTGGTTCGTCATCGCTAATCGCTAACGTGGGACCTGTTTGGTTTGCTATCGCTAACGTGGGGACCTGTTTGGTTCGCTATCGCTAACGGGGGGAGCTGTTTGGTTCGCTATCGCTAACGAGGGGAACTGTTTGGTTCGTTATCGCTAGCGTTAGTGCATCTTTAGTAACTTTAGTACTGTTTTGTTGAACTCGAACCACCATTTTAATGAAGTTGGTGTTGTATGGGGTTGCAAATTTCGCTTTCTCTCTTATAGACGTCGCTAGCGAGAGGGACAGCTTTAAGGGAAAATCCATTTCGCTGGAACTGGGGAAAACATGTGTTTTCATGTCTTTTCGCAAACAAAACCTTGTGAAATCGAAAAAAATCCAACTCTCCTGTGAAATGAACATCCCCATAGACACGTCACTAGCGTTGTTGACAGCTGTAAGGGGTTGCAAATTTCGCTTTCTGTTACAACACTATCTTCATTAAATTTGAGTTCCCAAAAAATGTGATTGTATGTGATTATGTGTTTTCTTGAACTTTTCATGAACGAATTTCACCCCGCCGCCAACCCATTTTTTTTTGCTCACTGTTTTGGCTAGTATTATTTTCTGCCTTGATATGGCTTGATTATAAGACTATGATGGTGGTAACATGTCAGAAACAGTTTAAACATGCAAACATGATGGTGGCGACATTTTGTCCTATATCCTTTTAAAATTTCTGTACCTGAAAAACTGATGGTGGCAACAGTGCTTCACCATTTGAATAAAAAACAAATTGAATTATGTATATATATATATTTATATCATATAAGATCATGATGGCAACCGTATTTCGTCATCAATATTGGGAATTGTTTTATTCTGGCTACATTATTGTTTTTTAGATTTCACTTTTTCACCTTCCCTAAAAAGACCTCAGTATTGCAAATATGTAAATAAAATGAAATATATGTATATATAATATGTTTTGGGGTGATGTTCCATGTGGGTTCGGGCCAAATCTGATAGCGCAAACCTGATCCAAAAAAAGTATGAACTTAGGCACAGCTATCGCTTTGGATTTTGCTGCACATGTGCAATGTGAACCCAAATGAATACAATGACATGACGCGTCGCGTAATCTTTGTCTTGCGCTAACTAGCCGGTATCTGTTGAATGGCTCTTAGACTGGCAGTTCTTTTGGCCTTCATGATTTAGTATATGTTGGTCGAGTGTGCGGTCTTTGTGAGGGTCAGGTTCTTCTAGGTCAGCAAATGTCATTTCCAAGATGCTCACAAATGGGCGCTGGCCTGTTTATAGACAAGTTTGGGCATCGCTTGGAGTATTGCTGAGGGCATCCAAAACTGGTTCTGAAGTTTCGAGTTCTGAAGTTTCGAAAAGCGATGCTTTAAATGATGTTCACAACATGCAAAAGGTGTTGCTTGAGATTGTTCATGTTGTGGTTCAAGTTTTGATCATATTATAGATAGACGGGGCGGTCGTCTTGCCGTATTCTACAAACAAAATACGGACTTTCCCCAATACTTGATAAACTTATCACCACTTCAGGTTTTGACCCTAACTCACTTGTATAATGCCTCTTTGACTTGAAGGGCAAACCAAGAAGCAGCAGAGGCATTTTTTCAAATCAGAGGCGTTTTCCAGAATTAGAGGCAATAATTTTTGCCTCTGTGATTAGAGGCGGAAAAAGGGAACACCTGGAAGATCCAGGTATATATATATATGATATGCTTAAGCATACAGCCTGTACATACACCGTTTTAACTGTATTGTTGGTATGTCATCATTATTGTTATTCCTCGTCCTTGTCATTCCTGATAAATTTTATTGTTGTGGAGTTTGAGTTCATGAATGATGAAACTACATTTCCAAGAGGGAAACAAACACTAGCGAACATTTGTGATACCAAAGTGCCAGAAACCACTCAGGCGGGTCACTACACAGACCCGACAGAAGCTGGGTTGCAAGCTTTGCTTATGATTATTGAAATTGGGCTCGAGCAGATTCATCAGACCTCCTAGTCATACCGATACGAGTCAACACGTGATGTTTTTGAGGGACTCCTTGAAACTTTGGACTTGGCTTGAGGCACATCCATTGAAGTCCAAACAAGTTGCTGTTGGATTCTAAACCAGTGGATCCAAGGAGAGCCAACAGCTCTTGCTATGCATGCAGGTCCTGCAAAATGCAGGAGATTCCCAGATGCTGCTGGGCATTTTGGGGCGATGTCTTTGTTTTTCTGCCTCCAGACATCTTCACCAAATTGCGACATGGACAACTGACCTGAAGCGTTTAAAGATGTTTAAAGTTTAACTCGAGGACAAAAAATAGCCCAACCAAATGTTTGTCAATGTGAGCATCACGCAAACTACCCATGTTTGAAGTTTCGCAAGTTGAAGTCTTGCACACGTGGGACAGGAGATGTTTCTGGGCGCTTGGCTACGGTGCTGGTGCGTGAGAACCGGCTGGTTCTGATCATTTGGATGCTGTTGCTGGTGGTGGCGGCCCCTGGTGGATTGTTAGGGGATGAAACTGAGGAAATGCTGAAAGTGATTGGCCACCAAGCACTGAAGAACCATGGTCTCAGGTCTCATTCCTAGCTTCGGTGCTGTCGTCAGTGCAAGACGTTTCTACACTGCTCCTCGGCTGAGAGGTGCTACGAGCAAAGTGGAAGCCGGTCCCATGTGTCAGGGTGTCAGGCAAGCCTTTTTTTTCAACCATAGAAGCAGCGTTAGTTTTGCCAAGAATCCACTCTGAGAGCAACCAAGGCTTTCGTATGACTTGGCAATTCTCACTTTGCCATTGATTTGCGGTTTCTTCTACTTCTCGCGAGGTTTGCTGGCCCATTCCTTAGATTTCCTCAGCCTAAGATTTGCAGACAAAATGGCTGGTAAGTCAATCAGTGACTTGGCCCCCACCCACATGCAGCCTTTATCAGGTGACCACATTTTACCTCTACGCGCGAAACATGGGCCAGAAAGAAATGGCCGTTGCCCCAGATTTTCTGCATGGGCTACTGGGTTCACTGCCATGAACTATCAAGCCCAGTCCTGGAGTGAAGAAGGAAGTATTTTTCATCCTTGATTCATGTTTTTTTTCCACAAAACTGGGTTCCAACCTCCATGGTTCAAAAATGTTCAAAACCTGTGTACCTGGCTTCTATATTATTGTTCTATATTATTATATTGATATTTACATATATATATATACTATATATATTGTATATACATTATTGTACATTATTCTCCTGTATTATGCTTGTTTCATGGTCAGGGGTCCCCATCAGCAAACCTACTTATTTCTACGGCTCAACTATGGCCATTTGGCATAGATAGAGTGCCTGTGGTTTACGCTCGTTGATCATCATGTTCCCCAATATTTCATAGCGATTGTTGGTAAATCACCCATGTTCAAACCCACACACATATATATATATATATATAATAGACATATTAATTGTTGGTCATGTATCCCAATAATATTCCAATTTCCCCCTTAATGGAAGCCTTATATGAATGTTCCATTCAGAAATCCCATTGATTTTAGGTGCAAGAGATCACTGAGAACATGGGCTTCTGCGGTCAAATGGGGGCCTTGATGGCGAACTTTGCAGCCTTCGTGGCGATTTTCACATGAGCTCCATGATGCACCGTTCACGGCACCATGACGTCACAGCAATCCCAAGCGTTTCACCGAAGGCCAAAGGCAATACGCAAGTTCTGAATCATTATTGTATGTCATTAAGTTGTGAAAATAGCGTTGGTTTGTTTGTTTGCGTATCGGTGCATTTGTGATGGATGGTGTATGGCCTAGTCAAGTAAGATCAAGTAAGTCTCCTTTACGTTGAATCAACCTCACCATTCTGAGCAGGAACCAAATTCTGGGTTCTGCTCAAATGACACTTTGAAGATGATGGTAAGGCCTTCACAGTAACGGTACGGCAGTTTGCCAGTTAGTCGGCCTGATGTGCGTTTCGATGGGTCAACAGCCTGTCGCGATATTGTTTGAAACGCAGCGATGCAGCTCCTAGCTTTCTACCCAACTGTTTAACAGTCTAAGGTTCGTGAGTTTGGCAACATAAGGCATGTCCAACAATTTTCATCAATTTTATTCGATGTTTGCTTATCCTTGTCATCCTTTGCAGGTGATATTTCTTTTGCTGCTGGTAGAAGGCTAGGTTGCAGCGGGCCATGAAAAGCTGAGGAGGCTACTTGAGCCCCACAGTTGGTCCCAGTTGCTGCAAGGGTGGTGGGGCCTTTCTTTTCACACCGGTGTGTTACTAATGCCCGGTGTAATTGACCGTACCATATATATATATATATATCATCATGAATCATAGGTGGAAATTGGGTTGCTGTAACACCTCAGTTGAGAAATGTTGATCTGAGATTCTTCGACTTCATGATGTTATTGCAAGTTTAGTTGGGCTTGATTGCCCTTGTTAGTTGTGGAGATTTCACTCCTAGCAGCCGCGCGGTGTCGAAAGAGGTGGCAGGCCAGTGGCAGGCTGCAACATTTCTTGGAGGCTTTGACTTTGAATATCTGGCAGTGTGTCAAAACCTTGTACCCCTGGTGAACATCAAAATAGCTGGTAAATGGATGTTCACCCCACTAAAAATGGTATTAATAGGTATTGATCCATACCCATCTCTGAATCTCGGACTATGTTGGAGATCCCTAAGTTAAAGAGCTGGCTGCCATTTGGAGCCTGCTGCTCACCAATATCACCAATCACCCAACATGCAGCCTCCAAACCATGGAGTTTCCTACGGCCTGAGGTATGAGAGCCTGGGTCATCGCGTCAGCCTGTGTTCAGAGCAACTCGGATGTTAGCTTTTCAGCCCACCTTGAACTGGGGCCAAGGCATTCTTCCCCAGCCATTCTGCTGAAAGATAATATCTTTAAGAATCTTGAAGATCATGAAGTCACTGCAACTTTGTTTCATACCCCGATGTGTAGATATGGGCAATGGGTTCGCTTGTGTGTTGACAAAAGGATACAAGAGGCATCCCCCAAGGCCCTTGAAGCCAGTCCTTCAAGCCTTCAAAGAGAGGCTCGCAAGGAGCAGATCATGACATGATTCGCTGATGACTCCTTTTTTTTTGGGTGTTTTGTGTGCGTGACGGCGTGGGTGTGCGTTCATCATCGTTCATCATTTTCCATGGCAACCTGTGATTCGGGGCTCTTTGTTTCATGTTTTTTTTTAAATGGGGGGACCGATGCTTCACCATGGCGAATGTGGAGCTGGTGATAGTGATTTGATGTGATCAGAATTTTGGATCACTGGATCATGCCTTCTGATGACTGTAAAAACCAGTGCTTTGGATGGATTTGAAGCTGAGGCTCCGGCCGAATCTGTTGCTTCTCTTTGCTTGGCACAAGCAGATCTGTTTGTTTGAACATATTTTACAATAAATTTCATGGCAGAATCCATGTCCCCAATAAAGCTGCAATTATGGGGGGTGTATCATGATATACCAGGCTGAGGTGATCTCTGCGATCTGCCAACTTCAGCTGGTGGATCTGGTGGTCTGCATCCTGTTTTAAGACATCCTGTGTTATTAATGGTATACGGATCAATATACCAATGGTATATTAAGATATGTTTTGACAACTTCTTGATGTTTCTTGGGTGAGTTTCTCCGAACTGACCATGGTTGCTGGATTTGGGACTAACACCCGAAGTTGCAGGAGCAACGAGCATCTTCGGCTAGCGACCCTCCTGGCGCAGGCATGAGCTTGATATGGTTACACATTAAGTTTATCAATCAAGAGAGAGAGAGAGAACAACAAAATAGTTTATGGTTTGCCTGATTTTTGCATATAACTATGAACAATAATACCATGCCTATTTGTTTTATGAGTACTACAGTCTCACATGCGTTTCTCTCGCCATGCAGTCCCATTTTCGCCGATGTTGGTGCACATTGGATCAAAATGCAACAACACGTAAGCCAGTTTTTTGGCTATGAGCCACGTCCAATCAAGGTTGAAGAATTGAATTATTGGGCACCTCGTTTTGAGATATTTTGATAGATATCCTGGGTTATGCCAGTGAACCAAAGTTAAAGCCAACCCACCAAGGATCCAGGTAGGAAAATAGCTGAGCGCGTTTCCGCTGCAAAGACTTTGGCTCTTGAAACAGCTTGAAATCCTTCCCCCTTTGCGCGCCTTGTGGGGTCTCGGGGTGCCCTGTTCTCATGATCCATTATGGTCATGGATACCTGGCAGATTTCTCCGAAGGTTTGCTCAGTGGATGTCAGGTATGGTCCTTTCCAAGAGCTGCTATTTGGGACATCTCCATGTACGAAATGATCGAAATGTGAGTGTCACAGTGTCATGCAGTCTTTTTTTCATCGAGCCCAGTTCGCAGAGTCCAGCTGTTGTAGGAACAATTTTCCTTTGCTTCAACTCAGTCAACTCAGGAACATGGGGCATGGCAGTGCTTTTCCGACTCAAAGGCTCTGTGATTCCGAAAGCTTTGGTTTGGTCCGTCCCCTGTGCTCTGCTGATACTCGGCTGTGGCGAAAAAAGACGTTTCCTGGTCCATTTTGCATATTCTGGGTAAGTGTAGAGTGGTTCTCAATCAAGACTTGGTCAACACACATGGGACTTGTAGCCACGATAGACAGGATCTCATGTCCATTAGTAACTTTGTAATCATTGGAGTAATCATTGGCCAGCAATTTTGATTTTGAAATGTGTCCGCCGTAGTGGCACGGTAGCGCATGGAGAAACACCAGCAGCAACACAAGCTCAGTCTTCAACAGGCTGTTAGGAAGGGGATTTGTCCTTGGGAGAGGAGAAGATTCCCACCGAACCAGATAGTCTCCTCCAGTGCCTCAAGCTGAGGACAATTGGTCTACATATATTCTTGCGTGACACAATGGTAGAAGCCATGGGAGCAGCAGGTGCTGAAGGTATAGACACGATCTGGTCTGGATACAATTTCATTCTGGGCTTCCTCATTGTCTTCCGAAGCACCATGGCAGAAAATGTTCACAGACATTCCGCCAGACCACAGCGATAGAGATCCTTTGACCCCTTAATCTATGATGGCTTGTACTCTACAGTCTTAGCAGTAAAGAGCCAACGGCCTACTATGAGATTCCAGATTGGCTGATTTTATGATTTTTACGGTCTAATCATGCTAGGATTGAACCATCTACCTTGGGAGAACCTACCTCCTGACCATTCCTGAGCCATTTGCCTTAGCTTCCGTGGCTGTTGTCCACAGTGAGGCAACCAAGCATACTCTCGATTCTGGGAGAGTGCCACTCGGCATCAGATTTGGCTGGAGCCAGATGTTACGGTTTGACTTGACATGCACCACACGCTGCGAAGCTGCTAGTTAGTTGTTACCATGTTGTTACTACCGCTACGTACAGTAAATCACACTGTCAGCAATCACTCACGCTCAATTCAATGTATATATATATATATATACACATGATATATGTGATATATATATATATACACAATTAATTAGAAATCCGAATGGTCAAGTTTCCGCTGCGATGTTGGATGATCTCAAATGTTGCTATGCACCTGTGCTGCCTATTCGGATGCGATTCGAAACCAGGTGTCTCTGACGCACAAGATCCGGGGTCAATGGACCAATGCATACAGCAACATGGATGGAAATCAGAAGGATGCAGAGCCTTAAAATGCCTTGAACATGTTGGTTCAACTTGGTTCTACCCCAGCAATAATGATAATAATGTGGCAACTTGCCGGACTTCTCCACTGATCCTCAGGCAGTCTCCTGGCCTTTTGTTCACCAGATCCTGCCAAGAAGGAAGCGGTGAACCACTTTCGTGCCTTGGTGTTTCCAGTTGAATAGTTGACACGTTTGGATTACCGTAGATGTGGTTTCCAGTTTCCAGTGTTTTCTCTTAATTCCTGGTAGGGTCCTTCTCTTTTTGTTTTAGCAGTCACTTCTCAGAGTTGCTCCCTTTCAGCCAGGGGTTACATTGGTTACATTGAGCATGTTGCGCAACATTCGAGAGAGTATCTTTGATTGCTCCCTAGGGCACAAAACAGTTGCTGAAGTTGCTGAAGGTTCTTGGTAATATGTAATGTGGTGAAGCTGCACAAACATCCCAAAAAATCGTATCAACCCTCCCCAAATGCCACTATAAACCTCAGTCTTCAGCGTTGGTTGCCCTAACATGCGACATGAAAGTCCTTACAGATGGAATCATGCTCTCAGTGAAGCTGCAATCAAGGGCCACCTACCATTCCACCCTTGGGTTTTGAGGCGAATATTTGCTGAGATTAATGAGTCTCCTGCATTGCTATGCACTCCATCAGGTGCAACCTGGGGAATAAAGAGGGAGAGAATACAATAAGGTGATACAAAGTGATGCTAAGTGATGCTAAGTGATGCTGGGAGTTGTTGATGTCTAGACTCTAAACCTTCAAATTTGCTGGGATCATTTTTCTCCAAAAGACATGTAGCACGCAAAGCTTGATGTGCTTGCATAGGCACTCCTGATGACCACCTCCAAGTGGTTGGCCCGGTGTCTTTTTTTTGGCAATCCATTCCAACTCAAACAGCCTGAAAAAATATAAAGCAGATAGCAACATCCCAAAGATCATGATCACCATAATATCCAGAGATTCTGTTGACCCGAAACCGAAACATATCCAGATAATAGTCATCATACATGAACATAATCCTGAACATATCAACATGATATGACTACAGACTGGGATTATTAGTCATTTTTTTAGATGATATGATGATTATGTTGTTATAGATGTTGGGATTATCAAAACAACAATCATCATAATTATATATATAATCATCCTCTTATAATAACATACAATAATATAACTATATATAACTCATTGTAACATGCAATAATATTCAATACCTCATCTGGTTGGTGGTTTGGAACGCTTTGGAACGCTTTGGAACCATGGAGTTTTATGACTTTCCAGAAACAGTTGGGAATGACCAGTCCCAGTCATCATCCCCAGTCTAGGGCCCTACCCCAGTCGAGTCGACCAGGTCTGTGAGTTGGCGGATGATCGTTTGGAAGTGGTGGACCTGAGTGGTCTCAGCCCAGCCGCTGGGAAAACAGTCAGTCACCAGAAAGTCACTTGGGGGAAAAAACATGAAAAAAGCCTAGAAATGTGGCGCAAGATATGTTGAAACATATAGAAATCTATAGAAACCTATAGAAATATACAGACATCTATAGAACAAGTAGTCAAAAACCATGGAACTTTGATGAAATGTTCGGGGGTTGGCCCTGAATTTTGGTTTGTTAAGAGCCACATGACTTCAAGATCTTCATCCGGTGCTTCCAAAGGGAGGATGATCCCACTAGCCCACTGTTGGGACACCCCATGGCAGATATGTTGAAAAGATTTGAACAGCATTTCTGATAATTTCTATTGAATATTATATACATGATGCAATTACATGCATCTACAAAATAAACTGCAATCATCTAAATGTATAGAGGTATGACTGGTGAACCTGTCCAAAAATGTGGTCACAACGCAGGTCCCCTGACCCATCAAAACTTTCCGAAAGTTTCCTCCACCGCGAACGACATGTAAAGGTCATTGGAGTCAGGAGCTTCAGCCATCACAAGGGAACGCTGCCCACATATGCAACAACGCAAAAGAAAGCTTGAAACAGATTTTGCAGCAACTCGCTTTTAAACAAATTGTGTTGTAGCTATGAGAAATCCCCAAGGATGGCCCCAAATGCTACCGAGTACATTACTACAGATTTGGGATAGTAATATTTTGTTTCGTTTCTCCACATGCTTGCAAGGATACGGTGGAATTCTTGCATTCGTGCGAAAGTTCCGACAGGTGTGGCACATGAAGACATTTCCAGCCACAGAAGCTTGAGTTGAACATGAACACCCCAATGATATGTATATAATGATGCACGGTAGCGATATTGATACTATTGATATCATATGGTGTTTCCAACATGTCCAATTGCCTTGGTAACAATTATATAAGTTGTTCAGACTGGTTGTGTTGATGACTTTCGAGCACTAGCACTAGCTTGCAGTGTGACGCATTTACCATCTGGTTATTTAACATAGCCATGGAAAATCACCATTTTTAATAGGTAAACCATGTATAAATAGGCCAGTTTCCATGGCTATGTTAACTAACCAGAGGGTACTCTTGGTACCACGCATCCTCCTATGCAAGGGCAGAGACAGTGATGCTTTGGATCGAGAAACTCATCGTGGAGAGCGATCGGAACAAGTGACTCGAAACGGTCGCGGTGGGAGGGTTGCGGTGGAAATATCCTTGCGGCCCATTGGATGATGGGACTGCTAGCAATGGGATCAATGGACCGAAAAAGAAAACCATACCAGCAACAGTCAGGTCAGCTACTGAGTACAACCAGCCAATACCAACCAGTTGGGTTTCCACCATGAAACACCAGTTCTGAACCATGTGGAGCACCAAATGGATACAAAAATGTTCTTGCACAAACGTGGGCATGTAAAAATGCTGCCCCCCATAGTAATATAGTACTTGGAGCTGTTCGCCCCGAAGCAGAGCAGGGGACGATGTGGAAGTGCATGATATGTCCGCGGTAAGTAATCAATCCCAGCTTCATAAATCACATGGTTATTCAACTTTGAAAGATGAGGATACTCTTGTCTTCTTAAGTAAATAGAAGAAAAGGATAGTCGATAGAATGCATTGCAACAATGGACAACACATGACAGCGGTCGTGTTTTCATAATGATATTATCATAGAATTGGGTTACCCTTCCATTCCATCCTGCCATTTCATCCTCTACCACAACATCATACACTATCATACAACATCCACCTTTCCTTCAATGTCACATTCCACTGCTTGTTTAACCTGATCATTCAAACTGATGGGTGTAGGGGATTGTAGGGCTGCATTGTGCATCATTCCAAGTTGTGTCCCCTTCTGCATTCCCATCAGACCAGGATTATGGGGATAGTATGGAGCTACCCCCAGAAGCCAAGAATTGCCGGGAAATTCTTGAGACCGGGCCGATTAACATCAATTGGCCAGGTGCTTTTTGATCCGGGGTTGACATATGTTGACATGAGATCTCTCGCGCGAAATCATGGCTGTTGACGTCAAGCTCCCAAATCACATCCACCGTTCGTATTTCTTCTGCCATGTGGACAGGAACTCGCCCGTTCTTGGAAACACCCGCATGGCTTACCACCCCCATCCGTGCATGATACCTTTTCTGATTCAGCCCAAATCCAGCCACATCCAAAGCAGATCCCAAATCCCAAATATAAAATTAAAAAGAACCTCACATACCCTGAGGGAAAGAGAGAGATAGAGAGAGAGAGAGACGTACCTTCAGGGAACATCACAACTTTGCCAAAGCCATTTGCCGATGTCGTCCGCCTCGAGTTCCTCGGATGAGGATGGCTCGGATGCAGAGGCTTCAGCCAGCAACAGTCAGGCTGAAGGTGTCGAGAGCGACAAGGCGCCAGAGAAAGGCGATCCTACGGCGAGCGAAGGTGTGTGGGGCCATTTGGCACATATTCTTCCGCACCACGAAAGGCAGAGGCTTGAGCGTGAGACGGTGGAGAGAGCAAAGGAGGAGGAAGCTGAAACGGGGTTGGATGAACATTTGATGCATTTTCAGCTAACATCTTAGGTGTTCGCCCTTTCCGGGATGAGATGATATCCAATAAGAGTTGCTATGAATTCAGCTTTAGCCAGAGGATGCACGCTCGCCACTGGCCACCAAGTAAATTATCATGAAATAGTAGTTTAGGAGATTATAGATGTTGAATGATGTTTATAGATTTTTAATGATGTTTATAGGGGCTGGTCTGACTATAACATACTACAACTATTGCTTGAGCTGCAGACAGCAGGAAAAGGAGAGAGCCGCCGAAGCCGCCGTTTATGTGGGGAAACCAGACCTACCACCGAGCTGGGATGGTGGGGGCTGGGCTGGCCCAAGGGATGGGCATGACAAAGATCAGAGATACATGTTGAGGGGTGAGGCAACTTGGTTGAGTTGGTCAAGTTTGTAGTCGTGTGTGTGTTTGTGTGTGTTTGTGTTTTTTTTTGGGCTGCGATGGCTTGTATAATGATGAGTGGATAATTGTCTTGCATTGGTTTTGCATCGTTGAGTTGGTATAAACTATTGAAACCCTTTGGGGCTTTAATATAATATGCGTTGAGTTGGTAATGTTTGGACGTTTAGGGTCATGGTTCATAAAGTCTTGATTCGTAAGCCTGAAACTTCCTTCTTTCAAGCTCCAATCTTCCCAATCAGATTGGTAATAGTTCCTTTCTATTTCCATGGTCAGATTGAGAAGGGAACCTCCCCAGAGGCCAGGGAGCTGCCTGATCACGTCTACCAGAAATGGAAGTTCCTGAAGAGCGCCGAAGATTTCAGGATGGCTGGCCCCGGAGCCGAAAAAAAGAAGAAATCGAAGAAAAAGAAGGAGACGAAAAAGGAAAAGAAGGGTAACTTGGTGGATTGAACGATATCAAAGGATATTAAAAGGTCACCTTCTTAGTGTCTTGTTTGATGTTGTTTGATTTTGTTTTCAATGTTTTTTTTTTGCATTTTTTTGTTGTTTTTGGGGTTCAGATGACTTACTGTATCTTACTATACAATCCACAAGCCACCAAGGTAAGAAAGACAAGAAAAAGAAGAAAAACAAGAAGGAGAAAGAGAAAAAGGACAAGAAGGCTGGAAAGAAAAAGAGAAAGAATAAAGATTCGTGATGCCTCACTGGAGAAGTCGCATTGAGATGTTGCATCTCATCGTGGTACCGTCCCGCGCGCGTGACATAAAAAGTGACGCTCTGGCAATGTCTGTTGGAAGTTGCAGTCATGCCAGAGGGACTGCTTCGGTTGCAGATCGCTACGAAGCTGATGAGGGATGGAGCCAAGGAGATAGGTTTTGGTGGGAAGCCCTCAATGTTTCACAATGTTTTGTTTGATGAATAAATTGCCCCTCATTGTCTTCTAATATGAGGATATTCCATATGTATCCATATGTAATATAAAGCCCACGTCTTTCGTTGTTTTTTGTTTTTGGTCAAGGTTATATAGTTGTCCCATTTTTATTGTGGTGATCATTCCCCTGAAAACATTCCAAAACATATAAACATATATGTGTATATGTGATAGCCTTGCGGTTAAGCCATCCAAAGTGAAGAACTCCTACAGTATCTTGAATTTTGATGTCTCAGGCTGTTGCGAGTGTTGTATGTTGGGTGATATGTTGTGTTTTATGTTGTGAGATGTTGTATGCACGTGGCCGGGGGTGATCAGGCTTTTCGAGGTGGCGCCGCCTGTTCTCACACGTGCTTTTGCAGAGTTATCTGCAGGTACCCAAGCTGCAGCGAGGTTTGGAAGTCCATGCCTGCCGATTGAGTTGGCTGGAACCTGGGGTACCCCTCAATCCACTGGTTTATCACGATTTTACCAGTGCAGATGCCGTTTTTGTATGTTTTTGATTGTTTTTGTATGTTTTTGTCGGTAATACCGTATACCTCCAGACGCGCCAAATATGGCTTCTGTAGGTTACCATCAGGGCACTCGTAGCATCAAAGCTCATCAAGGTGTCTCCCGTTCGCATCCAAGGAATGGTGAACATGTGCGAGTTGAGGAAGATCACTGAGGTTCCATTTCCATTTCCATATTCGCAGCTCCTTGGACACAGTTTGGTGAAAAATATTGCCGTGTGTTGAGACCAGGTGAAAAATCGGAGCATGTCGAATGGTTTTTCGAATTCATCCATAGTCATCCTGAGGTTCTTGTCCTACATGATGGTGCTGCAGTGGTTAGCCAGTCCAGTGGTAGCTTCCCAACTCATCTCTAAATGGTGGTGGGCTGGTGCTGCCATTTGGCTCCTGTCCACCTCATACTGGACCCTGCGGCTTGCGCTAAAAATTACGCTGGAAAGGATGGAAATGTGGGATGGGTCAAACCTATGATATGTACATATATACTGTAATCATAATGTATATATATATATATATAACCATATGAATGGGGGAATAAGCATCCAGAAACAAGTTATTCTAGGGTACCTAGGGCAAGGTTTTGACACATTGCCAATATAACGACGTGAACTATGGCATATATGACCATGCTTGGTGTGGGTTCAGGTCACTGGGTGGCTGCATTACCAACCCCCATTGTCTGAGGAGGATGATATTTCTATATGTTCATATGTCTTCTGTGCGCCCATTTTGGACGATGTTTGGATGGATAGTTGGAAGGTTGGTGGTGTGAACAGTTTGATAGTCTGTTTTCATGTGTTTCCGAGGCTTTTGTTACAACGTTAATTCTGAGCAAGTACAGTAAATGAACTGCTCATCAACAATTTGAAAACAGGCCTGGCAATACGAGTTTTGAACCAAGGGGTGTTGGCAAACCTAAGCCCCATCTTCGTTGGGCAATACCTGAGGTTTTACATTGCCCAGGAGATTGACATGCCATTTGGAGAAGATAGTAACGATCTACCGGTGGAGCTGTTGCAACACCAGTTCAACGAGAATTTACTTCACTTGTCATCGCAACTCGGACCTGTTATTTTTTTTTCAGCCGGTGTTTGGATGTTGTTCACCAAAAGCTATGGAAGGACAATGAGCCAGTGACATCAGAGCAAACATATATTACAGATTATTTCAGTATATATGTTGCAGTTGTATGATATTACAGGTATATACAGCATTATACAGCTCAGTTTAGAGTTACTCTATAATACCCAACTATAACATGCTTTGAGTCTTTTGAGCAGTTAAAACCCATTGCCAAAACCCAGTGACGCCCAGGGCACGGTCCTATGTCCTTCCAGACTTCGTTAGTGCAGTCTCTGTAAAGCGGACCACTGCAATGAGCATGACGCGTCAGACGCTGGCTGGTGGTTTGCAACTTTTTCTTATTTTGTTTTAACATAATTCGGGGTGATGAATCCCAAGGACTTATAATGACAACAAAAATAGGTTTAATCCATCATGTTTAATCCTATCTGGGGGATGATCTCCAATGACTTCCCCGGAGGGATGATCAATGAATGACTCGTTGAGCTTTCAGAGGGGTGTTGCTACGGCTGATGGTTATTTAACGGTTACTTTCAACCACAGAAATGGAAGGATGATCCCCAATGACATATGACATGGGATGGCTCAAGCACCAGCCAGGACGTTGAGAGCTTCCAGGCTGCAGGCTGGAATTGGTTTGCGTCCGTGAGTTTTGGATGGTTTTTCCACTGGAGAATGTGATGAAATGTGGCCGTTCTCCCAATGTCAGGCCCAGATTGGAAACCAGCAAAGGACAGAAATGGACAGATACCCTTTGGTGATGTAATAGAAAATGATTAGTTTCAAGATGATTAACCTATTAAAGTCTATTAAACTATGGTGGATCTTCCATAGATTTCCATAGCTATGTGCAATTATCAGAGGGTGTGACTCAAGAAAGAGTGAGCCGGAATGAGCCAGAGAGTTCGTTGATAATGGATTGCTTCGCCTTTGTGCCAGACCAGCTTTCCGAAGCTGAAGAAGGTGCTGCACTCAGCAGGGGTTAATTTACAGTATGATGTGATGAAAAGGTAGGAAGATGGAACAAGGGCATCTGGATATTTGTGTATTTTTGCTTGCTTGCTGTGATTTTGAATATCTTGCAGCTTGAACATGCGAAACAGCCAACCCGAGGAGTGGAAAGCACTCAAAAGGTATACAGGTCATATCATACCACCATTTTCCTTGCAGGGAAATCCACACGTACATGTTTGAAATTGTTTGAACACTTCAATGATGTCAATGTGGTTCCGAGCCGGAAAATACATGACGTCACGCAGTTTTGCGTCCATGGCACCCACGAACAGTTGATGACAGGCCCTTGAGCAACAACTCGAGCGTGAGGAGATGGCCGAGGAGGCTCTGGAACTGGAACGTAGCGGCCAGTGGCACTGGCAGTCGTAGCTTGACAGCGCGAAGGTTGGCAGCGAGGATAGCACTGTAACCCACTTTTTTCCATAGGTTATACATCATTATATGTGTAAAACATATGAAAACATATGTTGAAGGAAAGGGCATGAATGAACATCCAGTCATACACCAGAATTTTGATGTTCACCAGTGCACACCGGGTTTTGACCCATACCCTTCCGATTCATGATGTGTCAGGAGCCTGGGTAAAAGCTTAACTGTTGTTACTGTAAGCTTGGGCCTCTTAATTCTATGCTATGGGGCTGCGATCTGAATGTGATAACCCTTGACCCGCTTCACCAAGTTTGCTTCAGCATATTGAGGCACCCAAGGAGGACACAACAAGTTCCAGAGGAGCAATGGGCACAATTCAGCACAGACGCGCATCATGTTTTTGGATGTTTTTGGATGGCTAGGTAGGGGGAGGCAAGCAGATTCAGTGTCATGTGGTCACCAGATGTTATGACATGCCATGGCATCATGGAACAGAGTGAACTTGTCAGGAGCCCCAGGAGCCCCTAGAGGATACCGAGGATGAAGAAGTTGGAATAGAGCCAACTGCTGACCCAGTTTTTGAGACTTGGCATTCAAGAAGCCCATTGAACATGTACCGTATCATACTGTATCAATTCATTTGCAGGTTGTGCGGGTCACTCTCCTGACCACATAGACATCATCCAAAGTTTCATAAATGTCATTCGTTTCTGGCAAGTATGGATCTATATCTTCTGGACCAGTTATTGATTCCCATACAGTGTCAGATGGTAGTTCAACAGTAGTAATTCCTGAAATTCGCTGGTTGCTGGCCGTAACCAGAGTGGCCTCCAAAGGTCCTGACCCCAGAGCCTATCCAAGGTCAGTGCTCAAGGTATCAAGACAGTGGTGGGTCCTCGCGCGCTTGAAGCTGCAAGCAGAAGAGGCCATGGATGGCCATGGATCAGCAGCTGGAAACGTTTTTGTTGATCTTCAAGAGGGAACCACAGGTTTTTTTGGGGTACCGTATCATGAAGTGTATCTAGAACCCTCAGACTTGAGTCAGGGTCAGGCCTGAGTCTGTCAGATTGGTTGCTGTTCACATCGGTTCAAATATTTTTTGGACAAATATGAGCCAATACCCTGAAATAGAGGTACCCCCAGTTCTCATCCAATTTTAATAGGATGTTCCATTACCCATATGCTCCATGTATGGAATATTTACCAACATTTGCCCGAAGAAAATGTCTAAAAATCACCCAGTTGTGTAGGTAAATAATGGATAATCATGGTAAAAATATACCATAATATACCATACATGGGTTATAAATACTATAATAATGTATGGTTTATAACCCATATACTATAATTTGTAGGTAAATAATGGTAAATATACCAAAATATGGGTTATAAACCATCGTTTTTGGGGTGCCCTGGGTACCCATGACTCAACGTCACCGGGTCACCTGGGTCACCTGCAGGCATCACCCTGCAAGATCCTGTGGGCCTCGAAGTGCTCCAAGAGATTTTGATGGAAGCGGTGGATGGCAGTTGTGAACCGGAGGACTTTTTTTTCGTGATCACTGGGGGTTCCTATCCTAGAAAAAGATGACCTATCTATCTATCTATCTATCTATCTATCTATCTATCTATCTATCTATCTATCTATCTATCTATATACCATATGGTCCATATGTATCCGTATGTCAATATGTTATGTTGGAAAAAAACGCATCGTAACATAAAGATATACAAAGATAGATAATATGTTATTTTGAAAGAAAACATAGGGATGGTATTTTTAGGAGTTTTTTTGTTTTTTGTTTTTCAGTCTGGGGCAGCTTTTCCTTGTTATTTGCTGCACTTGGCTTCACTTGGCTTCACTTTGGCTTCACTTGGCTTTTCGCGTTTGGCCTTGGGCGTTTGGCGTTTGGCCTCGGGCTTTTGGCTTCTGGCTTTTGGCTTTGGCTTCACTTGGCCCTTGGCTTTTGGCTTTTTGGCTTTTGGCTTATGAAGACCCTATTAATAACTGTCCCAACTAGCCCTTTTCGGGGAGAAAAAAAAACGCATGTCAGGACACTTGTTGAATCTGGGCTCCAACTATACTCATGTCATTTGGGTTGAGCAATGGTTGCACGACCCTCAGACGTTTACTCGTGGGTTTCTATGCATGCTTGTGCGATAGGAACTAAAGCTCTTTTCAACAAGTGTCCGGACTAGCCCTTTTCTGTCACTGCAAACCCGGGTTTCAAGACTTGTTGAATCTGGTTTGTATTGGCTTCTGGCTTCCGGCTGTGGCTTCGCTTGGCTTTTGGCTTTTGGCTTTTGGCTTTGGCTTCACTTGGCTACACTAACGAGAAACACCAGAGAGTGATGGACGACAAACATACAGAAAATGCTGAAAACCATGGATGAAAACCATAGATCAATGATCAATGGATAAAAAACATACACATGGAATGAAAACACAAGTAAACAAATTAAAATCGATTACAAGAGAGGAAAAACGATAGAAACCTTGAAAACCAATGAAAAATGAAGGACAGCAGCCTCGGCGACCAAAAAAAAGAAGGAAAACTATTGGAAAATGAAGGAAAACCAATGGAACATCAAGGAAAACTAATGGAAAATGAAGGAAAACTAATGGAAAATCAAGGAAAACTAATGGAACATGAAGGAAAACTAATAGCAAACCAAAAGAAAAAAACAAAATCCTTTGAAAAACAAACTTGAAAAAATCATCACCCAAAACATAGTCAGACAAGATGCTCATCGTGTTTTATCCATTGCTCAGATGATGATCAGATGATCTGTACAGCTGGCAGGATGTCGTTGCCCTGGTCGCTGCAGCTGCTGAATCCGAGGCTCCCTGTAGAATTTTCAGGAATCTTCGAAGAAACTATATGATATTGTTGGTCATGCCAATGTTTGATACTAGTCCTATACTAATAATATATTAATATAATATAATACATATAATAATAAAATAGAACAATATAAGATAATATAAGATCATATAGAGTCATATAATGTCTTATAATGTTATAATATGATATTTTTTTTAAAAAAAATATACAGTCATTTCAATATAAAAATAATATATAATCATTATTCTTGTCCATTCTTATTATCTCATCCAAACGACCTTTTGTCAGCATGTGCATTGCATTTGTTGAGGTGAGCACATCCTCAAGAAGTGACGAGTTGTCCCTCAATGAGTCCCTTGCCGCACCGCCGCATCCTGGAAAGCTGGTCTGATCATCAGTCCAGATATTGTTCTCCACAATATCTCCACACATTATATTGGACAGGCATGGATAAGCACTGGGTAAATGATAACACACACATATATATATATATATATATGTGATTATATAACATATACTACATACACACATATATATATATAATCATATATACACACACACATATATATATATATATTAATATGTGTTTTATAGATATGGAAAATCACCAAAATTATGTAGATCAAGTTCCGAACGGGAAACCTATGGACCTAATTGGAGTTCCATATCCTTTCGTGGAAAAATACAGAGGGTATTCTCCAATAATCAAAAATGGCTTGCCGGAAAGTTTCACATCAAGTTCAATGATTTTTCCGCTCAAACCTCCATCTAGATTTCCAAACCAAGTTGTTTTAAAAAAATATTTTCCCAGTATAATATATATATATATAATTATATAATCATAATTTATATTCCATTCATTTCCATTCTATCAACCCCACTTCATCCACCATGGTTATCCCCATGATCTCCCTATCGCCATCCCATCGGATCACCCTCCGCCCATGTCCGAGGCTCATGCGGAGGCTCAAAGATTTGTCGGCCAAAGTGCAGACCAGCTCCGCCAGCTTGTCACAAGAGGTGCCGAGTGCCGAAAAATGGCGGTGTTGGATTCAAAAATGTTGTTACCCCTGGAGTAAAGGAACAAAAAGATGCCGAAAACCAATGAAAACCAGTGATTTTCCTACAAAGATAGTATAGCATTAGTATATACAAATGGTTGATTTTCCAGATCTATGTTAGTTTACCCTAGGGTACCTGAGAAAACGGGATCAAAAAACATTTTGGGGTTGACGTGGCCGCCATCGCCAGGAATTTGAGGTGCCATGGCACATGAAAGTGAAAGAACGAAGTGAAAGCCTGAACCAACTGATCCTCATTTGCATTTTGAGGATTGGCTTTGTCAATGGCTTAGTTGACAGATTTACCGTCTGGTTATTTAACATAGCCGTGGAAAATGGCCCATTTATAGATGATTTTCCCATTAAAACCTCCATTTATAAGGGATTTTCCATGGCTATGTTAAATAACCAAATGGTACATGATTTTACATGATTTCACCGGAATATCCAATTCTGGGACGTGAGGATAAGAAACTGATCACTTTGGTTAGTGGGATGGGTTGACAGCCACAACCGGTTGCTACCAGTATTGTCATGAATTGCATTGAATTGCTGCTAACCCGCACGTGACATGACCGTGTGGGAAGTTTGCTTGTGAAGTTGCATAGCCCGTGGGCCAATAGTTCTGCAGCAACTTTGGGGCTTCGAATTCTATTTGATTCCCAATGGATCCCTCAATCCCAATGGCTTCACCCTGCAGCCAGGATTCACGCTTTGCCACTTGCCTGCAACGGCATGACTCAACACTGTTGAATGCTGCGAATCCAGCTCCGAGTTGAAACTGGGCTGTAAAATTATGATTGCCATTTGATGGGAAGAAATGCATGATCAACCAATATCAAACATCAAATTTGGAAGTTACCCCACTTTTGCACAGCGGCAAGGTCTGGCACTTTGAGACGTCCTCCCGTGCGATGGGATGTGTGACGCCATGTTGTCTGGGGAAGTTGTCTCCTTTGAATCGGAGGGATGGAGGGTATGCTGTCAACGAGTCAGGTTGGGAAGATGCTTGATGTTTCTTATGTAGCCTTCGCCGCCACAATTAGAGTTCAAAAAGAAAGGTTTTGTGTCCAGGCTATCCATAGTTGCCCCTCTAATCTCCACTCTCTGGAATTGCCGAATCGACTGCTAAAAGCACAAGAGGATGGCTGTGTCAAATTGGGTTTGTCCTAAAGTTGATCATCATTTGGCATTAAAGTTGGGGCATTCTTGGACAAACCCAAATTTCGCGCCGAACAGGAGTTCACATCACAATAGGTATAGGCGACAGGAGCGACGAAGGCGGTTCGTCGCGGCGGCTCGCTTCAAAAACGTGTGCCCAGCCAGAGTGGAAGCAATGGTGTGGGGGATGTTCTGAAGATTGTAGGATTGTTGGGATTGACTCAAACGTATTGACCCCAAAAATCGGTTAGTGCATGGCTCAATGGATTTTGATACCAAGTACCAAAGATTGATTATGTCATTTGGGCATATGCTCAGATTTCGGTTGCCACCTTTCAACACGTGGAAAAAGATGTAGCACTTGAGTGCAGGCCGGTGCTCCTTGGGTTCGAAGCTCAAGACATGGTCGGACGGAGAATCTGTGGCGGTGAGTATTCCCATGGCAACCATGGAATCGGACAATTGTTATGGTTTGAGATTCCTATAGTACATGCTTTTCTGCTAGGCCATTCATTTGTTGTGTGTTGGAGAATGTCAGTAAGTCACGACTTCAGCAGAGTTTCGATCTTTGTTTTTTTCATGTGTTTTCATGTTTTTTCTCTATGCAAGAAAGCGAGTAAAGCGGTAGCTGGTAGACCTGGTAGCGATTTCAAGATGTTTCAAATTGTTTCAACTTGGTTCTTTGATCATTTTTGATCCCTGGAATGGCCATCCCCAGTTGACACCCTGGGATTGGAATGACTCCCTGGGCTAAGGTGTCAAGCCGCTTGCTTTTGAATCGAACACACTGTGATTGATTTCGCCCCGTAAAAGTTTAAAAAAAGGCAGGCTGCCTTGTGTGAAAAGTATCCTGCTTTCGCAGTGCATGAACTTGCCAGCAGTTCAGCCAATTTACGGAGTTGCGTGCCCGAGCCATGCATTTGAGTATAGATAGTTACTAGACAGATGACGAGAGACATGTAAATTGAATATTATTTTATCGTATTATATAGTACTATCTATACTGTACTTAAGCATGCCAAGCAGCTTACCCTGCAAGCGCACATTTATGCTTCACTCAATCCATTTCCTGCTTCACGGTCTTCACTGCACCTTCAGGCAGTCACAAGAGGAAAATCGAGAACATGTTTGATATAGGGTTCGTAATTTCACCGTAGTTGTGCTCCTGATGTGTTGGCCCAAGCCGCAGCAAAATCATGCAAAATCTGGGGAACTAGGGAAAGTTCCTACGGACACTAGACATTGCACTTTCCACCTAAAAGCGCAGTCATGGGGTTTATGGTTTTGATATTGGCACAATGCCATTTCTGACCATTTCCCTTCTGAACTCATCATGGATCCGATGTGCTCATCCGATTCGCCACTTCTGGGTTGGATATGTCAGCTGAACTATGGTTGCGGTGGTTTGCTGACACTGCATGACACGTCCCAACATGTACCTTTCTCTACCTCGACTTTGCCATTACGAATTGGTCAGAAAGTCAGTTTTCGCATCCGCTTTGCTGACAAGATTGAAGCTGTAGACCTACAAGTGTCATCAATCCAAGCAAGGGATGGCCTGCCCGCAGAGCATGTGTCAAGCAGCTCCCAACAGTCACCAACTGGGAACGTCATCCAGGAAGCAGCGAGGTCCTGCTCTGGTTTGCAGCGTCAAATCCGGCGCTTGCAACGTGGAATCCTGAAGTTCAGCAATGCAGCCAAGGTTGAACAGTACCAACTGGTACTTGAAGCAGAGAGATTGCTGGACAAAGTGCTTGGCCAACCAGATTTGGACGGCGATTCTCTTTGCCAGTTGATCCGACGCTGCGCCAGCTGGCTACATGCACCAATATTCAAAGCCTTGGCAGGGGACGAACCCAGCCTATCAGATGGGCAGCACCCCATGAATTTGCAGTGCCGCGTTCGAAAGCTGCTGATCAGAGCTTTGGATCATTTGGACCTGTCTGATAGACCTACGTTTGAAGCTGTAGAGGCTGCTATGCTTCACCTGCACACGCTGGTTCAACAAGTTGATTTAAAACTCAGCTCGCGAACGGACAGATCTTCAGATTCTGCACGGCAGTGGCTGAAACTCAGAGAGCTTGTGCGGGGTTCCAGTTCGGAAAGTTCCTTTCCTGGAAGTGTTGTAGCCTATCATGGGCGACAAGGTGTAGCACCCACCACGACACTTGATGTTGACTTTATGGAAAGTGTGACTTTGTGTTGGATCACCCCAGGGAAACAGATTGAGCTTTTCTCTACCTAGATTCTGCATCTTGATGGCGGATGTTTTTCTTGTTTTTCCACATGATCCACATGTTTGCAATGAAGGAAAAGGCCAGAAAAGAAACATCGCATCGATTGGATGAAGTCGAAGCTCAGGATTGCAGAAGACTTCTTGCCAGCGGAAAGAAGCAGAGTATGCAAACGTCAACGTCCAGCGAAGCAAGTGAAACCAGCAGTTCGAGGAGGTGAGGGTTTTACTTAGAGATTTTCTATGTTGCATTGCGTTCCAGTGTCAAGGCCCCGCCGCCCTGGCATGATCAAATAATTCATTGAATGAGTCATTGTATATTACATCTCCAAAAATCATGCTGAACACACCACAACAAATGATGCAAAGTTGAATCGGTGTCCATATCTTCCAGTCTTCAGTGAGGGCCGGAGGTTGCTTGTACTAGTACAAGCAGGCACACCAGTGCTTTTGGACTGTGTGCTACCAGCGGTTCTAATTTGTGTCCATGCGGTCCATGCATGACAAAGCTAGTCGTTTGTGAAGCAAGTTGACGGGGCCATGTGTTTTGGAGCTTAGCAGCTGATTCCGCACCCATAGGTGTACACATAGGCGCTTCCAAAGTAATAGGACCGTTCCACGCAGATCAAATTTGGGAACCCGCTTCTCCCAGCCCGCCAGACAAAGCAAAGGTTACCTGAAATGCTTTGCGGGATCCGTGTACGAGCCATCCAGCAAGATCCAGGCACTTCGCAGCATCTTTAAGTCGGAGCCTCACAAGGTGAAATGCTCAGAATGTGCTTTCACCATCAGTAGCAGCTACTCATCATAGGTTTCTTTAAAATATGTGTTTTAACTTGTTTTCCCTCCACCATTTGGCCACCATTTGGGTCAGTTGGCACACCGGCAGGATTGACTGGGCTCTTCTTTTGGGTACTCTAGCAGGGTTGATGTGAATGATAGATTTTGCTTTCAGTTGATTTGATAAAAATACCAACATCATCCATGATGGCTATATGTAATAGTAATATATATGCATGTATAATATTACTATTTGCCGGGCTACCCCAGGTGCACACACGGAAATCACGGAATGTTTTAAATGCTATTCCTTTCTTCTGTACGTTTCTCGCTGTTTGCGGTGTGTATTCTGTTGTTCGCCCTTTGAGGTTGGCGGTTCCAACATCCAAAGACGAGGGCAATCGCCATTCTTGTGCCTAGCAATGGGCACAATGCCTGCCAGCACAGGTTGAAAAAGCGCTGTTTTTGGCGAGCGCTTGGTCAGATTCGATCCAAATCAGATGTGCACGCGAATCTCAATTTTTGTGGCTAGGCACTTCGTGCTGGTGGTTGTTGCAAATGTTCAGATACCCAGTGTCCTTAGCAGCTAGTTTTCCACATAAAACGCGGGGGGTCAGCAAAGCAAGCGATTGACAAAGACGACCCAGCAGCTCATTCCCCTTTACCAAAGCGAAGAGACATGCCAGTGTTATGAAAATCTTACCAGCAAACTCTGAGGGTTGTTGGTTATTTATGTTTGTCGTGTTTTTGTCATGTTTTTTGTCATTTGGTTTTTGCATTTTTTTGTCATTCCTGTTTTGTGGTGTCATTTGTTTGTCATTTTTTTGTCATTTCTTTGTCATTGGTTAAGTCATTTTTTGTCATTTGTTAAGCCATTTTTTTGTCATTTTCTTGTCATTTTCTTGTCATTTTTTTGTCGTTTTCTTGTCGTTTTCTACTTTCTAGCATTGTTCATTTTCTTGTCGTTTTCTCATAAGGATCAGGCAAGCGGTGAAGGTGGCAAACCCGGTCTAGGAAATGCAAAAAATTGCAAAAAATGACTCCCGGTTTGGGAAATGCAAAAAAAATGCCAAAAAAATGACTCCCAGTCTGGGAAATGCAAAAAAAAAAAGCAAAAAAAATGACTCCTAGTCTGGGAAATGCAAAAAAAATGCAAAAAAAATGTGAAAAAAATGCAAAAAAAATGCAAAAAAAATGCGAAAAAAATGACTCGCGTGCTGGTAAAGTTGCGTTTTTGGAGTTTCCAGGTCGGCCCCGCTTCTCGGGCCTGAGCCGCCCCCCCGGGCCATTTCACCCCGGCCCCGCCCCCCCACCCGGTTTTTGAGCCGGCCCTGCACCCCGAGCCGGGAGACAACTCCTCGTCCAAGGCAGGCCCAAAAACGAATTCACCAGGGCAAGCTCCCCTGCCCTATCCTTCTTCACTGCCGGCTGGCTTTCCAAGAGTTTCTGCACTTGTTCCTTGTATTTGGTGCTGCCACGAGATAACAAAAGGTCTGTCATGGTAGTCATTTTTTAACATGTTTTTTCTCCATTTTCCCGTTCCCAAAATGACAATAAAATGACAAACAAATGACAAAAAATGACAAGGACATGACAAAGAAATTACAAAAAATGACAACACAAATCCAAAATGACAAACCCAAATGCAAAAAAAATGCAACAAAAATGCAAAAAAATGACAACATAATTATTTTGGAATTTCCAATGTTTGCAGGCCCAAGATTTTCCTAATGCCAGTGCGAAGTTATTGACTAGTGTACCAGTTGTGTTGTCTTAAGGCATGTACTACACACCTTGAATGGAACCTTTTGCAAAACTGACCAATTGCCTTAAAGACTTGTTCACATGTTCGTACGATACCATTTTCATGTGTACTAGTAGTAGTTGGCTTTGATCACTGTGTGCCTCTTCACCCCCATTGTATCACGGTCACGTATGTCCGAGATTTTTCTGAAACATGATGACATGATTCGACATGATGAAATCAGTGGTGCTTCAGTCCGTCCCTTGGATCCCAGGTTGCCATGACCGTTTGCTGATGCAATGTGCTCCTTGTGGTGGTCAGATGATGTGCCACCATGGGCGGCAGAGATATCAGTGCAAAGACTGCGGTGGGGGTCGCATATGCGAGCATGAGAAGCGGAGAGATGCGTGCAACTTGGGACGTGTGAGTCGGATGATTGATTCTTTTGTGTTCTGTCGATGTTGAGCAGTTGTTGCACCCATGATGCATGGGAATCATTTGGGATTTTGTTGGATTTGGAGTATGATTCTGAGATATTCTGAGTATTTCTGATGAGGACAAAATTGTGCTATCAGTGGGGCCAAAACATGGCATTGGCGTGTAGGTGTTCCTGGTTGGATAACGCCTAGCTGCCTAGCCAGGTAAGATCTGCAGGCACCTGCCCAAACAGCGGAAGCGAGGAGCTGCTGAACAGCAAACGAAGGGCGGCAGATGAGAAAAGATGCTGAAGGACTGAATCTCCCTGGATCAGGTACAAATTGTCTGGAAGGAGCGGTTTGCTAGTGTAGGGAAACATCTTGCAAGGCAAACGAAAGCGGCAGGTTCTTCTGGCGCGTAGCAAAGCTCTGTGTGGATGGCAGCTGGCAGATCTGGCAGTTCCGCTTGCGATGGGAGGCACCTTGCCTGAGTGCAGGGACCACAGCAGCCCTGGAAACGAATCAGACATTCAGACGATGGCCTGGGTGAAAACATGCACGCTCTGGCTGGGTCAGTTGGCTCAACAAAGCTGATTTGATAGGTCTGACCATTGAATCATTTCTACATGCAAAAGTCTTTTCTCGGGGTTGATTCGTATAAGTGCCCAAGTCTTGGCGGAAGATGTATAATGTATATATATATATATTATTTCAAACCTTAGTCTCTTAAATTTGGATTCCTGTTGATTTCATATGTCCAGGGAAAGAACTATGGAAAGAACTATGTAGCAATCCATGGAAATAAGGGGTGTTTCCACTAAAAATGTCACCCAATGAAGAAACCCACCACTTTGAAAGAAAAACACATTGCTCCAAGTTCTTGGACAAAAAACCTTTCAACATCAAGTTAGATGTTACATACAAACTTCGTATTTGAAACTATTGGTCCGTAAGTTTGAAAGGAAAACAGTATACAACAATATACAACATCTGTGTAATTCGGGGCCCCATATTTCATCAAAAAGGAGAACACGAAAGAATGCATGTGCGCAAGCTCCAAGTAGAAAAAAGAACTCATAAAAACAATATTACGATGTGACCCTGTATACTGTAAAATTGGTTAACTAGTGCATTGATGAGTGTATGTATGGCTGTGTGCTCATGTGCATGGATGAACTGCAAATGCAAATCCACAATTTTTAAGTATTGTTTTCGGTGCTGCGAAGACCACGGTAAAACTTAGGTAAAACATGGTGAAACAAATTTATCAACTGCAAACGGAATCCTACGTATTTGTAGCAGATCAAAGATGTGTTACTGTATTTCTGTCGCTACGTTGTTGTGCATTGGTCCTTAGCAGTGTTGCAGTAACAGATTACAATCATTATAAATATGTCATTTTATCCAAATACAACGCTTAAACTTTATTGTTGCGTTTTATACAAACGAACCCCGTCGATATACGTCCAAACTTTCAAACATACACGAACAAACAAGAACATATAATTCATCTAAAAACTCAAACAGTCTTATATAAATCATAAATACAAAGCAAGTAAGGTAAAGCAAACATCCAAAAAAACTTATAAAGTGTTAAACAGTTGAAGTGAAATCGAGAAGTAAAGTCAAAGTTATGTTACAAGTTAAAGGTTCTAAGTTTTAGTTATAGGTTGTAAGTTCAAAGTTAAAAGGTTACAAAGTTATAAGTTACACAGTTTTTCGTGTCAAGTCATAACTAGAAGCTCTAAGTTGTAAATTAACAGTTATAACAATGTGTTTCAATTTTAAAACAGTTCCTAAACCTTATAAATTGATTTATTGAAGTTTGATAGTCAAGAGTTATGGACTATGATTTGTATTTTACAAAGTAGCTATAAGCTACAAGTGTGTATATTTGGTTTTATCAAGTTATATACAAGTATAAAAGTAAGTTAACGTATTTGGGGTTTGCAGAACGGTTCGGAACGGTTCCGGAGATTTCCCCAGAACGGTTCGGAACGGTTCCGGATACTTCCAAAACCTCAGAACTATTTAGAACTATTTAGAACTATTTAGAACGGTTCCGGAACGGTTCCGGATTCAAAGCCTATAGACCCCAGAACGGTTCGGAACGGTTCCGGAGACCTCCATATAATAGCATATGTTGACTTGTATAATAGCATATTTTGACTATATGATTATTTAACTTTAATACATAGAGTTTGAACAAATAAACACATGCTAGTACCATAAGCAATGATGATTCGACACAAGCGATACGTTCAAAGGGATATTTCAATACAAACTACACATTTGTTTGATGTTGTTAGAAAAGATTCCACAGAACAGTTTTCAAGACAGGTAAGATTTTGAAAGGGGCCACGCCTTCCATGAACAAACAGCTGAGAAACTTCCAGCCTTTTGTAGTCTACATCCAGTTTCACCTTCTCCCTTGTGCTCAGCATGCCTTTGCACTGCCTGTTCAAAGGCTTAGGCGGAGAAGTTGCCTTCCCTTTGTCGTTTGTCTGAATCCTTTCTCTTGTAGCCTTGGCCCTTGGAGCCACAGGGCGGCTCCTTGGAAGGTTTTGAAAATGCGAAACAGGAGGAACTGCTCTTGACCGTTTTTTGGGGGGGGTTGGAAGCTGTGGAGAAATATCTCCGTGCAAAGTTGAGGTCTGCAGAACCGTTCCGAACCGTTCCGAACCGTTCTGGAGACCTCTGCGCTAAGAAAATTGTCACGTAACTTGGTTCTCTGTGCCAAGAATCCCGGGGAAGGCACGGACAAGGTTGAGCCATTCCGGATGCATTAGTCCCAACCTGAAAGATCCTGAAAGTAACCCATCATCACCCTCAAGAACCCCACCGCTAGCGCTATATATATATATATTCTGAAAAGTATCAAATCATGGTCCAAGACATTATCGGCAGCTATATACAATATAGTTTGTTTCTTGTATGGGTAGTAGCACGGTAGTAGCAACAGTCTTGCCAGAGTGACAAAATACCAACAATATAGCCTGGATGTTGCACTGCTACCGCTACTGCATATTTTTGATCCAGTCCAGAACTGGTGGGGAAAAAGACAGCAATGGGAATGCAGCCAACAACCAGCATTGCCTTTCACATAATCCCAACAGCCTGAACACATTGCAGAAGCCAGCTCAGCGCGCCCAAACACACATGGACTGCCTTCCAATAATTGAAATTACATATTGATAGAATTCGACTTCAGCGCCTGTTCCTTCCACCTAAGTATTTCTCCAATTGCGCTTAAACCGCCTGAATCTTCCCTCAAACAAATGCAGCATCATAAATTAAACCCACTATCTGTATGCGGGTTGTGTATTGATTCAAGGTTTCAAGTATTTGGGGCAAGGTTGTGAAGTAATCAAAGCTGAATTTAGCCCAGTATCACACTAGACAATTAATTAGCTGCAAATAGAATTCCAGTTCGGCGTTTGCTTCTGTCGCCTGAGTATGTCTCCCATCTTGAAGAAAAAACAAACCATATTTTCACCCAAATGCCAGCCCCAGACTAGAATTTGGAATGCATAATCTACTTAAGCGCACATGGAATTCTACTTAGGCGTCAGTTTGTGACGCCTAAGCAAAATTCTATTTGCGCCTAAGTAGATTATGGATTATGTTTTCCAACAGCCCCAGACTAGATTTCTATTTGCGCATAAGTAGATTATGACTGTGAATTATGTCTTCCAACAGCCCCAGACTAGAATTTGGAAGACATGGTCTAATAAGGCGCAAATAGTAATAGAATTCTACTTAGGCGTCAGTAGATTATGAATTTTGTCTTCCAACAGCCCCAGACTAGAATTTGGAATGCAAAATCTATCTGGCGCAAATAGAATTCTACTTGGGCGTCAGTTCGTGACGCCTAAGTAGAATTTTATTTGCACCTAAGATTACCCAAGTAGATTTAGTCTTCAAAAGAAAGACCGAAACATAAGTTCAGCCCAATCTCACAATCAGAATTTTATATCTGTAGACTGTGGATCAGATAGGTATAAAGTATCCATGGCAAGTTTTTGTTATTAGCAAAACTAAACTGAATTCATCACCGGTCCACAATACAAATTCAATTTAGGTCAAGTACTTCACGACTTTGAGCGCAAACCCAGATTGATGAATCTGGATGTGTCCTCGCTGTGTGCATTGTTTTGTTTCTTTACTTCTTCAAAAGCTTGCTAATTTTCCCTTGACATGGTTTCTAACATCACCTTTTATAAGATATCCTTATTGCCCTGGTTTCTTCCATAGTCCCTTCCATAGTTCCGTCCATGGTCCACAAGGCCCACAGGTTAAGAGGCTAAAGTTTGAAATAATATATATAATTATATATATAGAATTATATATAGGATTTCATCAACCTATATACCTATATAACTATATATATATTATACCTGTAAGCCTATAATATCCATCAATATCCCATTACAACTATCGGTAACCTATATATATATATATATATCATTATATATATATACACATCATTATATATATCATTATATTCATTATATATATCATTGTATATATAAATATCATTATATATATATATATATCATTATATATATATATATCATTATATATAGATCATTATATATATATATATATCATTATGTATATATAAATATCATTATATATATATATATATCATTATATATATATATCATTATATATATATATCATTATATATATATATCATTATGTATATATAAATATCATTATATATAATTATATATATTATATATTATATATAATATTATCATTTTATTTACATATAAATATATCATGATAAATATATTTTATATCGTTATATTATATATATGTGTGTGTGTGTGTGTCGTATGCGATCGGATTGTTGAGGACAAATTCTTCAGACCATGCTTCGCTCAGCACGCTGCTGTTGGCCCAGCCACCATAGAGTGTTGGCTGAAGGTGCATGTCAGAAGCCACACTGCCATGGCTACAGCAGATCAGACACAGACACTCCCAAGATGTTGGGCAAGATTGCAAGCCACAAGAGCACCACTATTCAACACATCAGGGGTTTCGCACAAGAAACAGCAAGTTGCTGGAATCTCAATAAGTTTGCTGCCTTCGAGGCAAAGCAGCGTAATAACTCATCATTCGCAAGAGAGTGGATTTTTTTTCCATCTGGAAATCTATGGAAAACTAGAAAACATTATAAGGAGGCAAAGGATATCTAGCTAGCCAGCTTTCTGCTTGCAGCCTCTCATTTGGATTTGCTTTAGCATGTCTGACGATGCCATTCCAGTTGGAGAAGGGTGGGCGAGACATAACAATGAGCTGTTGGTCCACCCTCCATCGCAAGTGTATTTTGCACAGCGCGGGGATCAGCGTGGAAAGTACTTGCTGAAGACAGGCGAGGGATTTTCAGTGTGCCCTGCACCCCATGTGGGACGCTTGGCCAACACTTCCTTGGGCCTAGGACCCATCAACCAGAACCACTCCCTTGGGAAGAGAAGATCGGCTGGGAAGGGAAAGACTAGTGTGATGCTAATGGGATCTACTGGGAAAACACGACCCATGGGAAGGGAAAGGACCAATCTAGGAAAGCAAAAGCTTGAGCCAGATGTTATTCAAAGCATCCTTCTTTCAGATGCAGCGTGACATCACAGCATCACAGCATCACAGCTGCAGCAGCGCTCAGGAAATGACTGTCCCATCGAGGTCAGGGCTGCTGCAGCTTCAGCGTTGAGACCAGCAGAGGATCGTCCAGGAGAACGAAAGCTGGACCGCTCCGTGGTGCTGGCAGAGCCTTTGACCTTTTGTTCGTCAATGGCTAGCGTGTTTTCTTTCACAGTGATGAGTTGCATGATATAACTGATATAAATATCATGGATTCCTAAGAACTTGAGGGTTTGATTGATATCTACCAAGATGATGCCCAACATTTCTTATTTGCTACCCCATGCCACATACCTCGGTGTGCCTCTCTCACCTGTTGCCCACCCGAGGATATGCCAAAGACGGCGCGGTTGGCCTTGAAGTTCCCCTTGGGTTTCCTGGATTCTCCCGCCAGTTGCTACGCCCTCTTCACGGGGCTGCGCGGCAACGTGGCCGCGGCACACTGGTGTGCTTCGCAGTTCCACCAGCGGCTGCTGAGAGAGGTGGATGGACGGCAAGTCAAAGTTTAGGACATTGTTTAACGACCGTAAATGAAAACCTACAATTAAAATCACACAATTTCATCCAACTGTTCAGGGAAAATTGGTCCCAAACCCACTCATCACTAAGAGTTCTGTAGGTTTCCTTGATGTTTTGCCGCATTTTGCCACAGTTTCCTGGCATCTTGGGGAGGTGGCGAAGAAGATCCACGGCTGGTGGGATTCTGAAGCAGAGATGCCGGAGGAGATTGGGGGAGCGCTTTCCAGGGCGATGGGTCCAGTTTTTTCCAGCGCTTTCCCGGCCCAAATGGGAGACATCATCAACTCACATCAACTCATCCACCGAAATTTATGAAACATGCTATGGTCAAGAGATGTTTTCTATACTTGGTGGCTCATCCCAGTTAGTAAGTGAGATATAACCGCAGTTATAAATGGGATAAGTAGGGTTAATCCACTTATAATTGGGGTTATAACCCACTTACCAAGTGGGATGAGCCACCAAGTAGTCATAAGTTCGGGGATGATGTGATGGTCAACAATCCATGTTCATACGGACTGAGAATGATTGATATATGATATACCATGATATACCGATGTTTGGATTCCCAGGCTGCCATGTTTTGATATGTTTTGGTCATAGCACATCATGTGGTATCAAAAATGGGAGATATCATCAATCAATGGCCATTCCAGGAACCCAAATTGGAGGTACCTACCATATATAAGGCCTATATAAGGCCTATGTAAGAGAATATCCCCACAAAATATGGCCTTATATGGTACAGTACCTCCATTTTAGGATCCTGACATTCCCATTGAATGAACTTATACATGATGTGTTTGTTCCCCAAAAGCCAAGCTCATAAATGGACAATAAAGGGTTTTTGGAAAAGGAGTTTGTGATTTCATGTTGCATCAGATTCATCATTGCCGCCAGTAGAATTTGCCTTACCGTAGCTGGTGTGGTGGAAATGTGGACATGAATAACATAATATATAAGTGTGCTATACATTGTGATTTTCTCATCCCTTATTTCGACGCAACGTCTACGTGATCGCTGTCGAAACGCGGAGACAGATGCCTTGTTTTTCGCAGAGGACTTTCTCTACAGAGGATCCCATGTGGGCTCTTTGGTGAAGGTTCTGAAGGAGGTGCCCCGGAGAGGCTTCCGGTCCAAGAGAAGTCTTTCAGATTTGGGCATTTACATTATTGCCATTACCCTCTGGTGAACTAACATAGCAATGGAAAATCACCATTTTTCATGGGAAAATCCACTATAAATGGCCATTTTCCATTGCTATGTTAGTTCACCAGAGGGTATGCCTTAAATAAATCATGATGCACGGTGCACTTCAAATTTCATCCATGGCCAGGTGATCGAGGCCTTGGATCACGATCTCATCCACGGTTCCCATGGCCTGGGTGGCTGTGAGGGTGTGGTGGCCGTTCCTGGGCCGAGACCTTGGCAACCCAGAGATTCGAGAAGTTGTTCCATTGGGGTTAACATGAAAAAACATTGAAAAAACAATTTTAGATCATTTTTGGTATAGGAGATCATCACATATATTATCACTATAAGACTACAACTATCACTATTCGGGAGTTACCCAAGAATCATGTGGTTCATATGATGCTTTACTCCGATTGAAACAGATTTTTCAACATCTTGGTGCGTCGGCTGTGCTGCTCAGGTTCTGATTGGCGAAAACCTGGTCATTGCGGCGGTTGGCCAAGCCTCGGCGACTCTGCTATTCCAGGGGGCAGATGCGGTGCCACTCGTGCCTGGGCTGCTGGGGATGGTTCAAAAACCACCGGTTTTTTATATGGCAGTGTGTCAAAACCTTGTACCCCTGTAGTTCACATCAAAATAGCTGGTAAATGGATGTTCATCCCCCTAAAAATGGTATTTTCATAGGTATTGATCCATAGCCATATGTGATGCCTTGGGGATGGTTTATGGCACTGGCTTTCCCCGCATTATTGGTAATTATAATTAAACATGTGGTAAAACTATATGTAAAACATTGTAAAACTATGTCCAAATCAGAGTTCTCAGATGTTCCTCCTCCGTTATTTCACTTCATTTCCATGGCCATGTTTGGCCTTTCCATATCTCTCCATGCCATGCCACAGGTGCCGTTGCTGGGCCAAGAAGAGGAGGATGACGAGGTCCCCAACGGCGTCCCCAATGGCAGCAACGGTGCGACCACTTCGCCCCTGTTGATCTCTCAGCTGCTGCCTGGCCAAGCGTCGGAGAAGGGCGCCTTGCTGGAAGCTTGGCCAAAGCTTCAGTGATAGTTGGTATTACAGTTGGGGATAGTTGGAGTATAATATACTGTAAGTTTTTGTTCTTGGATCTGTTGGATTTTTATTTGGTTGATTGTTTTTGATGTCAAACTTTCGATGAGATCGGACAATTGAAGTAAGTTGCCTTTGTCCATACCAGATTTTGCATCCCAAGAAGCTAGCGCCGAGAGCCACTCATGGAACCCGCAAGGACAGCACTGGCCTCCGCCGTGCAAAGTCCGCTTACGACGCGGAGGGGGACGTCCCTGCCACAGCGGAACAGGACGTTGTGAGACGGATCCTGCGAGCGCCTGATGCATTTTCCGTGCTCGGGATACAGGACAAGGGTCCTGAGGCGCTGGCTGAAGTGAAAACTGCATACAAGAAGTTGGCACTTCGAGTGCAGCTTGGATTGTTGGACAGCACATATCAATGGCAGCACTGATTTCAGCAATGTGAATCTAGTAACATATTTTTAATGTAATATGTTTGAGCCGGGATCTCGTATGGACCATGGAATACTGCAAATTGATTTTGAGAGTGTCCCCTTCCATCCATTCTGAAGAATTTACAAGGGAATTACACTAGAATATATGATGAAGCCGCACAGTTGCAACTACAAACCATCCTACTGTACAAGCTCATCCAAGCGATACTTTTTCAGCACGTCCATCCCGTTCCGGAGGCCGTAATGCGGATAACCCCAGATAGCTCTGCAAAATGAAGAGGGAGAACTTGTAAATTACCAAACCAGGGTTGTTAGGGTCATTTTCCATGGGCTTCGCCATAGGTGGAAGTGACGAAGTGACTGTGTGACTATGCGCATCCCCAACTTTGGTTTACTATTGAGCGGTATATCCATGTATATCCCAAAAAATGGGATGATGTAAAATGACCCCCAAATGGTTAAGGGGATGATGTAAAATGTTGGGTTTTTTGACCCCCAAATGGTTAAGGGGATGATGTAAAATGTTGTTTTTTTATTTTTATTTTATTTTGTTGTGACCTCCAAAAACATCAAACACTATATTTCTTAGGATGTTATTTTTCTATCTTTGGGGGGTTGCCCAACAACAGGATCCATCAGGATCCCCATCACAAGCCCAGGCATCCCGACAAGGTGCGAAGCTGTGAGCCCGCTGAAGCCAAAGCGGCCTTCGCACGCTTGGATGCAGCAGCCAAGGTGCTGGAGGCCTTGTTTGACCCTCGGCTTTAGTAACTTGCTCCTTTCTTTTTGGTAAGGCGATTTTGTGAAAAACTGTATAATTAGATTCAATGTTTTTTCATGTATATATTCACATATGCAGATGCACTGTGTATAGATTAAATAGTTTGGTGAATTTTGATTTGTGCCTTGGGATTAGGGGTTAAACATCATAAGCACAATACCAACATCAAAAGCCTTCAGTGAAGATCGCTCAGCTTTCCAAGCCGTGCCCCCCAAGGACCACAATGCCGAGATATGCCGGGAGCTGCACCGCATCCTGCGTTGCGACCCCTTCACGGTCAAGGGTGCCAGCCAGTTGCTGCAACTGAGCTCAGATGCTGAGGAGTCACAGGTGAAAAAGGCCAAGGAAGACTTGAAGCAAAAGTTGGCAAAGGCTCAACTCCAGGCCTGGAATGGATTTGGGTTGGAGGGTTCTTTAGTGCAAAATTTGAGGCCATCATGAAGCGGCATTAAAGCCAGGAAAGCTCTTGAGCATTCTTGAGCAAGATTTTACCAAATTAAAGGTCATCCATTAAAAGTCCACCCGCTGGTAGGCAAGGAATATAAGCGCATGTGTCACAGCCAAGGACGCCCTATCGGAAGTTCAGAAGGGTGTCGATGCCTGTTCCATTGCAGCAGAAACGCTTCAGATCCTGCGTTGTAGCGGCGCTGCTCCGGCGAGTTCAGAGAAACTCCTGGCAGAAGGACTTGCAGTGACTGAGCTCCCAATCCGTTGCGCTTTCTCACTGTCACCATGTTCACTTCTTTGATAAGTAGTACGTGTTGCATGGTTGGAAGGATTATTCGCAAGAATGTAGAAGACATGCATTGGAAGTTATGATGGTTTTTGAATGGTAGCTTAGTTGGAAAAAACAAAGCGTTTTTTCCCCATCATGATCATCATGACGATCAACTTCCTTCAATTTTACCTCAATCACCATCATAGAAACCAAACGGTTTCTTCCCCAAGTACATCGACATCATCACATATTCAAATTTCCTCCAAAGCCCTGGGGTGGTTTTTCTCCCCCCCAGGAGTTCCCGTGGCCTCGCTGTCCGCGCTGGGCTTGCGCGACCTTCGCTCCATGGGAGCTCGCCTGCAGGTGCGCTGTGCTGCCTACCGCGCGGGCGAGGAGGTGAGGATCGCCCTTTGTAGCGGAGCCACAGCAGAGCTGCCCATGAAAGACCTGGAGGACCCGGAGTGGAGAGCACTTGGGGAGAAGGGCTAGCAGTTCTTGGGTGTGGTCAGATCATGCAGCTTTCCGATTGTTTTTGGTGAACTTTGGAGCGAACATGTGTTTTCATGATTTTTGATGGATTTGTATAGGAAATGGAAGGGCCGTCGAATGCTTGTGTTTTGTGCCAGCTTTCTTGTGTGCTTTAACAACGATTGAGGTCTAAGTAATGATTTGAAAGACCTTTCATTCAATTCTCTGGTCGTCATCCTCACAGCTGGCACCCAGGACGCTGCGAATTTGTTCCTCTGGCAGCCGAAAGCTGCGGCCATGCAATGGGCAACCAAGGCACTTGCACTGGAGAGTCGGAAAGATGATCCATCTGCTGCCAGCATTTGCATTTGTATCCGTGAGCGCGAGGAGGATGATGCTAGGTTTGAGAGATTATATAGAACATTATAGAACTATTATAGAACTATTATAAATATGGCCTGATATGGGTCCTAAAATATCTAAAATTCCACCGGTTTCACCTGGTCGTTAGTTGACCGCAGAAATTTGTTGAGTCACTGGGTACACCCCCCAAATCCACTGGTCGATCATGAATTTTCCCTATGAAATTGCCGTTTGGTGGACTAATGTGGTAGATCCAACAATCATATCAATCATAAACTATCCCCAACACTATTCTGTGTCACGGAGATGAAAGTCCACCTGCCTATCCCCAACACCATTTTAGTGGGATTCCCAGCATCCCCAAATGGTCGTGGTTTTTCCGAGGAAGTGGAGGAGGAACGCCCCAGCAAGCGGCAGAAAGGCCCCAAGGGCCCGCGCAGCGTGCGGCTGCGGCACCTCTTGTTGCGGTGCGCAGAGGCGGGCAAGGCGTTGCCGGAGGATCCCATGGCCAGGAGGAAGAAGCAGCAAAAGATCCGACACTTGGAGCTGGACATGTACTTTTGGATCATCTTGGATAATAGTTTGGGATTTGATGGGATTTGTAGAACATTGGGATTACAGGGATTTAAGGATGTAGTTGGATGTAATATCATACTTATAACATCTTATAACTAACCATGTAACTCCTTGGTTTGGAGGAGCTGAGATAAATGTGGTATTAAAAATCATGTTAAAACCCTGCTAATCCATGAGAATCCCACCAACCACCCCGGTGGTTTACTTTTTTTGGCTTGCTATGTTGGTGAGTATTTTCCCCTAGAAGATGTGAAATGTTTCGAAATTCGCAGCAGCAAACAATAATTCGTTTCCCAATTATTGTCACACATGTTCATTACACATCCACCACGTGTTTCCATTTGTGATTGGGGCATTTGACCGGTCAGGAGTAGTTAGATATTTTGTCGGTTGCTTTGTACCACTTGTACTTGTTGAAAGGGTCAATGTACAAGGCAACCCGCCTTTCCTTGAACCCCCTACCATAGCCATAGCCCAGGCACACCAGCAGAGGCAGAGGCTGAACTGATAGCCTTGCTGCTAGAGATTTTGTCCGCAGATCATGGGAACGGTGCCTTGTCTGTGAAAAAGTTTCTACTTGGTGGCTCATCCCGCTTAGTAAGTGGGTTATAACCCCAATTATAAGTGGATTAACCCTACTTATCCCATTTATAACTGGGGTTATATCTCACTTACTAAGTGGGATGAGCCACCAAGTAAGACTCTAAGATCTTCGAAGAACATTTTGCCGCCGTGACCCGTATACTTTGATTTTTTTTCATTTCTCCCGTAGCCATCCGACCCCAAGCTTGCTTTGGATACATTTGGAACATTTTCAGCTTTGGACAATTTTGAAAAACCTTTGGACATGTTTGGATTCTTGACATGTAAAAAAACAAATCGGAAATAAAAATCACCTTGTTCTGACCCGTTTGGCTCGGCATGTCGCAGGTGACCCCAGCAACGCCTTCCGTCGCCTTTGCCAAGAACGCTCGGAGTGTTCCTCCGCGGACTCGGCTGGGCTGCTCTGTGGAGATCTGGGATGGGTCTCCCGAGGCGCCTCGGCGCTACAATGATGTCACCATGTACTACGGATGTACTACGGATGTACCAATACTCTAGATGTCTAACATTGTCTAACGAAGCCTTGTGTATATTACCCATAGGATCCATGGTGCTGCTATATATGGTAACATTTACCATCAATATACCCCCAATGTATGCATATATACCATACATGGATCCTATGGGTTATAGATAATCTTGCAGCCACCAGGTCAAAGTGAGCCGGCCTTCGAGCAAACGGCCTTTAGCCTGCGGAAGGGTGAGCTCAGCGACGTGGTCACCACCTCTCGGGGCGTCCATTTGATTCAGCGCATCGCCTGACGTGGAAAACCGTGGCTGCCAGGTGGGCTGCGCATGGGGAACCAACAACAAAAGAGGCACACAGGTTGGGAGAGGGCACATCAATTTAACAATTTAGTTGGATGAAGATAAAGTTGATTGATGTTGATGGTATGTAGATGTATGTAGATAGATTTGTATAGCCTTTGGGGTAGGATATTCCTTGTATAGAATATTGTCGGATATTGATGATATTGTGGGCGAGACTGTTTAGAGGCTCCTGTTCATGTGCACCACTCAAAATCGTCACGAGAGATGTGCCTTGTACCGTTGTTTCCGCTGCAATTCGGACTTGAAGAAAGACCTCAAGCCTGCGCCACCCCAAAGGCTTTATAGCAAATTAGCAGGGTTAAGGGAACAAGCGTAATAAATCTAATCTATATATTATAAGTCTGTCAAGAACATGGGTTCGCATATGGTAGCCAACGGCTCTTGGGGATGCAGAAGAGGAAACCGTTCTGGGTGGCAGCAAACACCAAAGTACGCCTTCAAGTTCTGAGAGGAAAACACATCTTCTGCTGATATACTGATATAGAATGATATAGACTGATGTGATGGTTTGACGTGTAGCAGATATCACGAACCGGAACTCAGGACCTGTCCTTGGCCCAAGATATATCCTTTAGCAAGCCGTGCACATGTCTCATACGAGCTGCTTGGTGGGCCACATTTGTCAGCTGAACTATGGCTGGGGGGGTCTTGTGGAGCATCAGACACTCGGTGCTTCGCAGTGTTCGCAGCACATATACTTCTCTGGGTCAACAGATTCGCTCCGAATCGGTCAAGAAGTGGGTTTTCGCTTGCGGCAGTTGGCTGGAATGCTCGAAGCAGTGGACCTCACACCTCTCAGGAGTCAGAGCCCCCAAGCAAAGAGTCCCTTGTGGCATGCCAGATTTCTGCAAACCCAAGATGGCTTTCCGCTATCAAAATTGACATCGGCGATTTGGCAGCGTCAAATCCGGCGCTTGCAACGTGGAATCCTGAAGTTCAGCAACGCAGCAAAGGCTGAACAGTGCAAACTGGTAGTTGAAGCAGAGAGATTGCTGGACGAATTGCTTGGCCAACCAGATTTGGACGGCGATTCTCTTTGCCAGTTGATCCGACGCTGCGCCAGCTGGCTACATGCACCAGTATTTAAAGCCTTGGCAGGTGTGGACGAAGCAAGTCCACCAGATGGGCAGCAGGACTCCGCTAATTTGCAGTGCCGCATTCGACAGCTGCTGATTAGAGCATTGAACCACGTGGACCTGTCTGATGGACCTACTTTTGAAGCTGTAGAGGCCGCCCTTCGCTACATGGCTGTGTTTGTTCAAAGACTTGAGGAAAACCAGGGTTCCATGCTCTGTCATGAACGGCTTGTTTTCGGGAGACTGCTTCGGTCTGTTTTCGAAGTAAGGGAGGGCAAAGGCCAAGTCCCAGGGTTGGAAATCCCATAGTCCCGGGATGTCCCGGGTCTAGTGTTCATAATAATACCCCCATGAGATTCATTGAGATTCCACCAGCATCATGCATGACATTATGATGTGCCCAAAACATCCCAAAACAACATTGTCCGACAGAACTATTCACCAAGGCATAGCCGAAGAACTCTTTCAGAAATTACCATTCCAGAAATCTTCAGGAGAATCAGCTCGCTTCCAAACCATTGCACCCACATGCAGCCGCCATGCGCCAATGGCAGCGCCTACATCATTTGCTCCCGGCGCTCGTGATGCCAGGGAACGAGGCAGCCACACTGAAGCGAATGGAAGGGATGGCAGCGTCCGATCAGTCCCCAAGGAGGATTGAAGGCTACAAGACGCTGGCTTCGCAGTTTTAGTTGGCATGTTTTTGCATGCGATTTTCCGTACTTGGGAAGCTGCTCCACTATTATTTCTTTTACATGGTCTGGAAAGCAGCAACCAGGAAAGCTTTTGCTGGTGGGGTGTATGAGCCCTCCGGAAAGACCAGGAAACTCTCCACTGTATGTCAAGATCATGAGCGACCACCGGTCCAACTGAAGTGTTCTGAATGCTCATACATAGTCACCAGACACCTGCCATATATTAGAAGCTGCAAACAGTTTTGCTGTGGGAAATATAACAAATATTCTTGTATATTGACACTGTAGCGTTCGTATATGGCATATGGCATATGGCTTGTTGGACTAATTTTATTAAAGGTGCCTTGATGTGTTTAACCTGCTGGCTTGTTCAATCCTTTCATACCATGTCTGTGTCCAGTACTATTGTTGAAATCGGTAGAACATGGTACAACAATAATTATATGACATAAGGTTGCTAACTTTCTCATTGATTGAGCCTTTGTTCACTTTTCCGATCAGTGGTTTGGGACCAGAGTGGCCACAAAGGCAACTGGTACTTTCAACATCCCAAGACGGGGATTCGCTCGGTCCTGGCACCGCGCGATGGGCACAACCGTTGTCAGCAAAAGCTGAAGAAACGATGCTACTGGCAGAGCTTGGATGGCTGTCATGCTATGGCTGGCATCTCGAGTAACATGGAGTTCTGCAAGCAACACCAGCGGCTTCTGACGCAGTGCGCTCCCTGTGGTGGTAAGAAGATGTGCACTTTGGTTATATTTTATTTTAGTCCAGTTATATATTTATAATTTAGTATTATATATATACACAGTGTACAGCTTGTTCATGTTGTTTAATATGATTGCGCGATTAATCAATTGTGCTACCATTTGGTAACAGCCTGTCTATGGGCAGAGATCATTGGCGCTGTTTGCATGGATGAATCACATTCCGGTACAACCATTGGATGCAAAGTTCCCAAAATGACTTTGGGAAGCTCATATAGTCAGAATCATTCGGAGACCAAAGTGCAGTGGGTTTTGGGCTTCTAGACCGCGACTTGCAGCCCAGGCATTCATGGACGTCAGAAGTACCACTGCAAAGATTGCAGGGGCAACGGCTTTTGCACTCATGGGCGGCGCAAATTTAAGTGCCGGACGTGTCAGGGTTTGGCTGTTGAAAAAATGAGTGAAGACTCCCATTTTGATGGTAGTTTTTCCGTGTTTTATGTGTTCTTGATGTGTGTCAACAGCATTTGTGAATTTTAATACACATATATATATAATATTATATAATTATATATAATATATTATAATATTTATCATATATTGTATGTATATTATATTATATATGTGTGTGTGATCTTTTCTGCGATTTCCCGACAGAAAAATCACGCCAAATCCACATCATGAGATCGAGCCATTTTGGCTTGGTGCAGGAGACAAGATGCTACAAGAGCAAACTAAACATTTATGCGCAAGACATTGCGCAAATCCCGGACTTTCGTGTCCCCACAGTGACATCCCAAGCTGCTGAACTTAGCACCTGAATTTCAGCCGTGCCGCCAAGTGCCATGGCAGAAGTGGCTGCCATTCCGCTGTGCGTTTTTGCCAAGCCACCGGTGTTGACACCTCAGGTGACCATTGGTCCAATGGCGAAATGACAGGATCACTGGTCACTGAGGCCTGGCAGAGTCGCCGCCCCAGATTTCTCAGGGCGTTCCTGTCATTCATTTCACGACCTGGTTTCCAAGTCACTGTTGATTTCCATGAGGCAAAGACGCGGCTGGCAGCCAGCATTGGCAATGAAGCAGCTTGCAGGCCTGAGAATGCTGGCTGATATGGTGCCATTTGTGGCTAAACATGGCCGAAGATCCACTCGGTCAATCCCCGAAATGCCCATCACCTGCCAAGTGTTGTTGGCGTTGCCAGGTTGGCGACGGTCAGCAACTCAGAAACTTGAAACGGCACTGAATGGCCAGGGGTTGAGCAGGACTTGGAAACCATGCGACCCACTGCCGCTTCCAGGAGGAAGCCTCTATTTTGAAATTGGCCTTCACATTGTTTGAAAAATTGTCACGAGCAACTGTGGTTTTTGAGGCCTTTATTAGCGACTTCATCTCAATGGCAGCTGGAATCGACTGGGCCTACCCAGTGCTAGTTGGGGACTTGTTGCTCAATTAGTTGTTCTTCTGTGCTTTTCTCGTGACCAGAGTTTGAGTATGGCAGACCAGCTTTGACGTGAGCTGAGGAATTCCTGACTGCACATTCCACCAAGGCCACTACTGAAGATGGCATGGAGGGTTTTCCGTGCCTTCCCTCAGGGTGTTTAGGATACCTTGGCTTCTTCCAGGGCACCACTTTGAGCTTCTCTATTGACTCTATTACATACAGTACAGGTCATATGATTGGTTTAGTTTGGAGATGTGTCCTGAAACCATTTTGGGATTTCTTTTGGAATTGGAACCTCTATGATTTCTATAGATTTCTATATGATTTCTATATGATTTCTATATGTTTTTTTATATGATTTCTATATGATTTCTATATGATTTCTATATGATGCGTTTGTCCACGATTGGATACAACTGGGTACCGCTTCAGCCAGCCGAGGCTTGAGGCATACCCCCCTGGAGTGCTACTTGTCTGCTGGCGATGCTCCGGTAATATTCGGAAGGCTTGTGCCTTGATCAGATCTCATGAACGTGGTATTTATATATATATATATATATGTATAGGTATAGGTATAGGATGGTATAGGTATAGGTATAGGTAAAGGTATAGGTATAGAGATGGATGGGTAGGATGGGTAGGATGGGTAGGATGGGTAGGATGGGTAGGAGGATGCCTAGGGGGAGGGTAGGGTTGGGTAGGGTTGGGTAGGGTAGGTATACTGTATTATACGATATATCCTAGTACCACTGCGAGAATTTGGTGACTGCGGCCCCTGTGAGAATTTGGCCGTTTCCTTTGGCCACTTAGGAGGCCAGATGATGTGCCAAGTCGCAAGCCCCAGAATCGCGATGCTGGGGTGCCGGAGTTGGGGACGGGTACTCCTTCAAGCTCCCCAAAGGGGGGAAAAAATGGTGGTATTTATAATGGGACACCAATATATGTAGCAAACTTGTTGTGCCAGCTTGGTATGTCTGAAATGGACCATACTACCAAATGGACATTTGTAGATTGGGATGAAGCAACTGTAAACCATTGGGATCTCCCATCGCCAGGGTGGAAGCAGCCAGAAGGTGATCTGGGTGCAAAGATGGAGGTCAGGCAACTGCTGTGTCAAGAAAAGAAGACGCTCCAAAGCGGAGACTTCTAAACACGTGGATGAATAATGTGGAATACGTGTTTAATCCCAGTTTGTTTGGAGGAAGAGCGACAGCCTAACATGTTTGGCCAGATTGCAGTAGGTTTTGATCAAATTTAGCATGTGCCTGATTCAGATGTTGTTTTCGACAACCGTGATACTAGCCTCAAAGCATTGGAAATCAAACAGCCTGAAATTGCGCTTGCAACCAAAGAGGCAGTTATTTTTTCTGGAATATAGACTCCTGTTAGATGCCTCGAGTGTGTCCTTCTCATATTAGTTGCTTCTTTCTCACAAGGTTTGACCCAAGGTCCACTTACATCTAGCTACAGATCTACACTGGGAATATTTTGAAACGTGGACCCTACACAGCCGCTTTCTGGCAGGGAATAGTTAGACAAGCTTTGGCCGGTGCAAGTGTTGCTTGGATTGAAAGTTCAACGGGTCAGCACTGGGCTGGGGCCCGGGGCCTTTTCCCTTGGTGAGATGTCGTAAATGCTCACTGCACGATGTGCTGCCGAGGCTGCGATTTGCCTGGGCGCAGACAGCCGGAATCCTTAGACAGGTTGGCAGTTGAGGCATGGCTGAAATCGCCAAAGGTAAGCCAGCCATACCCTGAAGTCAGACTATCACATTGTGTCTCTTAGTCTGCTTTGGTTGATTTTGCTTGGTGATGTCGATAATTTTGGTGATTGTCCATCCTTACCTGGGAGGAATGCACCGGCATCCAATTTCCAAGAGAGGCTTGAATTCACCAAGCATCGCTCTATATTTTGACTCAGATTGACAGCAAGCCCAAAAACAGATAGAAATGTTGGCAATTTGAAAACATAATGTCAATAGCATCCATCTATGTAATATAGTCTATATATATATATATAAATATATATATATAACATCCTGGAAACACTTCTATCTTTTTGAAGGTTGCCATGCTTCCGCGCTGCTTCCAAGGTCCAGGCCGACCTGCCGAGAGATTGGAAGAGACCAGGCGAGCGCTGCAAGGTGGCTTTGACGCCGTGCCACTTGGAAAAAAATGCTACAAGGTGGTGCCCCCCAAGTGACGTTTGATTATGTTTGTTTTATAAACCCCATCAACTATAGATCTATCTATCAAAACATATGATGATGTTTGTTGATTTATATACCCCGCTTCGCTATATATAGATAATTAGACTAGATATATCTATCGAGTAGCTTATCATAACCCATAGTTCAGCTAGTTAATTGCATCAACTCTTAGCAAATTAAATATGAGGCACCACCTTGTATGATGTTCTTGACTTTTTGGCATGTTGTTTCCATTTATTTCAACCCCTGTGATGATGATGCCACGGAGAGTTCATAGATACCTTTTAAGGCCATAAATATCCAGGGAAATCATCGGGAAAATCAACACTTTCAATGGCTGAGTCATGGAAATCTTCACTTTCACCAGCTGTTTGGTTCTAGTCATACATGATCTTGGGAAAAACATGAATGTCAATGTTCTTGTCGTGATATTTATGATCTTTTCTTACACATATAGTTGACTCATCGAAGCAATCCATCAGCTGAGACCAGCTCGGAGCAATTTGTGCACCTTCTAGGCTTGGACCTACGGAAGACGGCGGGTGCCCAACAGCCAAGCCAGTGCATCGTAGTAGTTTGCATCATCCTACATTCAGGTCATTCGGGTACCTATCAAGATATCTATCATCATTCATTACTGTATCTAAACATCGAAATCAAGCATTTTACATCAATAGTCGTATATATATATATATACATATATATATATATATATATATATTCAAATTGTATATATGTTCACTGATATTATACTTATCAGACTTAAGGATGATGAAAGCGTTTTTGAACTTGGTCAGAATTTATTGCGGGAGATCCTGGTCCATTCAGATACGACCTCCTGGCGTTGAAACAATGCCCAGAAGGCCTGCTGGCTGCCAGGTGCCCAGTTTTTTCGATGCGATGAGATGGCCAGGGAAGGGGGGAAATACCATGGCTCGAATAGCCGAAAAAACAGCCATGATTTTGAGCATGACAAATTGGATGATTCTTAGATAATTCTAAGAGATAATTGGATGAATATTATGATAATTCTAAGATAAAATTCTAAGAGAAAAAAACATGCTTGACTACCTTGACTTGCATTCGTCGGCATTGATGACAACGTTCACTTGATGACAGTATCTGGGACCACTGGGAGCGGATTCACCGAAGCGAAGAGCTCAGGAGCTGCCGTGGAGTCAGTTGAGCCCTGAGAGAAACTCTCGTTGCAGCGAGTCCAAGTGCTGTCCCCATCTCCTCAGATTTGACCATCCTGATTCTATATGAAAGTAGTCCATCCATCCAAGATATCTAAGAATTCAACATGGGTCATTCTTTCCATCCAATTTCCATGAACATTTCCCATCACTTTGCCGCCCAAGACCATCCAACCATCCTTAAGGCCCAGCACCTTCGAAGCCACGAAGCTGCGTTTGGAGGAGCGCGGCTTGCGCGTGGCGGTGTGACTCGGACGTGTGACATGAAACTCATGGTGAAAATGGCATGAAAATGGGATTTGATACTAACAATAATATACACATATCATTGATATCATATCATAATAATACTAAATAAGAATAATAATAAATGATAATAATAATAAATGATAATAATAATAATCATCATCATCATCACCATAGGTATTATCATGAGCAATCATGATCATAGGTATTATCCATGGGATACCCCATAGATAATAGTACAAAACAAACATGTATTACCATGGGATAAGCATTAATGGGAGAATAATTGTTAATTGGATGATAAAGGATATATTGTTGATTAATGAAATACGATTGCGATATAGATAGATATATATATATATATACACACCGTATGTATATATATACTTAACGATAATAGGAAAATTATGGGGATATAATAGGAATGCCTGGTGATTACTCCCATAATTGCTTATTGAATTAGATTTTACGGTGCTTAATAGGGATTTAACATGATTAAGCAACAAAAATGGTGATTATTTTGCCAACTATCCCATTTGTGTTTGAAAATCAAAACTGCACCCCCAATTTTAATCTAAACTTTTGAACCCATTTTTCTTAAACCATCGAAAAGTGGCTGTTGATACCTGAAAGATCTATATAGTTGTTGAGGCTGTTTCTATATTGGCATCATTTCCTCAAGGAAGCTTTGGCGCAATGCTGCACTGAGGCTACCGAAGTGGTGGGACATCGACGAGGTCAACAGCTGTGATATGCTGTGATGATCCTTGTGATTTCATGGGCCACAGGTTGAAGACTTGGAACGGCTACGTCAGTTGCTGCAAAATGAGGCCAGCCATTGGGACGCCCGTGTATGCGAGGAGGTCGGATCGCGTAAGTAGAGATGAATCATGGATACTTATGGTTATGTGATGTTATCGACCATTAACAAAGGATCATTGACAATTAACATCAATTAACAATTGGCCATAATTAACCATGGATACAATATATATTCGTAGCATTTAACCAGGTGTTGTTCCGATGATTGACACTTTTGGGGATGGTTGAACTCCATTGGTCCAAGTGTGATTAGCCATAGCTCAATATGATATGGTGGTGGCAGTTTGGTCATTGAAAAAATCACCATTTTGGGATAGTTACCCTCTGGTTATGACTAACATAGCTATGGAGAGTTACCATTTTAGTATAGGGAATTCAGATCAAAAAGCATCTATTTCTATGGGCCATTGTCCATGGCTACGTTAAATAACCAGAGGGTAAATCAAATACTAGACAGGACCTATTCCATTGAGTCCGAGTGTTCCTTAGAACTTATTAGATTCATTAGCCATACCTAAAATATCCTAAAATATGCCTACATTGTAGTTAGTTGGTCGCGCGAGTCGCGTGTGTATCGTTTCGAAGGTGTTTGCTCGAAGTTTTTTTCAGACAAAGGCGCACCTGCAGTTGGTCCAAAGATGTCCAAGTCCAAAATGTTTTGTGATGGCCAGATTCCATGGGACACCATATGTTCAGTAGGTAAATATAGGTAAATCATCTAAATGGGCTATGGCTTCCACATCTTCCACAAGCGAAGTTGAATTATCAGAATGTATTCTATTCAATGTAAGGTACCCTCTGGTAATTTAACATAGCTATTGAAAATGACCATTTATAGTGGATTTTCATGGATTTTCCCATTAAAAATTGTGATTTTCCATATAGTTATGTTAGTTTACCAGAGGGTATTGATCAAAAGACTGTTGCGTGTTCACTTGTTTCCCTCCTAGGAGGCTGCCGCGCGTGCTCCGGCCACTGCCGCTGCAGTGGGCTGAGTGGTCATTGGCCGGTTATTGTTAAACCATGTTGAACCAGGGTGATTGGCAATTGGGGAACCATCCCAATATATATATATACACACATGGTTGTGATGTTCGGATTGGTGAATCATGCTGATTCAGCACCTTAGCTGACTAAGGCTTACCCAAGAACCCAAGGATGCTGAAATCATTTGGATATCTGGTCTATCCAGCCGAGTGAATGTAACAGCAGCTCCTGAATGTCTCAGGTCATGTCGAGCTTGGATTCTGAGATGCAATGAAACTACTTGAAGCTGTGTGCTTCACAGCCTTTTGGCTGGGTTGAGCGCTGTTTCTGTCAGATTTGTACCATTGGCTACCCAAAGTGAAGTGGGCCATGGGATGGAAATGGATGGAAGCTCAAGGGTACAACAGTCCCCGTGCACTGATTGGACGATTTTCGATTTTTGTCCAGTTGATTAAATCCTCAAAGAGAGCAGAGCGCAAATGGTGCAGTGCGCAGCCTGTCGGATGGAGACGCAGCAGAGAGATAGAGGACCTCCACCCAAAACATAAGCCTGCGAGTTGCCCATAATTGCCCCCTCCAGCATATCATGATGTTCGGCAGTTCGGCCATAGCCTATGTGGCTCAAATCAGCAGTCTCGCGCTGCTGCCGAATCACCAGTAGCAAGACTGGTGCTTGTGTTGCAGGAAAGAGGCATGAAGCGAACCGGGCTTGGATGGTGCTGAGCAATACATAGTCTCTTCATGTCTCTCCTCTCCAGGCTAAATTCAAGAATCCATTTGTTTGGTAGGGCCGAATCGATCAGTCAAAGCTGATCAAAGGTGCGGTCACATCAGTCACACCGTCATGGTTGGCATTGGCGAAAAGATTTTAAAGGTTTGTGGAATTGGCTGGCACAGCTTTTTGGGATGAAACTGGAATACTGGCCGTTTCTCCTCCACATCTACTGATTTTTGGCCTCACGGGTCCTTGGAGTTTATTGGAATTATTGGACAATGCACCAGAGTAGGTCTTGCCTTTTCGCTGCAGGTCTATGGGCCTCGAGCCCAATGGCTTGGTCCTCGGTGAGCGGCTTTTGGCGGATATATTATTGGCTGAACCATGTTCAGAACGTTGACTAAAGACTTGAAACGACATCGTCAACCCCCTAGTAACCCTAGTAGGTAGCTGGTTGTTGAAGGATCTTTTTACTGTAATGATTGATGAATTGATCGGATGATATATGATGGTGTATGCATTACAGTACACGTTTATGATGCCTTGTATGCACAATATGCCTACAGATACAATGATATATATATATATATATATAAATACCCATATACATACATACATACATACATACATACATACATAATGTGATCAGCTACCTACTGATTTGATTCAATCCAATTATCTAATGGGCATCAGTGCTGGGCAGCTCCCAGGGGGCGAGGCGACCGACGCGAAGAAGGACGTAGAGGAAGCCCAGGCTTTTGGTGATTTTGGCTGAGATCCATCGCAATTCATTGCTACAAAGCCGTGGAAATCCCATGGAAATCCCATGGAAAATAGGAAATCCCAAGTTTCGGCAGGTCCATTTTCACCTTTTCATGGTAGAGGATCGGAAAATTGGCGGGATGCAGCCGCTGCAGCAGCATGCTCCGCATTGCAGGTTACGCCAGGGTATGGTGATGGCACTGGGTACTGGAATAAAAGGCAGGGCGTTTCATGACAGCTTTGCAGGTTGATTCGCGCTTTTTCAAGTAGTGTGTTGATTTTGCCGAACTGAGTGGCGCACATACTGTACTTCTTTTTTCTGCTTGCAATATTGGGCGACCTCAGCTTCAGACATAACATGGGGACAATGAACCAGGGTTTTGAACACTTGCAAACTTGAGAACTGCTGGAGTAAGTTCTGTCTCCTGCAGGGTGACAGATCTCCAGTTTCCATTGGGTGCCATTGGGACGGACATGACGTGAGATGACGTCAGATTTGCAAGGATTCCCAAAAAGATAGATAAGAAATTGATGTACCATTCGGAACATACATATATACATAATTATACATATATATATATACATACATGTACATAAATACATATATATATATATATATATATGTGAATTCACTTTTCCAGTTTTCCGGACCCTTGCAACTCAGCAAGAGGATGCCCCATGGGGCAAAGCCGTCGAACGAAGGTACCGCGCTGATCCGGCGCCCTTTGAATGGCTGGAAAGCTTCGTTGAGCTCGAAAGCCTCATCAAAGAGGCAGAAATCATGCTATAATAGGAATATGATGGGAATATTAACAAGAGGATAAGGAATATGATAGGAATATTAGATATGAATAGTAGTTATTACAGATATGAGACTAACAACAATGGGAATATTTACTAACAAGAATAGTGTAATAGGCTAGGGATTAATAGGGATTAATAGGGATATATTTGGATAAATCATGGTTGGGGGTGACTATGGCTGGACCTTCGGGATGGCCATAGTGGGGGGGTGACTATCCCAAACATCAACTGTTGGAATTCCAGGGATATGAAGGGGATTCGCGATACAAAATGCATGTTTACCGTTTACCGTTACCAAAACGGGGATTTGACTAGCAACAAATAGGGATGCAATTAAGTTTGAATATGTTTCAATGGGAAAAACTATGACAATTATTTTTGGGGGTACCCAAAAAATTGCAGAAACCCAAATAGACTCCGAAGATGAGCATTTTTTCACCACGGAGGCAACGACCGGCAGACTGGATGCCGCCATTCTCCACGTGGGCTGCGGCAACTCGCTGCTGCCCGAAGCCATGCCGGAAACCTGGGAAGGAAATGGATGACACGGGCCGAGTGATGACACGATGTTGGAAGTTTGATGTTGGGGGAAACATTTGCTACATGTAGATTTCAAAGGACTAAACATGTTTTATCATATAGAAATAAAAACACAAGCTGTGCTTCCGTATGCTGCCGCTTTTTGTGTTGGTAGCGGTTGGTTCTGGCCCATGCTGAACTCATGGAGGTAGCTTCAGGCACATCAAAGTGTTTCATTACCATTTGACAACTTGGCTTGGCACATGCACACATAGATGTCCTTTTCCCATTGGTTGGTTGATTAATAGAGGGGTTTGAAGAAACCCCCTTTAACAGGTAAATGATGATAGATGGTATACCAAACCGGCCCTTCTATTTTTACCAAAAGGACATTATTGCATGCACAGTTCTCTGATGTTTTGAGTCCAAATTGATGCCAACCGAAGGTGTGATATGTTCAGATAATGTTGACACGACCAAGCCATTTTCACCAAGATCAGCGGCAAAGGTATGACCACGGATATAAGGACATCACCAACATAGACAATGCCGAGGCAGGTTACGTGGCATTCTCGCAAGGCCAAGTCCCAAGCATACCAATCCTGGAGTCAATATATGGATATGTATGTACATAATTATATATAATATGATACAATATAATATAATATAGTATAATATAATGAAATATAACATAACATAATACAATATAATATAATATAATATAATGTAATATAATAGATAATATAAAATAAAATATAATATGATATGATATAATATGTGACAATATAATATACAATAAATTATAATGAAATATATAATATAATACAATTTAATATCATATATGTGTATGTATGTACTGATAATAAGAGCAATAATGATATTCCTATTTATAGTGAATTTATAGTGATATCCAAGGAATTATAATGGTAATAATCATATTCTTTCAATTTGAGCATCCTCGCACCTAAATATTGAAATAAATAGTGGAGATATTCTATACTTCAGCATCACTCTACAGTACTACATGCGTCAGGTCCTCACCTCACTTGTCGATATGTTTCATGCTGATCCACTTGAACAGATGGCGATGGAGAGAGATTATCCACTTAATAACCTCAGTTATGACACCACTTTTGAGGGTCATGAAGAATGATGAAGTCGTACTTATTCACTGACTCAGAGGAGGCTAAAAGACCGTGTGGCACCTGCAACACGCCAGGTATGCATACAGCAGATGGCAACCAGGCTCCCATAGTGCCATAGTGGTTTGTCTTGCTGGGATGGTTTCAAAAAGTTCCCCCCTTCCCCTGCATTTTTGCATGTGTTTTGATGGGGGAAAGGTGTTTCTTCGGCCATTGGTTCCAGCTTTGGATGCCATGGCTGGCAGTGCCATGCAGTGCCCAACAACTGCATGGTTGGCAGGAACAAGACCATTCGACCTGAGCTGAAATGGCACTTCACTCAGCTCAGCGGAAACGGTGGCATGTTTGATGTATGATGCCTGGTGCCCTGAGGCTAGAGATGGACGCCACCTCTACAGGACCATTGGCGAATCCCATTGAAACACGGGAACCCCAAAATGATCACCATACTTGACCAGGGCAGAGCCTAGAGCCTAGCAAAGTTGAGCATTGAAAGATCATGCTGGTAATCCAAGGAAGGGTTTTTCCAAGTGCAGACTTGGAGGCTTGTCGGAGAGCAGCTTCGACACTGTGATTGACAAGAGTGTCCTAGATACGTTTGCTTGCGGTGCCGTGGCAAAACATGTACTGAAGATGTGCATGGCAAGTTATCCTTAGGGAGTCGCTAGCTCAGGTGACAACGCTTCTGATATTATCAACAAATACCTCCTGGAGGCCCCTTTGGCAACGGGGGGAGCTGTGTTATTGGTGTATAATTATTGATCGTCCTTGTATGTCCTTGTACTTAATTTCAGAATCTACACAAGCCCGGGATTTTTTTCAAGAGTTGAGAAAGACATACCCTTTGGTTATTTAACATAGCCATGGAAAAGAATCACTTTTAATAGGTACATCATCTAGTCTATAAATGGGTCAGTTTCCATAGCTATGTTAGTCATAACCAGAGGGTAAATGTCACATGCATCATATATCTACCATGTTGAGCACATTGGCCCTCCAAAGGGTTTGCAGCCTCCCAATCGGTGCGAGGTGCAAAGAGTGCTCAGACCGCGTGGCACGTGCGACCACCCCAGCTGCAACTTTTACCATCTGGTTATGACTAACATAGCCATGGAAAATCCCTCATCAATGGAGGTTTTAAATGGTTTTAATGGGAAAAACATCTATAAATGGGCCATTTTCCATCGCTATGTTAGTCATAACCAGAGGGTAGATGCTTTTGATTTTGAATGGTTTTGATATGCTTTGATCATGGTGGGATATCAGGATGGCCCCAGGGGATCCTAATATATTTCTGGGTCACTGTTGCAGAGGCAGCACCCACAAAATTGATAGGAGACTGAGGAATTTCTGCGTGCTAACCATGGTAGCAACAATGCTGCAACTTGGGATTTCTCATATCCTCCTCGCTTGCGAACATGTTGCAAGCGCAAAATTTACGGAATCAAAATGTCATGGCATTCAGGAAGTCAGATTGATTCCTTGTGAAGAAGCAGTTTCCAGTGAAAACCAGGCTGAAGCCTCGGCTTGGCCTGGCAAGCGGCATGTTTGCAGAGAAAAACTCGCCGTGACACCGCAGCCTTTCTGTCCAGCAGGTCAGGTGTACTGGGAGCTTCCATTTTTTCAGCGGAACCAAACGCTGCCGGCTCTCATCCATCCATCAGAGTTGTTTGCATTTCCATCGTGATTGCCTTTTGCCCATGGCCGAGTGACTGGACACATCTGGACACATCTGGACACATGAATTATCACAGCCCTTGAAGTGACGTATCCTGTTTGAGGGGTGAGCAACACTTGCCGGCTGATTTCTATGTTTGGCCCAGTTTGTGATGACTTAGGTCGAAATGCCAAATTCAATGACACAGGGTGTGCGGGACGAGCGAGAAGGGTGTCTCGGAAGCATGCCTTCATTGTGCAAAATAAAAAATGCCGGCTAATTTGGCAGATAGGATGATAGGCTTGTCGGGGCTTCGACACTCTGTCAAAAGCCAGTAGAATTTAGAGTATATATATATATATATCTATCTATATCTATGTATGAGTCATATATATATATATATTTACGCAGCAGCGCTGAATGCTGTTCAGCCAGAACGGTTCTCCACCAAATGGCCTTTTCTCCAGCTGCTCTATGTTCTGAGGCTTGAACAGAGTCGCGGGGCAACTTGGCAGCCACAAGCATGTAGCGTGACACAGCATCCGGACAATGAGATTAGAAGGAGGAATGGAGAATCTAGAAACTCTCAGAATATCTAATCTGTTCTTGATGATTCTGGTGGTGGTGCTAGCTTTGGACCGATCTATTTGTCTCTAGAAGCTGCAAAAGACATGCTAAAAGTTGATTCTGCACATCCTGGGCGTCATCAGAGTACAGTAGATTCCATGGAGAGATTCGACTTTTTTTTGAGGATTCTGTGGGCCAAAGCGGGTCCGTGCGATATGTTTTGCAACCGTTTCGATCAGGCGTACGCCACTTGCGTGCTTTGTGCCCAAGCTGCGTTTGGTGCCAGGGGGGCCTGTGCAAGAATTCGGAACTTGTCATACTTATTGGACACGTCTAATTCCATCCAGGTCATCCAGTCATTGGTGTATTGATATGACTAAGCCATGCAAAGAATTGCAACCAATGTGATCTCAATGATTTGATGGATACGATTCGTAGCCGTACCAGTTGCGAAGCCACACGGCCCCTTTGGCCATTGATATACACGGCCTGCAGGGCGGCCTTTTGGCTCAGGTTTGCTGACGATCATATTGGCAGGCCTTTTGCTTTGCACGCTTCACACCTTTGGAATTGCACCTTGGGCTGAAAATGGATAAAATGGGGCCACTGGGATTCCCATAGAACGGAGTAAAATATGCAAACTTATATAGATATGATATAATAGGGAAAGGGATGATCAACCATTGCATTCCAATGGATTATTGGTGTACTGTATACCAGCTTTTTGGACAAAGCCTCAAATGGTGCCATTGTCATTGCATCATTTCTAAAAGCGCTTCAATTAGCAGATGCGCTTGGTATCCGAGGTGGCATCTGCTGATACCAGCCGATGTCCACAGGATTTCTTGGGGAGATATGCGGGATGCCAAGCGCGACAAGACATCAAAGCACTGTTAAGTTCCTTCGGCTGCAAAGATGTGCGGTACCCTGGCTGTGCTTTGATGCTGGACAGTGACCAGCTTGGAGAATCCGGTGACTCACAGCACCTGAGGTTTTGTGCTTGGCACTTTGGTGATTCTCAGCTGCACTGGTCGCATTCAGGTGTAATTACGCTGATTCACTGATTCATTTGGTTCCTCAAGTCCAAGGTCTTCAATGTCTTCAATTGAGATCAGGAAGCAACCAGTACAGTATAGTCATCCTTGTCCACAGATGCACGTTCCAAGTCAGCAAGAGACGCGGCCGGCTCCATGCCATGCATGCCATTGCTATGGCCTGAGGATTGTGGCTACTCCAGGTCCATGGTCTCCGGAGCTTTCAAGCTCAATGGCTCAGGGAAACATGCGTGACACCCTATTGAAACTTGAAAGATGCGGTGTGTTGCTTTGAGCAACTTGGCATAACTTGGGCATATCTTCAAGCTGCCAGAAAGATTCCGATGTCAGCGTATAGGTCCAGGTTTCAACCAATAGTTCATAGATGTTCATAGTAAGTAGCTCCATTCTCCATCCCAATCCCTTCAAAATGACGGAAGAACATTAACCACAAAATTTACAAATGAACCCCAACAAGAAGTGCAGTCTCCTACAGTTTGTGCATACAATTTGTGCATATTTGTGTTCCTGGCGACTCTGAGGTACTTCAGATTGCTCGCAGCAGAGCTGAGCGAAAAGAATGTGCTAGTCGCACTTACCGGAGTTTTGGTGAATGAACTTGACGCAAGATCACCCATTGGTTGCAGATCCCTCGTTTAACCTTCAAAATAGATTAAAACCATTATACTATATAATATATAAAACCAATGCCAGGTTCCCCATGACCTGGAAATTCCATGATGCTGCGATTGTTTATTAGCCAGGGTCACAGAATGTCACAGAAACAAGCGTTTTTGTGGCACGAGTTCTACACGTGGCCCCGCAGGTTCCTATGCGTCAGTTACGGCGTTCCAAACACCAGGCATGGCCCTGATGAAGATTTTGCCCAGGGGAGTTGCCTCGTGATTCACGGCTCAGGGTGGAGTACTTCAAGGGCAAAGGGCTGAATTTCGCCATCAAACAGGCGCCCAGATGCTCCCAGAGATGCCAGATGCCTGGATGTTCTGGCAGTTTAACGGTATGGCAAATGGCTCATAGCCGTCATAGCCCTCCTTGATACAATGGCTCATATGACTCATCATATGTAGTACGTAGATGTATATAGAATTATATAGATAATTATAGATTATATATATATATCCATTAATATTATCTATAATTATCTATAGATTATACTACGTAATTAATTAGTATATATTTACCTGTTAAACACACAGTAGGCATAGATAGGTATAGTACCTTCTGGTAAACATACAATTTGCTATTGAACATGGCCATTTATAGATATTTATAGTGAGTTTTCCCATTAAAAATGGTGATTTTCCATAGTTTTTTGTATGTTTACCAGAGGGTAGTTATTATCCACCGCGATGTTTCGCTGGCGCTGGGAAGCTCTGTCAGGTGCCAATCCCTGTGAAGATCCCAGGTGGGGGGAGCTGCGGAGAAAGTCGACACAGGAAAGCCATGGCTTTTTATGTGCAAAAAAAAACATCCAAATCTAGGATATCTAGGGGCTTCCTCTAATTTTTTGGAGAGAGAAATTCTGGGATATGTGTGGCAATGTGTGGATGGCGGTTTTTGATATTGTCATTATTTGTACATTAAAATCATGAAATTGGTAGCTGACATAGTCTGGGGAGCTGCCAGGTGGAAGTGTCCACTATGCGTATTTGCTGCGGAAGGCGTGGCATGAAACGCGCGGCTCGCTGTAAAACATTCAGTTGATGAATGTCTTACTGGTGCTTAGCAGGGAATGAGGGAATGATCCATAGTCACTAGTAATAATCATCCCATTCCCCCATTCCCATCCATTCCCTACTAAGCACCAGTAAGATGTTGATCAACAAAAACATCAGACGCGCTGACAGGCTCAGAGAAGTGGATGCAGTATGCTGCAGTATGCTTCAGTGTTCTTTTGCTTCACAGAAGTTTGCAACGCGTTGCTTCGGCCTATGCATGCTGTGCATATGCTGTGTATGTCCAAACATGCTCATTTGCTGCTGACCACACAGCCAGGGGGTGACCGGAAGGCAGCTGTCCCAGTGGGGGTGGAATGACGCTGACGTTTTGGCTTCGTTCGATAATTTCTAGTGGAGGATTTTAACATTCCATGTTATTTCTATAGAAAAGGCATGAACCCATACAGCTCCCGTCCTTTGCCCATCTTTGCCCCATTTCCGAACGTTTCATCACAAAGATGTTTGAAACGTCAAAAAGTGTGCAGCGTACTGCGCTAATTGTGTCATACATTTACATACATATATTCCTGGTTGGTGGTTTGGAACAGTTTGTTCCATATATTGGGAAAAGTCATCCCAACTGACTTTCATATTTTTCAGAGGGGTTGAAACCACCAACCAGCATACATAATTCATAATGTATATATATATATATATATGTATATGGGATAATCCATTCCCATTGATTAATATTTTTCAAGATGGTTAAAACCACCAACCAGTTTACATAGATATATTGATATATTCATAATCCAGGTCATTCATTTGTTGGCCGGTCTCAGAATTTGATGAACAGTGATTTTTTCAAAAGCAAGCTGCAAGCCCCCTTTCAAGTGTTCAATGGTAACCTTAAAACATCTTAAAACCCGGTTCCCAGACTTGGTGAAAGGGAAAATCTACATAAATCTACGGTCAAAGATATGGTAAAACCCATGGTAAAACCCTATGGTTTTGGGGATCAAAACCCATGGTTTTCTTGTAGATGTCCCTTCAGCCGCGTTCTGAACCCAGGCCTTGAGCCCAAAGAGCTGAAAACTTCTGCGAGCGCTCGAACGCTGCCGCGTGGCAAAAACAAATGCTACAAACGAGGATTTATTAGATGGTGCATTCCTAATATTAAGATAAGATAAGATAAGATATATATATATTCCAAGAATAGGAACTTGTAAATATATCTCACATATATGACGTATATTTATATATATATATATACATAAAAGAATATGGTATGTTTATATGAAATATTCCAAGAACTTTCAAGACATTTGAGTTGTAAGGGGTTGGAAGCCACTGACTTCCACTTCGCAGATCATCCTGACACCGTCTTTGTGCAGGTATAGTGCTCTGATGCTGGACGCTAACAAAAACTTTGTTTCGGTGCAGCATGGAAAAGATGCGGTCAGGGACCTTGTTTGGCTGGGGCACAGGCCTTTGGACACGGACATCAAACAACTACGTTGATATCTATGGCCATAATATTATAATATTCTACACATATGTAGATGACATGCGTAGAGAACCCCAGAACATTGTTGCATACCACAAAAGTGCCCAAACAACGAACAGGCACTTACAGTAATTGCTTCCAACAGAGTTTGGTCAGCCTTTTTTCGATTCGGGCATCCTGCTAGCTCGGCTGCCCCATGTTTCAAAGCATGTTTGAAGTCGATTAGCACCAGTCAGCCATTGTGTGTGTATATGACCATTTGTCAAAAATAGTTGTTAGAAGTTTGGTATTGGTTGTTGATAATTCATCTGGATCTACTGTTCTTTCCTCTTCGTTATTAGGCGGCACGCAACTAAATTCAGCAATTCTGCAAGGCAGCGCTAGCAAACCAGTTAGGTTTGCGCTAGGTTTGATTGACAGCCATGGCCTCCATGTCGTGAATGTCTTGCCAGCTTTTCTTACAAGTCTGTCAGTTTCCACATATTCCCAAATTTTCGATTTTTTTAACGTATTTTACGCGCTAGATCCCCGCTAGCAACGCGCTAGCGAAAATTGCAAATACATGCCCCGGTCCACCCACAGCCCATTCAGAGGCACAGCCATGTTCACGCTTTGGTAGCTTACAGTAAGGAAACAGCGTTGATCAGGAGGCATGTCAAGAAGCATATTGCATTCAGAGAGGCACACACACAGAGAGACACACAGTTCAGGAGATAGTACCAGCGACAGCGAATGAAAACCGACGTGCGTTAGCCGATTCCTGTGGTTTTAGAAAGATTTCCAAAGGTAACGAAGAATTACCACGTTTTCACGTCATCAAGGTAAGTCATGTTTTTTAAAGGCAAACATGAGGCGGCACGCATGGAATTGCGATTTATCAACAAAACCGGGAACAGACATTTTGACAAACCGTCATATACAGTATTTATATAATTATATACATGTGATCTCTTTGTATTGGGAACCATGATTTGCCTGTAACAAATCGACGACCTTTTCAGGGCAACCGGGTGCTTCTTGACTTCTTGACTCCTTCCTTTGCTCCGTGTCACCTGTGGGTCCTTTTTCGGCTCCACAGCAGCAGCGTGGCGCCTGGTTCTCTGTCAGGGGCCGATGGAGTTCTTTCGTTCAGTTACTGATGCCCTGACCGGCGGATGCTGCGCAGCCACCGGTCAGGACAGCTTGCTGGTGATGCAGTAGTAGCCATGGGTACTACCAGATTTCCTTAAAGTAAGCTCAAGATTGGACCATTCTCTTCATTTTGGGGATGTTACTGGGTTTTGATGGGTCTTGATGGTCTTGATGGGTCTTGACCGCCATGGCACGCCATGGCCCAGGATGGATATGAAATCAATTTCAGCGTGTTGGACTTGAAAGATATGCAGGTCGTTGCTGCCTGCAAGGGCCACCAGGACACCTTTCTGCTCCCAGGGGCAGGGCGTGTACCCTGAATTCATTTCGCATCATTTCGCAGTCATTTCAAAGATTGGTTTACATGTGAAATTGTAGTAAGTAGTGCAAGCAACCAGGCAAAGCGAATTTTGTTTCCGTCTCTGCGTGGGGTTTGCTGTGTATTTGCTTTGTATTGATGCGCAGTAGTTGACAAGGCAGATGTCAGCCATCATCATGCATCAGGCATTGCAGATTGCGTGAGATCCGACTCAGAATGTAATTAGCTGAGATACCTATCCTGGGGATGTCCTTGACGGTCGTTTAGCCACAGGAGAAGCTACTTGAGATGTTCAAAAAGAGGCCATACTTGCAAAAGGAGGACGCTTCCTTGGGTTGTGGTTGACCTTGGAGAAAAGGGGGCCACTTGGGAAAAGAAACAATGTGGGCCATGATGGGCCACCATTGCTTCATACGAAGTCGATGGCCAGGAACATCAGTTGGCATACTTCGTTAAAGAGTGCTGCAAGGCCATCATGAAAGGCGACAGTGATGAGGCGAACTGCGGATTGATGGATTGTTTGCGACCCTTTGAAGCTACATGCATACAGTAACCCCCAAACAGATAGGGATTTATTAATTTATCATCATTTTAGTAAGAATCTACTTGTTCTATCCCTTTGGGTTGCTACGATTACTGTAAATGTACATATAATCCTCCCTGAACACAAGATATCACTTAAGATCCCGGGTCCATCCTGGACACATTTTGCAGGCACAAAATGGACTGGACATTCTGGAGATGCAACTGGACAACGAAGACAAGATGATCGCTGCTGCCTTCAATAAGTTACTGGGCAGTTGAAAAGACATTGCTACTGTCACATGAAAACGAGAGATTTGTGACACCTGTAGTACCCCAAGACTCAGATTTGTGTCAACATACTCTCAATTTGACTCAATTTGTCTAGAATGGTGTCGATGGAGACAAGATAAAATAGATATTCATCAATATATAATTCTATATATACCATATATATATAATATAATATATATATATATTCATCAATATCCAAATGTAACCCATGGAAATGTACTGAAGCCAAGTGATTGTGTGCCCAAACTGGTTTTTAGAGTGAATCCCATGGCATCCCCCGGTGCGATGTCTCTACGTCGATCCAAGGTTTGACACGGACCGCAGTGGCAAGCTCGCTGGCTCTGAGGTGCCACGGTGCCACGATTCGTGTGCCACGGACACGGCCTGGGCCGGGCCTCGGCGTTTCCGCCGTGCTTCAGAGATATCCCACCTGGTAATTTAACATAGCTATTAAAAATGGCCATTTATAGTTGATTTTCCCATTAAAAATGGTGATTTTCCATAGCTATGTTAGTTTACCAGAGGGTATCCCACCTGGGCAGGTGCAGTTCATGCTGGACTACTTGGGATTTCCAGACTCCCAAGACGACGTGGACAAGTTGCTGAAAGTGCTGGACCGGGTGAGCAGATTCTGCTAGATGTTGGATTTTCTTTGATCCATGTCACATATGTCACATCCATTTTGTTAAGGGTGCCAGGACCCAGAGCCAAAGTTGTGGGCTTCATATAGGGCTTCATCATGGCTTCCCGATTCAATTCTCACTCCCCATCACTCCCCAGTAGCCAGTTTGCTGCAGGACAGCGACAAGGATGGCCACGTTTCGTTCGACGAGTTCATCCACTATGTAGGCAAACTAGGCGAAGGGATTGGGATGCCGCCAGAGGTTTGGGACTGGATGGGTTTGGTCGCCGGTAAGTGCTTCAAGTATCTTCAAATGGTCACAGCTTGTACCACAAATGATGCAAAGTTCACTTGCAGTAGATTCTTACGTGTTTGGCATCCTTTAAGGTTGAAGCATCATGAACGGATGTTTCTTGGCATGGGAGGTCTCAAACCTTTGAGGCGCCCAGCCATGCGCCAGGTGGCAGCAGCAAACTGTTCGAAGTGCGGCGGAAGCAGATTCAGGCTGCCGGCTGTTCTAAACAGGATCCATTGGGGCTTCTTCTTAATATGGGGGATCCCCAAAATGGATGGTTTACAATGGAACATCTTATTTAAATTATGATATGTTTCACGTCTTTAGGGCCGGAGATTTAATCATCAACAATACTGTTTAAAGGGATTCAGCTGATTTGGCCAATGAATGATGTGGGTTTGCTTGAATGTGGGAGATTGACCCTTGCAAATGGAATTTTTTTAATCGGATAAATGAGGATTGGCCATCAACTTGGAGGGCTGCAGGGCTCTGTGGCATGGAGGGCTCCTGGTAGAAGCTAATCTTAGCCGTCCTAGTCTTCATTGAAATGGTTACTGGGACCCAGCCACCAAGCATCGGCTGCCATGATTCAATTGGCCCCACGGCACCGGGCCAGGAACGAGCTGGCTTCACAGATTCTGCACATGACCCAGAAAAGCTCCGGATCCTACTGCAGGTGCTGAGAGCGACGAACGTGTGGGGTAGAGCTTGGGGGTGGGAAGATCCACAGGATCTACAGTCAGTGCCTGGAACTGGAACGGATGTTGGCTGTGCAAAATGTTGAATGATGAGGAGTGTGGTAATTGTACACAGTTACATGGGTGAAAAAAAACCGGCCTCATCAGTCTCCACAAGTGATGCTACTAAAGGCAATAAATACCCTGAAATCACCTTGTTTCAAATTAAATGCTGCATGACCACTCAGCCCTAACAACCAGCCTCACTAATCATACGGCCAGTCTCTTGGAATATCATCCAGCTAGTGATATTCCGATAACTTCCGCGTAGGCTGATGATTTATTTATATATTATAAAATTATAAAATATTCCTTCAAGATACTTTAAGATGCATTGAGTATATCAGTATATCACCCAGTTCATACTTGCAAAAAAAGCTGGATCCTCAGTCCTCCTGATGGCATGATATGGTGAGACCGCCAGGAGAGTGGTATTTCGCCAGAGGCCCAAGCGCACTGGAAGCTCACGGCCAGCGAATCCGAACTGGTGCCTTGGTCTGGCGCGACTGGGCAGCTCCGGAGATGGATATCCATAAGGTTTCACCAGGAAAGCTGGTGTACGCGGGGCCCAAAAGTAGGGCACCCAAGCAGCAACCAGCGTGGTTTTCAACGCCAACTTAGATAAGAGACCATGACTCCCATTACTCCCTTTCAAAATCTTCCAACAGTTCACGGTTTACGGTGATGTTTTTAATTGTATTTGATGGCAACGTCATGTCAACCCTGGATTGATGAACTCTGAGCAGCTTTCTTCAGGGGTACCCTTTTAGGCAGATTGTTGTTAATTATTCGGGGTACTCCTAATTGATAAACCAGGATTGATTGATCCTAGGTTGACATTACCCTCTGGTAAACAAAACCATGGCAATCATGGCACTGCAAAATATCCACCATTGAGTTTTTTTGTTTAAACAAATCATTTAGTTTGATGATTTGCCCGGATATAAACCTCCGTTTATAGATATTTCGTTCGGGGATTTTCCAGCCCTGTTTGATTACCAGAGGATATCGTGCCAAGGATAGTGCTGCGATGATGCGACCATGCCAACAGGCCTGGGAGATACGCTGGCGGTTTGCCCAGCAAAAATGAGCAAAATTCTAGACTGATCATGCAGGAAATGCAGCAAAATCACACCGTTTTCATTATTTTTGGTAGGTGATCCATCTACCCATGGGTGATGTTCCGTTAACAGGTTTGGACTACTGGGATCAACGTAGAATTGAGGAGATTACGCAGAATATAACCTCCACTCATTCATACTAGAGCTGATGGTCTAAGATCCTCAATAAACTACCGGTAAATTAAATTGATCCTGTGTCGGTTCATCATGAAATGAGTGTTTGCCAAAATTTGGACCCCCAACCCGTATACACATGACAAAAGTCTTGGATTCTTTTGGTGTCCGCTGTTAGCAACGACGCCTATCTACGGTAGTACCCCATGTCAGGCTGCCATCCGACATATCCGACACCTGGCACAAGAAAATCATGAAAGAGCCTTGCCCAAGCTACAAGAGCGATTCTTGACGGCAACGTTTGTTTATTTTACTAGGGATGGTATGATGCTGGATGATATTGGGATAATGTTGTGTGATGGATGGTGATGGATGGTGGTTGATGGTGATGGATGGTGGTGGATGGTGATGGACGGTGGTGGTCAGTGACGGTGATATTGATATATGAACCTATGATAATCTATATTATATATATACAAGTGAATTTGCATCAATGTGGAAAACCAAAGATAAACCATGCCCTTCACCAACCATTTGTGTTTTGTTTAACATCATCCCAAATGCAGGCATACCAGACAATAAACCTCTATTTGGTATAGTTTATGGTTGGTTTTACCACTTTTTGATACTTGTTGTAATTTTCTTGAGACATCACCTCCAAATGTCGTCAAAGCTACCAGGTAGATTTGTAGCGATTCCAAGGTGTTAAGAAGCTTGGCTATACGGACACGGATCTTTGGATGGTGCTGTCCCTCGTCCGGCTTTGATTTCGAAAGCTAAGATGGCATTTGAATGGCAGAATTGAAGAAGATTCTCCACCCTTTGTGGGCGGGTGTCATGTTAAATTTCGATGAGAATATTGATGATACATTTTGCTGTCATTCAGCTTCATGTTGTTTTTGCCCATGAACCTTGGAGGATGCTCACAAACCACCTGGACTACCTTTTTTTTGCAGAGTGTTCACAATCTTTCCTCATTTTCCCCAAGAGAAACATATAGGTCACATATATATATAATATAATACAATATAATATAATAGAATATAATATAATATAATATATAATATATAATATATAATATATAATATATATAATATGCATAACATTATATATATATATATATTGATATTTAATATATATATATATATGTTTATTTGATATATATAATATATATATATATATATATAATATACAGTATATATATAGTATATATAATATATATATAATATATAATATATATATATATATAATATATATATTATATATATATATGCACAGTATATTATCATGTGTTGTTTTCCCATGATTCCAGGCGTTTCCCGTTTTTTTTTGGCTGGTTAACCCCCACAAAAGGGCAACAGTTTTGTCAGGTCCTGGATCCGAGAATTGGCGCCCATCATTGTGCACATCAACTTGGACAAGGTGGAGACGCTGCGTGTGTTTTGTTTGGTCACGAAGGGAGGTGGGAGTTTAATGGAATTTATATAACCAAAATGGGATCTTCGACATGATATTAAAGCAAGAAACCATAATAAAATGTGGTGGATATATATCTGGGTTATATATACCATACATATATATATATATGCAGTATATGTTCGCAGGCACTTTTAGATGGGATTTAAACTGATTTAATCGTCAATAGTATGGGTTTCAAAGTATGTGTTTCACGATTTTTGTTTGATAAGTAGATAAGTAGTGGGTTTGGATGTGTATATATATATATGGGTGGTTGTGTGTAATTATGGATGGATAATCCTGGATTGTTTAAGGATGGGTGGCAGGCCAAAAAATATAAACTGCCCACATTTTTGTTTCACGGTTTTGGATTGACTATACCTCTATGATAGTCGCGGATTCACATGTTTTGCACGAAGACCTTGAGCATCTTGAGCGTTCGCCAAATGGAATGGATCTTGATGGACGTTGAATGCTATTGACGGCATGGAGTTTCGTGGACATTTATGATGAGATTGAGTTACAACATAATTATATTAATTATATATATATATATACATATGAAGATAACTATATAATATACATGGGTAATTATTGATGATATTGGCACGGATAGAACTCATACTTGCTCTCAATTCTGTATTGCAAAACTAGGGCTCCATCGCGAAGATTTTCCGATTCACGTTGCCGACTGCAACGACTCCCTTACCAGGTGGGAAAGTTCTTCTTGGAGGCCCCTGGGATGCTGACTAAGTTGGGAGAGCTGCTGCTTCCACTGTTGCTTTGTCTTGAGCTAACTATACCAAACAGTTAGAATAATTGAGTGGGCATTGCCATTCATGAGGAGCGCACAAAGAAGGAACCAAGCTCTACTGTAGATGATTATATTGTCTATTGGGCTGAACTTGGATCTCAACACTTGGATGCCCTGGATGCCCCACTTCCCAACAAGATCCGGAAAGTCAAGATGACATGAATCACAGGTGTGCAATAGGTGCACCATGTTGCATCACCTTTTTTTCACCAGAGATGCCCAAAAAAAATCCAAAAAACACATCCACAGATAGTGGATCCAACAGGACAGCCACTACCGCAACCAGTTTGAGACCAACACCTCTGGTGGACTCTTGAAGACTTCTGCACGAGAGAAATGGGAACGAGGCCGCAATATTTGGTCAAGCGGTCAAGGACTTGTTATTCAAATTTGTCATAATCTATTTGATATGTGCATTTGTTCAATAGTTATTGTTACTAATATGTTATATAATATTGTATCTGCATAAAACTGTTTTTGTATTAGACTTATAATGTGTATAGAAATGGGTATATATAATCGCAGTTGTTTTTTTCTTGGTGTGCATGACAAACCACTGGATTTGCAGGTATACCGGTATACCCGTTTTTGTTGCATACCATCCCCGACGAGGCTTGTTTGGAACCGCGTACGATGGTGCAAACGCCTTCGAACGTCCAAAGTATGGAGTGCAGAACATTTGGAATGACCATAGAGGAGTCATGGGTGCGAAGCAGTATGGCTCTTTGGCTGCAAATTCTCCCTGTGGATGCTGTGAATTATGATCACTTGTGATTCACTTGCCTTGCTCTCAAGGCCATATGATTTCAGGATTTGGATATTTTGGACCAGACAACCTGGGAGCCGATTCCTCATGTCAGGTGATTCCTACATCATTTTGAAGGATGTTCGTCTTCGCTGCACCTTGTCGCCCCAAGACTCCGCCAACCTGCCGGCAAGAAGGCCCGGATCAGAACATGTGAATCTTTTTTCAGGGCGCTGCCCAGGCGCCATTTTCTGTGGATTTTTCATGTGTTTGTTTTTGTCAATGAATCTCAATCACCAGATGTTGATACAACTTTCAGTAAATATCTTGGTACTCTCAGTTACTATCAGCTATAGGTCCGTAGGTTGGAGTAGACAACGCAACAAGATCTAGTCTGGGCCTTCCAACGCGGAGATCAAATCTGATGGTGCACATCTGTGAACATGTCACATGTAAATGCTGTTGCCATCAGCAAAAGTAACTTTCTTTTGAGACCACCAGCCATTTCTTTGTTTAGTACCCATCAATTAGTAATAACTTAGTTTGGTAAAGGCTAAAGACAGATATATATATATATATACAAGTATTATTCGTATTTCACATTCACAGAGGCACACCACACTTTGATTTTTTGTTTAAGGGAGTCCTGATTTATGGAGATGGGGGTTCCTGAAAATGGTGGATCCTCAAATCACCAGTCACCATGGGAACCCCCCAGGCTCGCCGTGCTGGACTACTATGCGCACGTCTTGCTTGAGCGTGCAGCTCAGGGACGGCTGCTGCTGCAGATCTTTGATCCAAAAAAAATGGATATGCACCATATAGACATTATATGTGTTTATATACATACATATAAATATATATATATATATACATAATATGTATACATAATATATATACATATATATATATATACATATATATACATTATATATATATACATAATATATCTCTGTATATATACATAATGATTGTGGCTTTGTTTGTGCAAGTTCCAACTTTTGCATTGCTACTATCGTTTATTTTTTTTTGAGGGGGTTTCTGCAATCTAAGTACGCCGTGGCTGAGGTACAGCGACAAGGTGCGGCTCTGGGGTAACAGATCCTGAATGTCGACATGATATCTAGATAGATATATATATATAATTATATAGATATATACATATTTCTTTGGGGATGGATGGCTGGATGAGGATGATGATGAGGATGATGATGGATGATGATGATGATGATGATGATGATGATGATGATGATGATGATGATGATGATGATGATGATGATGATATGATGATGATATGATGATGATATGATGATGATATGATGATGATATGATGATGATATGATGATGATATGATGATGATATGATGATGATATGATGATGATATGATGATGATATGATGATGATATGATGATGATATGATGATGATATGATGATGATGATGATGATGATGATGATGATGTTGATGATGATGATGATGCTGATGCTGATGCTGATGATGATGACGATGATGATGATGATGATGATGATGATGATGCTGATGCTGATGCTGATGCTGATGCTGATGCTGATGATGATGATGCTGATGATGCTGATGATTGTATTATTGGTGATGGCGATGGAGATGGGGATGGGGATGGGGATGGTGATGTTTTATGGAATTGACGAAGTTGATCCCAGTTTTCGGCGATACTGGTGTGGATTGACACCACGCACCTGACAGCAATTGTGGATAAGTGTGGAAGACTTGCACCGAAGAAGTCATGGGAGCCTTTCAACTCACGCTACTTCTGGAGTCTAAGCCCCAGATCGTTTTTATTTCTCCTTGCAGTTGTTTAGGGGCAAAATGCCAATCCGGGAGCCAACCATAGCCAACCCCAATAAACCAAGACTTGGCACTTGACATATTTCGACCTCTTTGGAAGTGGCAAACTGTTTGTGGCCAATAGCACCAGGTTATCGTTGACTTCCTGTAGTTTTCCCATGGCTTGATGCCACGTGATGCCCCTCCAAGGAGCTGAAGGAGACAATTCGTGTGGCCGAGAAGGGTGCCTTATTTTAAGGGGAGCCACCGCGATGCTGTGCCCATGGTCAGAGATGCTCTAGGTACCATAGATTTCTGAAAGGTTGTGTTTTTTTCTGCGTTGTTTCTCCTTCAATTTATTTGGATCCGTTTTGGTGGGATTTGTCATGATTTGTCGGGGGTTACTTCAATGCTGGGCTACTACCGATTGTTAGGTGATGAAAAGGTGGGCAACTCTGAGCAAGTGATCGAGAAGTGGGGCATGTACAAGGACCGGTGCCCAACAACGACTGTCGTTGCCTCAAAAGCACTATAAGTGCCCCAAAAATCGGGATTCTACCTCGTAAACTTTGGGATTTCTACATGCAAGCATTTGGGGTTTATTTTTCCAAGAAAATTGGATACCCACAACATACCAACCTTCAGTTGCCGCAGTGGTTTGCAGAGACCTTGAACCACTTGAAACCAACGGATGGGCAAGCGAATTGGTTTCGATAACTTGTGATGTGTGAAGCAAAATGAACCAAATAAGTTGCCAAACCAACCGCTTCAAATTAAGTTTGTTGGCTTTTCGCTTCATTTTTGTTGGGGGCACCAGCCAACAGGAAGCCCAACTACATGGTGAGATTGACCTGGACAAGCACGTCGACTCTTTGGTGGTTCACGAAAGGCATAGGCCGTCGGCTTGGATCGTTGCAACTCGCAGTTGCGGATGCTGTATGCTGCAATGGTTGTAGTTGGGATAGTTGGGCACATTACGTGCAAACTGTACACCTGAATCTTCATAAATCTTCATAATATGGAGAGACCATGACTTGTGTAATTATCATTAATTATCAATATTGGCTGGGCAACTCTGTGTATGCCCTATGCTATGCAGGGCCAAGCACGCCGACTTCGTAAAGAAAATATGTGAGAAACATGGTTGGAAGATGAGGTGGATGGACGATGCTCAACCGCAAGCATGATGGCCATAGTTTGTCCTTGTTTAAATGCGTTTATATAATTTTATATAGGTGCAATGCGTTTGGACAAATGTGGTTTTTGTTTGCAGATATTATAAGACTGCACGGTAAGACCAATAAGTCAGCCTGCAGCCAGACTTCAAAGGCATTCCAGGATCATAAGATCATTCCCGAGGAGATGCGAGCTCATCTTCACGAGAGACAAGGAGGAGTGGAACTGGACATGAAGGAGTGGATCCTGGACTCAATTAGACACACAATGCATGACAAGGCATTGATATGCAGTGTACGTGGCACTTCATCTTGTGCATGTCATAATGTTTCCCGTGTTTTTTTGTGTCGTCTCGGAGTCTCGAACCATAGATCCACACCGCTCATGACCCTCTGCGGTCGGGGCCCAAAAGCCAGAAGACAAGATTGCTAAAGGCAACATGGAAGCCAAAACACTCAGCATTTTGATACGTCTTTTTCGACTAAAGACAAGCGGTAAAATTCCATTGTTGGTGCTTATTCAAAATCCATATATGTATATTATATATAATTATATAATATTATATATATATATCACCCACACACACGCACACACACACACATATATATATATATATATCATCTCAAAAAAAAGGATCAACTTTTTAATGGATCTACAGCATAGCTAAGCATACCCTTCCTATATTTGTGCGGTTTTGTGGCTTCCAAGGCAAGCAAAGCTGAAAAAGTTGGGCCGAGCCAGTGCCCTTGGTTTCATTTGAGCCATTAAAAATACCCTGGTTAATTGATTGCTATAGGGGATTATACTACCTGGTTTACTGGGGATTATGATAACCCATAGTAGGGAAACCGTTTTCAACCAACTAGTATAATGAGATGGGATAGGGGTATTTTTAATGGCTCATTTGTTAGTGTCCGGTATTATCAGCATTTCTATGCATTTTTATGTTCCATTGTTTTCCTCCAGTAATTCGGGATCATGATCCAAACGATATTTCACGGGCTTGAAACCAATCGTCATAGATCGACAACATGTAATGTGGTACACTTCCGAATTGACCCAAATGTACCATTTGGGCATGTGGGGGCATATGGTGAAGCGTACCCAAGAATATGGGGGTTATGATAAGTTATGATTGGGATATCCTGGACATGATTCCATGATGATTCATCATTTGCATGCGATCGCAGGCATTTAGGCTTGGTTTGAACAGCACCAGTTGCTTTGCATGGAATTGGGTCTGCAAACCCAGCCTCGGGCCTTCCGGCCACGCCTGCAAAGTCCGCCTTCACTGAAGCATGAGCATGCTCATGGTTGGCCACAGGGAACATTGCAACGAACAGGTGCGGGGTGGGGCCCCAAGTGGTGGGTACGGCCTGTAGATGCATGTGTCATACTGAGCTTCCAAGATCTTCCCAGAGGCTTGGAGGTGGGCCCAAACCAGAAAAGAGTCATACTGTACTTTGTAGATGGCGCATGGACTGACCTCGTTCTCCAACGTCACACTTGGCTTTATATAATAGCCAAATGTTAAGCATGAAATGCCTAGCTGCCTAGCTCGTTCTCGGGGTCCAGGTGTTGCTACCGAGGTACGCCCCAAGACTACTCTTCACTTCACCAAATGCACGTTATTGTTGCGCACTTTTCCAACACACCGAGAGCGTGCTCAGACACGCTCCTCAAACGTGACAGGTGTGTTTCTCTTGGGCTGCGCCGCCGTGCCCTTCAGTCCGTCACGAAAGTTTCGGCGTCGTAACGGTCGACTGAGACGAAGGGGTCTCCTGGAAGATGTGACGCAAGCAGTGGAAGAGGTGGCCAACACAGCTGAAGATGCCCTGGTGCATGTACCTTGGTAGATCTATGTGGAATTATGTGGATCTTGAATTTTGGGGACCATCGGTGCCGGCCAAAATAAAAGGAACAATTTGGGGACAATAAGTAACACATAAGTAACACACAATGGTAAAGATTGAGAATTGAAAGATTCAAATGTGGATAATGTGGGAATGAGAGAGGCGTTGGACACAACCTGGGCAACTTGACAGTTGACCGTTGACCCATGATTTGGAATGCCTTAATCGGAGCCAGACTGTTCTCAGGTGGCACGGATACCTGCGTGGTTCTCTGCTGACCGAGAGGCATCCACAAGTCACGAGGGGAAACGCAAAGTTGTAATTCTTGGAACTGGATGGGCGGCTCATGCCATTGCAAAGATTATCGACATCAACAAGGTTGACATCCGCGTTATTTCGCCGAGGAATTACTTTGCCCTTCGGCAAAAAAAATCAAAGAAAATCACAAGTAGCGTTGTGCGCCGACCTGACAGCGTTGACTCTTGGAGCCTGACATTTTCCACCAAAAAAGTACTGACAAGACTGACAAGCAAAGAATGCCTGATGCTCACCTAGCGTCAGTCAGCAGCTTGATGCAGTTTGTAAATGTGTTGGAAGACCAGCTTGCTCCTACATAGGTTGCGCATGGTTGTATATTTGCAACCTGCTGTGACTGATCCTTACACTGCCACGTGAAGAAATACTGCTGTCGACCAAGGTTTTCACTCCAATGTTGGCAGCTGCTGCTGTGGGTACTGTGGAGTACCGTTCCATCCTAGAACACATCCGAAGTGCAAATCCGGTCATTGAATACACCCAAGGCATGCGTTCAGAGGGGAAGCCGAAGTTTGGAAATGTTCCCTTTGGAGTGGGCACCCGGAAGGTGATATAAAAATGATTAAAAATGTATCAACTAGCCCTTTCCAGTTGGACCTTTTGTTTGGGGCATTCCAATCTTCACAGACGGCACCAACATCACGGAAGTTCTGTTGACGAAATTCCTGGGTGAGATGAATTGGTACAGAAGGTAGCTGTTAATCATGAACAATTTGGCATTTTGGGACTTGTTGATGATTTTTCGTGGATTTTTAGGTGGATTTTGAGCCCCAACAATCCGTTTTTTAGGCACCTGCGAAAGCATCGATTTGGAGAAGAAGGAGCTGCTGGTCCGACCTTACCCCCCTGGACTTGAGAAGGATTTCAACGTGCCATATGATGTGGCTTGACTGAGCCGCCTGCCCTGGGTGTTTGTCATTGATAATTGCTGGTGGAATGTTCACCACTAGACTCATCAAACACCAGGTTACCGGTCAAATCTTAAAACCCAAAAAGCAAAGCACCCTAAATCATAGAATATTCTAGAATATGATGAATAATATATATAATATATATATGAATATTATGGAGATCAAGATCCCAACAGATTGGTTTTGGCCCCCCTTTTATACGTGACAAATGATGATCTCAACACATTCCAACCACCTGCAGGGCACCACTTCGCTCCCAGGTTCTCGTCATGGCCGTGGGTCTTCGGCCAAGCTCTTTGGGAGTACCAGGTCACAACTGAGTCGCAGCCGATGTGGTTCATGAACTACATTATCAAGTACTTCATATACTCATACATTATCATACGCTCATCTAATTGTTGATATTTTGTACTATATTTTATCATATTCGTTCATTCACTTATCACATATAAGTACATGTCAGTCATGTTCTAAACACTCAAACACATTGAAACGGCGGATGATTCGCGGTGCAATTGATTTCTTGTCATCTTTGCCCACCTCAGGGGTGAGTACTCACTGCCTGTTCCTGAAGAATATCGAAGATGCCCGACGCTTACGAAAACAAGTGACCCAGAACTTTGAGGCGGCGGATTTGCCCGTCAAAAGTGATGAGGACTTCGGCGAGGGCAAATCATGGGCGAATCCCGGGCCTGTGTTTTTTTTGTGTTATCGAACCCTGCGCTGAGCGAAGCCCTCCGCGTGGTTTGGCCTGAAGCCAGGAAACCAGACTATTCCAATGCTATTCCATACTATTCCAATACTATTCCATATTATTCCATACTATTCCATACTATTCCATACTATTCCATACTATTCCATGCTATTCCATGCTATTCCATGCTATTCCATGCTATTCCATGCTATTCCATGCTTTTCCATGCTATTCCATACTATTCCATGCTATTCCATGCTATTCCATGCTATTCCATACTTCTCCATACTATTCCATGCTATTCCATGCTATTCCATGCTATTCCATACTTCTCCATACTATTCCATGCTATTCCATGCTATTCCATGCTATTCCATGCTATTCCATGCTATTCCATGCTATTCCATGCTATTCCATGCTATTCCATACTTCTCCATACTATTCCATGCTATTCCATACTATTCCATGCTATTCCATACTTCTCCATACTATTCCATGCTATTCCATGCTATTCCATACTATTCCATGCTATTCCATACTTCTCCATACTATTCCATGATATTCCATACTATTCCATGCTATTCCATACTATTCCATGCTATTCCATACTTCTCCATACTATTCCATGCTATTCCATACTATTCCATGCTATTCCATGCTATTCCATACTATTCCATGCTATTCCATACTTCTCCATACTATTCCATGCTATTCCATGCTATTCCATACTATTCCATGCTATTCCATACTTCTCCATACTATTCCATGCTATTCCATACTATTCCATGCTATTCCATACTTCTCCATACTATTCCATGCTATTCCATGCTATTCCATACTATTCCATGCTATTCCATACTTCTCCATACTATTCCATGCTATTCCATACTATTCCATGCTATTCCATACTTCTCCATACTATTCCATGCTATTCCATACTATTCCATGCTATTCCATACTATTCCATGCTATTCCATACTATTCCATGCTATTCCATACTATTCCAATGCTATTCCAATAGTATTTATTCCAATAGTATTCCAATAGTATTCCAATAGTATTCCAATACTATTCCAATACTATTCCATGCTATTCCATACTATTCCATGCTATTCCATGCTATTCCATACTATTCCATGCTATTCCATACTATTCCATGCTATTCCATACTTCTCCATACTATTCCATACTATTCCATACTTCTCCATACTATTCCATACTATTCCATGCTATTCCATGCTATTCCATGCTATTCCATGCTATTCCATACTATTCCATACTATTCCAATGCTACGCCAATGCTATTTATTCCAATAGTATTCCAATACTATTCCAATACTATTCCATGCTATTCCATACTATTCCATGCTATTCCATACTATTCCATACTATTCCATGCTATTCCATACTATTCCATGCTATTCCATACTATTCCATACTATTCCATACTATTCCATACTTCCCCATACTATTCCATACTATTCCATACTATTCCATACTATTCCAATGCTATGCCAATGCTATTTATTCCAATAGTATTCCCATACTATTCCATACTATTCCAATACTATTCCATGCTATTCCATGCTATTCCATACTTCTCCCTACTATTCCATACTATTCCATACTATTCCAATGCTATTCCAATAGTATTCCAATGCTATTCCAATACTATTCCATAATATTCCTACCAACATGCGAATTCCTCGCATTTCCATGCATTTCCCGCACTCGGGATCCAGGAGCGACAGAGACTTTTGACCTTTGTGGTGGTGGGCGGCGGGCCCACAGGTGGACACGTGCCATATCAGGGTTGGTGCTTTCTGTTTCCCATATCTGCCTGAGGATCGGGATCCCCTAGAGGTGGACAAAAATGTGACAGATGTGACATGTGCACTTTTCTGAAGTTTGAAATTGCTGAAATGCCACATGTATGAGGAAATATGTGCCATGTGCCGACTGATGCCAAGTGGAAAACGTGTACAATATTGGATATGTTCTATGCGTTATATAATTATAATGTTATATATACGTATAGTTTGTGCCGGCTCTCCCTCTCTTTCTCTCTCTCTCTCTCTCTCTTTGCGCTCTATGTGTTTAGAATAATGTATATTTATATATATATAGAATATATAATCATATATAGATATGTGTGTGTGTTTGGGTGTGATTCTATCTCAGCATTCATTGTCCTGTTCCTGCCCATTTCTTTCCAGGACGACATTGGGCTGTCAACCACACCCACGCTGCCAGGTTGTGAGTTCTGTGGTGAACTTTCTGATTTTGTGAAGAATGACCTGCGTCGCTTTTATCCCAGGCTGGCACCCTTAGTGCGTGCCTCATCTCCAAATGTTGCCTTGCGTTGCTCCGATTTTCTTGTATTTATTTGTGCTGATTCTTTTGATATCCTGGAATTTCACAACCAAATACTGCAACAAAGACATATCTATGGTATCATGATCGTTCATTTTAACATATTTTAACATTGTCATTTGTTCAGCCACATTGCTTGAATTCGGATGTTCGGATTTCCGCCCATCAGACTCCTGCTATGAAGCCGCGCAGCTTAGGTATTCTACTGCTGCATCGTGGAGCTGCCCTGCTGCCATCCTTTGGACCTGATTTGCAGGTCGCAGCTGCAGAAACTTTGGAGAAACAGGGCATTGAAGTGGTGACCAATGCCAGTGTTACAGAGGTGGAAGGTGACACAGTTTCTTGTCTTGAAATACTTTCAATATATATATATACTACAGTATATATATATATATACAGTATATATATATATATATACAGTATATATATTATGCGTCAGATTTTTTGCACCTTTTGGATCCATGTGGTTGATGGCCAGCGACGCCAGCATGATTCTGATGTGGCAAAGCCGATAATTATGAAACCATCCCCAACATCACCATTTTTATGGGTTCTATAATTATTGGATTTTTATGGGTTCAATAATTTTTCACCAATAATTATTGGATTTACCAATAACGTTCTATCAACCATCCCCAAATTTCCTGGTAGATTTATTGTTGGCTTCATCAAGACGTTTGGCATCCCAGCTGAGATGCCAACGAGACAAGGTTCTCCCAGAATTGGAGGATGGATATCATGGAAATTTGGTTTCCAATATGGATATGATGGGATACCATTTCGGACACCTCTATAATTATTTGATGGTTAATCTTGTGCGTTTAAACGCTGGTTTCCTGAAGCCATTTGTGAGGTTCACATCGCCAAGAATGGTCACACAGAGATCTTGCCCTGTGGATTGACCGTATGGGCTGCCGGACAGATCGGTCAGGATTTGGTGCGGAACATGCATAAGCAGCTGCCGAAACAGCAGGAACTGGCTGAGGTCGAGGCCAAGGGCTCCGATGCATGGATGAACCAGGGAAGAATGGGGATATGATCCCGAGCAAAACTTGGATACCTGAAAACGGTGGGGGAAACGTCATTAAATATTGATACCTTCATGGAAATAGTGACCTATTCAGCTCTTTATTTGTTTATTTTTTTTGTGGCAGTACTATGTGCAAAAATTATGCCGTGGTATCTATGGAAAGGGACACACCAAAATTGAGAATCGGTTTGAACTCGTTCATTGAATCGAGGGTGTGTAGCAATTCTTAGTTTGAGAAGACTGCTAGATCAACAGCATCAGAAAAATAGAAAAGGCCATCACCGAGCCAACTACTCAGGATCGACAACTTTTTGTGGACAAGTGGCTACGTGTTTGCGGAGTCGCAGATGGTTCCATCATCGCACTGGGTGACTGTGCACGGATGCAGGGCGAGGAGCAATTGCCAGAAACTGCTCAAGTTGCTGCGCAACAAGGCGCTTTTGTTGCAAGGCTTCTCAATAGAGAATCTTGCTTTTGAGCCAGCTGTAGCCAGCTGAGCGGTACGGGTTGGCAGGTTTTGTTGAAATATGTGCCTGTGTTGATCGTTCCAATACAAGATAGAACGAATTTACACTGGTTAGCGCCAAGTACCACTTTCAGACCAAAGTGAGGTTCTCTACCTTTCTATCTATATATTTCATTCCGTTTCAATTCTACATTTATCATTTCAAAAGCGATCAAACGCTCAGCCGCTAAGTCGCCTCAGGAATACGACCTCAGTGCTCATGGGCCTCCCGTTCTGCCGCCTACAAGCAACGCCTTCGATATCGGCCATGTTCTGTCCTTGCGTGGCCACTCCGAAGCAGTGGCTTGGGACAAGCAGATTGACGTCATCCACAATCACAAGAAAATATCAAAAGATCTCAGATTCATGAGATGATTTATAGAGCATCAATGGGGTACTAATATGTACCAATGGGATACAACTGGGGGATGCATCCAACAATATGGCTTGCGGATCCGTCCAAAGATGGTGACGCTGATGCAACTGATGCATAGGTCCAAATTGGCAACCTGAACTGTTGCTTGATGCGAACCTCATTAGTGTCGTGCTGCCTGGGGCTCTTCATGCTGCTTCATGGTTTTTCCATGGATTTTTCCATGGGATTTTCCCCATGGATTTTCCCCACATTACAGCTGACAGTAGCTGACAGCTATCCCTTGGGTCCCTGGAGGCAGAGTTTCGCTTCCTGGACCTCGGACGGTTGGCATATCTGGGACAGTCGCAGGCCGTGGCCGAGCTGGGTGTGGGCTCCACCACGGTGTCCAAGGCGAAAGGTACCGCGGCCTTCCTGCTGTGGCGCTCGGTGTACATAGCCACGCGGATGAAACGTGGGAACCGAAGATCATGAGATGGTATAGATTGTTATAGAATGTTCATTAATGTCATGTTATGTACATAAGATTGCATATATGCCATATTAACATCTATTACTTATATTAATTATATATATATGTATACCAATATATAATATATATATACGTATAATATGTGCGTGATTATATATGTTGTACATTTTTTCTTATGTACAATATGTGTCCAATTGGTGTTTGATTATGTTCTATCTGATTATGGACCAATGATATATATATATATATCTATACACATGGTCCTATGGTTAAATATTTGTTACCCAGCCCAGTGGTATCTAGGATGATCATGCCAATTGACATATACAGATATGATTCGATATACTGTAATGACATCTAGTTTGAAATAGGTGGCCCACCAAGAAGAATAGTTCCCCCAAAGAAGCTCGATTCAAACTTGATCCATGGTGCGTCTGAATGTTGCACCAAAGTATATACTGTACAGTACTACTATATACTTGTGCTAGGGCGCGCCTTCCTCCATGAATCAGTCACTGCACATCACTAGTATTACAAGTATTACAGTAGCTAAGGCGAACCATGCACCGGTCGGAGGCATTTCACATCCCCTGCCAGCAGCCTAGGTGAAGCAAGTGAGCTTCCGCAATCGTGTGCTGGTTCTGTTTGATTGGATCAAGAGCCGGCTTTTCGGGCGTGATTTGACACGCTTTTGAGCTGTGGACAGGTCGGTCGTGTCCGTGAAAGGTTTGAAGGTTTGCTGGGAGTTGCAGGGCGCCATATTGTTGTGATGTGTGTAAAGCTGGGAAAAGATGTTCCAAAATATTCTAAAGTTGTTTTGGTGTTGATGTGGCACATGGTTTAGCATTACATATTAATACTCTGGCCTCCGGCGCATAGTAGATGTCCCCTGCAGGCCTCGGGTGCTGTGTTTCAAGAACTGGTGGGGACTCGCAAGTTTCAATTTCTCGGGTCAAGAGGACCGGATGGCAGACTTCTGTACTCAGATAGTCGCTGAACATAGCATGCGAGAGACCCACGGGTGATACAGATTTTTTATTCATCTGGTAGCTGAAACAACAAAGCCCTTGGAATCCGCACAGTGGTTGCTTTAAGAGATGCTACTTTAATATCTTTAAAACAAAGTCCTGGTTCATGCAAAGCATCGCACTGAAGTCCTTGGAAAAAAATCCCTGGCGTGGTTTCAGTTGTTTCATTCAGAGTTTCGGATGTGTTTCATTTGTGCAGTAGACCATTGCGGTGCGTGACAGGAAAAGGCACTGGACCATGCGAGTGTTTAGTTGCCACAAATTCCTGATGTTTGTTCTGGCGCGTGCCATATGGGAGCCATGGTTCTTTGTGCCTGTCTTCTACTAGCTTTGTTTTTGGTTTTGAACTACTATGTGTCTTGTATGTGCTTCATGTATGTATGTTTCATATCATGGGTCACAATCTTTGATGTTCACCAGAGTTACCATGGTTGCAATCCATAGGCCGACATGAGAAGATTAGGAATGGTGGTTTCTGCTGGTGAAATCCCAAGTTATATATATATTGATTGAGATCCTTACCAAAATTTGATAGAGACGCTTAAGATGCAGATGTTGTATTTACATCGGGATCCCATAATATATTGTAATATGATATTATCCATATATCACTGATAATATCCAGATGTTGGTTGTGTTTTCCATATGTTTTATAGCCATGTGAGTGATTATTCTTGCTGAAATCCAACCATGTCTCAGTCTGGTTTATAGTACCACCCGAAAAGATAGAACAGTGTCATGGTGTTTCCAGGATGCTACTGATTTTTTTGCAACATATTTCTAGGATTTTCTAGGTGTCCCACTTTTCTATGACTTGGGGACTTGGGTTTGCTGTTAGTTCCATCACTGCCAGGTACCGAGGCTTTGGACGACAAGATGAAGTACCTGGCCGACTTTGGCTCTCTGCATCCAGTGCCCGAAGGCACCGAAGGCACCGAAGGCGGCGCGGTTGACCGTCACGTGAATGGGTGATTTCACCTAGAGAAGTGGAAAATCACCGTTTTTTGAAGAGGTATTGTAAACATTTGTAAATCACATTTTTCAATGATTTTCATATATGTTCATATACGCTCATCATTTTTGCTGTCGTTTTCCACATCACCCAGAGGGTAAACATCGGCTGGGCACACATTGGTGAATGCTGGGTCCAAGGATCATCAAATTGTTGGCCATGATTTTTTTTTCTAGATGGAGAATGCCGAATAGAATGCTCTGTTAGAATCTGTTAGATCCTTTTGTTTGCAGTGTACTAGCGGCCTCTGGGGGACACATTCCAGACATTTCCAGACCACTGAGGCTACGCATCACGGTCTGGAAATCGCCAAGGATGATCCAACGTTTGATCGTCGCTGATATGAAAAGGAACTCGGCTGGTCCTAGTTCGACTGGGAGCTTTTCAGAGGTGCAAAGGAGGAGCTTGTAGCATTGCAAGAACTAACAACAATCAAACATATGATAACTATCAAAGATATGATAGCTATCAAAGAGATGATATGTTCAAGTTCAACTAGTTGGATCAAGGTTACGTTTGATCGACCTTCCGGAAGCTTTTGCATCTCGATCTGACCCAAAAGATCTGTTCTAGGAGTTGGGTTGGTCTCACTCAACCTTTCTGCCTTTGTCTGGATCTTCCTACTGTCAAACATGGGAATGTTCCTGATGCAGTGACAAACATTGCAAGCCACGACATGCCACGACAATATTCTGCAAATATTGAAAAGTATACCCTGAACTCCCAAAGTACCAGTTAAACTTGCACGTTCATAGAAAGTGCATGCTCTACTGAAAGTACCCTTTCCACTTGACTCTGAAAAATGATATTGATATTAGCTGATACACATAATATTATACAATATAATATGATATAATATAATATAATATAATATGATATTATATGATATGATATAAAATAATGTAATGTAATTTGTTATAATACAATATAATGTTATGTAGTATAATGTAAGATAATATAATGTAATATAACCTAATATAACGTAATATAATATGATATAATATTTTATAATATGATATATTATAATAGTGTTTAAAAATAATGTGACATAATATATTATAATACACATTAACATATTATTTAATAGATTATATATGATTATATAATTGTAGAGCTTCGCACACCGGCGACGCCGGTAGGGGTCGGGGGAGGGAAAGAGAGAGGGGGATGTCATCTGAACTTGCGAACATGACATGCTGAGGGTCGGCGGCCTATTTTGGGGCTATGTTGGCCCAGCTTGGGGCTATGTTGGCCCATCTTGAGGCTATGTTGGCCTATGCCTATGCGCACAAAGTGTTGTAATTTACAGCATTTTGCGCTGTGAGATGGCAAGAACCCGTGTAAATACAACAGTTTTAGTCCCCGAAAGTGGCTAAAACATTCTTATTTACAGAGTTTCGTTCACATCACGATCTTCGATTTTTTGAAAAACGTGTAAATACCAACGTTTGTTGCATGCAGCAAGACAAAAAATCTGTTCAAAAAGTGCAAAAAATGCTGTAATTTACAGGGGAGTGGCCCCGTCACAAGCAAAAAACTGCGTAAATACCAGCGTTTCGGCGTCCAAAAGTTGCCAAAACACCGCTATTTACAGTGTTTCGTGCCTTCCACGTTTGCTTGAAATTGCAGAAACATTGTAAATACCAGCATTTTTTGCGATCAACCCGCCAAAAATGCTGTAATTTACAGTGTTTTTTTCCTTGGCTTTCAAAAACACTGGTATTTGCAGTGTTTTGTGCATCTCGGGTCCAAAAAGTACTGGTATTTACAGCATTTTCTGCGTTTGTGCATGGCTCCCGCCAACGACGTTAAAACGCAAAAATGTTGTAATTTACAGCATTTTGTGACTTCCGAAAAGCGAAAAATCGCCCGAAAAATGTGTCAAAACGGCATTTTTTTTCCGATTTTAGGACCTCCAAAACGCATCTTCAAATTTTACCATCTTTTTTCCCACCCCGAACCCCCAAAAACGTGAAAACCCCAGCAGGCTGAAGGATTTTCGGGGAGGGTCGGCAGAGGGTCGGCGGCAGGGGCGCGCCCCCGGGTAGCTAAAGCTATGCTTAGCCACCACCACCGGACGGCATCGCCGGATTTAAGGGCTGCCGCCCCTGCCGCCGACCCCGGAAAAAGGGGGAAAGAGGAAAGGGCATGAGCAACGTTTCCCATATATATATATGTGTGTGTGTGTGTGCCAAATGGTAGTGTGCTCAAGTGAGCGGTCGACCTTCGCTGGGTTGAGATGAATATAAGTTGACACGCAGGACGACAACGAGTGTTGCTGCTGCTGCTCTTCCTCCCGAAGCTGAAAACGCACCCTGCCGGACAGGGAAACACAGTGCTCTGAAGGACGGAACGGCGCCAGAATCGAGCCCAAAAAGTGCCTAACGTGTCGTCTAAAACCCTAGAAAAACAATAGTTTTCGACCAGTTTTTATACCACTGTTTGTACAATGAGACATAGAACCCTCCTGCTGCTCCTGTTGCTGCTGCTGCTCTTCCTCCCGAAGCTGAAAACGCACCCTGCCGGACAGGGAAACACAGTGGCCCTGAAGGACGGAACGGCGCCAGAATCGAGCCCAAAAAGTGCCTGACGTGTCGTCTGAAACCCTAGAAAAACAATAGTTTTCGACCAGGTTTGTACAATGAGACATAGAACCCCCCTGCTGCTCCTGTTGCTGCTGCTTTTTTCCTGAGGCTCAAAGCGCACCCTGCCGGACAGGGAAACACAGTGGCCCTGAAGGACGGAACAACGCCAAAATCGAGCCCAAAAAGTGCCTAACGTGTCGTCTAAATCCGTTGAAAAACTGTGTCAAACTTCGCCTTCCTGCTGCTGTGCTGTGCTGATGCTGCATGGTGTACTGGTGCTCGGCTGCTGTTGATGCTGCTGCCTAGTGCTGCTAATGCTGCAAAGGCAGCCAAATGTCTTATTCCCTGGCGCGCTCCCCCTTGCGTCTGCCGGGGTCTGCTGCTGCTGCTGCTGCTGCTGCTGCTGCGGCTGCTGCTGCTGCTGCTGCCACTGCACAAAAACACAGCCACACGGCCCTGTAGTAGTAGTAGTCGTCGTCGTCGTCGTCGGCGTCGTCGTCGTCGTAGTAGTAGTAGCAGGAGTAGTAGCAGTAGTAGTAGTAGTAGCAGTAGCAGTAACAGTAGCAGTAGTAGTAGTAGTGCAGTACATCTTCTTCCCTTACGCGCTCCCCCTTGCGTCGGCCGGGGTCGACGGATATAACAGATACTTGTATATATAATTATATATATACATAATATTTATAAAATATAATATAAAATAGAATGTTACATTTTTTACACAACATAATATGATATAGTATAATATAATATAATACAATATAATAGAATATAATATAATATATTATAATATGATATGGTATAATATAATATAGTATAATATTGTATAATATATTATTTAATATGATATAATATATATATATATACCCTAATAACACCCCTAAGAAAGGCACTAACTGCTCCAGCATCAGCACAAACCTGCCTGAAGCAAGAATTTTTTTTATATACCATGGAGAAACTAGAAGGGTAAGAAATATATTATAAGTGACCTTGGACCCTGGTTCATCAGAACCATTGACTTTAGCTTTGGCCCTGCATGAGAGCCCTTTCTGAAGCTTTCCGGAGAGACTTTTGTATGGCGTCCCAGATCGCTGATAGTGTTGGCTATAAACCACTGGCTGACTGGCTGCTGAATAAATTCACGATTGAAAAATCGTTATTTTTGTTTTTTATTTTCTTGGTGACTCCAAAATTGTGGGTTTTTCACGTAATTTTTACGCTGAAATTACGCTTAAGGTTTTTTTCCCGGAAATTGTAGAACTTTTGAATTTAAATATGAAAATCATACTTTTTACGACATACTTACACATTTTAATTACAAATAAAACACGGCGGCCTTTTTTAACCGACTTAAAAACCAGGAAAGAAGCGGTATATTTACCAGGTTCCAGATTTGCCGATGCAGCCGCACAAAATTGTCGGTTGATACTTTTTTATCTAAAGTAGCGGGATTTTGAGCCTTTAAACCTGCCCACTGATAAATAATAATTTCCAATATATATAATCCAAATTAATTTATATTTTAGCCAAATAAAACATAAACATTATAAAAAATTTAAATTCTACTGGTACTTAATTAAAATACCCAAATAATTAAATTTGAATACGGAAATTTTGGATTATAAGGGGAAAAATAATTAATAAAATTAATATATATATATATCTTATTATATTTTTATATAAATAAGCAAATTAAAAAACCCTTAGGAAAACATTTAATTATATAAATTAATTTTCTTTTTTTTAATCTTGGAATATTTGGAACGGGTAGGACAAGAAATTTTTAAGAAATATTTTACCTAATTATATGAAATAAATTTATTTCTACGTGTTTTTTGGGATTTCGGGGAAATATTCCGGATACTATTTTTTAGGCCAAAGATTATATAATATATTATTTTATTTTAAAAACATAATATAATTATATATATATATTTAAATATATTTAAATATATATATAT